TCAAAAGATGATTATAATATCTACACGGTTGCAAATTAAGCAAACTTGCCCAATACCTTCAATGCAAGCTCGTGGTCTTGTTCTTGTGCCAAACCACTGATGGTCAACGCGCCGACAACGCCGGTAACGCCCTTGACTCTGATGGGGATGCTTCCACCGTGGGTGGCGTAGTTTTCTTCCGAGATGTAGTTGTTCTGTTCGAGAGTGTTACCCTTCAATCTCAACTTCTGGCCCCAGTAGAAACTGGACTTGCCGAATCTGAACACGGTCTGGGCCTTTCTTCTGACCCACTCGTCGTTGTCGAAGGTGGCGCCCGAGCCGGTGACGGTGTGGAACAACACGTGGCCCGAGGTCAATCTGATGTCGATAACCACCGACTTGCTGGCGAACTCGCTGACGGCAATGTCACGTGCGTGGTTGCCGATGGTCCAGGCGGTGTCGACTTGGAACTGGGGCAACTCGATGTATTCGAGGTCGTCGAGTTGGCTTAAGGTTTGGTTGTACCAGTCAGTCATTGTGTGTGTTGTAACGTGTTGGATGTGCTATTGGTGCTGTTTGTGGTTGGGGCATGGTGCTCCTTTTATACCATTGCGGATCGACCTTCCCCGTTTTTCGTGAGGGAGCAAGTGGTTTCAGGGGCAGTTTCTACGCTGGCGTGGTGCTGCTGTGGCAGGTCGACCCTGGCAGGACCCTTAGTGGACCCTGGGTAGCGGTGGCTGCTACGGTGTGGGCTGGGCCTGGCTACTGGACTTCTAGTGGCCGTCTACTGGTGGCTTTGCCCACTGGTAGCTTGGCTTGGAATGCTAAGGTGGCGCATCGCATCGCAATTTATCCGAACAATTGCCAGATGATGGTTTCTGGCAATTGGCAGGTTGTTCCGGAGCAGAACTCCGTGTCCGATTGTAGTGAAGCTTAGGGCAATTATCTCACAGATACTGCGAATCTAGAAACTCTGAGATGTGTCAAGATTAGTTTAAGAGAGAGTGGACTATGCCTCATGAACGCGCTAACCGAGCCAATCGTTCGCCACACTGCCACTCCGTCTGCTGAGCCTACAATCCTCGATCGAAACGCCTCTAGACTACTGGAATGAGCTGCGCACCCATCGCCTCGAGCTCTACACTATCGCGATTTAACTTTTATTACTTTTAAAATCTCTAAGCGTGGTAGTCTCCTAGTCAACCTCCAACCGTTGATCGGCATTGTGGGGCTGCTTGCTGGAGTTCAGTCAATTTTCTAACCACTGATCGGCGTTTTAGTTCAGTCTCTAACCGTTGGTTTGCGCCATAGTTCTCCAATTCACTTGACTCTAACCATTGATCAAGCTGGCATTGTAGTGCTCCTGGTTGTAGTTCCAGTAAAACTCAACCGTGGATGGAGCACCTTCGGCAAGATCACACTGTTGTGCAAAGTTGATGTTTCCAATTCTTTCCTTGATATAGTCTTCGTAGGCACTGAACTCACACGAAAAACCAGGTCCTGATGAACACTTGGGAATTGGCACAACCGCGTCGTTGATGATGTACCTGACATACGAAGACTGGCCGCACTTGTACTTCTCGGTGTAAATTCTGGCACCTTGTGGAACAATAGACGAGTGGAGGTAGGGGTATGGGAACGGAATGTAATCGGTAGGCAAGTCTTCCTTTGGCTCCAAAAGACCCAAGGCAGAGTGGAAAATTTCCAAGTCAGTGTCGTGTGTAAACGACAACCACACCTTGTTAGAGCTAGAGTTGTCCTTCAACAAGGTCAAGGAAGCATTCAAAAGGGTGGAGCCTATCACTGCAGTCAAGTTGTTACCGGCTCCGTTGGCGTAGTAGTTGCTCACATCGGTGCCGTAAGAATATTGAATGAACTCCTCGTTGGAAAACAAGTCACAGAAGGGCGAGGATCCTCTGACATTGAGCTCGTAAGCGCACCATTGGAACAAGTTCGACACATCACCTTGGGTGAGGTTGAGCCCTGGAGCAAACTTTTGGAATCTAGTGATAATGTTCTTCAAGTAGGTAGTGTCAAGTTTCTTGACTTCGCTGGAAGAAGTGTCGTTGTATGAGGCACAGGCAGCTCTTGGGGTCAAAGAGTTTGCACCCATCTTCTTGTCCTCATCAACCACAACGTAGGTGACTTTGTCGTCCTCGTAATCGTCGCCAAAGAATCCACGGGTGAAGAAGACTCCGGTTTGGAAACATCTTCCAGAGTTGGAGGAAAATACTGGGAAGGTCTCGTTCTCGTTGAAGAGCGATCCGTACTTTCTTCTGAACGCAGCACCATGCTTCAAGGCATCGGTGGTACCAGCAAAGTTCGAATCACTGTTCTTTGGGGAGGTTTCCTTTTCGTACAAGTCACTGTTGTCAACGAAGTAGGTGTAGTCGTTCAAGAAGCCGAAATCACCAGTGAAGGTGCCGTTGTAAGATTTGAACTTCTTGTAAATAGCCTCAAGCTTCTTACCAACACTATTGGATGGGTATCTCTCTCCGTGTCTTGACAACAACTGCACTTGTTCAAGAGTACACTGTTCCGGAACATCGGTAGAGATTCCGTAACCCTGACGCTGAATATAAGGACCAGCACCTCCCAAGTATCTAAGAATATTGTACTGCTCGACAGAAGCCTGTTGGGGACTAGCTAAACTTTGGAACACCCCTTGGTTCACCAAGAGCAACCCATTGTTGATCAATTTGGAGATGGCCACCATGTTTTGTAGGTCTGCCTGTTGGATGTAGAGCTAGTGATGGATATATGGGCCTATTTATAGGCTCAGAATACTCCACTGGCTTTGAAAATGATTCGGTTGGCTCCTAATCGGTCCTGAAAGAGTTGCACCCATACCCGATTCATACCAGTGCACGTGCAGGATGCCTCGTGGGGACGCTCGATACGGAAAAGTAATGGAATACCTACCACGTGTGTCAACATTGCATAAGCCAGGGGTCAACTACAGATCGGGCCAGAAAGACCCTTCTTTCAGGATGAAGTATTTCTTGCCAAGCCAATAAAGTTACTGCTTCAACGGCGTACCTACAGATACCAACTACTTGAGAGAAACCGTCTGAACTGGATAGGAACAAACTCCCAGCTGCTATAGACCTGCCCCGGGCTTCAATTACGTTGATATGTGAGGCATGCACCTCAAAATTAGGATGCTCTCTTATTACTATTGCTAAGCCTAAAATTCCGCAAGGAGGTATTGGCCGATTAATTGCGCTTCTTACCCTTGTTATTTTTAGTGTCACCTAAGCTCAATTTGAGCTTGCCGACAGTAAGAGCAGCGATCATATCGTTAGGCTTAGCTGACTTGATTATATCTCTCTCGCCGGGCCAGTCTAATTCCGTATCGGTACCCGTGGTGTCCAATTTCCGGGTGGTGAAATGGTGCAATATCTCATTAATTGACTTCCCCTTCTTACCGTTCCCGGGTTGCACTTTCACTTTGTACTTGAGCTTATTCATTGACACCCAGGGTGCAAAAACCGGAACGGCCCCGACAATGGTGTCTCCTTTTTGCGGTTTGGCAATGAAGGAGTCAAGAATCTCCACGTAATTGGTTACACTAGATTCGTCCTCGTTACTCTCTTCCAAAATATACTTCTGGTACTCCCTCTCATCCTGCTTCTTCTTCCGTTGTGCAGCAGCAGATTCCTGATACTTCTTCTTATGCTTGTCAGCTTCGGCTTCTTGCTCAAGTTGTTTCTGCTTCTTAGCCTCTTCCACTTGCTTTAAGGTTCCCAAAACGTCCATTCTCATTTTCCGTTCTTCCTCATCTTGATCTGCATATTTGGTTGCAATTTTCTTCATTTTGGCTTTCTTACCACGAACCTTTTTGGCAGGACCTGCGGTTGCGTTCTCAATCCCTTCAGGTTCAGCTGGCTCCTTGGAATCTTCTCTCAAATCTTCAGAATCTTCGGGCTCTGAAGATTGTTTGACGTCATTTTCTGATTGTTGTGGATTTTCTGGTTCTTGCGATGGTTCCTTATCCTTGGGCTTTTTACCTACCTGGTCCTCTAATTCCTTCTTCTTGTTATCCATGACGACTTTCAAGCCATGCTCTTCTTGTTTCTTGACTCTAGCCTCTCTGTAACGATTGGTAGTTTCCTCGTCTCCCAACATGTAGAGTCCAAAGCCCATGACCAACTGCATTGGAGGCATATACTCCTTCTTGCCCTTATAGTTGAACGAGCCTGGAGCAATCAAACTACCATCAAAGTCCTTCTTTGAAATCAAGTTCCCAGGCAAAAACCAAGGGGAAGTGGTGATTTTATTGTTCCATGCATTTGAAGCAGACATAGCAAACATACCTGCTTGCATCAAGGTACGAGGTGGAACCAGTTCACCTTTGTAAGGATTCTTGATGAAAACCTTCAATGATCCTTCAACATCGGATGAGACGAAAAAATCATTGTCACTGAAATGTCTGTAGTAGATAATGTCTATCTGTGAAGGGTCTCTTCCGGCTAAGCACAAATAACCCTCGATTGAAACAAACCAGAAGAACTTCTCAAACCAATATTTAGGTCTGATGTGCTTCAAGGTTTCATTTTCTTGCTTTAAGTTCTTTGCCAAATCTTGCTGGATCTTTCTTTCGGCATTTTTCAAGGCAAGTTGAGTATTCTTTTCCACCTTAACTTGCTTACTTTCAGCTGTCTTCTTGGAATCAAAATACAATGCGGCATTTGCGTATGGGGACAAGGATAAATCAATCCAACATGACAAGCTATTCTTTTGTTCCTTCTTTTTACCCAAGTTCTTGGGTTGCTGTCTTTTAACCCTCCGTTTGGTAACCTCAGAGTCCGAGTCTGAGTCAGAATCTGAGTCAGACTCGGATTCCGATTCCGATTCTGATTCTGATTCGGAGCTTGATTCATCTGATGAGCCGTTCTGTTCTGGCTCTTCATATAAGCTATCAACGTCAGGTAAGATGACACTAATCTTGTTTTCCTTCAAATTTAATGGCAATTTAATGGCCAATGCTGTTGTATTTCTTCTGGATTGTTCAAGTTTAAGATAACTCTCGATATTAGTCCAATCCATTTGTTGATCAATTAACTTCTGGACCATTTCCATACAAGCAGTAACCAACTCTGCAGATAATATGATGGCATCACCTTTCTTGGAGTTGAGTTCCTGCTGAGCAACCAAAGAGAGGATTTGTTTGTCTCTTTCGTTTCTAGCATGATCGAGTCTATTTTGAGCATTTTGCTTTTGTTGTTCTATCTTCAATGCGTACTTGGTGGATTCGATCGTTGAGAAAAATGCATCCAAAGTTTTGTTGTAACCACTGATTTCAGTGAATTTGAAATTGTCCAAGTTCTCTTTATAAGGCTTGAAAGGGTGGAATTCGTCATAAACATATTCCAAATCGTCAGTGGATTTGTCATTTGATTCCTCTGAAGGCTTGAAAAGTGGATTCTTTTTGGATACAATGCATCCACTCAAGGTTTGGGTATTAGACAACAATTCGACGTAGTCATCTTCAGATTTATGAAGGGCTTTGATGATCGTTTCGAGTTTCTCTGTATCTTGATCAAAATCAAGAGCACTTTTGTTAGATTGAATCCTGAATTCATTCAAGTTCTTCTGAATCAAATCAGACGAAAGGTGACTGGCGTTGACAAATAAAAGCTTATGGATTGAATAGACCTTGCTTTTTTTACCAGAACTTTGCTGATCTGCCAATCTAGTCTTATGAGTGGAAATCCATGCTTTGATTTCGTCAGCATTGTATGTCCGTTTTTCGTAGACGAACTCTTCTGTGAACAAAGTTCTATCGAACATTTTGTAAGTCTCGCCGACAGCGTATCTGTCGTTGTCGCCTTTATCACTGACCATTCTTTGCAAAGATAAGATCTTGTTTTCGTGATCCAACAATAAGATATTACCAGCACTGAAGAATTCCAAAACCAAGTAGTACAAACCATCGCTGAATTCAAAAACTAATACTCTATCGTTACCAATCTGCTTCAAGGATGACAATCTCCTAGTTTTCAAATGCTTTCTAAGTTTTGTGACAAAATTCGAAGGAGCATCGGTTGTGGGTCTTTCGAACTCGGTCAAATGCACTCTATTACCACAATCCAAAACTACCACTTTCTTGGAGTCGGGAACGGAAAACTTGAGCAAGAACTGTCTTGCTGAGCTTGCCACGTTATAAATGTTCTGCAACCTGTAGTTCAAGACATTTTCGGTCAATTCACTGGTGATGACCTGCAAATCCAAAGCTGTAATTCTTTGCTAGAATGTTAGTATTGTAGATCAATGGACATGACTAAGCTTCATTCTAGCAAGGAGTCTTCGCCTCCTGAAACTTGCAGATCGAGCATTCCATTCAGGATGCTGAACAGTGAGTAAGTCTTTGGCCCAGCCCTCCTAATACATTGGTGTACATACTTTCATATCGAGGTATCTTGTGAGGTTAGTTGCCACTCTCAACTGGTGAAGAATTTGTATATCGTGTTCCTGTATATAGCGTGGCTGCAATGAATCTGGGAGCAACGGATTGCAAATGCAACAGCACTAATCAAAGTGGACAGTGTAAGATGACTGAGTACTCGGAGTCAACTCTGTGAGACAATAGTGCAAATGTAGTTTGTTTGAACAATTTACCGAACCAATCGATATACCACTGGCCAATGAATAAATTTTAGACAAGAAGCTGGTTATTAATTAGGGTATACGGGTGGTACCTCTCTAGCGGTGTATATTATTGTATATCTCTGGCACTACTAATTCCCACAGAGAACTGACTTTCAGCAAATAGTGAATTATATGTTTTTGAATTGATTAATATGGTTGCTTAACGTGGTTTGAAGAAGACCAATTGTTTCTGCGGCTTCTGATCAGCAAAGCCCAAGTGACGGTAACCTGGATGGAAAATCTCCGGTTAATATCGTAACAAGTAATGTTTAACTATATATGATAATGAATAGAATATTTCTCCTGCTCCAAAGATATACTACTTTGCGAACTCATCTATACACCTCATTACTCATGTCCAGTCTTATCCAATGGTCTTTCACAAATTCAACACTTCGACCAGCTAGATGATCGCAGCACCCCTCGCAAGGTTGTTGAGCAGAAAAGTCTCCTATCCGCTCGTTCTCGCTCTTATCTTTAGTGCTCCAACAGATTGCTCCGCGATTGTACGCACTCCATCAAAAGCCCATCACATTGATTCTGGTAGAGTAGAGATGACTGCTTCCAAATTGGCCCCTTTGGTCAATGCCATTAAAGAAAACAAGAAGGTCACCTTCTTCACGGGTGCCGGAACTTCCACCAGTGCTGGGATTCCTGACTTCAGAAGTCCCAAGACAGGATTGTATGCCAATCTAGCCAAGCTCAATCTTCCGTATGCGGAGGCTGTCTTTGACATCGACTACTTCAGAGAGAACCCAGGTGCATTCTATACGCTTGCATCAGAACTCTACCCGGGAAACTTCCCTCCCACCAAATTCCACTACTTGATAAGGTTGTTGCAGGACAAGAAACTATTGAAGAGAGTGTACACCCAGAACATCGATACGTTGGAAAGGCTTGCTGGTGTGGATGAGGACTACTTGGTCGAAGCACACGGTTCGTTCGCTAAGAACCACTGCATTGACTGCTCTGAAGCAATGTCGACTGACGAACTCAAAAAGCAGATGAACAATAAAGAAGTCAACAAGGGTATCCCCACTTGCGCCAAATGTAAGGGTCTTGTCAAACCCGACATTGTTTTCTTTGGCGAAGGCTTACCCGAGAGATTCTTCAAGTTGTGGGCAGAGGAGGCTGACGACGTTGAGATTGCTATTGTAGCTGGTACGTCACTTACCGTCTATCCCTTTGCAAGTTTGCCAGGAGAAGTTGACAAGAAGGCCTTGAGAGTTTTGGTCAACAATGAGTTGGTAGGTGCATTTAAAGCCAAAAAGAGGAAGTCTGATATCTGGGTCAAAGAATGTGACAAGTTTGCTGAAGACTTATGTGCTGAACTTGGTTGGAGCGACCAGTTGGAAGCATTGGTCAAACAAACCAAGGATGTTTCTGAAGAAAAAGAGCCAGTGCAAGACGATCAGAAACAGAAGGCCACACCATTATCGAGTGGCGAAGAGGCGGAAAAGATAGCTCAAGAAATTGATTCAGAATTAGAGGAGTATACTGACGCTTTGGAATCCTTAGATGAAGAGGTTAGTAAGCTTAAGATATGAACGTAATGATTATTTTAGGTATTGTAAAGATCTATTATATTCTAGGTAATTATTCGCCCATGATTCACACTGTGGATATTTAGTTTAGGCCCTCATTATGTAGACTCTGACTTGGTTGGTACTAGCCAGGGAATAGAAATCACAACTCATTACTTCTTTCTGTAAAGTCTGTAGAAAAACCTCATGTTTTCCAACTTCATAGGATAGTCTATCTTCTTAGTTTCTATCCTATACCAGCAGCTATCACTCTCGTCAATCAACTCCCATGGTCCGTTGTTTTCACCCTGTTTCCCGATAAGAGTCATGTCTATCAAGAATTGCACAGGAAACTTTCTGGTACCGATAGTTATATGCGAGTATGAACCGGCGCTCTCTGCAATCAACAAGAGGGTGCCCTTGGTACATTTGGCGTTGAACGTGTTGAGAAGGGCCATCGTTTCCTTTCTCTTTTCTGCAAAAAGCTCATTGGTAGTAAACAATAACGTTATCAAACTTTGTGCACCATAATCGATTTTGGGCTGGTTCAACACATCTTCATGAATGAAATTAGCCTGGAGCTTGGAACCATCATACATCCAATTTTTTTGGGCGTAATTTGTGAGACTGTTCACCACCTTGGACCAATCAGCTATATCGATAATATTCATCTTGAGACTAGAGTCAGAGGTCGAATTGTACTCCTTTTGTCTGCAGAACACAGATGCCAACCCCACAAGTTCAGAAGATGCTCCACCACCTATACATAATACTTCGGTCTGTTTGTCCTTGTCTTCAAAGAGCTCTTTGATCCCATCTAGCGAGGCAAACAACGAAGTGTATGCCAATGCACGAGCAGGTGTCCATCTGGACACATATGCAAATCTCTTGTCATCAGAGTCAAATGCCTCGATGTAGTTTCTATCGTATAAACATGACTTCACAGATTGGATATGCTGATTCAAATCCTCCGAGTTGAGGATGCTGCCTAGGGTTTGGGTGAACATATCAATGAGCTTTTCATGGCCTAATGAGTATTCGCTATCGAAAGGTATCGATGTGTTGGATAACTCGCCATCATCTGCTTGGCTAGTGTTCTTTCGTCCCATGGCTGTATGTCTAGATTGGAGAAGAGATGAATTCTGGAGATTTAATATTGAACCGCACACGCAGGCTGCGAAATCGATGAGGCCCAACCATAAGGGACTATTGAAGTATAAAACGGGAAGGAAATGAAGGATGTTAGCGGTGATAATGGAGATTCTTCAATGATGCAATGAGGCTTTCGTTTTTCGGAAGGTATTTGGGCTTGAAAGGCTGCTTTTTCGTTTATTGTCAACTTCCCAAAGAAGCACCTGTCAATTCTGGATAAGCACTGTCATTTTTAAAGCTTCTAGTAGCTTAAATTACAGTATCAGGTACAAATATTTAGCAGCAATCTCAGTTGGTTGTTATCGTTGTAGTCTCAAATCCCATCTGCCAGGATCCTTCCTTCAATTACTCTGACTTAGTGTATGCTAACAATTATTGAACGGGATTTAGTGCATTGAATTAAACATTACGCCTATACCCTTGTAACTCAAGCCTGGAATACTCAATAACTGCCATGCTCAGTGCCTTAGGAAGTACTACTCGATGCCTGCTGCAACCACTCAAGCCCTAACACCCAGGGCATCGCGCATCTCATCACGTGATTGGCTCCAAAGACTATATAAGGACCCGCTCCCCCATCAAATTTTTTCTCTCATCAACAATCTGTGTTATGGAAAACTCTCAGCTAACTTCGGTTGGTTGTAGTTGTTTTGCCATAGCAGTTCGGCGCACGCGAAGTTAGTTTGTTGGCGTTACCTGGTGTTTGATTCCATTAAGCCAAGCAATTGGCATTCGGTGGTACTGCTTGACTCTTGTCTCATCATTGGTCCTTCTTCGGAGGTTGAGCGGTGGTGTTGCAAGTTAGGTGTCATTGGAGTTGGGACGGCATGAAGTTTCGTCATGCCTTTGGTGTTAAACAGAGAGCTCCGTCGACAGATTGGAGAATAAGCGGATCGGCCTTGAGCTTGCTTGTGGTGCAAACCATGAGTGTGGCTCGGCCGGATGGTTCGTAGCAACATATTCCTGGACTCTGCGAAGGTCATTTGGCCATTGACGATTTGAGTAAAACCATGTTGCAGACATATTATTCCTTGTAGACATATAAGCCCTTAACTATAACCCGATTTATGTCCCACGACACAAACTGGGTCACGTGTGTGATCACCTGACACGCCGTTTATCTCCACCCAACCGAACCTTCTTAATCCTCTAATTTGATGTCAAAACATGGTACCCCTTGAACGCTCAAATACTGCACTCTCAATGCAGAGTGGAGGGTCAGCATCTGTCAGGGAGTCACGATTATATGGCTCTCGGACTAGTGTGTCGGCGTTGCCCAGCTTGCCCATGGACCATCCCAAGGAAGAGAGCCGTCCAGAAGCGGACCACTCGGAACATTTCGAACCCCCAACTCCAGAGACAAGTTATGTTGAGTTTGACTTCAGCTCACAATCCAAAGAAGATCTACTGTCGTTTTCGGAGAAGGTTATCAGCAATCGTAACCAATCTCAAGAACAACTAGAGGAACATCCAGAAGCCGAACACGTTCAATTGGAGCCAGTTGATGATGATTTCTTTTCGTCATCATCACACAACTGGAAGTCAATGAAAACCATCACCGAGCTTGATTACTACGATGAAAGAGGAGAACTAGAGTTTAAGTCATCAGCCAACAGATTTGATTCTTTAGATAACAGAGCTGGTTCTCGTGGTTATACTAAGATAGATACTGAAGAGCAAGTCACGAAGTACTCAGAATTAGACAAGAAAACAGATTTTCTCTTCAAAACCAGTCCGGAAAAACTGGCCTATGATTCTGATGAAGACGAAGATGAAGATGACGAGAATTCGGACGAGAAGTTGGAAACAACCAAAAACATGTTGACTGAATCGCAAAAGTTTGGATATGTTGGAATTGCTAAATTAATCACGGTGGAAATGGCAACAGAGCTAGCTAAAATTAAGTTGACCACCTCAAGCAAGGTGGCTAAGACAATGAGTTCTGGCCAAAGAAACTTTTCCAACTGGACTATGTATGTCATGACCAAATTGTACGATCACTTGGATCTTACGGAAGAAGAGAAGAAGATGATCGAAAATTTGAGTGCACACGGGGTAGAAGTTTCAGATTTATCTAGCAGTTTCGTCGATGCTGCACTCAACGATGATAAGAATAGTGTAGCCTACCGAATGGCAGAAAAGTATCCTGGATTCAGCTTAAAATGGGTTCTTGTGTGTGATTTGTTCATGGTTTTGATGAGTGATGGGTACTACGATAGTAGGTCGAATACTTTGCTAGTTGAATTTGCAACCAAACTTGGCATCACTAACGTGGAAATTTTGCAATTCCAAAGAAGGTTATTGGAAAGCTTGGAATTTGCCACCAACGAAAAGTCTATCGAGAACAAGGACGAGCTTTTGACCGACAAGCTGTTCATTGACAAGCACATCAAGAAAAACAGAAAAAAGAGACTAGCATACATAGGATTGGCCACATTAGGTGGGTCTTTAGCCATAGGATTATCTGCCGGCTTATTAGCACCTGTCATTGGTGCGGGTTTAGCGGCCGGTCTTACTACAGTCGGAATCACTGGTACTGGTGGTTTCTTGGCAGGAGTGGGAGGAAGTGCCATTATTACTACTGGTGGAGTATTTGCAGGTGCAAAAGTTGGTAACAAAGCTGGGGCCCGGAGACTTGGGGATGTTCATACCTTTGAACTTAAGCCTCTACATAATAACAAAAGACCCAATTTGATTATTACCATCAGTGGATGGATGAACGGTAAACTAGATGATGTGCGGTTGCCTTTTTCCACGGTGGACCCTGTGATGGGAGATATGTTCTCGTTGCTTTGGGAACCCGAGATGTTGCAGTCCATGGGGCAAACCATCAATATTCTTGCTACTGAAGCTTTGAGTACATCCATTCAACAGATATTGGGTGCTACTATTTTGACTGCTTTGATGTCTGCCATCCAATTACCCATGGCTCTTTCTAAGTTGTCGTACTTGTTGGACAACCCTTGGAACGTCTCCTTGGACAGGGCCTGGAAAGCAGGCAAGATTTTGGCCGACACTTTGATCTCAGGAAACATGGGGGTGAGGCCCATCACCCTTGTGGGGTTCTCTTTGGGTGCCAGACTCTTGTACTCGTGCTTGATCGAATTGGCTAAAAGAGGTGGATACGGTTTGATCGAGAACGTGATAATCTTGGGTAACCCTATTGCAGTCAAAGTGGATCAAATGGCTTTGGCAAGGTCAGTGGTTAGTGGAAGGTTCGTCAACGGATACTCCAAGAAGGATTGGATTTTAGGGTACTTATTCAGAGCTACAGGCGGGGGTATTCTGTCGGTTGCAGGATTGTCGCCAATTGAGAATGTTTACGGTGTTGAAAACGTTGACTGTACTGATCTTGTTGAGGGCCATATGTCGTATAGACAGGCCATTCCTAAGATTATGAAGAAAATGGATTGGGAAGTGTTGAGCGAGGAGTTCGCTGAAATCGAAGAGCCAGACCCAGAGCAAGGAGAAAGAACTCGGCAGTTAATTAACGAATTTGATGAGGCAAGGGCCAAGATGAAGGAAGAGATGGAACAGGAAACAGAAAAGAAGAAAACCTGGAAAGACTGGTTCAAGCCGAAGCAAAAGGACTGGTGGGATATCGCACTGAAGGAAAAAGCAGGACGAGAAACGCCAGCTGCTGACGCCACCAACGACAGGTTGGACGAATACGACGAAAATGTGGAGAGAACCGATGTTCCCATCTTCGATGTGGGTGCGTTGATGTCAGAAATCAACGATATTGAACATCTAGCAGGAGAGGGCGAGGAGGTGTTAAACCAAGCCCGTGAAAACGTAGACACCTCGAACAAGGTATTAACGTCTAATGAGGATAAAGAGGAAGTGGAAGATAAGGGAGGTTTGAGTAGGTTTGTACCGGGTAGTAAATAGAGCAATAATATAGAACCTGCGCATAAATGATGTATATTCCGATGTTCACCACTTGGTTGATATTAATTGACTGTGCACAACAAGTCAACACACATCGCTTGTCTACACTCTGCCAGACAATGGAATGATCGGATCTTACACCAATCGGTCACTGGCACTATAAATTCACTAAGGTAGTTTCTCTCGCAGGCCAAATATGTTCCAAATTTTTGGATTCTTATGACTATTATATTCAACGACAGTTTCTCTACACTCTTCTCCGACTGACACAATTAGTCACATCTATTATGTGAACTGTGATTTCGCATCCACCCAGATAGCCAGGCTATGGATTCTCGCACCGGTCGTGTATATCACATCCACGAAAATTTATCAACGAAAATTTGACTCACATCTTTCACTACCACCACCAACATGCCTACCATCTCCGTCGATAAAGAGGACCTCTTCAAGCTCCTCGGTCAGACCTATACCACCGAAGAATTCGATGAGTTATGTTTCGAATTCGGTATCGAATTAGACGAAGACACCACCGAAGAATGTGAAAATGGCGAGAGACCTCAGCTCAAGATCGAAATTCCAGCCAACAGATACGACATGTTATGTATTGAAGGTATTGCACAAGCATTGAACGAATTCTTGGGAAGATCTGAGCCACCAAAGTTCACTTTGGAACCAGCTACCCCTCAAATCACCTTGACCATCAAGGAGTCTACCAAAGCCATCCGTCAGTATGCTGCCTCTGCCGTGTTGCGTAACATCGAGTTTGATGAAAGAAAATACAACTCCTTCATCGAATTACAAGACAAATTGCACACCAACTTGTGTCGTAACAGAACCTTGGTCGCCATCGGTACCCATGATCTCGATACCTTGACCCCTCCATTCACCTACGAAGCATTACCACCATCCGAAATCAAGTTCGTGCCTTTGAACCAAACCAAGGAAATGGACGGTCACCAATTGATGGAATTCTACGAAAAGGACAAGCATTTGGGCAAGTACTTGCACATCATCCGTGACTCTCCAGTTTTCCCAGTGATTTTGGATTCTAACAGAACCGTTGGCTCCTTACCACCTATCATCAACTCCAACCACTCTAAGATCACTTTGAACACCAAGAATGTCTTCATTGATATCACCGGTACCGACAAGACCAAGACTGAAATTGTCTTGAACCAGATCGTGGCCATGTTCTCTAGATACAGTAAGGTTCCATTCCAAATCGAACCTGTTCAAATCATTTCTGAATTCAACAACGAATCTCGTGTGTGTCCAAACATCACTCCAAGAAAGGCGGAAGCTGAAATCTCCTACATCAACTCTTGTGTTGGTTTAGATTACTCTGGTGAGCAAATCGCCGAATTATTAAAGAAGATGTCGTTGAGTGCTGCTCCATCTAAAACCAAGGAAGATATAATTGATGTCGAAATCCCAATAACCAGATCTGACATTTTGCATCAATGTGATATAATGGAAGATGCTGCCATCGCCTTTGGTTACAACAACTTGGTCAAGACCAAGCCAAAGAGTGACTCTGTGGTTGCTGCTCCATTGCCAATCAATAAGGTTGCTGATATCTTAAGATTGGCTTCTTCCCAATCTGGCTACTCTGAAGTTTTGCCATTGACCTTGTGCTCCCACGATGAAAATTTCAAATACTTGAGAACTGTGGATGACAACACCAAGGCCGTTAAATTGGAGAACCCTAAGACCGTGGAATACCAAGTAGTGAGAACCACCTTGGTTCCAGGTCTTTTGAAGACCGTTAAAGAAAACAGAAAGCACTCTTTGCCAATCAGAGTTTTCGAGGCTGGAGATATCGTCTTGAAGAACCCTGAATTGGAAAGAAAGGCTTACAACCAACGTAACTGGTCTGCTGTCTACGTCGGTAAGACCTCTGGTTTCGAGTATGTTCAAGGTTTATTGGGCAAGATTATGCAAACCATGAGAACCCCATGGTTGGAAAACCCAAAGACTGATGACCGTAGAGGTTACTGGATCGAGGAGGACAAGGAAAACCCAACCTTCTTCCCAGGAAGAGGAGCTAAGATTTTCTTCAGAGCCGTCCAGGGTGAAGAGGCCAAGGAAATCGGTTCCATTGGTGTTTTGCACCCAGAAGTCATGCAAAACTTCGAAATCCCATATGCTGGTTCTTCTGTTGAAATCAACGCCGAAGTTTTCTTGTAATTTCTGGGTTAGATATTAGAGACGAAGGTGTACCATATACGAAAGACCACTGATATAGAGAAATAATTGATCGTTAAATGTCAGTATTGTAGCACCACACATTCAGGGCCTCTGATCGTTGTGTTCATCGACGAAACAGATTCCCAGAAGAGAAGGCTTAGTGTAAACGGGGACTACTTGAAAGATATATGTCGAAAAAGAATTTGAAATCAAGATGCAAACGTTCATGATCCCGAAGACTAGACTATTGCTTCTATGTCAACTATAAATGATCCTTCGGATGCTTATATTGAAGAATTACACTAGTTTGCAAAGAAAATAGTTAATCCGAAGTTGGCCATTTTTCTCAACGATACAAGGTATGGAAAGAGCCTATAACTAATTGATCAGTTGTGGTCCTACACCACTATGGTCTGTAATCCCAAAATACTGTAATTCTTCACTCAAACACTGTAATCAGTTATGTTCCTGTAGATTGATTGCCTTCAACGAAGTATTTGTAGCACCTTTTCGAATCCTCCTTCAAGTATATTTTGTTGTGTACCTTTCCTACCTTTTCTACATTACCGGACTTTCCTTTGGTGCTTATATAGGGGAAACTGTTAGGATGTGTAGCATACGTGGGTCACTTAAGATCCTAATAATAAACTAGGGGACTAACTATTCACAATGTACGTTTTTAAATAGCAACTAGGGGGTTGTGTAACAGCCGAATCTCGGCCTAGTGTGATAGCCAGTGATAGTCTCTCTGGTGAATTATAACGTTACAGAGGTATTCTTAGTATCAGGGCACATGAATGATCACATGATTTACCACGTGACATTGGTTGGTTTCTTAAGCTAACAGAAACACCTCTATCGATTCTTTTTGGACATATCCCATACACTTCCATTCCCAATCCTACCCCAAAATCTCTATCCACTAGATCCAAGGAACACTTCCCGGCTAGCCTAGCCACTCTGTAGCCAACATTACAACTTGTGACCTCGCCTAGTGAGGACCAGTACGTGTGCACACCATAATCCTCTCACCCAACGGGGTGAGAACGGAAAACAGAAACGATCATCTACAGAACGAGTACGACAGTATTTATTGGTGAATCAAGAATCGAATAGGGTCCTAGTCAATCCAAACTCCGTGCTACTGTTCCTTGTACATCCAAATTCCATTTGCTTATCCGTCACCCAGCACATTGCCATCATATACACATAAGCTAACACGATGTCTGCTCGAGCCGCCCCTTCCAGATCATACGACATGATCATGAAGTTATTATTGGTCGGAGACTCCGGTGTGGGTAAATCATGTTTGTTGTTGAGATTTGTTGAAGACAAGTTCAACCCTTCCTTCATCACCACTATCGGTATAGATTTCAAGATTCGTACCATAGAAAGCAAAGGTAAGAAGATCAAGTTACAAGTCTGGGACACTGCCGGACAAGAGAGATTCCGTACCATCACCACCGCCTACTACAGAGGTGCCATGGGTATAGTGTTGATCTACGATGTCACTGATTCCAGAAGTTTCGAAAACGTGGAGAACTGGTACCAAACCGTCACCCAACACGCCAACGAAGATGCTCAAATCTTCTTGGTAGGTAACAAGTGTGACGATGACATCAACAGACAAGTTTCCAAAGAACAAGGTGAAGAAATGGCCGCAAAATTGGGTGTTCCATTCATGGAGGCCAGTGCCAAGAGCAATGAAAATGTCGACTCCATTTTCTACGAGTTGGCCGGAATCATCCAAGACAAGCACGTCGACACTCCTGCTGCTGCTCCTGCTGCTAGTGGTATCAATGTCAGCCAAGGTGGTGAAGGTGTCAAGAACAACTGTTGTTGAGTATTTCATCCTGAGCTATAGTTCCGATTGGTTCTCTCCATCACCATCGTTAATAGCTAGATGGATTGATTGATCTAGACCCGTTCCAAAAGACAGGACCTCGAGACAGTGCTCTGTAGATAGTACGGTATTCCGGTGGTTTGCCTTACCAATCTTCTATTGTTCGTTATTTAGTTCATTATTAGTGCCATGTCAGTGCCTGAATATAAAAATGTCTACAGAAATTTGAATTGTAGTAATATTAAAATACATAACTGTGAGATAAATGCTGGTCTGACCTATCTATAGATCATATGATGAGTTGACCTGTTTAGATCTTCTTTCCGAAGTAGACCCATTGGTCTTCCAAAGGCTTCTCTTCCAATTCTTCCCAGACCTTCAACTCACCTAATTCCTTGGCCAAGGTCAATTCTTCGTGGGCTTGTATCACGATTTCTTCGATCAAACCACCACCGATCTTGCTTTCGATGTTTTCGGTGATTTCCTCTTCTTGCACGATCTTCAATCTGTTCTTGGTCAAGGCTTCGACGGACTGTCTGTAGATGGAGTCTTGAGGAAATTTGGTGTCCAACACTTTCAAAGTATGGTTGTATAATGCGACCAAGGCAGGTCTAGGGTTTGGATGTTGGTACAAACCGGCCAAACCGGTAGGGTTTCCTGAAGCGGCCTTAACCAAGACCTCTTCGGCTTGCTTTAACACTCTGGTGAATCTCATGGCGGGGGACTGCTGTGGAAGTGGATGAGATGTCAGAGTAAATTGTTTTATTCTGGTTGGACGAAGAGCGCGCACGTGATTATTATATCACGTGATGCATACCCGATCTGTTCACATTGGTAGCTTCTGGAGTAGTTGTACTCTTACAATCACTATTTTGGAACTGTCTTCTTGTACTGAGCTGAGAAGCGAAGTTTTGATATTTGTGCTGAAGTTATTTACTGTCTAGAGTCGATACATTACTATCTGTAGAATTAAAGCATGATGTGAAGGCTAGAAGTCACCTCCGTCAAAACCACCACCGTCATCAAAACCGCCACCGTTGTCATAGCCGTTGTCGTAACCGTTGTCGTAACCGTTGTCATAACCTTGTTCCATACCCTCTTGGTACTGGTGGTCTCCATAGGAGTCAAGGGCACTGCCCAACATCATACCACCTAACAAACCACCTCCGACACCCATGGCCATCTTGCCCATGCCGCTGCTCTGTCTGCCTTGCTGGGCGTATTGCTGCTGTTGGGGTGGGTATCCGCCGTAGCCTTGCTGTGGCGGGTAGCCGTAGCCCGGTCCCTGTGGTGGGTAGCCGTAACCGGGTCCTTGTGGTGGGTAACCGTAACCTGGTCCTTGTGGTGGGTAGCCGTAGCCCGGTCCCTGTGGTGGATAGCCGCCACCGTAGCCCTGGCCATAGCCTTGCTGGGGAGGACGGTGGCCACCGCCAAAACCGAACGCCCTTTCCTGGCCCTTGGGGGGCTGGTGGCCGGCTGGAGCGGCTGGAGCGGCTGGAGCGGCTGGAGCAGACTTCTTGTCGTCGTATGCTGGAGGAGGAACGTCTGGCGCCTTGTCTGGGAACACCGTTCCTTTAGGGGCCTCCCATTGTGATTTCTTGGTGTCGAGGTTGACGTAAAACCACGTCTTGTATTTGTCGTCGAACTTGGCCACCCAGCCGCTAGGGACCTGGGGGGCACTATTTGGGTTGGATTCGCTCATCAATGTTCGCAATTGGGTCGGATCAGGACTGGGGTCTCCAATATATAGTGCGTGGGGTCGCTTGCCGACACCGCGATTTCCGCTAATCCACGACGTTCTGCGGAAATTTGGTCACTAGGTTAGGGGTGGCAACTGGTCACGGGCGCATGGCTTGCGGTGACGGTCTCAGCCTCGAGGGACACTGGCGGCGGCACAAAACCGGAGGTTCTTCAGTTGCAGTACTGTGGAAGCTTCAGCCAATACGAAGCCTCAGCCTGGTGATAACTCCGTCAGCAGGCAACTGGTCAATTTGGCAGTAGCAGCCACGAGATCTCGACAGGGCTTGGTCGCTGGCGCAATCGAGCCTCACGCCACCTGCAGGCCAAAACATCCTTACTCGCTGACACTATCTCGCTGGGCTATCGCTTGATCTCCGGGAACACTGCGGCGAGCGCCTCGTCGAGCAACTCGAATAGGAGGTGCTTGTTCAAGTAGTCGTTCTGGAGCATCGAGAACAAGTTCGACGACGCGTACGAGGTGTTGGACGCACCAAAGATCTTTGAGCACGTCTCGTTCATGAACACCGCCAAGAGCACCTTGGCCTCCTGTTTGGTCATCGCCTGTTGGTAGATGGTCCTGAGCATAGGCGGGTCCTTGAACCGTCCGTGGGGAAAAATCGTGTTTTTCAACATGATAAGAATGTCAAGGATCGATTCCTCGGTGCGTAGCTGCTGGTTGATCTGTTCGTTCACCTTCTTCTCGATGGTGGTGCCGAAGATCTGCTGGAGAATCACGATGAGCGCTCGGCCCCGGATCCAGCTCTTGGTGTTGTTCAACCGGAACACCGCGATGAGAAGGTCGCAAATCGGCTTGACGAACACCTTGTTGACGTTGTCGCTAGACGAAGCGCCCGCTTCGTCGTACTGCCGCAACTCCTTCTGCATGTCGCGGATGTTCTCCATGATCTCCTCGTTGGTGGTGCTTTCGGTCACGCTGCTGGTGTGCTGGATCAACTTGTTGGAAATCCCATTGTAGAGCTTATTTGCAACCGTTTCGATATTGTTCTTGGGGCGCATCTCGTAGTTGGCAGAATTCGACACCCCCTCCTCGAACGCCTGGTTCTTGCGGAGATTGAAGTTTTCCGACGACAAAAACGACCGAAATGCTTTGTTGGAACAAACCTCCGGAATTGTGATCAACTGCTGAAGGTACTCTTCCAAAGCCGTTTTCCGCAAATCTACCAACAGTCTCTGCTGAAACTTTAACACCAGCATTGTGCGCTTGGGAAACTTGATGTTGGCCACCTGTGGGTATCTTGCTCGAAGATATTCATGAAGTTTGAAGAACTGACTGAACCTCCTTGCCACTATCCAGCCCGCGGTAACCACATTTGCGTCATCGCTGGATACCTTCTGGACTTCAACAATGTATAAAATAAACTCCTTACCGTGCTCATTTCCACTAATGTACGATTGAATGCTTACTCTGGACTTCCCGTAAAGAGAGTTATCATTCTCCTGAACAATATATTGCTGTTTCTGAAGTTCTTTAGAGTTAATTTCCCTATCCAAACTGACCCTGGATTTTCTCAAAATCTTCAATTCGGTGATGTTGTTGGTTAATTCAGCCTTTTTGATCAATGGATCCAAAATGATAATCTGTTCGTGTAGCTTCTCGATCTCCTCTGTTAATTTTGAAATCTCTTCGGCCAAACTAAGGTCTCCGGGAGCAGCCAAAAAGACTTGCGAATCGCTATTACTAGCCTGCTCGATTGTGGAAGGTTCTTCAATTGGCGAATCTCTACCTTCTAAATTCATTGAATCGCTATCGGTCATAGAATCATCGCTCACGTCATCAAACAACCTGGAATGTCTATTCGACCCCATGTCGTTAGCGTCTCCTCCGAATAAACTGGAAGAATCACCAAATAAACTCTTCTTCATATCAATAGTCAGCACAGGCTTGTCGTCTGAGTAATCCAGAAACGAAGATATAATAGGAGGGTCTTTGTTCTTGTTGAACGAAAAGTCCTCGCTATTGGCCTCGGGATTCTGCATGATCTGAGTAAAAGCATTTTCGACGGCTTGCAAAACTTGGAGACTTACTTCATTATTATCGGTTTTAGATTTTGCCTTTTTGTGTCTGCCATTGTCATCCTGAATTGTATCAAAATTAATAAGCTTAGAAAAGAGTGAAGATCTCTTGAAAGACTGGAACTCAGCATCGTTCAAGGCTTGGATGATATCTTTTTGTAACCTAAACAACTCCTTTCTGCATTTCTTGTATACCTCCATGGCGCTTTTTTCATCCTTGGAAAATACCAAGGTCTCTATGACCCCCTTATAGTCGTAATCCACATTGAAAGTATTATTCTCAAGGTAGTTGTAGTAAATATTCTTGATATCCTCGATTGTGCCAAACTCAAGTGAAAGTGAAAGATTGGTTTCGCCATCTTCATCTATTGTGGCATCTTCTAATGGTGCTTTCAACTGGTCTATTGCCTGCACAAACTCTAATTGATACCTCTTGTTTCTGTAGCTCAAATATTCACCAAATAACTTACAAGCAGAGGGCTGGTTCAAGATATCACTAAGTTGCAATGTCTCGACCACCTTATTTGAAGTTTCGACAGTTTTGGAACTACTAAGTGCCTCATATCTCTCTTGAATGATGCTTCGCAAGGTTTGTAGCTTCTTGATAACGGCAAGCTTTTTATTATCTGAACTCGTTGTCTTGGACATGTGCTTCAACTGGAACATAACAGAACTTTCCACTTCTTTCAATTCCTGAGTGGATACAATAGATTTGATCGATCTTACAAGTTCTCTGAAGGTGGTTGTATCTGTGTCTTCTGTGATGGAATATGCAATGTTAACGTCCGAGGGTTTGAAAGACCTCGTGGATGATTTGTGTGTAAGTTGTTGTGTATGTTCTTCTAATGCTGCTCTCAACTGTTTGACTTGACCCCTATGTTTCAAGTTGTCACCAATAAGTTTGACGATCAATAAATTGTAAAAATCACCCTCTCCCACCATCTGAAAGATAGAAGTCAAAATAGTACAAGCCAAGATTTCAGTCACTAAAGAGAGAGAAATCTCGTTGTTTCTTTCTGCCTCCGAGAGAACGTAGGGGAGAATTGAAGACACCTTTTCCCTTAAGTATATCTTCTCCTTTGCATTAGTGGCTTCTCCGATTGTTACTCCAGAATGAATTTTTCCCCGATCGTAGGCTTGTGCAACGGCAATATGATACTCTGAAGAATCGGCCTTGGGCAACGATGCTCTGGAGTACACTGCGTGTTCTGCTTTGACAAAGTTTTCGAAATGCTCATGGATAATGGGAAGAAGACGAGACACCACTAGTTTTGCATAGTCCACGGTCTCTAATCTCTGGCGGAGATTCTCAACCACGGATTTGAACTCAATTCGAATGTCGTCCTGGAACAAGGTGGAGGACGAGATGTGATGGAACCAGCCATCAATGAAGCACTTGATGATCAAGTTGACCAACTCGTCGATAGTTTCCGAGATGAGGAACGAGTCAGTGGTGTGTTGGTCCAACTTAGCCTTATCGGTACTTAACGATAGCACTTGGAGCTTCCATTCCTCTGGCTGCACGAACTTGAATCTGCGTAGTTTTCGCCTGTTATCGACGGGACGCTGCACGCTAAAGCTCAGTACCACGTATGCAATTCCTATGATAGCAGACGAGAACCCGATGGTGAGTACCACCCAATATATGAAGGTATATCGCAAGATATACATGAAGACCACTAGGTATAATATGGGCCATGCAAACCGTTCGAGAAGCGCATTGTGAGCCTTGTGGGTTTTGGGGTTGGAGCTGGGCTCTGCATTGAGCTCAGACATCACAACAGTAGGGCGGTAGTGTGACGATAGTACAACGGTGGTACGACTTTTGGCAGTATTACGGAGTGTCTCGTCTGTGTTTGTAGTGCGCACGATGATCATCAGTAGGAAGCGGACCGCGTTCAATAATGCCATAGTAGTTGGTCTACGTGGAACTAAATGTCTATAAACTGGAGAGCTTGTTGTCCAGCTGGCACCTCAAGCATGGGAGGTTCTAGACGATTTTTGAATGGAATCGTGTATTTTTTGGTAACGATTCTCGTTAATTATTGATTAATATTTATATTATCGTTTACAGAGGAGTCCTTGTACGGTGATCTATTATGTTGTGTGTATGAGGTTACCGGGCCTCGTTCTATGTAATCTAGTGGAAAAGTTCATTAGTCATTACGAGCCTTTTTTGGTTTCTCGACTTTGTAAGATTTTGATTGGGACGACTTGCCCTTCGACAACTTCACTTTCTCTTTCTTTTCCTTTATCTCTTTCTTCTCCTTTTTCACTTTCTTTTCCTTCTTCTCTTTCTTCTCCTTCTTCTCCTTCTTCTCCTTCTTTTCCTTCTTCTCCTTCTTTTCCTTCTTCTCTTTCTTCTCTTTCTTCTCCTTCTTCTCCTTCTTGCTCTTTTTGAATGCCCCCTCGATCTCCAGTATCACCTTGGCGGCATCCACTTTGATTTCCTTGACGGTCATGTGGTCAATCTTTTCCACGGTTCCCTTCAATCCCTCCCCCTTGATAAACATTCTGTACAAGGGCGAGGTGGCCTTCCGCACATCCCTGATCACTTGCTGCTGGTTGCTTTCAAATGAGACTCCCTTGGACCCCGAGTTCACCTCAAGGTTCTTCAACTGGCCATCAAACATTCTCTCCCACCACATGTCTGCATCGTTCTTCTCGTGCCCTAAACCCTTGGTATCCTTTTTATGTTTCACGAGAATGGGCTTCTTGATCCCGTGCTTCTGAAGGGCCTCTCCCTCTTTCCATCCATACGACTGTAAATATCCTGATGCGTTCATATCAGTTGGTCCTCTAATGATCTCGCTCTAAAGTCCCTTGGTGTCACTGAGTATGCTCAAGTTGTGTTTTCTTTAGCTTTCTTCACCTAAACTGGAGTATTTGCTCGAAGTGTACACTTCTATGATGGGATGTCTCGAGTCTCGATGGCTTATGAGATGCCATCTTGAATCCATCTCGTGCGATGCGCGCGCACGACTCGATACTTGTGGAGTTATCAGTGCTAATACCCACAACGAGAACACCCAAGTGGCATGGATGATCAAATCAAACTCACAATAAAAGCCTTGGCCCAGGAGACTACTGCTGATGTATTCAATGGCCAGAAACATGACCAATACATCGAATTGTTAAGGCTAAACAGAAAGGACAACCTTGCCGAGCTTCTCCATGCTAGGAGGGCCAAGCTTCAGCATTACACCTTGAGTAGAGAAGAGTTCACCGAATGGCTTGAAGACCTCTCGGAAATTGAGGATAATATGTCGAGGCTCGCGGAAGTCGTAGAGCTCTATGGCCTGATTCTTAAGACATACCCCACCGCACCTTACTGGAAGAACTACCTAAACTTCATATTAGAGATTGAAGATAGCGAAGTCTCGGAAGAACTGATACGGGATCTATTCACACAGGCATTGAAAGAGGTAGCAGACGACTACAAGGACGGATCCTTAGTATGGGAGATTATTCTAGAACATTTATCGAAAGATATTCCTACAACACACATCCCTCAGTCACCAGCATTCAGAATGGTTTTGGCATTGCACAAAAAGCGCTTACTGTATCCAAGCTTAAGCTTGGATGAGTCTTTCTCTCAATTCCTGTCGTTTATATCCAAGTACGACCAGGAAAATTATATCGACCATATGCGTGAAAGCACAGAAATTGTTAACCGTACCAAAAGGGCCCAAAGATACATTGAAAAGCATGAATTGGGGATTCTCAAAGACCCATCGAACCCCCAACTTTACATTGAATACTTGGAAAGCATCCATACCCATATGGATAGCTCAGATGCTGGTCCGTTGTTGAATAATGTGTTCCGTCGCTTTTTGTATAATGCTTACCCTACTCGTTCGTCTTTGCAAAACCCTTCCAAAGAGAACCTACAAGTCTGGTTGACATACATCTACTGCCTCTATGAAAGACAGCTCGATGAAGACAAAGACACGTTGGAGTTGACCGTGCTTGACTTCGTTCACACGTACCCAGAAAGTCCTATCAGTTATTCGGAGTTGATACGAAGCTGCCCTACTTCTGATGTCGGCTATGAAGTGTTCAAGCTCGGACTCCAAAGATGGGATTCAGTGAAACGAGTTGTTGAGGATGACGGCAGCTTTCAGTTCCCATACGATGAGTGGAAAGTGTTAGCTATTGCAATCTTACATTTCAGGCTTACTATAGTACAGGAAGCGAAGCAAGAGAACTCAAAAGAATACCAGCAAGAAATTAATGCCTTGTACCAGGACATTCACGCATTTGTGGACTATGCCATACTGCAAAATCATGATATTTTCCATTCGGTGGAAAAGCTCTCGATATCCATCTGTATCAAGTTAGGTAACTTGAAGACAGCCACACTGATAATTGATGAGTTGATACGCAAATTTCCAGACCAAAGTGATGTTTGGTTGTATGCTATTCAATTTCACAAAGATCAATCAATGAAGCCACAGGATATTAGTCGCATCTATTATGCTGCTGCGGAATCTGCGACAAGTGTAGAGGGGTTCGAAAAAATCGTGGAGGAGTGGCTTCAACACGAGCATGTGTTTGGAGACGTCTACTCGATTAGGAACGCAATGGTCGTTTCAAACAAACAACTCAAAAGATTGGCCGGGTTGGAGGCTGCGATTGAAGAGGATGTGACTACTCAAGTTGAAAAAGAAGTAACAAAGAAAAGAAAATTATCAGATGCTGAAGAAATACCTACAAGATCCCGTGAGACTTTCACAATTTTGGTATCTAATTTACCAATTTCGACCACCAAAGCTAATTTGGAAACATTCTTCAACGATTGTGGAGAAATACGCGATATTGTCTTGTTTCAGAATTCTAAAGCTATAGTGGAATTTTCTCATGAACAAGAAGTCTTCACTGCATTGACTAAAAACATGAAAAAACTAGATGGAAACACAATTCGTGTCGAAAGAAAATTGGAATCGACAGTCTTCGTCACCAATTATCCCCCTAGCATCAGTCAGGATAGCATCAGGAAGACTTTTAGTGAATGTGGTGACATAGTTAGCTTAAGGTTTCCTACTCAACGCTCCAACCACACAAGACGATTCTGTTACGTCGAATTTGCAACTGCAGACCAAGCTAAAAAGGCAGTTTTCATTTTCAATGGTAAGAAATTTCCTGATTCTCTTACCAAACGAGACTACGAGCTCAAAGTGGCGATTTCGCAGCCAACAAAGCTGACACATATCTCGGAAAGAAAGGTGAGATTGAACAATATTCCATTCACATACAATGAAGAAGATATCAGAAAGATTTTCCAAGATTGTGGACCAATCGAAAAGTTAATCATTCCAAGTAGCCACAGGAAAAGATCAAAAAATCAAAATAATGACGGCTTTGCATTCTTGACTTTTGAAACCGTGGAAGCTACCCAAAGGGCTCTTAACAAGAATGAGTTCCTTGTTGAAGGGAGAAAAATAGAAGTGTCAAAACAAAAATCCACAAATAAAGATGATTTCCGTGAATTCAACGATCTCAGCACTATTGGACTTGAAAATGTGAACGACACATTGACCTCGGAACAACTCAAGGCACTCCTTACAGAAGAATTTGGACCTATTTCCAGAATCAAATTGTTTCCCAAAGAAAAAGCGGCCATTGTCGAATTTGAAAGGGCCTCGGACTCTGGAAATGCCACTATGAAATCCAAATTTGAATTGGGATCGACCGAAGCCACAGTGAGGTCAAAGGCGGATATTGTGGGATTGGTTAACGGCGTATCCACCGAACACAAAAAACCCAATTTGATGGTGCCTGCATCAGTCCAGAGAAAGAGAAGAAAACAGTAAAGAGTGGCTCTCTGCTAGTTGTGATTTTTGCTCAGAAATTAGCTTTGCAGAAATCGACATCTGAGAAATCTGCATCGATAAGAACTTATTAGAAAGAACTTTCTCTATTACATAAGATCACAGAATATGAATTTTTCTGGACTGAACTTGTTTAAATACAGTCAGACACCAAATCATTTTCGCAGCCTTATTCTTCGGTTGTAGCATATCACCACTTTACTCTTTGTGCCATGGCTGCCATAGCAGCCTGGTTACTGGCATTGCTATTTCATTCTCGAAATAATACCTTTGTATTTTGTCGTGCCATCACAAGTCTTTCCTGTATAACCGTAGCTTAACCCAAATTATCAACCTCCATGGTAGTCCGTTTTTCGCTACCAATCACTGACTCATTCGCACGACCCAAAATTTTTCATCTCCATCCTACTCTACTTCTTCATCACCACCATGAGTGCCACTATCAAGTTGGAGAATACCCAGCGTAGAGATGCTTTGATCGACATCGAGAAGAAGTATCAAAAGATCTGGCAAGAAGAAAAGGCGTTCGAAATTGACCCACCCACTTTTGAAGAAGAACCTATTGAAAATGGAGCTGAATTAAGAGCCAAGCACCCTAAGTACTTCGCCACCATGGCCTACCCATACATGAACGGTGTTTTGCACGCTGGTCACAGTTTCACCTTGTCCAAGGTCGAGTTCGCCACTGGTTTCGAAAGAATGAACGGTAAGAGAGCCTTGTTCCCATTGGGTTTCCACTGTACCGGTATGCCAATTAAGGCTGCTGCTGACAAGATCAAGAGAGAAATCGAGCAGTTTGGTGAAGACTTCTCCGGTGTTCCAGCCGAGGACGAAGAGGAACCAGAGGTCAAGGTCGCTGCCAAGAAGGAGGACGTTACCAAATTTACCGCTAAGAAGTCCAAGGCTGTTGCCAAGCAAGGCAGAGGTAAGTACCAGTTCGAAATCATGTTGCAGTTGGGTATTTCCAAGGAGGAAGTCGTCAAGTTTGCCGACTCCGACTACTGGTTGCACTACTTCCCACCATTGGTCCAAAAGGACGTCACCGAATTTGGTGGTAGAGTTGATTGGAGAAGATCCATGGTCACCACCGATGCTAACCTCTACTACGATGCGTTTGTCAGATGGCAAATCAACCGTTTGAGAGACTGTGGTAAGATCAAGTTCGGTGAAAGATACACCATTTACTCCGAAAAGGACGGTCAAGCTTGTTTGGATCACGACAGACAATCGGGAGAAGGTGTCAACCCACAGGAGTACGTTGGTATCAAGATCTTGGTCAAGGAGTTTGCTCCACAAGCCCAGGAGCTCCTCAAGGCTGCCAACTTCGACTTTGCCAACAAGAAGGTGTACATGGTGGCTGCTACCTTGAGACCAGAAACCATGTACGGTCAAACCTGTTGTTTCGTTTCGCCTAAGATCGACTACGGTGTGTTCGAAGCCAAGAACGGTGAATACTACATCACCACCCAACGTGCGTTCAAGAACATGTCCTACCAAAACTTGACTCCTAAGAGAGGCTACTACGAGCCAGTTCTTGAGATCAACGGAAAGTCCTTGATCGGATCCAAGATCGAAGCTCCTTTGGCCGTCCACAAGGAATTGAGAGTCTTGCCTATGGAAACCGTCTTGGCCTCCAAGGGTACTGGTGTTGTCACCTGTGTTCCTTCCGACTCTCCAGACGATTTCGTTACCACCAGAGATTTGGCTAACAAGTCCGAGTACTACCAAATCGAGAAGGAATGGGTCCAAACCGAAATTGTCCCAATTGTTAAGACCGACAAGTACGGTGACAAGTGTGCCGAATTCTTGGTCAACGACATGAAGATCCAATCTCCAAAGGACTCTGTGCAATTGGCTGCTGCCAAGGAACTTGCCTACAAGGAGGGTTTCTACAACGGTACTTTGATTATTGGTAAGTACGCTGGCGAAAAGGTTGAAACTGCCAAGCCAAAGGTCAAGGATGATTTGGTTGCCTCTGGCCAAGCCTTCGTCTACAACGAACCAGAAGGTGTGGTTATCTCCAGATCGGGAGACGAGTGTATTGTGTCGTTAGAAGACCAATGGTACATCGACTATGGTGAAGAAACCTGGAAGGCACAGGCTTTGGAGTGCTTAGGCAACATGCAGACATTTGCCAAGGAGACCAGAAACGGTTTCGAGGGTGTTCTTGACTGGTTGAAGAACTGGGCTGTCACCAGAAACTTCGGTTTGGGTACCAGATTGCCATGGGACCAGAAGTACTTGGTGGAGTCTTTGTCGGATTCCACCGTGTACATGGCCTACTACACCATTGCCCACTACCTTCACTCTGACTACTACGGTAAGGTTCCAGGTAAGTTTAACATCAAGCCAGAACAAATGACTGACGAAGTGTTTGACTACATTTTCACCAGACGTGACGACGTCACCAGTGACATTCCAACCGAGCAATTGAAGCAGCTCAGAAGAGAGTTCGAGTACTTCTACCCTCTTGATGTCAGAGTATCTGGTAAGGACTTGATTCCAAACCACTTGACTTTCTTCATCTACTCGCACGTTGCATTATTCCCCAAGCAATACTGGCCTCAGGGTATCAGAGCTAACGGCCACTTGATGTTGAACAACGCCAAGATGTCGAAGTCCACCGGAAACTTCTTGACCTTGGAGCAAATTGTCAAGAAGTTCGGTGCCGACGCCTCCAGAATCGCATTGGCTGATGCTGGTGACACCGTTGAAGACGCCAACTTCGACGAAGCCAACGCCAACGCCGCCATCTTGAGATTGACCACCTTCAAGGAATGGTGTGAGGAAATCATCAGCACCAAGGACTCGTTGAGAACCGGTTCGCTCGATAACTTCTTTGACCAAGCTTTCGAAAACGAGATGAACGACTTGATCGAGCAGACCTACGCCCACTACGAGGCCACCAACTACAAGGCTGCGTTGAAGACCGGTTTGTTCGACTTCCAGACTGCCAGAGACTACTACCGTGACTCGGTGTCTGCCAACGTCGGTATGCACCGTGACCTTGTTCTCAGGTACATCGAGACTCAAGCGTTGATGTTGGCTCCAATCGCCCCTCACTTCGCTGAGTACTTGTACAGGGAACTCTTGGGCCACCAGGAGTCTGTCCAGAACGTCAAGTTCCCCAGAGCCAACAAGGAGATCTCCAAGGCCACATCCGACGCCTTGGCGTATGTGCGTGACTTAGCCAGATCCATCCGTGAAGCTGAAGCCAACGTGTTGAAGAAGAAGAAGGGAGGCAAGCCATCGGACGTGGATGTGACCAAGCCTGCCAAGTTGACGATGTACGTGTCCAAGTCGTTCCCTGAATGGCAAGACAACTACATCGAGATTGTCCGTGAATTGTACGAGGCCCACTCGTTGGACGACAACAAGGTCATCAAGCAGAAGGTTGGCAAGGACATGAAGAGAGCCATGCCGTTCATCTCGCTCTTGAAGCAGAGATTGGCCACCGAGGACGCTGCCACCGTGTTCAACAGAAAGCTCACCTTCAGCGAAACCGACACCTTGAAGGCCGTCAAGGCCAACATCCAGAGAGCCACTTACTCCATCAAGGTCGAGGACATCGAGATCATCGAGTTTGACAACGGCTCTTCCGACGGTGTCAACGTCATCACCGGCGAGGCCGTCAAGATTGGCATCACCGGTAAGATCGTGGACTCTGCCATTCCAGGAGACCCTGGTATTATGATCAACAACATTTAGATAGCTACGCGTGGGTTGAATAAGATGTATAAAGTGATAAACCGTGTAGGATTTACAGATGACATACGGAATGTACAAGTAGAACTGTTTGAATAGCAGCAATAGACAATCCCTGGCCTATTGGCTCCTGAGTCCTTATCTTGACCTCTTATCCCTTGTTCATTGTGCTGAAGGTCGCACCGCCCTCCGACATTCCTCCACCAATTTGGGCAATGTCGTGGCCAACAGTTTTTACCCTCCACCCATACAGGAACTACAAACCATCAACACACCAGTTTTAGCCACCAGATCCCGTTGGCCGTCCGAACCCCACGCACGCCACAGCCACTCTCTCCCGTGTTTAGTTTACCACGGCCAAAACACGCTCCGGCCTTCCAGACCCTGACCTCGCCGTACACAACCTAGCGGAGTGTGGACCTTCCCAGCCATACCCAATCCAAAAGCCACCAGGCACACCATCCACCCAAAAGTTCTCCTTCCTCCCAACCACACCTATCATGACCAGAGGAAAACTGCCCCTGGTGTTTCCGTTGCAGGAAAGTGTGCCCAAGTTCGAGTTCGAAAACGAAAACCTCCAAGGTAAGCTCTGTGACGTCTGGCTCCAGAACGAGTACCAGAAACTCTCCATCAGAAACGAACCAAGGGAGAACAGGAAAAGGTACCGCACAGGAACCAACATGGCCAACGATGGTACGTCGTATGACAAGGAAAGCACCGAATCCGGCGACGACATGTTGATATCTGACACAGACTGCAACAGCCAAAGCTCGGTCGTTTTGAGCTTCTACAGAGAAAGAGACGGTCTAGTACATCCGCCTAAAAGAAGACTTACCACCAACGAAGAAGGGAGTGTTAGCACCATAGGCTTGAACAACTGCAACAAGGCAGGATGCCCCTCAGCCGGTGCCTGTGGAGGCAACTGTGCCGATAACAATGGAGCCAACATCATTCTGGTAGCAACAGCCCCAATCACCGTTAATGCCAACATAAACTCAAACAATCCGCGTACTCCAAATTCTCCTTCTCCTTCTACCCCAGATTTTGAACCTCAACAATTACCACTTCCATCCCCAAGCGCATCTCCTGTCTCGGGTGACAATACCAAGCCTCCATACAATCCTATTGAGTCACAGTTGATACCCCCATCGACCCAAGGGGAATTAATAGACATGATGCTTAACCTTTCAAACTATCTTTCAGACAGAAACCAAAACCATTTGATTTTCAAACTTCTTCAAAATGTGAATCGTTCTTCCTTGAGTTCGCTCAACGGTATTATTGATCACAGTTTGAGAAGGGATTTGATTAGTAACTTGCCATTGGAATTAACGTACAAAATCTTGTCATACCTAGACTATAAAACTTTACTTTCAATCTCAAGGGTATGTAAAAGTTGGTCGAAAATTATTAACAACACAAATATTTGGGTGAATCTTCTTAAGAAGGACAAGTTAATTACTGATGATAAAGTGATCCAACAGGAGTTGACTAACCCTGATCAAAATTTGAATGAATGGAGCTCAGACTCGACCAAATTCAATCTTGCACAGATTCTTTACAAAAAGAGATGTATTATTTACAACCGTTGGATGAAGCCAAGTTATATACCAAAGAGAATTAGTGTGAAATGTCCAAGTAGCAAGGTGGTCACCTGCTTACAGCATGATGATGAGAAGATAATAACCGGTATCGATGACAAGCCGATCAATATTTACAGCTCCAAGACTGGAAAACTCTTGAAAGTATTGGAGGGGCATGAAGGAGGTGTTTGGGCTTTGAAGTATACTGGTAATACTTTGGTGACAGGTTCCACAGACAGAACTATTCGATTATGGAACATCGCTACTGGAAAGTGCACCCACATCTTCAGAGGACATACATCAACCATCAGATGTTTGGATATCATTCATCCGACTGTAATAGGCAAAGATGAGAATGGTGTAGATATTACCTTTCCTGAATTTCCATTACTTATCACAGGTTCTAGAGACCACAATATTCATGTCTGGAAATTACCGTTGAGTGATGGGGAGGAAGCAAATGATGACGACGCCCCATTTGACTGCAATGAGGTAGATAATCCTTATTTGATTGCTATTTTATCAGGACATACTCAGGCAGTAAGAACCATCACCGGTTATGGAAATATCATAATATCAGGATCGTACGACTCAACAGTTAGAGTGTGGGACTTGCTCAACAATGGTACATGCAAACATGTTCTTTCAGAGCATAGTGATAAGGTATACTCGATAGCGATGGACTTTGAATCGAAATTGTGTTACTCAGCATCAATGGATCATACAATTAATGTATGGAATTTCGAGCATGGTAAGTTGGTCAACACATTAGAAGGGCATACTTCATTAGTGGGGCTTGTCGAGTTAGTAGATGGAGTCTTAGTCTCAGGAGCAGCAGACACTTCTTTAAGAATCTGGGATCCTAAATCTGGAGAGAATTATTTCAAGCTCGAGGGACATTCAAATTCTATCACCTGTTTCAAGCATGATGGTCTTAGAATTGTCAGTGGAAGTGAACGCATGCTAAAATTATGGGATACCAAAAAAGGTAAGTTTACCAGAGACTTATTAAATGATGTTTCGGGTAATATTTGGCAGGTCAGCATCAATTACAAAAGATGTATTGCAGCTATTCAAAGATTCAATAGTCAAGGAGAAGATGAAGCTTACATCGAGATCTTGGACTTCAGCGAATCCCCCAAGGCCATTGAAACGCCACAAGAGTTTGAAATGGAGTAATCAGACCATACCTTGCATCCTCCCTTCACTTGCTACTAATTGCTATTAACTGGCACCTTCACTTCTCTACATACCAATTTGTAATTTGTACTAGTTTATCGCATTAATATTACATATTATCTATGGTTGACTTCCAGAAGACAACTTTATGCCTCGCATATTGAGTGGTTATTCGTCTAGCATATAAAGCTTTCTCAACTTATTCAACTTTTCAATGCCCTCATTAATATCAAACGACTTTCGTCTCTTTGCCAGCGACTCAGTACAATCCATGCTTAAGTCCTCATCTGCCTGAACGTATTCACCATTAGGGCCAATATTGGACTTGGAATTCAAAAACATATCGTGGAAATACTGGTGAATTTTTAGGTCGGAGTTAACTTCTGAAGTAGTCATTCTATGGACATTACAACACCAATCCTTATGCTCTGTGTATGGATTAAATTTCACTGTCTCTTCATGCTGTTCATCTTGATATCCCGGGAGCTGTGGGTTTGGTATAGGATATTTACAAGGTGTCAAGATCTTGGACGAAGACAAATGGAGATATGGTTGAGGAGACTCAAATGAATGGAGGTTAGTGCTGGCTGCATCTATGGAATGGTGAGGAGCAGAATATGCGTGTAACTGACCAACATTGACTGACGAATGCTTTTCCAAATTCAAAAATATTCTTTGATTACACTTATTACAAATAAGTAATAAGATCACTTGGTCTGAAAATGTCTGCACGTTTAAAGCCCATCCCAACATGGAAAAGGTGTAGATCCAAGAAGGAATCATTTCTAATAATATGGATAAATTTTCTTTGTTTTCTTTGAAATATCTTTGTAACAACCACTGATTGGAGATTTTCAAAAAGGCGGGATCTGCCGAGGAGGCAACAAAGGAGTCTTCGAAGTACTCCTTAAATTCTGACAAGACCACCCAATTGTCAATCAAGTTCTTGAGGTTCTTAAGATAGTCGTTTATCAAAAGCTCATTGGTGATATTGATGTACGGCCTTAAATAATAGATTCCTTCAAGGGGAGTTTCAAAATTTCTCCACGAGCAACCACTACTATGGCCATCTATGACTATTTGCTGCAAGTACTTCTGTTTAAGCAACCTGTTTAATTCTTCCTCATTTTCTGGCTCCGTTTCCTCTTCAAATGGGAATATGGTGGATGCCGATTTGGGTGACTCGCTTCCAAACTTCAAGACCAACAGTTTGTTACAGTTGGTACAAAGAAGGTGGTTCTTAGTATGGTTGGTGATGGAGAATGAAAGACATTTCCATCCGTTTCTGGCACATTTGAGCTCGTTCAAGCCGTCGTCCTCTTCCGGTACATGCCAGTTCATCGGGGTGAAACTTCTCAACCTGACTAAAAGCTGCTCATGATTATAAGGATCGAAAACAGTCATTTTAGATTGTATCTTGTCCACGATTCTGCCATGTAGCTTGGATTTGTGGTATGTGAAGTGATTTTTCGCTTTCACTCTTTGGAAGTATTGGATATCTGGGTGTTTGGAACGAGATGTCTGAGGGGTGGCAGTCCTAGAAGCAGAGGGTAAAGGGGAAGCCTTCTTTGGTGTATTTATTATATCAATGTAATCCTTGAGAACCTGTGAAGTTGAGGGAGTATTTGACATTGGTGTGGTGCCGTAGATGGGACTGTGGTTCATGTGACCATAATATATGAGGGGTCACGTGCGCCATACATGTTCTGGTAGATCTCCGAGAGGATCTAGAAAACGCACTAGTGGGGCTTTGGAAGAGTGAATTCTGTGGCAGCGCTCGAGGCCCAGCAGCACACTACATGGAGCCCATTTCGGCCAGAAGCTACTTCGGCTCTAGTATCGTATTCCCAGCCCTCCCATTAATTTGTGAAGTTGTCGTAAATCTTCATTTCATATTTTGGTATTGCGTAGGCGAAAGGATCGGCCTTCGAAGTGCACCGATTGTTTCGGGATCATAATGCAGTTCTGAAATCTTACGCTAATTATCAAATTCGGTTGAGTGGGGATTTCTACGTATTCGCACTGAAGTGCTACCCAACTCGGCTCTAGGCTTGTATGTTCCAGACCTGAACTACTAAAGGATTTCTAGACTAGCAAGAAATTAGAGATTTGGTGAGCCGTGCACGCTTTTAAAATCCCACAAGCGTACTATGAAACTTCTTAGAGATCGCTCTAAATGCTAGGGCTAGAGCTATAAACTCTCTGGTTGGTGTTGGAGGATGCTCCATCAAAGGGTTATTTGCCCTAACCATCGATTTGGCCTTTATCGTAGCGAGAAAAATGAAGACTCACGTGATGCGTCTATATCGTCCACTTTTCAGCGTTCCCGAACTGATGAACTCACCATCCACACCATGTCGAAAAGACCAACGTTAGAAGAAGTCGATGATGACATCGATAACATGGACATGGACATCGCTGAGTTCGACCCCAGCTTAAGAACTCCAGTGGCTCCATTGAGGCCCCAACCACAAGTGACCAGATCCCAAGATCAAGAGTTTGGTAACTTCCCTATTCCACCCAACATGCAACCAACCCCAGCCCAAAACCAACAAGTAAGAAAGAATGATATAGTCGATCCAAAGGATTTCTCGCAAGAAGAGCGTGAACAGTTGCAAAGGTTTCAAATCATCTACCCCTGCTACTTCGATGTTCAAAGATCACATAAAGAAGGTAGAAGAGTCAGCGAAAAGAATGCTGTGTTCAACCCTTTGGCCAAAACCATATCCGATGCATGTAGAGCTTTGAAGTTGCCTGTTCTCTTGGAGTTGGACAAAACACATCCCCAAGACTTCGGTAACCCAGGAAGAGTCAGAGTGATGATCAAAGATAGCAAGGCTGGTGGAAAAGTGGTTGACCCAAGATTCCAAAATAAGAGGTTGTTGTTGAATACCATCGCAGCATATTTGAAAGACCACCCCACAACCTTGGCCAGTATTGGACCAAAGAGTGGAATTGCACTTCCTCCTGAATTTGAACACGGGTTTGAAGCTGAGGAGATTCCCCAAGTCAGAGGTTTTAAGATGAACTCGATCGTGCCGGTGCACTCTAACTTCACTCTCAAGCATCCTATGACCAAGTCTATTTACGACCCAGAACCAGAAGAACCTCAGTATAAGGCACCAATTGCACCAAAGCAGCCAAAGAAGAAGGTCATGAAGATCAGGGGTTAATTACAAGTCCGGTTTTTTCTGCAAGCACAGCAGAACTAGGAGTTGGCCCACGAATCATTCGCTCTACGCAATTACGATTTGTATAGTATCAATTATATGTTGTAGTAACGCAACTACTTTGGAGCATACTTGTTTCTGTAGTTCTTGATTTGCTCGATCTCAGCTGGGCTGATCTTATCGTTCAAATGGTTGATAATATCAGTCAAGGAAACAATCGAGATGACAGGGATGCCGTACTTAGCGGAGACGGCCTGGGTAGCAGACTTTTCAGAATCCTTGGTGGTCTCTTGTCTGTCCAAGGCAATGATGGTACCAACAACTGTTCCCTTTTCGTTGGCAATAATCTCAAATGCTTCGTTAATGGCAGTACCAGCAGTCATTACATCGTCAATAATCAAGATCTTTTTGCCGGACAACTCACATCCAACGATGGAGCCCCCCTCCCCGTGGTCTTTCTTTTCCTTTCTGTTGAAGGAATAACCGACGTTACCGTAGTTTTCTGGGTCCAATTCGGCCAACTTGGCCACGGTGATGGCAGTTAATGGAATACCCTTGTAGGCAGGACCGAATAACACATCAAACTTGAGGCCAGACTTGATAATGGCATTGGCGTAGGAAGTTGCCAACGTAGACAACAACTTACCTGTGTTGAAGAAACCTAAGTTGAAGAAGTATGGTGACTCACGTCCTGACTTCAACACGAAAGTGCCAAACTTCAAGGCCTTGGATTCCAAGGCAAGGTCTAAGAAATCGGTTTGGTAGGATTGCATGGTGGGCTTACAGTTCCTGTCTGTTCTTAAAAGTGTGGAGCTCTTAAGAATAGAAGGAGAAGAGGAGAAAGAAAGAGAGAGAAGAGAGAAAAATATCGTTGATAAAAGTTGATGAGATATTTGGCGAAATTTTTGGCTTACGTAATCGTTCTGGTGGAGGAATAGAGGAGAGCTGAAGGATGATAAAGAGCAACTGGGTCAGAGGAAACACCACACATTGGTGAGTAGGAGTAGGAATATCTTGGTTAGGACCTGTCGGGCCTGGCCCAGTTCGAGGAAAAATTCGGAGACTTTCAATAAGGGTAACCTTCTCCAAACCCCACAAATACAGAAATAGTCAAGAGGGTGATTGAGAGACTCTGTAAATGACAGCAGAGGCGACGCAATCCCAATCTTGCTCAAATGTGGTTCTTTCTTATTGATCTCTGTCACAAATCTCAGTCCAGTCCATGAATTCTTGTCACCGAAAGTTAACAAAATCATGCCCATTTGGTTTATATCATAGGACTTGGTCAATATGGATTGAATCGATTAAAATATACCTAAAACACTTTCATTCTTTAAAAACCCAAATTGAAAATTACACCTCCGAGTTACAGCCGCATCAACATACCCAAATTTGGGCTAAGCACTGCTTGCTGCTTGCATGGCTGTCAATTCTAAGTATGCTGTACAATATGGTACTCAGAATTTACCCAACAAGACCTGCTCCCCAAAATGGTATTATCTTCTTAGTTGAACTGCCACTGCCTTTCTGAAGCGTGCCCAACATCAGATGCTGCGTCTGTCACACGACTCGAGTGGACAGAGTGGATAGTCACAACAACCACCCAGCAGCCTAAATAGCCCCGGTATCTATCTTCCAGGAAAATAAGGCTGTAATTTATAGACACCAATGCCAATTGCTACAAATTTCTTTCGTGGCTCTTTGCGTAGCCTCTGAGGGATAGAAGTCGCTGCTTACGGCAATACAATAGTAGTTTCCTCGAGGCATGTCTATGTTGTGTAGCCCCTTCAGCCACCTTCGCCACCTTCGCTTATCCTTGTTAGGGATCCATCTACGAACGCCAGCATCCAGGAAGTATTCAAAAAGCACCGGATTTTGCAAAGTCTTTGGTTTTCACAATCGTCGATGTATGCAAAATGTTTGAATCAGTCGTAAAACAAAATGGCACAGTGCCGCACCAAACCCCACTTCGTATCTGTGAGCGCATTGAACCAGAAGATACGTCATACGTAAGCATCTGATTTAGGACCTTTCCCTTCCCTGTTCCTGAATGTACTCTCACAATCAACATTTACCATAGCGCGGGTTTGTATTTTGAGGGATTTATGACAATAAATATTCTGTCACATTAAAATAGCGCACCAAATTTTGCAATCTTGTGCTGCGGCTGAGGACTGATTGAGGCCTAGCAACAAGCATAGAATTAAATATTGCACGTAATGTTTTAGATTTACCAATGGAATAATTCCCTCAGGCATACCACAGACGTGCGGTTGCAAATTTCCTGACACTATCGGTAACTATGAGGTTGTGAGTGTAACCCGCCAAAAACAGACAGTCAGTGTAGGTTGGGGCATGGCCATTGGTGTTCTCACAATGCCCGTTTAATTGAATGGCGCCGTAGAGCACATGGTGCTGTAAATCAGCTGCTAATTTGAGATGTTTTGGAGCTGGTATAAATTCTTGATCATCCCCGTCTTGCTTCAATCTTCAGCTAACAATCGTCAAGCCAGAGACCAGAAAAATGGAACCAACCCCAACTTACTCGGACGCCTCTACCACCAAGTTTGATGATGACAATTCTGCCATCATCACCACTGAGGAAAAAATTAGATTCGAGGATGACTTGGAAACCGGTCGTTCTACCACTAGACGCAAGAGGAGATTCTCGATACACAGCAGAGAGAGCAAAAACACCATTTTCACCATCAATGAAAAAGCTCAGCCTGAAGCGGTTCTTCCTGGTATCTTCAAAACAATTTCTCACAAGGTTGACAATGATCTTGAGAAAGAAGTTAACTTAGACATCAACAGTACTCCTAACAAGTTCTCCAAGGTTGACTTTCATACCACATCTGCCTCCACAATTGCTCAGAGGTTCGGATCCAGTACTTCATACGGTTTGTCCGACTCTCAAAAGGAGAAGTCCTTTAAGGAATACGGTCCAAATCTTCAATCGAAGCCCCCTTCAGGTATGGCAAAAAAAATATTCATGCACTTCTTTGGTGGTTTTGGTGGTTTACTTGTGACTGGTGGTGTTTTATGTTGCGTTTGTTGGAAGCCATTGGGTTCGCCTCCAGCAATTTCCAACTTGATCCTAGGTATTATACTATTTGTGGTCTTCTTTGCACAAGCTTTATTCAACTTTTTCCAAGATTTCTCGAGTTCGAGAGTTATGGATTCTATTCACAACATGATTCCTACTGAATGCTCTGTTATCAGAAATGGGCAAACTCTCAAAATTGACTCCAAAGATTTGGTTCCTGGTGATCTTGTACTTTTCACTGCTGGTGACAAGATACCTGCCGATATTAGAGTGACTGATGCTTCACCTGATTTATCTTTCGATAGATCAATTTTAACCGGTGAATCCAACCCTATTCCTGCTAGTTCCAATAGCGATCCGGAGAAAACCAACTACTTGGAAAGCAATAGCATTGCTATGCAGGGTACTTTCGGTGTCAATGGCTCTGGTCGTGGTATTGTGGTTGCAACCGGTGACAACACCATTTTCGGAAGTATCGCCAAATTAACTTCCAAGCCAAAGAAAGGATTGACACCATTACAATATGAAATCGTTAGGTTTGTGGCTTTAACGAGCACAATTATCATCGCATTGGTTGTTTTGGTCGTAATTCTTTGGGCTGCCTGGTTGCGCAAGAGCTATCCTGACTGGATCAATGTGCCTTCATTGATTGTTGATATCGTCTCGATTGCTGTTGCGTTTATTCCAGAGGGTTTACCAATTGCTTTGACCACTTGTTTAATTATTACAGCCAACCAAATGAGGAAGAATAAGATTTTGTGCAAATCTTTGTCTGTTGTTGAAACTTTGGGATCTATTAGCGTGTTGTGTTTCGATAAAACCGGAACCTTGACAAAAAACGCTATGGTTGTTACCAATGTCTGCGATGGTTTACAAGAACTTGATATCGACGAGGTAGATCCCCACAGACCAATTGATAATCACTTGATTACAATCGCTTCGCTATGCACCGAGGCTAATATTGTTGCAGAAGTTGCAACCAACGGCAATGCCACCGATCGTGCTATCCTTCAATTCGCTCATAACTCCAGTGGTTCTGTTGATGCATACAAGAACAGATGGAATAAGACTTTTGAAGTTGCCTTCAACTCCAAAGAAAAGTATATGGCTACTTTGTTGGAACCTAGTAGTCAAGAAGCCGACATTTGGAATGACATTGGATTCAATGCAAACTGTATCGAGTTCGAAAACGAATATTTATTAACTGTCAAAGGTGCTCCTGATATTTTGTTGGAAAATTGTGGATTTGTTATGGAGAAGAATAATACTTTAACTGTTTTGAGTCAGGAATCAAAGCAACATATCGAGAAAATCCAACACAACTGGTCAAGAAATGGTAAGAGAGTCGTCATGATGGCTTCCAAATTAATACCAAAAGATTCATTGAATTTGTCTGATAGATTGGAAACAGTGAAATTGATCAGGGAAGCTGTTAAAAGCGATTTGATTTTGGTTGGTTTAGTTGGTATAGAAGATCCACCAAGAAAAGATATCGATAAAGTTATCAACCAGTTGAGAGAAGCTGGTATAAAGATTATCATGATTACCGGTGATTTTGAGTTGACTGGTTTATCTATTGCTAAACAATGTGGAATTGTCACCACTGATAAGGTTGACTCTGTGGACGACTTGTCATATGAGTTAATTGAAAATGTTGATGATAATTCGAGGGCTATAAGTATTACTGGTCCACAGTTAAAACGGGTTAGTGAGGAGCAATGGCAAAACTTAATCCAGTACAACGAGCTAGTTTTCACCAGAACTACTCCAGAGCAAAAGCTTTTGATTATCAAACAATTCCAAAAGTACAAGCAAATCATTGGTATGACTGGTGATGGTATTAATGATGCCCCATCTTTGAAACAAGCTGATGTTGGTATTTCAATCATCACAGCTTCCGATATTGCCAAAGAAGCTGCCGATCTCATTTTAATGGATGGTGACAACGAAGACCACTTATTCTTTAGCATCATTCAGGCTTTGAAGTACGGAAGATTGGTGTTTGAAAACCTTAAGAAAACCATTGGTTACTTATTACCAGCAGGCACCTATGCAGAACTCTGGCCTGTGTTGTTGAACGTCATCTTTGGTATGCCCCAGATGTTATCCTCATTCTGTATGATTATCATCTGTTGTGTGACTGATTGTTTGGGGGCAATGATGTTGGCATACGAAGAAGACGAGAGAAACTTGTTGAAGAAGAAGCCAAGAAGTGTTACCAAGGAGAGATTGGTTGACTTTAAATTATTCTTGCATTCCTACTTCACCATTGGAACATTTTATACCTTCACATCAATGATGTTGGCTTTCATCAACATGCAGAGAAGTGGAGTATCTTTCAGCAAGCTCACATTGTCGTACGGTTCGTACAGTACCATTCCTGGAGTCAGCGATGCTATCAACGTCTCGTCGTCTATTTACTTCAATAACTTGGTGATCATGCAGCTCTTCAACTTGTTATCCATGAGAACTAGATACTTGAGTGTGTTCCAACACTCGCCTTTGAGAAACTACCGGTTATTTGTTATCATGCCAATAGCATTTGGTGTGACCTTCATCATAAATTATATTCCTGCCATCCAGACTACCCTTGGCTCCGGAAAAGTGCCTGTCGAATACTATTTCATCTCGCTTGGTTTTGGATTGGTTGTCTTAATATATGACGAGTTGAGGAAGTTGGCCAACAGAAGATATCCCAGCGGGCCTCTCGCCAAGATCGCCTGGTAGTTTATAGATTAATACATGAGGTGTATCTCGAATGGTAAAATAACGGCGGGTGAATGCTCCGAATATGGGCCCCAAAAGTTGAGACTAGACAAAGCAATCTAGTCAATTATATCGTGAAGTAACACACGCATTGAGGTATAGATTCCTGGAATTTTATCGATTCGAAATCGAAAGATATGTATCTTACCATCTGGGCCAGAACCGAGCCGCCCAATTCTTCAATATCCGATTGCACCTGAACCTACTACGAAAGCCTTGACGTTCTTGATAATTTGTGGAAGTCCTTATCAAAACAGCGATCTGTCGGTCAAAAGTTCCCTTCGTTTCTTGATAATTTGATCAATGTAGAGTCATTGCTCTGGCAAGCCAATTCTTCACTTGTCGATTGAGTGGAAATCTGCTTGATAAGCCAAAACCTTGGTGGCATCATCCTCGTGATATGATCTTGTAAAGCTACCGAAGTATGATGAAGGGTAGGCCCGTGCAATTGGAATTAATGATAAGAATATGTGTCTCCCAAGAGTATTCAAGTCAAGCTGTGAAAAGTGATGAGAAGTGGTTTACAATTTGTCCACTCCTGTTATGTGAATTTGTAGTTCAAGCCACCACTAACTCCAATACTGTCCAGACATCTTCAAACGATGAATTCGTGGAGCAGGTCACCCAGATCGTGAGCACCAACGACAATTGCCCCAGAAAGGACTCTATGCATCCTAGCCTCTGAAGGACACCACTGTGGTGCACTCCACGACACCAGCGAGAACATCATGGCCAAGTCAAGCAGTGGAAGCGGTACGGACGCTAGTATTCATTTGTGGAGACGAGTTGATCCATTGTGTGTCAGGTAGACCTGTTTCACCATGACATTCGATTGGCAGTGTGAGTCCATCACTGGTTTGATGTACTTGGGCTGATGGACCGATTGACGGCTGGTGAGCTATTTCAAACGCCGATTAGCCTTGGTCAGATTGCGAGGATCTGGTGGCATAGCGAGCTCTCATGAGATAATGCATTGGGTCAGCCTCCGTTATTTTCATGGGGCATAATATTATTAGCCCCACCCTGCATCTCGGGGGAGCCAAATGTGGAACCATCGGCTCCTAGCCACTGTTTTCAGTCCTAGACACACGAGTGGCTGGTGGCGTGGTGTCAAGTGGCGGGAATCGTCTCACCCACACCAGGCAATCCGCCTCTTCACTGTGGTGTCAGTGGCATCCAGTGGCCCCTGTTCTTTGCACTATCGCCCTGCATTCGCCAGTGCCTCCGCGAAACCCAACACCGCCAAAAATATGCTATTTCTCCGGCCCCACTGGTGGGGAAATACCCCAGCCAGCCAGTTCTGGCCGGTGGACCTCTCGCTAGCTGGTGGGAGAGGTCATTTCCGCTTCCAGGCTGCCCCTGAGCCACCCACCTGGCCACACCGGACAACTGCCGCCCATGGCGTGACAATGACTTGTCGTCGCTCGCGAGCAACTGGCCAAATGCTGCAAATTGTTGCTTTTCACCACTACGAAGACTCGTACAGCCAGAAACACGTCCCAATACCGATCCGTCCGCCATGCTACCCCCACATGGCTACCTCATGGCTACCCCATACCTATCCTCAGCTGGCCCCAGCGTACCCCACACACCCATCGCCTCCTCCAATAAGCGCCCCTCCCTACGATCCCCCTGGGCGCATTCGCTGCATGGTCGCCCCAGATGCCGGCAGTGCGCACGACCCGTGGTGTGGTGATGTTGCGGTGGGGAGGAAGCGCCCTCCCATCAGTTAAAAGGGCCCTATTGTCTCACTCGTCAAAACCGACCCAGCTAAGGACACTCCAGCGGAACCACCCAATTGACCACGACCCAGACCCCTGCCCTGTCAATCATGTCTGCCTCGATCCAAACCGTCCCCACCACCGCCTTCCACGACCAGAAGCCTGGTACCTCTGGCTTGAGAAAGAAGGTCACCGTGTTCAAGCAACAGCACTACACGGAAAACTTCATTCAAGCCATCTTGGATGCCATTCCCGAAGGCTCCCAGGACGCCACCCTCGTGGTCGGCGGTGACGGTAGATACTACAACGACCATGTCATCCAGTTGATCATCAAGATCGCAGCCGGAAACGGTGTCAAGAAGCTCATCATCGGTCAGGACGGCTTGCTTTCCACCCCTGCCACCTCCCACATCATCCGTATCAAGAGCGCTACCGGTGGTATCATTTTGACTGCCAGTCACAACCCCGGTGGCCCAGAAAACGACTTGGGTATCAAGTACAACTTGGGTAACGGTGGCCCTGCCCCAGAGTCCATCACCGACAAAATCTACGAATTCTCTACCAAGTTGACCCACTACAAGTTGGTTGACTTAGACGAAGTCGACATAGGAAAAATCGGCACTGTCCAAGCTGGTCCCCTCGAGATCGAAATCATTGACCCCGTCCAGGACTACGTCGACATGTTGAAGGAGATCTTCGACTTCCCTCTCATGAAGTCTTTTGTTCAAAAGGTCAAGGCCCAGAACTTCAAGGTGTTGTTCGATGCCTTGAACGGTATCACTGGTCCATACGGCCGCAGAGTCTTTGTCGATGAATTGGGCTTATCCGAAGATTCTGTTCAAAACTCCAAGCCATTGCCAGATTTCGGTGGTTTGCACCCAGATCCAAACTTGACCTACGCCCACACTTTGGTAGAAAGAGTGGATAAGGAGGGCATTGCCTTTGGTGCAGCTTCTGATGGTGATGGTGACAGAAATATGATTTACGGTGCTGGTACCTTCGTTTCTCCAGGTGACTCTGTTGCTATCATTGCCGAATACGCCGACTCTATCCCATACTTCAAGAAACAAGGTGTTTACGGTTTGGCTAGATCCATGCCAACCTCTGGGGCCATTGACTTAGTTGCAAAGGCAAAGGGCCTCCAAGTTTACGAAGTGCCAACTGGATGGAAGTTCTTTTGCTCGTTGTTTGATGCCAAGAAGTTGAGCATTTGTGGTGAAGAATCTTTCGGTACTGGTTCCAACCACATCAGAGAAAAGGATGGTTTATGGGCTATTGTTGCTTGGTTAAATGTTTTGGCTGATTACCACCAAAAGAACCCCGACTCTCCAACCTCCATCAAAGTTGTCCAAAACTCGTTCTGGGAAAAATACGGTAGAACCTTCTTCACTAGATACGATTACGAAAACGTTTCTGGGGAAGGTGCTCAAAAGGTCATAGATTTGTTAACCGATGTGGTGAACAACAAGAAGCAAGGAGACGAGTTAGCCCCAGGCTACGTGATCAAGGAAGCTGACAATTTCTCATACACTGACTTGGACGGAAGTGTTTCCAAGAACCAAGGTCTTTTCGTCAGATTTGAAAGCGGGTTGCGCTTCATCGTCAGATTATCTGGAACTGGTTCCTCTGGTGCCACTGTCAGATTATACTTGGAGAAGTACTCCGACGACAAATCCACCTACCAAAAGAAGGTGGATGACTTCTTGGCTGATGATGTCAAGTTTGTGTTAGACTTATTGAAGTTCAAGGAACTGTTGGGCAGAGATGAACCAGATGTCCGTACCTAAATTATTTAGTTTCTAGTGTACCTTAAATCTATCTTAACTTTTATTGAATCTAAAATCAGTGTAATGTACAATTAGCAAACCTATCTATATAACGGCTAAAAAAACCTTCACATTAGTAATATCACAATTTAAATAAATGTAACAGTATCATGGTTTATCTCCCATATACTGCTTGGACCAGTAATAAATAAAACCGTATCATGAATCATAAACTAACCAAGCTTTGGCTTCTTGGACTCGTCTTCCCCATATCCGGAGCCAGCAGACTCGTCGTGCTCTCTCTTGAGTGAAGGCAAGGTAATTCCACTACCTGAGGATGAAGGTGGAAGTGATGACGAAGGCACCTGCCTGAGCGAAGGAAGAACGGTGCTGTGATGGGCTGTATGTGGAGGTTGGTGAGCTTGATGAAGTTGCTGAATATTACTATGATGTTGGTAGCCAGCAAGACCAGAAGATGGAGGTGGCAAAGCAGACCCTGAGGATCCTGGAGCGCTGACGTTTGAGGTAGCTGCTACCGATGCAGTAGCAGAAGCAACGCTACCAGAGGGGGGTAATGGAGTGGAAGAATGATACGAGCTGGTGCTGGCGACTGTGGGAGCCGCTTGTGCTTGAGGGTTGTTGTTCAAGTTCAACACCTCGTCCAACCTCTTTTTCATCGAGTTTTCTCTCAATCTAGCTGCCTGTTCCATTGCTTCCAATTCCATTATTCTGGTTCTGTACAAGTCATTGACGAGCTCAAGCTCCGATATTCTAGTCTTCAAGAGGGTGATTTCGTTGTTGCTGCTGTTATTGGAAGTACCGTTGGAGCCTGGGGCTCCAGAACCGGACCCGGACCCGGACCCCGAGCCAGGCGCCGAGCCACCCTTGTCTGAGCCGCTGTTTTCGTTGGAGTTGCCCTTGTTGTCGTTGCTGTTGTAACCATTGTATCCGTTGGACTGGTTGTTGGAGTTTTGGTAGTTGAAGTTGTTTTGGAAATGGGGCAACGAGCCCTTACTTTCACCTGCAACTTGGTTGATGGGTGGAAGCGAGGTGGTACCGTTGGTGGAGTTTGTGGATGATGCAACCGTGCTGGCGTGGGAGATTTCCGGCGAGTGGACCTGGGAGATGGCAGGCGTGGACGCCTGGGAGCCCTGCTGAGAGCCCAAGTGGAACTGAGGCCCAAATGAGGGCGACGAGATCCCGAGTGCTGGCAACTTAGGGGCAGCGTTGACGTTGCTGGTATAATGCGAGGCACTAAGAGCCGATGAAGGGGTCGAGAAGATCGAGGGCGAAGACGTTTCGCGCTTGATTTCCGTGGCCTTCGATTTGTTCATCAACGACACTCCACTCACGTTGCTTGCACCGCTCTTGAAAGTCGCACTGGGGCCCAATTCGTTGGACATGTTCTCCAAGGCTCCCGCGGCCGCGTGCACTGGGTTCAACTTCTCGGAGTCTCTGGTGTTGGAGACAGACGAGGTGGTGGAAAGAAGCAAGGGCGACGTGATTCTCTGCAAGCCTGGAGCAAACTGGGTGGGGGTGGACGAAGGGTAATGCAAGGGCTGGACCACATGGTGGGGGTGGTGGTGCCCTGCAATACCAGGCACCTGGGGAGGGTTGTTGGGGGTGAGGTGTGGGGGCAAGTGGTGGTGGTGATGGTGGTGGTGGAAGGTATTGCTGATGGGGTGGAGGAATGCGCCAGACGCAGTGGCAGCCGCAGAGGGCGTAGTAGCAGTGCGCATGCTTGCGGGCGTGGAAACAGCGCTGTTGCCGTTGGAAGGAGCCGACGTGGCCGAGCTGGCGGCTGGCAACAAGGGTGTCAAGTCAGACGACGCAGGCTTGGGCTTCTTGGACTTGGGGGACTTCTTTCCTGAGCCCTTGGAGTCCTTGGACTTCAATTCGGGGGTGTTTGGTCCTGAGTTGTTCTTGGATGAGCTGGCGGTGCCTGCAGACGAGCCCGAGCCCTGGGGCTGCTGCTTGATCCTATTTCTGGACTTGATGGTGTCTGTCTTCAAGGAAATGGGTCTGGGGCGGCCGTGGAGCTTGAGGAAAAGCCCACAGGCGTTGCACAACACCTGGCCAGTTTCGTCACGTCTCCACAACGGGGTGGTCTGGGTCTTGCAATTGCGGCATATGGGGCTGGTGATGTTGGTCTTGGTTGTGGTGGTGCCGTTGTTGACGTGGGTGGTGGTTTTGGCGTTGGGATGGACGGGATTGGGCGCCACTGCCGAGTTCTGCGACTGGGCACGAGGAGGGCTGGGAAACTGGGCCTGTTGCACCTTATCGGGAGGCAGCGACACCGACTTGGGGGCCGAGGCAGCCGCTGGGTGGTGGACGGGTGCTGGCTGGGGATGCACGGGAGGAAGGCGTTGTTGGATTTCACTCATGGTGGCGGGGAATGGCAGGATGACACGGATGACAACTGGCTACTGACTCAACTGAATCGATGCTCAAGTGATTGTTCAACTGACTCAACTGGAAATGATTGATACTGTCGCTGTCTCAACTGGTCAACTGAAACTGATTACTCAACTATCTTAGTGGACTTGACGATCTGACAGTGGAACCGATAAGAGATTGGCGAGGAAGGTCCGGAAGGTCCTGGCAGGGCTGGATATTAAAGGACCACGACGGGAAAGCGAAAGACACTGGAAGCTCGATATCGCAGGTATGATAAAGATAGAGGCGGAAATCAGGTTGATAAAGATTAGAAAATTTTTTTTCACTCCAACGGCTTTGTGCGACTTGTTATCTGGGTTAGGTAAGCTACCGCATCGGGCTTAAGTAAGCGAGGGGGATTGTCGGGGGTGGGTTGCGCCCGCAGGTGCCATCGGAAAAAACTGGCCCAAACTGGCGACGCCCCAACAAGAGAGATAAGGGAGGAGTAGCGGGGCAAGGAAGGTCCTATCGAGGACTGGGGTGGGGGGACTCTGCCTGGGAAGTCTCAGGCTGGGAACGCTCGGAGTCCCAGCGTCGGGTTTGAGTGGGCCCAGCGGTGATGGCAAGTGGCCCCACGGCCAAGACCAGGGTCTGGGCGCATGGAGGCCAAGCGCCTAAACGGGAAGCGCCGAGTGCCGCACACTGCGTTGGGTTGACGTGTTGCTTCCTAACGCCCGCCCGTCACGTGCGCGCCGTTGCGGGCACATCCCAGCTTATCGCAGGCAGCCAGTCCGCGCATTATCGTGGCAGGTCCTGGCCGCGCCACGCCCCGCCCATGCTGATCCACTGATCCCGATCAGCGGTCACTACTAATCTTCCGATCTCACCACCAGTGCGGCCACGTGATACTCCTATCTTCCACCTCCATCTTCCTCCACAACCATGTCTGTCCACACCGACTACGCCAACCTCGCCAACCGCCTCATAGCAGCTTACGCGCACCAGTGCTTGGCGGCGTCCCGAGCCCAGCGCTCGCTCCGTGCTCGCTCCCACCACGACAAGAGCTTCATGCAGAGCCTCCTCAGACTCTCGTCGGTGTTGCTTCAGTACAAGTCGCCACAGGCCACCGACGCCGTGCTCGACGCAATTGACCTCGCCTCGGTGTACGCTGGCGTGGAGCGCAGAGAGTCCAGCGCTGGGAGCGACTCCTCCTTGCAGTACGACGACTTCTTGGTCCAGGAGCTCCTCCACTACTTCAAGCATTCGTTCTTCCGCTGGGTCACCAAGCCCCAGTGCCCCCAGTGCCAGGCTAGTGGCGACAATATCGTCGGTGCTGGCGCCAGGCCGTTCTCTGCCAGCCACAACCCCGACCAGGTGTCTGTGGTGGAAATGTACCACTGCACAACCTGCTCGCTCCCGGTGGAGTTTGCCAGAATCAATAACCCGTTGTCGCTCTTGCGCACCAGAGAGGGCAGGTGTGGCGAGTGGGTCAACTGCTTCCTTCTCATTCTCCACGCGGTGATCCCCCAGCCCAATCGCTTGCGATACGTCTGGAACCACGAGGATCATGTGTGGTGTGAGTACTACTCGTACGGACTCCAAAGATGGGTCCATCTTGATCCGTGCGAGGCATGCTTTGACGAGCCCCATCTCTACGCAAACAACTGGGGCAAGAAGATGAGCTTCGTGATCGGCTTCAATGACTACTACGCCATCGATCTCAGCGACAAATACATCCCTGCGTCCGCCCAGATCGACAAGCTCTCGGTGGTGTCGTCATTGAAAACCGTCACCAGCATCGTGGACCACATCAATCTGGAGAAGGTGCGCGAGTTCTTCACCTCTGACGAAACCATGAGGACACTCACCGCAGCCTCGGCCTCAAACAACACCATCCAGGCCAACGAAGAGCTCTTGCTCCATCTCTACAACAGCATCATTCTTCCCTACAACAGAGAGAGGAAGCTGGTTGTGGGTTCTGCAAAACCGTCCAAGACTTCCACCGCTGCAATAGGACGACAAACGGGAACCTCGGAGTGGACCAGGGCCCGCGGTGAGGATGGAAGTTGATCCCCTTCCTCAATAAATAGCCGTCTGGTCATCGTCGTATCTCATAATGCATTAATTAAGTATCTCATAATGAATTTACGTTAATGAACTTAAGCATCTCACCATGAATCGTATCTGGTGAGTTGACCTATCTCATAATGAATTTACATCTCTCATAATGAATTTACTTACTCATAATGCATTTCTAACTTATATTCTCGTGCCCACTAGTCCTCTTGAGACCCCTTGGAATGTCGGAACAACTTGATTCCCCACCAGGAAATAAACGACCACCACCATGCAACCACGTACACACACCATAGACTGAGTACGTATCTGTCGAGCGTTGTGAATATCTTCTCGAGCAAGAGATACTTCTCTCTGATCCCTGGCAGCGTCGATCTGGCCATAGGTGCTAGCAAGTACCTCCACGTTTCGAAGAGAGTATTGCATGTGACCATGAATAGCATCCAGGTATATGCAATAATAGCGTAGCCATAGAATTCCATGTGGGGTGAGTTGAAGATGGTTTGAGGTCTCTTGTCTTCACCGTCGTCAAGGGGGTCCTCGAAGAGCCTGGGCCTCTCTATCAAGGGTAGCGGCTCATTTATATGCATTGATGATGTTGCCTGGGTACTCCAGTTTAGTAAGGATGTTTCTCTGGACAGGGAACAGTCGGTATCAGGTGTCAGTACCAGATGTTCTCGGAAATGGTGATGTTTGTCCTGCACATAATCGGCGATAGAGCTATTCAAGTGAAGCAGTTGAAGCATCATGGCCCAGGGGCCAAGGAGGATTTTAGCTATGAATTTTTAATTAGTACAAGCAAGATAAGTAACTCTTATTGAAAATGTTGGTTTTGGTTTTACAACTTTTGTTCCAAATTTTTGGAAAAACACATTAACATGTTCATAGAGATTACTAAGATTATTATTGCTCACTTCATTAGTGCTTCACAATAGACATACAAAGTTAACCATGAGTACACATCTCAAATAAATGTGTTCCAGTTACAATATCAATACAGTTTAGCTGATTTGGTTCTGGGATGTATTAATTCTACTTTGTAGCTTTTATTTGCAGACCAGAGCTTTCTCCTTTTTTTGCTAATGGGAAGTATATTATAATCTAGTGCATATACATCTATTGTAATGGATAATACACCATTATGGTCAAAACATTTTATTTGGTTATTTGGGTTGCTGGACAGCAGGTAACAAATATGGGACCATTCAGTAGTTGAATGTTTGGACTGAAAGAAATGAGACAATTGCTTCTTAAGAGGAAACCATAGTATGGAAAGCCTTGTACTTTATTTAAAAGTGAAGGCAAAGCCTGCCAGTTGGAAAAATCGAAATAAGAATTGTTTCTGAGAGCAGGTTACTGGTGGAGAAGGGGTGTGCTTAAACCATTTTGAGGGTCGGCACCGATATAATGAATTGAATTCAAAAATTTTACACCGCAGAAACAGGTCCCTTGGCCCAGTTGGTTAAGGCGCGGTGCTAATAACGCCGAGATCAGCAGTTCGATCCTGCTAGGGACCATTTCTTCCAAGGGCGTGTGGCGTAGTTGGTAGCGCGTTCGCTTAGCATGCGAAAGGTCTCCGGTTCGACTCCGGACTCGTCCATTTTTTTGCTTTCGTTGGAGAATCAAAATTGGAACTTAATGTTAGTTCAGCTTCTTTTAGCAGATATGGCAACTACAATTTGACTATAAGATGGATATGAAATAAATACTATACACACTCAGATCACAACGTTTTGAGCTAAAGTCTTCTTGTAGTCCAAGATAGAACCTTCCCATCTGGTAGCACCCTTGTTCTCAATGACGAAAATATCCTTAGCAACCTTGTCAAGTAATCTGAAATCGTGAGAAACAACGACAACACCACCGTTGAAATCATTGATGGCATCAGCCAAGGAATCAATGGTAGCCAAATCAAGACCGTTAGTAGGTTCATCCAACAAGATCAAGTTAGGAGATTCCAAAGCAAGCAAAGCAAAAACAACTCTAGATCTTTGACCTTCACTCAAGGTGGCCATTTGGGAAGTTTGACCTTCACCGGTTAAACCATATCTACCCAATTGTTGTCTCCAGTATTGGTAATCTTGAGAAATGTTAGAGAACTTGTCACGAACGAACTCCAATGGGGTCTTGGTCAAGTCCAATTGTTCAGCAGAATGTTGGGAGTAGACACCTAACTTAATGTGAGTGTGTTGGATGACTCTACCGGCTTGTGGTTGTAATTTACCCTGGAACAATTTCAACAAGGTAGACTTACCAATACCATTTGGACCAACCAAAGCAACTCTGGAGTCCATATCAATACCGATATCCAAACCTTCATACAAGTTGTCTTCAGGGTTACCAGAGTAAGAGAAGGACATGTTGTCGAAGGCCAAAACTGGAGGTGGTAATTTTTCGACTTGTGGGAATCTGAAGGAGAAAACCTTGTCTGGGACAACAGGTTGAATCAAACCATCAGCTTCCATCTTATCCAAAATCTTTTGTCTAGACTTGGCTTGTCTAACCAAATTAGCATAAGTACCAGCAGATGCAATAAATTTCTTAATATGAGCGATTTCTTCTTGTTGTTTGTTGTATTGTTTCATTTGATTGGTTTCCAATTCAGCTCTGGTCTTGACATAAGAATCGTAGTTACCACCGTATAATTGCAATTCCTTCATTCTCATATCAATCATGTTGCTACAGACACCGTTCAAGAAATCCTGGGAGTGAGAAACCAAAATCAAAATTCTGTCGAATCTCTTCAAGTATTCTTCCAACCAAACACAAGCGGCTAAATCCAAATGGGCAGTTGGGTCATCCAACAACAATAAGGTTGGCTTAACGAACAAAGCCTTGGCCAAAGCAACTCTCATTCTCCAACCACCAGACATATCCTTGGTCTTCTTCTTGATGGTGACACCGTTGAAACCCAAACCAGTCAAGATGATGGCAGCTCTAGATTCGAAAGTGGATGGGTCCATTTCGTCGATCTTTTCGTAGACACCTTCCAAGGTTGGGGATTCTGGACCTTCCTTGATGATCAAATCTTCGACCAAGTCTTCCAAACGCTTCATTTCAGCTTCAGCTTCTCTGACAACGTATTCCAAGGCAGAGAATTCGGTTGGTTCAGCTGGTTCATTCAACAAGTAAATATCAATGTGCTCTGGAACAGGGTATTCTCTGGCAGCCAAAGACTTCAATAAGGTGGACTTACCACAACCGTTTTCACCCAACAAACCGTATCTACGGCCGTAGTTAAGTTCCAAAACGGAGTCTTGAATCAAAACCTTACCGTGGAACAACAAGGAAAGGGAGGAGATCTTGATATCTCTGGATGTGACAAGGGATTCTAAAACACCGGTGGTGACTCTATCGGACAACCCATCTTCATCGGTTTGCAACTTCAATTTTGCAATTTGGGTCTCGGCATCATCCACGACATCTTCTTCGGCATCTTTTGCAGCTTGCTTCTTGGTCTTCTTGGTGGTCTTACCGGCAGCAGCCTTGGCGGCTTCTCTTTCTAATCTCTTAGCTTCTCTCTTAGCTTTTGATGATGAGATCGCAGACATGATGGACGTGAACTCTCAAACGAAGTGAAGAAGAAGTTTCCAGCTGGAGATTTTTTTGGTTTTGAAGAAGCGATGAGAATTTTGCGGTGGTCGTGCGAAAGCCACCTGCACCACTAGCGATGAAAGTGCAACCTCTATATGCATCCTAGGGGGATGCTAGCATAGAGGCATGATGTAATTGATGGTGTATCTAGAAATTGCTGTGGTTGATTTGGGACATAATTGGCCATGTTTGACCAGATATTGACATTCTGGGAAACTTGGGTTGGGTGCACTATGGGCTGCTATTGTAGGCGAATGAGAGGCGAGAGTATTGTAAGCCGTTGAAGATGAATAATTACTTCAAAAAGCTTCCTGGTCAAAGAGATTCATAGCAGGTGATTGAAGTAGGCACCAGGGACCGCATAAATGGAGCCAGAACTAGGGGAAGATGCAAACATGGTGTGTTGCTTGATCATTTTGCATTAGGGCGATTACGTCAGGGCGCGGGCTCATACGCCGAGATGGCCGGTTCTAGAAGGCTACCCTGGGAACAGGAAACTGGGGCAGGCTGCAGGCGACAACACAGTGCAGCGTATTGATGACGTGCTGCCATGGCCAGGTAGCGAACGCAGGCCTAATCTTGCTAGACTCGAAATTGCTGGAAGTCCCTGTAACTGGGGCTGGTGCCAGTGATAGTAAGCCGCACGGTCACGTGACAAAACATCCACCAGCGGGTGCCGAAGCTGGGAGGCAGCTAATGCCACCAAGAAGATCGGAAATACATAATGTGTTCCTGTAGTGGCGAACTGCATATCTGCGTAGGCCTCTAGGAGAAAGGGGGCCAGATATCTGCCCTCTGCTGTATTAGAATTGGGGCAACTGCTCACGTGACAGGTGGCGACGGCAAGACAAAAGAGATATTTAGCACCAAAATGGGCCTGACCAGTACAAGATTATAGAGTCAGATTAGACTCTAAACCTTTCAATGTCGGACGATACACATAAGAGCCCCCCAAAATCCGATGTTAAGGCTCCAATCCCAATCAGCGGACACGGAGCCAGCATTCCTCGGGTATCTTCACAATATTCATTAAGATCCCAGGATGAAGAAGAGCCACCCAGGTCCTTCACTCCGGGAATTGCCCAGACCCTGCATCGTTCGAAACAAAATCAATTCAGGAGAAGACCTTCTTACAATACCATAGAAGGAAACCGTGAACGCCACTATAACCTAGACTACCCTGAAGACAAAGCGGAACTCCAAAAACTTCAATTGGATCCTAATTCCAGATTCTTCGCACGTACTAGACCAAGAACATTGGATTTGCCAAGTATGCTTCCCTACAAGATCGAAAGTCCCAAAGATCAAGCCAAGTTCTTAAGCCATATAGTTTCCCATCTCTATATTGCCATAAAGACCTTGGATTTACAAGGGTCTTTGTCAGTTAGTGCAAATGAATTGGCAGCATTAAAGGACTTGAGTAACGGATCCGATGTCGATTTGGCATTGGAAACCAATCTTTTCGAAATGAACTCTGCCAGTGAGACCAATTTCGACGAGGATGGTAACTACTTTTCCAACGACGAATCTGACAGTGATGAAGATGAAGACGAAGAAGACGACGAATTGGGAGCGGATGGAGGTATGGAAGATGACGGTGAGACTACAAACCAACACAAGAAATCTCCTAAATCGGCGGCAATCATTGGTGTAAAAACTTGGACTCATGAATTATTGGTGTGGTTAAAAATGAAGTATGACATGCCTGTATCATTAAAGGTATCCTTAGCAAAGGTTTACTATTCGTTAGCATTATCAAGAGGTCAACATTTGAATTTAAAAACTTACGTTAAAACTTTCGATCTGTTGACTAAAGAATCACATTTACTCAGAGAACATGGATTATCATTACCTTGGGAAGCGCTTCACAATGAACTCATTAGTCATTTCCCTTCAATAGACTCAACCTTGGATCCTATTGAAAAGAAGGATCACAAGCAGCTCTTGAGCTTAGCCTCCAAAGCCAGCGTTTTTTTTGATGATGATTCTTTACCTTTGGTTTACGCCAAGTTGGGGAGTAGGTTTTCCATCGCCAATGCCTCTTTGGTATTGTCCTCGATGTCATTGTTGCCACTTAGGTTCACTAAGGGAGGAATGGAAGACCCGAAAGATATCCGTCATTATCTCGCTTCATTCTTCTACATGTGGAAGAAGCTCAGCAAGAGCTCAGGATTCGACTCACAGATTACTTCTCGCCTTGGTCTTGTCGCCATGTCTGCCTTATTTAAAATCAATGATGTCCCCGATAGCATTTCTTATATTAAGATAGGAGACTATGGCATATTCTCCAAGGATCAAATGAAGTTCATGATCAACACATTGACCAACAGTCTTAGTATTATGATTGAAAAATACTCTTCCATGAAAACCAAATTTTTCCATGGTTTTGCATCAACTATTGTTTATTCAATTAACGGGGGCAGTCCTAAGACTGACGGAATTATCGAGAATTTAAGAACGTTACTCAATGCCATACAAAGTTATGTACATCCTTCAAATAATGGTGAGTGGTCGCGTCCTATTTCTAAGTTGGTATTGAGTTTGATTTATCAATTTCACAAGAGATATTGTTCCGAAAATGAGATTGGCGGAACACTTAATCACTTACCAAATTCCATTAAGTTGAGCCGTGACATAACAGATGAGTTCGTGTCAATGTTTTTGCCGATTGTCAAAATCGGTATTCAGTCAAAAAAAGCATCATCGACAGAGGACCATTTGACTAGTTTACAGCTTTTGGCTTATTTGAATCCTACAATGGTATTAGAAAACATGTTATTGGATATTTATGAATCTTTGGAGGGGGTCATCTCCACTCATAGAGTTATTATTGCGTTGAGATCTATTGAACCATTAGCCAGGTTTTTCGCATCTACTCCTATTTATAGAGTCCACTTGATCAGACTCTTGCTGTTGTCATTACCAGGTATCGATTCCAATGACTTAGAGAAAACTTTGCATACATTGGATGCTTTCTCATCAGTTGCAAACTTCGTCCCCTTTTGTGATTTATCGGATGGTGAAGATGATCCATCCTTTTCTCTTCAGTTCACTCAATCTCATTTGCAGTATCTTGAAAGAAAACTTTATCTGAGTCAATCAGCTGATGCAATTGATGACCTAAACTTCGATGTTGATGAAGAAACTGAGCTTAGGGCGTTGAAATCTTCCACATCTGCCTTTAAATCATTGATCAAATCATTAAACCAAAGACTCTTCCTATTATTCGAAAACTTGCCAGATCCTTCTAAGACCGAAGGAATTGAGAGGGACTTGGTGTCTTCCATCCCCAAATATATTTATGTGCTTTTGGAGTCTTTTTCGGACGATGTTTATAAGTCATTCCAAAAGGAGTTTTTCGATTTTGTCTTCAACAACACTTACCATACTATTGCAGACGTAACTGCAGAAATATGTGGTGGTATAATCAAGCGTGATCCAAAATCCTTTAGAATTTATGGTCCACAGATGATAGATAGAATTAGGGAAGAGATTGAAGAAAATGGCGCTGGCCAATCAAGAACTGGTGTTGATATTTTACCCCGTGATCAAAACTTGTTCTGGAATCTTGTTATATTAAACGAATGCATTGGCAACGCTGGAAGTGAGGTATTAAGATTGGCTGATGATCTCATGAGCTTATCTTACTTTTTGATGGAGAACGTCAAAGGTCCAGTGGTATTTGCAAGCTCATACTTAATTAACCAAGTATTACAATCTGTGACTAAAATCAGATTGAAGGAGAATCGTTTGATTTCACCACTGTATGTTCAGAAACACGGAGTTAGCGAGAAGTGTTGGGGAGGATTTCAATTTGATAATTCTCGTTTTGCGAAGGAAAATATTACTTTCGAATGGTTTACACCTGGTGAGAAGGAAGTGCAATTTGCTGTCGATTCATTCAATGACCATGTGATTAGATGTTTGAAGAATATCCTGCAATTGATGAAAGATTTTAAGGCTGATAACCTTAATGGTGGATCTATCCAACTTACTGATGATATAAGAACCAATCTCTTGTATATTGGATACTCTTTGAGTGGTATTTCATACTTATTGGATCCTTCATTTGACGAGGACATTCCCCAATTAAATCATGAAAACGAATCCATAGAGAAAAGGTTGCTATTATTGAAGCAAATAAGAAATGCCAAATCAGTTAAAGAAGATGACGAGGGGTTGGATATTTCTGATAATTTGGAGAAGATAATGGAGAACTTGAGTACTGATTGTATGGAGATTGACCAGTATGATGGCTCAAAAGAAGTGAGCAACGAAGCCGATGTCAATGAGTTGATATCGTCCAATGATTTAAAATCAGATTCAACTGATGGCTTAAAATTATCATCTAGATCAACTTCTCCAATGGATATTGAGGTCCCAGAGTCCTCTTCGACACCTCAAGTGGACGATGTTGATATATCTTCCATCAATCCGTCTTCTACTTTCCGCGAAAGAAAGCTTTATACATCCTACTACTACTTTGGTGATGATATTGAAACTAGAAAGTCAAATGAATTGTACTTAAAATTGCACAAGACTCATCATTTTGTGGGAAAGAGTTTACATGTAATTTGCAAATTTTTGACTACTCACTTTCATGACAATACCAAACTTTTCAAGCATCTTCTTTATGTCATCAATATTTGGTTTTCAGACGTTGGAAGGGAAAGAATTCTTGATTCAAGTCATTCAAAAATTCATTATGGCTACATAAGTTGCATCCAAAGCATAAACAATATCCGCAAACCTTATACTAGAATTGCAATTGGTTCACGTATTGAAGCATATCACTCATTGAGGGTATCTTTACATTCTACTTCTCGTACTCAAACTCAACTTGATAAGTGGTTACTCGAGGATATTGTGAAGTTGTCATTATCAACGTATACTACAATATCATCTCCGGCACAGTCGTTACTCGTTGATGTCATGAAACGAGTCGGTGGTGCATATAATGTTATCATAAGAACTACTTTTAAGCTTCTCTCCAAGGTATTAGAAGACGTGAAGACGGGTAAGAGTAATTCCTCAAATAAGAAGGGTTCTGACAAAGAGCACCTGCAGGCGAGTGGAAATGAAAAGATTATCGAGAGTGGTCTAAATGTATTTACCTTAAAGAGAGTGAAGTCAAAGCTCCATAATGATTATTTCAATCTTCAGAAATATATTGAGATTCTCCTTAAATGTCAAGAGATTGACTCTTTTGAGGTTCAAACATTAAGCCAAAAACTTTTGGAAGGTGTCTACACATACATTACAGTTCCGTCGAATATTTGTATCATCGATATTGCGTCAATTGATACTATTAGACCTCCAGATGAGTTCATAGACCTCGAAGTCAAGATTATCAGATTAGCTAAAGAGAAGAAACGGAAGATATACTTTGAGAAAGTCAAGAAGATAGAAGAATTCGTAATTGCAGCAGAAAAGATCCCCTCTCATTGGAAAACTACCTCGATGAATTTGAATATGTTGATCAGTCTTCAATCAGAGCTTGAAATTGGTTTGGAATCCGAAGTTCTTAAAATCTTGCTTGAAAAATCATCATCTGATCATCCTCTTATTTCAAGATTGTCATTGAAGGGCTTGACTAGAATTATCAACAAGCTCTATCTTCTTCAAGGTGTTGATTACGATTTGAAAAAGGCATACGATCTTGAATTCGTTGGAAAGGATTACACAGTTGTTGACACCACTCCTAAAGATGGCAAATCCTATTACGAGACATGGGACAAAGAGCTTAAGAATACAGAAAACCCCAGCTTTTATGTGGATTTCAGGGCTAGTGTAGGATGGATGTTTTGGGATAAAACGATGGTTGTCAACTCAAGTGAACCATGCTTTAATCTTGCATTGATTCCCTCCGATGCTGAGATTTTAAAGCAGGTGTGTGGGATTATAAGCAAAACATGGCTTCTTGATATCGTTAAGCTTTGGATTACTGATAATGAGGCCAATTCAGCTTTTCAAGGTACGGACGTATTTTTCACCTCAACTTTGCTTCTTTTAATGTCCAATGGATATGTTACAAATTTGAAATTTCAAGACTTGTTGGAAATCATTGAGGAAGTCTATGTGGAAGATGACAAGAGTGTTCATATAGTGATTTGTGAATTGATTTCCGGTATCTTGTTAGGTTCCAAATGGCTTGATCCTCTGTGCGTTGAAGCCAGAGATAACTTCATAACCCAATTCCTTTCTAAGATTCTTGCAAATGACTTGTCTCCTGACAATAGAGGTGTCTGGAATATCTTCTCCTGGTGGTTACCTTCTCATATTGATATCAGAAGATTTCCAAAAATTATTGGGGTTATTACCAACTTCACTATCGATAAGGACTCCGATTCAGTGGTTAGACAAGCTACCCGTATTAGTTATATGAGATCATTACTCACATCAATTACTTGGAATTATTCTGACCCTGATGCTGTTTTACAATTTTGTTTGGACAATATCAATCACAGATACGAGGCCATACGTACTCAGATCGGGTCTTTGATGGCAGTTTTGTCTTTCCCATACTATGGGGAATCGAAAGCCAACAGCACTGAGTTTGTTTTGGATTGTAATGAGAAAAAGAACTTGGTGCTTTATTCAGAATCAGAGGCCAACAAGCTTCTCTCATTGATCCCAGAGTTATTTACGAGAATTGAAGCTTGGAGGAAGGACGTTGTTGGATTATCTCCCCAAGAAATCTTAAAATCAGACTATATCTACACTGCAACCACAATTTTAACTTGGTTGAGACAGGAGCTTAATACTAGTGTGGGCATATTGTTCCAAAGATACGTTGACAATTATATCATTCCATTTTTGCTCAAGTTGATCAATATGAAAGAAGTATGCCAACTTGGAAACATTGATCCTATCACCGTATTCAAGAAGGTATCACAGATTCAATATGATGGTCAATACTTGGAAAGAGTGGTGATCATGTTGGAGAAATACTCTAGCGAGGAGCTTAATGTGGTTCAATCCATTATTATGGGCGAGTTTACCGAGACATTTTACTTCAAAAATTTGTTCAAGCTTACTACTCAACAAAGAAGACGAATCATCAACTTGACCAACCATATGGTGTACCATAAAAATGTTGAGATCAGGGAATCTGAAGCATCTACATTAAGTGGATTAATTCATATTTCACCACCAATGGAAGTTGAAGAGTTTGTGAAGGAAAGTATAAGCTCATACACGAAGGACCTTGACAGTATTAGGAAAAAGTACAAGAAAATTGGATACAAATCAATAGAAAGTGACGATATCAGAATACTTCACGGTGCAACCTTGGGACTAGGTGCCTTGGTCCATGCTTTCTCATTCTCGTCTCCTCCGCCAAAATGGGTTCCTGAAATTTTGGCAACGCTAGCCAACAAATCCTCGGGTTTGCCTGGAATAATTGGTAAGACTGCAAAGAATACTTTAGGTAAATTCAAGAAGGATAGGCAAGATACTTGGCATATTGACAGTAAAGTGTTTAATGAGTACCAGATGCAAGATTTGGAAGGTGTTCTTTGGAAGAGTTATTTCATTTGAACACATCCACACTTGTCTATCTCAAGTTTTAATAGAATTTACACAGCATTAGAACGTAACTACATGTAATTGAATCATAGAAGTAGTTTACTGGTTACCGCAAATCAAGCTTATGAGCATATCGAATTGCATTCTAATAAATTAGTACAAGGAAAAGGGTCGTCTGGAATGGAGCGAGAACTTCGTGGCGAGCTACCTCAGTCGCAAATGAGAAGCAGCTGAGACAATGAGTACAATTGAACAGGTGTATTAAGATAAATTACTGACTTCAAACAAAAAGTCAGCAAAACTAATCGTTGCAACCCCTGATAAATCCTTGTCATATTTTTTGAAGACATCAGTGAGCTTCCTCAAGTAAACTAACAATTCGATAAAGGCATCAAATTTCAATTTACCAACAGAACCAGACTCATGACCAGCGTAGTCCTTGTAGCAAAACTTTTGGAACAAGTTTAAAACAAGATCAATGTTTAACTTATAACCAATTTGTTCTAGGATCTTTTGGAACTCACCAAAAGAGATATCGCCGGACTTGTTGGTATCTGCCTGAACGAATAGTTTCTTGTAGGCAGACAAATACTTCCATAAAGATACGAATTGGTCAAAGTTCAAGCTTTTTAATGGGGCTGATGCCACATCACTGGAGGAGCTAAATAACCTGATCATCAATAATACGGTAGATTCTTGGAATCTGGTATTATCAAAATTCAACAACGCGACCGAGAGTTCTTTTGCAGAAATCTTTCCTGAACCATTCGAGTCCACCTTATCGAAAACAGACCTCAACTCATGTTCAAGCTTTTGCTTGGAAGATGACTTCAGTGAACCATTGTCACGCACCAAAGATTCCTTTGATCTGCTAGATTTGGAGGAAGGGATGGGTTGCGAGTGATTCTGGGGAGGGGAGCTCGACATGCTTGGTGGAGGCTTCTTGTGGGCCGTGGAAGACGAAGACGACGACGCGTACTGCTGAGGGTGGAGTTGTGGGGGTTGGGGAGAGTGGTGGAGCACCTGTGGAGGAGGTTGATGGTGATGATGTGGCAGAGGTGCTCTTTGCAGTGGCTGCGGCTGGTAGTCGTATCTTGCAGGTGGAGCATTTTGCTGGAAGTGAGACGATTGGGGCGATTGGTGGCCTTGGTAGTATTGTTGTGGGGTTGGGGCATATTGTGGCTGGGCAGGACTTGGGTTGTAGTGCTGCACAGGTGGCTGTGGTGTTTGTTGGGGCTGGTAGTATTGCTGCTGTGGAGGTGGCGCCTGTTGGTGATGGTGCTGTGGGGCCGATTGATATCCTTGTGTGGGGACCTGATACTGCTTAGGGGGTCTGTATGCGACGTTCGCTTTTGGATGACTACCTTTTCGTTGGCTAGGAGGACTGCCCACCACGTAAGCTGCCTGTTGTGGCGTAGGGTACATCGGTAATTCGTCAACTGGCATCTTGACAGAAAACGTTATGAATAGACAGGAGTAGTTTCAACGCACTTGTGGCTGTATCGGAGTCAGCGGTGAGGTGCCACGTATTTGGTTCGAATCTCAGTAGCGCTAACTTTCCTCCAAAGCAACAGGGGGGTTTCAATAGTTCGCTGTAGGCTATTGAATGATCACGGTTAGGAGAGGCGAGGGATCTAGAATCATGTTTTGTTTGAGGCGAATGGCGCAGAACCGTCACGTGAGAAAGAATGCGGAGGAGGAGGACTGTTTTACAATTGGGCAAATTGCTACGGGGTTTACAGGTGATTATATTTATTTATGTTTTATTTGGTTCCATAAGGATAATAGAGTTTACATAGGGAAGCTCCTACACCAAAATGAAAACGGTGCATGAACAGCTAATATTATACGATAAATTAATCACGAGCTCTTCTTCTGTAACCACCTTCAGCACCACCTCTTCTTGGGCCTCTGAAACCACCTCTTTGTGGTCTCTCAGCTGGGGCGTTCTTCAATCTGGTCAATGGCAAGATACCTTCTGGGATGTTCAATTCGGTTCTTAAGAAGTCGACACCTTCGTCAGTCAAGGTGTAGTAGTAGTATTGCCATGAGAATTGGGTCTTGACGAATCCCTTGGAGGTCAAGGATTGCAAAGCCTTGATGACAAACAAGTTTCTGGTGTCAATTTCTTCATGCTTTGGTTGGTTGAAGTCCTTCTTGGCAACGACGACACCCTCTATAATTGTTAGTATCAAGTTATTTAGATGGTATAATCAGTGAAGACTTAGAAGGAATCAGGTAGGTGGCCTGGTTAATGGCTTTCTGGAATCTTTGCGTATGATCGATCGGTATCCGTTCCATGATTCAGAACAAATAATCACTTGGCTACTCCTTGGTTGATCAAGGCCCTCTTCAACTAACGCCTATTGCAGTATGCTTGTTTGTCGATCCTTTTCTTTAGTTCCTGATTTCATTGCACTTTCTGATAAATTTTCACTTTCCTATGCCGACTTAACTTGCTCCTGTTTCCTGTTTTCTCTGGTCTATACTGATGTTATTTCTATCTTTACATACCTTGGAAGAGGTATTGGTGAATCTTCTTTCTTTCTTCTCTTGGAATAAGCATGTTGGTGACTTAAAGCTTAACTATACAACTTTCAAAAACGAACCGATATAATAAAAATTTCATCAATTTTTTTGCACAGAATTTTCGTTGGTGGTGAGAGTGCGCCGCACAGATTGGGCCTTCCTGCGCGGGCGCGCTCAGTCTGGAGGGGTGAGAATTTTACCCGGACTGCAATTCTAGTCTATGTACAGGAACGCAATGTGAAAAAGTTTTGTTCAGAGAATATTAGGGTGTGATTTGTTCGCTTGCTCACGTGCGTAGGGTTTTAGCCCTAAAATTTACAGAATGTCGCAGCTTGGGGAACTATTCAGGGACTAGACTACGCAAGTACTCTAATTCTTTAGTGAATCGGGAGCTCATCTTCAGAGCCCTCAGAACATTACTAGTTTGACATGTTTTGGAGCTTGGCGATTCCGATAGAAAGACGAAAGGAAGAAAAAGGTCCAAAGTGACTACCAAACAATCAACTCATAAATGTCTACACGACATTTATGGCTGCAATCTAAACACGAATTATTCATTAAAAGTAGGTAATTAATCTATTTATATTATGAGAGGGTAGCTGTGAGTATTAGACAATGTTAGATTGCGTTTTTTGGATGCTATCGTCTGAGTTGGATTCTTCATCCTTGGCCTTACCCGCGCTGATGAACCCGTAAATGCTGACAAGGATCAATACTGGACAGAGAATCATCACGAGGGTAATCAAAGCAACTTTCAAAATAACCAAACCCTTTTGGCCTTGGTTCCATTGTTTCTTATTCTCATCCAAAGTGGTCTTGAAAGAGCCGGAGAAGAATCCCAACAATGAAGCATTTGACTCCTTTGCAAGGACTTCGACATGACTCTGTTCGTTGTTCAATTCATGGTCTCTTAAGAAGAAACCAGCAATCAACATAGGAACACAGAAGCACAAGGACACAGTCATCAAGATCTTTTGCAATTCTCTGTATGCAGAAACCATTTGTTGTCTTTCAACCGTATCCCAAGCATAGTCCAAAATGAACTTATAAGGGTTGCTGTATGCTGCAGTAGCCAAGGTGGTAGAGCCAAGCTTCTCTTGCAACTTTGAGAACAACGATTGCGTCCAAAGAGCACCAGCAACAGCGGAACCAACAGCAGATCCAATACGGTAGACAGTAAGACCCAAAGAGATAATAACTGCCATGTGTTCGTGATTGGTACACGATTGCAACGAAACATTCACAGGGTATGAGAAGAAAGATGTACCATAACCCATAAGAACAGTACCGGCAATAATACCAGCATAAGCACTACTACCAGATCTGTAGTGGAGCAAGAGACCCAATGCGACCATCCACATGGCACATCCGTAGATAATGAAGAGTTTCAATCTTCTAAAGTACACGACAAACAATCCAAAAAAGAATCCACCAATAACGGACACAAAGGAACTCAAGGAGGTGATTCTGGTAGCAGAACTTTCAGACTGGTTTACTGACACTCTCAAGACTGCAAAAAGATATGAACTTTCCACAGAAGAAATGAAGTTCAACAAGAAACAAATGATCAAAGCAGCCCAAATACCTCTATCCTTTAATAACTTGAATGGTGCAACAGGATATCTAGCACCGTACGATTCCCAGAGTGCGAAACCTGGAATCAAGAGAGCACCGATAACGAGAGGGGCAATAATGCTTCCATTTTGCCATTTAGACTTGACACCTCCTGCCAAAGTCAAAGGAACTAAAAGACAACCAAGACAAACTGTCAATAAAACCAACCCAATGATATCCAAAGTCCAAAATAAATACTTAACAAATCCCCAGGCACCCAATTCTTGGAACTTGGTTTTTCTTTGCTTGAATTGTTTCCATTCTTCGCTTCTTCCTGCCAAGATTCTCATGTGAAGCATACATCCAATCATTGGTAAACAAGTCAATGGAAAGATAAATGCCCACATTCCAACACCCCAAGACCAGTGCTTAACGGGGTTAACAGCGGCAACCACATTACCGGAGATCCAGGTATTGATGATGAAAGATAAAGTAGGAACGAGCATGTAAAACAATCTCCATTTAAGACTAGAGAAATCAGATAAGATAGTCATGACAATCAAGATAACACCAGTATAACCAACTTGGTATAATACCGAACCACCGGCGTATCTCTGGACATCATGAGCTTGGGACTCAATAATTGTTCCGACAGAGTAAAGAACAATACAGCAAACGAAGATCTCCAAACGTCCAAAAACATCAGACAACCTTGCGAAGATAGGTTGACAAGCAGCACCAGCCACAGAAGTGATAACTCCAATGGTGGTCAACAAAGAGTGTTCAGCATAAGAAGCAGTTGCGTAACCAGTGAAGATGTATCTAAGCAGACCATCCAAACCGTACCCATAACCAACTAAAAATGCAGAAATAAGCAAAATGAGGTGGTAGTACCACTTACCACTCCACTGATGTGCGAGAATTTCTGCCTTAATGACACCGATAGACTTTTCTTCCTCATATTCGGAACCAGAGAAAACATCAGTGACTTCATTGTCCCTACTGGTCTTATGAGAAAGTTCGGACGATGATTTTATCGCATGTTGAGGGCCTGCACTGGACATCCTGGTGTGATGGAGATTAAAACGAATTCAAAAGCTGGAACATAGTCCCTTTTGTACATTTTAGGTTCGTGAGATGCCCTGGTAAGCTATCAATAAAACGCACGCAGGCTAAATTAGAATTTCTGTGTCATTGGACAATTGCCAAAAAAAAGAAAAGAATATCAGATGAATCTGATAACTTGCTCAGGGTGCAGGCAGCCGCAAAATCAAAACAACCAATAGAAGCAGGCCTCAGTAGAGGCTTAGATTAAGTTTCTTCATTAGACCGTAAATTATCGCCCCAAACTTATTCTCGCAAGAGCCGTATTACTGGAATCTTCAAGGCGGGTGGTCCATGCTGTCAAGTAAGCCCAATATATTCGGAAGTCGCATTTACTGAGGGCTCTTGAATTAATTACTGATACATCGAGCTACGAGAAGTAAGGAAGTTGAAGGACGACCTGTTCTGATGTTTTGTATGACAAAAACCACAAATGCCGTTGGAGAGCCGCATATTCGTCAAGATCAAGCTGCACGAGACAATACGTATCAGGCATCGCTATACTGATACGCAAATGTAAGAGAACCCGCTCATAGTACTAGTTTTACCGAAAAATAATTGATGTGCGATTTGTGCTACTGTGCCTGCCTCCAAGCGGCGTCCGTTGTCACCAAAAGTCTTTGTCTAGTTTGCAACGTGTGACCTTGGGCTTGGAGTGGCTTCGAAGGTGAAACGAATTCAGCTGAAAATCTGGGGAAGGTCACTCATCCGTAATTCTTAGTAAAATTTCATTGTCAAGATGGATGTCATTAAAGGCGGGCAGGGTCTTCTCTGGGCGTATATGGCGATCTGGTGCATGCCAACGCTCATGTGCAATAGAAGACCCTGATGGTTATTTAATCACGTGATTGGAGAATATCTATTATCTTTTTCTGTGCGAATAGGTCTTAGAACTTTGCCTCTGGCACAGTGGTTCCAACTTTTCTCGCGACGTTTCGCATTTACCCGCTAACAAAAGGAGCTCGTCTCATCAATGCGGGTGGGAAATTCGGTGGTTCTCCCCATCCATGAAAAGTTACTTTAGAGAGTATCCTGGCGTGAAAATGCTGGGCGGCGCCATCAGAAATTAAGCGTTTTCGCTATGGGAGGCGCCGCGGATGGTTGGTCCTTTGCTATGAGGAGGGGCTTTTGAGTGCAATATGCGAACCTAGTAATAGGCACCCGATACCGATCATCGTTGTGAGTAAGGTTTTTTTTTTGAGATGTTGCGCTCCCAAGTTCAATTCCTTAGTGAGACAGGAACAGTTATCGATGAGAATAAAAGGGCTTCAGGTCTGTAGTAGGAAAGGAGATTGTTAGCTGGTGAGAGCAACACATAGGTACCAGCATCTTCGACCGAAGGAACATCGCTGATGGTTGGTAGTATATTGATCACGTGATATCACTTGATTCGTTTACTGAGGAGAGATGATGCGTTTGATACAACTAGATGCATTTTGCTTCTAATGCCATACCTAGTCTTCGAACAGGTGAAAATTGTGACCCCAAATTCTCGCTTCCGGAATTCGTTTACTACAAAACTTGAATTTCCACGATCTTTTCCAAGTCCATCTAGGGCGATCCTATTCTTTATTTAGTCGGAATCGGTACCAAGTTAGTGACCCAGTCTCAAGCAAAGCTTCGATATCAAAAAGCTGAAGTAGGTTACTCTCAGTATCTCAGCCGATTAGAATACATCCTATGCAATATTACGTAAGTTCTTAATAATTTAAATGGAACACCTAAGACTGGCATATATACCACATACTATCTGTGGACCGATGAGATCCGCTGTCAACACACATTCGAATTCACTGTAGACCACTACTTTTTCCTGGTCAAGGTATAGTTGTGTTTTTTATGTGAGCACTATTGCCACTAGCGATCTCACTCCCAAAAAACTCTCATATATGATATTATATCTGAATGCACCATCATACAATAGTCTTGCAATCAGCAGCCAAACAGTAGCCAATAATCAGCGTTGCTTTCAGAGTAATTGTGTTGGAAATTTGTAGTAACAGTTTCCCCTACTATTTTGACATTTGGTACACGCACCCCAGATGAGCAATGCGGATAGGACAACAATAAGACATAGATAGGCATGCAATGATCGTTGCCAGCATCCGAAGAATCTTTACCTCCTTCAGGACGGAAGAAGAGGAGAGATCATATTCAAGAATGGCCTTCTTTAACCTATTGGGATTCTTAGGCTCGTGTGTTCTTTTCAGTTTTGTTGCTCAGAAGCTTTCAAGACAACCCAGAGAGTTGGCACATCTAGCTAGGGCCACTGCATTGGTTAAAGCAATCCTGGCATGAGTGTATTGTCCAAGACTTGTCATGGAGAAGGTTAGTACGGTCCTACTATAGAGTCGTCTCCATTAGGCTTACATTCTAAAGGTTTATTCAAATATATACAAGTTCATACATCAAGAAAAACAAGGGATCTTCGAAGCCAAACGACTCTCTCCTTTATATTGTACTCATAAAAGAAGAATTGCCAATAGCTGAAAGAGTATCAAGGGGATTAAGTACATCCACCAATTGACTCAAGCCGTGATGCACCTAGGAAGACCAACGCCATGGCATTGCCGCTTCAGATATATAGAACTCCCTAAATATCATTTCGGGACGGACTTAAAATTTTGTCTATCTCAACAAGATTTCCTTTGCCATTTCGTAGGCAGTCCAGGAAATGGCAGTACTAGGTACGTTGAAAATAATTCTAGGCTTCAAACCCCTGGAGAAGGCACTTGAACCACTTTGTCTGTACAACGCCTTGGCAGCACTAACGAAACCGTTGACGTTTCTCAAGTTTTCGTTCTTGGTTATACCTCTGGTTTGTAATGCGGTCTTAATGCAATCCAATGGAGTGGTCAAAGCAGCCGCTATTCCACCAGCTATACCTCCACTAACACAATGCAAGTATGGATTGTATGTATTTGATGGGTTCAACAACGATGAGAAGTATTCATAGAAACCGAAATTCAACGCAGCAAATGGAATGTTAGTGAATAATGTGGTTGGGTAGGAGATGTAAAAGGCTGAAATTCCCTCTGCCTTGTAGATGGCCGATGCAACCTGGAGAACACCCTTTGGAGCTTGGTTGAGTGCTCTGGTTGGCCCTTCGGTCGGACTAGCCTGCATTCTCTGTTTCAAGACATCGAAAGGGGTCATAAGAGCATCTGAAGCAGTGGTAGCAGCAATACCGGCACAACTAGCAATCAACGGGTGGTTCTCGTCGGTGACGATCTTCGTTGATTGGGAAGAGGTGAGCTTGTTGACCAACATGGTCTTGGTGGCTTCGAAAACCGAGAAGTAGACAGCATGCGCTGGACCAGCCCCCAAAACAACGGAAGAAACACCTCTCCAAAGGGCGTAAGCACCTTCGCTGGAGCTGATTCGGGAAATAGACGATACGACACTCTTTGACAATTCCTGCGTGCTTTCAGCCATCTGCATTCTGGTCTTCAACGAGTCGATAGGAAACATCACGGTGTGTTCCATGATACCCGCAAAAGCACCAGCACTGAGGTGTGCAACAAGAGAGGCATCCTCGGGAAGTGCCTCGTAGTCTATTTCGACTGCTTCTTTTGTGAATTGAAGTTGGTGTGGTTCCATGGCTGTACAATTGGTAGAAGTTCAAGGCTGGATTTAAGGCCGAGTGAATGCTTCGGGTATGGGTGGTGGGTGATATGGGAATAGATGTACTTTGCCGATGGTAGGTTGGAAGTGACGAATTAGTGCTCGGTACTTCTCAAACTGGTGGTGCAACTGGCCAAGATTGTTAGCGTATGGAAGGCGTGCTGGCGAAGGGAGTCTCTGAAAGTCCGATATATGATGCCTGGGGCTCTAGAACGGTTCCGATACAAGTAAGGAATTGGTTTGCACAGGCACTTTTGTCGTTGCGTTGAAAAGTTCCGATTTTCTTTTTTTACTGGATACAGACAATCAGAAGCCGTGCTAATTTACGAAAAACCGTGGGTAAATCGTTGCATAGAATGCTCCATGACAGTTACATCCCAGCGTTGTTCCTGCTGGCTCGAAACATCTCTACAGACTCTACACAGGGCTGGGACGAAAGTTCCTCTCCTGATGGACCGAGCATCAAAACGCTAAGGCACACCGAAGACTTCTTGTGCGATACGGACTACCGAAATTGGGCGACTCAGCTGTGTACAGGCCCATCGCTGATAGATGTTGCTTAGCGATACTGGGGGGGCTAGAAGAGTTTTTGTGGAGAGCGACATGTACCGGAGCCGCAACCGGCGCGGTGCTGTTAGTAGTGTAGAACAGTTTCTTGGTTGGCTAGTTGGAACTTCCTGGTGTGGTGCTCGTTTGGCAGATACTTTACCCTTTCGTAATGGGGGGAACGCAACAAGCCACCGGTTGTTGAGTAGGCTGGTGTGGCACACCGACTACGGAAAAGACGGTGGGTTTTGTCACGTGGAAAACTGTGTGCACTGTGATTATAGTCTATACAATATAAGGTACTACTTCTTGATCTCCATGTCATACTGCTCCGGCACAATGGTCTTGACCTTGCCTGTCTTCAAGAACTCCTCCACGTTCTGCACCACCCATTCCTCCATATTCTTGGTGGCCTCGTAGGCGTAGGTACCCATGTGAGGCAAGCTGACGACGTTGGGCAATTCGTACAATTCCTTGGGCACCTCAGGCTCGTGCTCGAACACATCGGCTCCAAAGGCACCGATTTTGCCCTGCTTGAGTGCTTCGATCAACTCCTTTTCATCTATGATTGCTCCTCTTGCAATATTGATGAGGATAGCGTCGTCCTTCATCTTGTCAAAGGTTTCCTTGTTGATGCTGTGTTTGGTCTTTGCATTCAATGGAATTCCAACCACCACGATGTCGGACTCTCTGAGCAATTGGTCCAAAGGAGTGTAAACAGCCCCGGCCTCTAATTCCTCACTCAATCTGGAACGGTTGTAGTAAGTGATCTTCTCAAAACCAAATGGCTTCAATCTGTCCCTGATGGCTCTACCAATTCCACCCATTCCCAACAACCCAATGGTCTTGCCTTCTGGGGTTCTGCCGATAGGCGGACGTGGGGACTTGCCCCACTGGCCTGCCACCAAGTGGTTGTGGCCAATTTGGAAGTTTCTCAAGGCAGCCAAAATCAAGTAAATGGCGGTATCAGCAGTAGGAGCCTCCACTGGCACTGTGACGTTGGACAATTGTATGCCCCTTTGCTTCAATGGTTCAGCATCCACCTGGTCGTAGCCTGCGCCACAATGGCTGACGGTTTTGACTGATGCTGGTAAGTGCAGCACCAACTCTTCGTCGAATCTGCCTGTTTGCTCCACACTGGCAAAGGTCCTGGTGATGCTGACCACATCGCTGTACTTGCCTTTCAAGTCTTGGAAGAACTCGTCTCTGTTCTTGGAGGTACAAGTTATCACTTCCGCCACCTTCTCCAACTCCTCCCACTTCTGGTGGGCATATATGACTTTTCCAAGTCTTAAAACTTTGGGTTTGGTGGTGCTGGACATGTTTGCAATCGATACTAGTCTAGTTAAATTGAGCCTGTTGAAACCCATGGGAATGGTTCGCAATTTATAGTGAATGCGTAATCTCTCAGTCTGCAAATTCGATTGAACCGCGAGTTTATCGGCACCTGATTGTAGTGTATAAGTGGGGCAAATATTGAACAATTGTGCCCTACAAGGCCATTCAGTCTCTTACACGAGGCATGTTTGCGTTCCTTGGATGCCTCTATCCCTTCCTTTGCCTTCCAGATGGCCAATCAAACTGCCGGATCAACCTTCCTCGAGGGCTTAGTATGAGCAATTCATCCCTCACCCCTACTATCGTGTCCCCCACGCTCTCCCCCACGTTCCCCCACGGATCCTCACTCGATCCCCCACACCCTCGGACTCCACCATTCGGGCAATATCGGTGGGTGAGGTCACAAAAGACGCAGATACAGTTGGGTGCTAGGCTCGATCTCGCATACAGATCCTAGTTTCTAGTACTTATTGATTTTCTAGACGTTTACATAATTAAGCTGGCTCCTCTGTAAAGGAATTTCGATCCTTCCGAGTTTTCAGATTCAACCTTCACGGATTCGAACTCCCTCTTGGGGAAAGTGCCCCAGTCCTTGGCGTAGGTGGCAACAGAATGGGCAATCAATTGGGTGTTGATGACCCATGCTTCGTAGTCCACGTTATCCAAGTCGTCACAAAGTTGATGGTAACATTCGTCAAACCATTTGCCAGCCTCACCGCCAAACTTTTCTTGACCTTCCACGGTTTTAACACCCTCAGCACCAGTGGCAATACCTCCAGCAGGAATTCCGTTGTCAATAAAACCCACGTAGTCAGATCTTCCATCAAATGGAACGAAGGTGTAGTTCAAGCCCTTTTCCTTGTACCAGTCGATGTATAAGTCCCTCAAGTCGCCTGATCCGTTCGGATGGTCCACATTGTTGGCATCGTAGATTTGGTATTCATAATTAGGAGAAGCCATCATGTCATAATCCATGAAAAGACGAAGCTTCTTGTTTTCTTCCTCGGATAAGTGGTTGGCATACCATTCGGAACCCAACAATCCCTCCTCTTCGGCGGCCCACCAGGCAAATCTGACAGCATTGTTGACCTTGAAGTTCTTCAAGTGACGAGCGACTTCTAACAAAGAAATAGTACCTGAACCATCATCATTGATACCAGGACCTGCAGCAACGGAATCGGAATGGGCACCCAACAGAACAACGTTGTCATGGTCACCTTCGACGGTTTCAGCAACAACATTGAGGGTCTTGATGACCTTGATGTAGGAGTCCACAAACAAAGAAGCTTCAATTTTCTTGGCTGGATCTTCAGTCAAGGCCTTAATGTATTTCTCAACATCTGATACTTTCACGGAAACAGTTGGGACTTCGTGACCAGTTGGGTCTCCCAAAGTTCCTCTTAATTCCTCATCGTCGTAAATGATAGCACCAATGGCACCTGCCTTACCTGCATTGCTGGACTTGACGCCGAATGCACATTCTCCTCTCTTGATCAATGCAATCCCACCCTTGACGTGGGCATAGTCATCTTCAGAACATCCAAGGTTCTTTGCCAACACCAAGTTACCATGAGCCAAGCCATCGGTAGGTGGAGTCAAGTCGAGTGCATTCAACGACTTTGGTTTGGTTCCGTCAATCAACAAGGAAAAGCTTTCGATATGGCTGTCCAATGCCTCGAATTCCTGAGTCTCCACTTCGTATCCTAAGCTCTTCAACTCCAGGATAACATATTCCACGGTTCCACGGTGTCCTGGAGATCCAATGACTCTGGTGGGGTGTCCGTACTCGCCAACAGAAGAAAGCGAGATGTTGTACAACGCATTTGCTCTTTCTCTCAAGCCTTCTGCTGTAATGAGCAGTTGTAACTTCACAGTATCAATCTCTGGGAGCTTGCCTAAATCTTGCAACTCGAAAACTGTTTGGATATCATTGGGAATTGCGAGTGGTAACGCTTGTGCGATACCGATTAGCCATGCTAATTGTAACTTCATCTTGTCTAGTGGTGTTGATTCTGTTAGGACTGATTACTCACAATTCGTATGCCTCGTCCATAAGCGGAAGTCACGAGAACTCAGTAGTGCGCCACCACAGTCTTTATCAGGCCTATCATGATCCAATCAGGGTTCAAAACAGCCCCATTAGGTAGTGCCCGGGATTTGCGATGGCTTCGGGTTTTGCATTCCAGCATTGACAGAATATGTCAGTATGTAGCAGAGGTAGTACTTACCTGTATTACACATTTATTTGGTTAATCTATTTTATCTAATGTTAAATAGTAAGCTCCACACCCAACTGCATGAAGTCAGCTAATACATGATCAGCCATGTTTTCTATGTCTCTTGACTTTAACTTTAGGAGATCCAAAATTGAACTTGAATCCCCCATTTCCACCTTGGAAATCACCCTGAAAGAATTGATTCATGAATCCAGAACCAAAATTGGGTCCATTATTTTGCGCCTGTTGTCCTCTTGGATCATTAGGGTCGTCGCCTCTGTCGTATCTTGCTCTCAAATCCTTGTTCGATAAGACCTCATATGCCTGATTTACTTCTTGCATTTTATTCTCTATCTGGTCAGGAGTCAAGTCGCTTCCTTTATACTTATCAGGATGATACTTCAATGTTTGTGTTCTATGAGCTTTTTTGATAGTCTTCTCGTCTGCATCCCTAGCTATGTCAAGTACTTTGTAGTAGTCGGTCTTGGGACGAAGCATTTGTTGCTGTTGCTGCTGCTGTTGCTGTTGCTGCTGCTGGTACTGTCTTTGCCGTTGTCTCTGCTGTTCTTGATGTTGCTGCTGTTGTCTCGCTTCTTCTGCCTCAATCTTCTCGTACCTCTTTCTAAACATGACTGTCTCCTTGACATTTGGAGAAAACCCAGATAATATTCTCTTGGCTTCGTTATAATTCTTTCCAGCGAGTAGTTGATCAATTTTGGGTATATGTTTTGGTAGGAAGTGGTTCCCTGTTTTCTCACAAAATGAAAGTAACTGCCTGTTTTTCAATTCAATACCAGTCTGACAAATAAGTTCATTCAATTCCTTCAAAAACTTTGACGAACTCAAGTACTTGGATTTGAATTCAGTACCACCGATGTGTATCAAAAATTGTTCCATCCTGAAAATCAAAAGATCATAGTTGGAGTTGATGCCTTGTGGTAACTGTCTTCTTTCCATCTTAGAAACCTTCAAATCTTGTACAAACAAGAAATCATTTACTAAATTCCAGTTGATATTTGGGTTCTTGTATTCTTCTTCAAGCCTACCCTGGCCTTGGGCCTGCTCTTCCAAAGCAACATAGTAGTGACTGATGATAATTGAATACTCCTCAAGAATAGCAAAGAAATCACTAAACTTGGTTACAAACTTTGAAATCTTCCCACATTCCTTATCTTCATTATTGATACGCAAGCAATTCTTCAAAATCTGCTTAGCAGACTCAACCTGAAGCTCGGTGTAAATTAGGAAGTTTGAAATATCTTTGTACCACTCCAAGTTTGAAAGTGGCAGTAACTTGATTACTTTTTGAAGGGTCTTAATTACTTTCTTGTTGGTGTCATTATCTTCGGTATTCTCAATGAACATTTGCATCAAAGCCTTCAATTGAATGTCCAAAGCTGTGAAGTAATTTGGTGAATGAGATAAAACTTGCTCTTCCAAAATTTGAATACACTCATTGTACTCCTTGTTAAGCAACTTTGCTTGTGCTTCATCCACGTACCTCTTAACATGTTCGATCTTGCTCAAATGTTGTTCATCATCTTCCAACGCACCATGTTTGAGAATAACCTTTTCTAGTTGGTCGAACTCTCCCCTTTCAATCAAAAGGTCTGACAACTTGTTTCTCACGAGTCTACTGTTTGGATCTAGTTCAACTGATTTCATCAAATCTGTAATGGCTGAAGCATCCTTGTTAAGAGTTAGTTCTATCAATGCCTTTTTGAAATATATTTGAGGAATCCTATCAGTGACTTGTGAGGGTGCATTTTCCTTTTCTATTTCCTTTATGATTGCCTCGTATTCACCTAAAATGCTAGTTGTGGGTCCTTCCTGAGTATACTTCAAATCAAGTTCATGGAGTCTATCCACCAACGAACCACTAACTGTGAAAATGAAAAGCAGAATTAAGATTATGAAATTCATAGTAGGTGATCTCTATTGAGTGTTCGAGGGTCCTACCTCCTAAGTTATTGATGCCAGAGTTTCTTTATCAGTCCCAGATTCAAAAGTAAACCACCAAAAGTGTTGTGTTTTGCAGGTTTTGCGCTCTAAAAAAGGCCTTGTGAAAACTTATTAAGATAGTTCTTCTGGTCAATAATAGGATGACAGTAACTGGCTTTGAATGTGCTTTTTCTCGTAGAGTAAAGACTGGGAGTCTGCGGTTATGGAGTTACACGTAGCTTTTGAATCACGTGAGTATCCGCGTGTAAATATTCCATAGAAATCTACGAACCAAGGCCGATCTAGTTCCTCCAAACCGATCCTCAAAGGAACATGCCTGCGAAACACATCAGATATCTTCTTTAGTTTTGTTGTTATATTGCAACATTACTTCATGTATGCCTAGCATCTACTTAAATAATTTGGCCAAAGAAACGGCACCTTCATCATTCTTCGACATGACCTTGGCAACAGCTAACTCAAAGTCTTCTTGGGTAACGTGGATTCTTCTTTCTCTCAATGCATACATACCAGCTTCGGTACAAACACCTTTGACATCGGCACCTGAGCAGCCGTTCATTTTCTCGGCAATCTTTCTCAAATCAATACCTCTAGTCAAGTTCATTGATCTAGAATGGATCTTAAGAATATCGGTTCTAGCTGTGACTGTTGGAGCAGGAAATTCGATCTTTCTATCAATTCTACCAGGTCTCAATAATGCAGGATCTAAAATATCCAATCTGTTGGTTGCCATGATGATCTTGATGTCTTTTGAAGACTCAAACCCATCTAACTGGTTCAATAATTCCAACATGGTACGCTGGACCTCGGAGTCACCTCCCCCAGAAGAGCCAGAACCCTCAACTCTCGAAGAACCAATGGAATCGATTTCATCCATGAAAATAATGGATGGCGCATGTTCACGAGCCATTATAAACAATTCTCTGACCATTCTTGAACCTTCACCAATGTACTTCTGAACCAATTCTGAACCTGAGACCCTAATGAATTTACATTCTGTGTGATGAGCAACAGATCTAGCAAGCAAGGTTTTACCTGTACCTGGTGGACCGTAGAGAATAACACCCTTAGGTTGTGCGATACCTAAACTTTCGAATAATTCTGGATGTTTCACAGGCAACTCAATGACTTCTTTGATTTCTTTGATTTGTTTGTCAAGACCACCAACCATGTCGTAGGTAGAATCTGGAACCTTCTCCACCATCATCAATGAAACCAATGGATCGATTTTGTTAGGCAAGATTTTGTGTAAGTCGTAAGAGTCTGCCTTCAAACACACTCTCAAAGAAGGGGTCAATTTCTTGATATCGATGTCTTTACTAATATTGACAATGTACTTTCCTTCAGGATGAATTTTAACAAGCACTTTCTTAGTACCCATGACCTTGATCACTTCACCGACATACAGTCCTGGCTCCTGTAATAATCTTAATTCGTCTTTCAATTGACGGACCTTATTGTTTAACTTGTTACGTTGAGCTTCTAATCTTCTCAAATTTTGGGTAGTTTGTTGAATTTTGATTTCAGCATCTTGAATTTGCTGCTCGAAGTATGGGCGTACCCCACCTTCGTGAATGTACTGTGTCACCTTTGCCGTAGCCATTGTTGTAATTGATCAAAGACGGTATGAACAAGTGTTGGAGCCCAGATTTGAACAAGATAGTTACGCCACCGAGCATATCACGTGAATTTTATCCTCAAACGCATGACTTATATCACGTGCTTTATTATATGCAGATTAAATGTTTGAAGTTCATCATGATCAGAGGCATTCCGTCCATGAAGAAAGATGAAGTTGACCTTGGTAGCATGGTTAATTGTGCTGGTTGGTGCGTACCAGCACTACTGCTGGTGCAAGTGTAATACCAAGAGCTTGGTTCGAGCAATAGATAAGTGTGGCACATGTACCAAAGAGTTTTGCTTGGAAGAGGATATGAGTCTATGTGAAATAGAGGATCCAGACGGATCGAAAATGGCAAGAAGGGGTGTGAGTGAATTAATTAATGATCCAATTGAGATAAGTTCATGGCTTTCACTGCACAAAAGTACTTCACCAGACGAAATCAAATCAGAATTGGACCGGAGAATTGTTCCCCCACCAGAACTGTCTATAATTCTCCAATGCTTCCAAGTGGAGTCATTCAAGGAGACTGTGATCGTTTATTTATTCATAGCAGCAGTTGGATCTCTTCTTGCCTATGTTCTTTATCTGGACTATATAAAAGCATGAAGACCCACGAACTAAAATGGTGAACAAAATGGCATAACTCTCATATGGGTCAGGTACTTATTTTCAACAAACTATCCAAATTTTTACTTCTTTTCTTCTATTAAAGTAATAAAGTTCATCACGCCCAGCCTCTTGGGATTAGACAATAGTCTGTAATACACACCGACCGTTCGCGTATCAGTTCGGTTCTATGATGCCTTATGAAACATCTGAAGAAACAGAAGAGCGAAGGGCTACTAATACTCTTTAGGATTGATCGCTTTCCCTTTGATCTACATTTTACTGACATACTGACAGCGGGGATCATTAGTGGGGTATTGTTCATAATGCGATTTTAAACCATGAGACCAGCTCGAAAACTAAAGCATAAGATTCTCTAGGCAGAACATGTGAAGAAGTTCAGTCTAGTCCCCCTGTGGCTTTTGCAGCGTCCCTTGTCCAGGGCTGTAATATACCTGACCTCTACAATCCCGGATCATTGATCAGGCCTCAGTCTACCAGTACACGCATTTGATAAAGGATAGCATTTCGGAGTACCGTGCTACTATGGCCCACCTTTGAAGGATATTGGGCCAGTACATACTCCATATACACCTAGGCGCTTCGTAGGTCATAATCATATACTTCTAAGTAGTGTAGTCGCCTTGGACATAATTGTGCTCTGGTCGTTCCTTTGATCCCTACTATCACCAAGTCTCAAACGATGTGAAAATTTTTCGAAGATTTTTTGTTGAAACCAAAGGAGTTCTTCTTTAACATCATGAGTGATAAGAGTGTGGACGGTATACCCGGACACGCTAGTTCAGGTGGTGTAGCTGATAAAGTCAGCTCACATCCATCTACAAGCGGAGGTGCTAACAAAAAATTGGGTGAAGGTAACCAAGCCGGAGCTGAAGGTAAAACTTCAAACGAGGGTTCTAGTGCCAGCAACCCAAATGTTTCAGCTTCTTCAGCAAGTGTATCAGACAATGCCTTAGCCAGTGGCTCCCCTGTTTCTGGCGGTGCAGCTGGTACCTCTGATGCCGCTGGCCATGCTGCCAGTGGCGTTCCACCTGTGCCTTCTGTGCCAGGAATTCCAGGTGTCCCTGATAAAGGTTACAACCACTACCCCAACAACTATAATGGCTATAAGAAGAATTATAGATACCAAGGTCAAGGTGGCCAAGGTCAAGGAAATCAAACCCAAGGCGGCCAAGCAAACTCTGGTAACAACACAAACACACCTAATGCTAACTCTGGCTCTGGCAACGGAAAATACCGTCGTCCTTACAAAGTGAATCAACCCAACTACAACTACGGATATCCACCATCTGGTATGTACTCGTATGGATTCATGCCTGCCCCATATGGAGGGTACCAAGTCATGCCAAATATGCAAATGCCATCTTATGGGGTTCCAATACAACCATACAGCCCAATTTCAGGATCAAAGGTAAAGCTCACCACTAAAGATGGTAAGCCAGTCGACCTTGAAGAAAAGAAGAAGAAAACTGCTTCTAGCACTCCGGTTTCTTCTCCAGCTCCTTCTGTGGCTACCCCAGTTCAAGCTTCAGCAGAAGACTCTCCAGCAAACACAGCTGGAGTCGCTTCACCAAAGGTAGCTCCTGCTGCCCCTGTCGTCAACTCTGCTGCTGAAGAATTCAAGAGAAAGATCAGAGAAAAGGCAGCAGCTACTAAGGCTGAAAAGGAAAAGGCTGAGAAGGAAAAGGCCGACAAGGAAAAGGCTGAAAAGGAGAAGATTGAGCAGGAGAAGGCAGAAAAAGAGAGACTCGAGAAGGAAAAGATCGAAAAAGAGAAAGCCGAAAAGGAACAAGCTGCAAAGGAAGAGATCGAAAGGGTCCAAAAGGAAAAGGCCGAAAAGGAAAGACATGAGCAAGAAAGAATAAGACAGGAACAAGAAGACAAGGAAAAGGCTGAGAAAGTTCAATCCGCTGAACCTGAACAGACTACTTCTAATGAAGATACCGAATCCAAATCGACCGAAGTCACAGCATCTGAAGCACCATCCTCTACTGAGGCAGCAGCAACTGAATCTGCTGAGGTGCCAACCACTAAAGCCGATGATGGTGAATCCCAAAATGCAGAGGACTCAAATACTGTTGAATCTACAGAAGAAGAAGCTGAGCCAACCTTCAAGATTTCAAACTTCCTTGAAAAGGTCCATCAAGCCACTCCAATTGAAGACATATTTAGCGTCAAGTATCCAGCTGACATTGTCGCCGTGGATTCTAGCAAGCAAATACCAGGCAAGAAATACAGATATGATCCTCAGTTCTTGATTCAATTCCGTGATATTTTACAATTTCCTATGGATCCTGAATTCAAGGCTCAATTGGAGAAGGTCGACATTCAAACTGCCAAGAAGGGCTCTAATTCTGGTCAAAGAAGTATGAGCAAATTCGGAAACGGATTGCCTGGAAGATTTAATGGACAACCAGGTAGAGGACCACAATTCAATGATCCAAGACAAAACTCCAGAAGTGGATCTAAGAGAAGAGGAGGAGGAAGTGGTTCATCAAGAGATAAGTCCACTAGAAAATCTAACCAATCGAAGAGAGGTGGTAGAGAACGTGAAGAAGACAAGGGTATAACGATTGCTCCAGAAGATATTAAACCTTTGGAGAAGACGGATAACAGATGGGTCCCAAGATCAAGAGCTAAGAAGACCGAAGTGAGATATGCTGAAGATGGTAGTGTCATTTTGGAAGATGAAGACGTTGAAAGAAAGGTTAAGTCATTATTAAACAAGTTGACCTTAGAGATGTTTACACAAATTTCTGACGATGTTATTGCAATCGCCAATCAATCTAAGTGGGAAAAGGATTCCAAGACTATAAGGTCCGTGATCTCATTAACCTTTGCTAAAGCATGTGATGAGCCATACTGGTCCGAGATGTATGCCAAGTTCTGTGCTAAATTATGTACTAATGTTCCAACTGAAGTTACAGATGAAACCATAACTTTACCAGACGGTTCTCACCCTTCAGGTGGTTCTTTGGCTAGAAGAATCTTATTGACCACTTGTCAAACTGAATACGAAAAGGGATGGACTGATAAATTACCAACCAATGAAGATGGTTCCCCATTGGAACCAGAAATGATGTCTGACGAATACTATGTTATGGCTGCTGCCAAGAGAAGAGGTCTTGGTTTGGTCAAGTTCATTGGTCACTTATACAACTTGGGTATGTTGAACGATCAAGTCATTTTCGTTTGTTTAAGAGATCAATGTAAGAATGTTGTTGATCCTTCTGAGGATAGTTTGGAAAACTTAGCACAATTGGTCAAGACTGTCGGTCCTAAATTGGATACAGATGAAAGAAAGAAGGCCATCTTGAAAATTGTCTTCGAGAACATCCAGAAAATCTTGGACAACGTTAAGTTGTCTTCCAGAATTATGTTTATGTTGATGGACTTACAAGACTTAAGAAAACAAAGATGGATCTCCGACAAATCCGAAGCCGGTCCAAAGACCATCGAAGAAATTCATAGGGATGCTGAAATCAAGAGAATGGAAGAATTGAAGGCCAGTAATGAAAAGAAGCAACAAAGAAGATATGAAGGAAGATCCAACTCCTCTAGATCTGCTTCTTCTGCTGGTGGTGCTGGTGGTTCTGGATACCTTTCGAACTTAAAGAAATCACCCTCATTCGCAACTCAAAACAATCAATTCACAAATGCATCTAACTCTAAAAACGACTCAGAACTCAACAGAGAGTCCTCAAAGAGATCAGAATCAACACAAGTGAATAGATTTGCTGCTTTGGGTGCTGATGATGAAAATAATGAGTGATTCAAGAGTACGAAATTGAAAAATATAGACATCTTCTCCCAGTTTCTTATTCTCGAATATGATTCCCTATAATCGTTGCATTCCTTGTGTACTATAGTAGCTCATTCACATCTATTTTTACTTTTATCCACATTTGAATTCAGTAACATGTATCGACTGCTAAGTAGACTACACATTAACGTGTCGTTGCTCTATATAAGGGATTTGGATTCTTTCTGTTCTCGGATCGATCTATTGATCAACCATGCCAGGCAAAATCGCTAGAGCAAAAGCGAAAAGTAGCTCATGTTCAGATGATATGGTGGATACACAAGAGTTCTTATTAGGATTATTTCATAGTTATGTATTCACTTCCTGTTATTTACCGATCATTCGCTTAAGCTTAGATCGCTTACTCCCTTTTGCTTCATTTGGGTCGATTGAGTGTAAAGAACTACCCTCGTGTACGGACTTTTCCTTCCTATTACCCCAATACAGGGATTGAAGAAAAGGTTCATGAGTGTTCCCATCAGATACGATTCGCTGATGAAGAGAATCAGAGCCACCTTTCTCTACCTTAGATCCGGACGGTAATCCTGTTGCAGATTTGTCATTTGAGTCCACAATGTGTTCGATCCTAGTTGTCTCCTCTAGCATCGGTGACAATTGAAGAGTTTGAATTATCCACATTGGCGTGGTGATTTCTGAAATTGACAATTCTATCTTCCCTAAGAGTCCATCATACTTTGTTGCAAAAGCAGTACATGGGGCGACGCGCAGTTTCTCACAACAGTTCGGTGATAGTTGTAATACATGATTCAGGCGCAAGTCTCTTAGGAAAACCATTAGCATCATCTTCATGATAAGCATTGCCTCAATAATGAAGATACTTACCTGTCGTATTAATTGGAAGCCAGACTTAAAATGATTTCTGATGTATAGCAAGATCACCAACTCGACTGCAACGTAGTCGGCACATACTTCCAACAATAATATTGTAGTATCCGAGATAAGCTGGTATATAACAAAGTAAACACTCTCTATATCATCACCCTTACTCAAGGAAGACATTTCCGTTGCTTCACCCACTTATTTCGATTAAGCGCTTAAACAGAAATGTTTGCAATTTTATGACCGTATTGCTCAAATTGAGCTTGCGTCTCAATTGCAAGGACAGTTGAATGCAAATTAGAGTAAAACTTGCAAGGACAGATTTGATTATTTCATTCCTCAACATCGAAAAGGTCGTCAACACATGACTCAAGTTTCGAGGGATGTTCCAAGATTGATTTCCTCCTCAAGATCGAATCCTTCTCCAAGTTCGAACCCTTGGTCACTACCATCAATGAACTTGATCTCATATTCAGGTCCTACATCTGTTGAAGTATCTTCCTTTGGATCTCTCATTAATGTGTCGATAGTGTGGGAGTCATATTCGATCTCAATCTCATTGGCGATAGATAAACCAGCGTGTTTGCTATCAGATCTAAAGTATTCTTTGCACATGTTAAAATGCTCCCATTGAGGTTGTGTTAGCATTTTTTGGCTCACAATCCACCCTACGCATTGCGATAAGACAATAGTAACATCCATATTGGTATTCAGCAATACAGACAAATGGCTTAATATCTTTCGCAACATCATTGCATCTGCTTCAACGAATGAAACAGCAAATAGTACTAGCTGCTTTCCAATGTAAGTAGGCGACTCTCCGGCCTGTAGAAGCTTATTGAGATAGAACAAGCTAGAGACCAATTTGTAGTCCTGCAACGAAAGGTCATTGAGTGTTGCGGGCTCTGAGGATAAGCAACCTTCATCCCATTCTTCAACATCACTATCATCGGATACTTGCATTTGTAAAAGATATTCTATCTCCTTATCCTCAGTATCAAATTTTGAAGTTTTAAGAAACTCTGTAAAGGACTTTTCAGATACCCGCTCCTTATTCCCATCACTTCTAGAGCTAGATTCTACCAGTTCCGCTATTGAGGGACTTTCGTGTTCTCGTGTTGGAAATTTTGCTGGCAAAGACCATCTGGAATTCAGTGGAGTTCTCAACGCTTCAAAGAATTGATCAAAAAGTTCTTGATTTTTAATGTCAGCCATACCTGACCCAATTACTCTTATAGATTTGATACTTTCAATTAAGTCCTCTTCTTTTAGATTTATTTCACCTTCCTGAAAATTGGAACTTTCCAGTTCATCTGCCCCATGTGTGCTCTTAGTGGCTTCTATTCTTGATTCATTCTTTTCATCCGCATGCATTGAGCTTATGAATTCTATCAAATTAACCGCCATCCTTGTATCCCCAGATTTGTCTAATAGTAAATCAATGCATTTGTCATCATAGCTCAAAATCGGTTGTCCTCTTTCCCTTCGCTGCATGTTTTCGAATCTTATGGCCCTATGCAACACTTCTTCAGTTTCTGATTTAGTCAAAGGATAGAGCTCAAATAGCTGCGATCTCGATAATATCGCTCTCCTGATTCTACTCTTTGGGCTGACTGTTGTAGCACCAATGAAAACAAAAGAGCCTTCTTCAACAAATGGTAACAAAAAGTCTTGCTGTATCTTGCTAAACCTATGTATTTCATCGATAAATACAACAACCTTTAGCAATTCTTGCTTGTTGGAGCGGCTGCTATTTTCAGCTTTTATGACCTTCAGTAATTCTTTCAAATCACTCACTGTGCTATCCGTGGCAGACAATTCAACAAAAACATAACCAGCCTCTGCAGCTATTATTGAAGCAATGGTGGTTTTTCCTACCCCTGGTGGGCCATATAATAGCATGGAAGGCAAATACCCCAACCTAATGAAGTTGATGATTTCTCCATTCTTGTGATCAATAAGATGCTTTTGGCCTATGAAATCCTCTAATTTGCGTGGTCTAATTGACTCGGCTAAAGGTTTGGACATGTCAGATACCTATCAAGCCTTATTTTCATGAAAAAGCTCGTGCATTTCAAATAATGCCCTGTTACAGTATTCGAAGGAAGGAAAAAGTTGACTTAAGAAACGTATCGTATCACGTGAGTAGAGTTCTTGCAACTAACCTCTATAATCCAGAGCTACATTAGATTTTCAACCTCTTGATTGAAACTATTCTATTAAAAGTATTAAAGTACTACATTACCAAGAAATGAATTGCCTCATTTTAACTCAATGCTCTCGAGAAATCAATCATATCGAATGTTTTCCTTCTCTAAGCTTGAGCCTCTCACTTTCTTCTCTTCATGCTTTGATCCGAGGCCAATGGACTTCCTGCACCAACTGAATTGCTCATTCTGCGCTTCTTCATTGAGTTTTTTGAGTCATCTAATAAGTTGTTATCCGGTGAAGAAGGCACCTGCTGATTCAATTTTTGCCCGTTCATAGAGGGGTTTGGAAATTGTTGAGATTGATGGCCAGCACCTGCTGCTGCAAACTGTTGATTATTTGCTGCCATGAACAATTCAATAGCTTTCAAAGGAGAATTCACATTGTTCAAAATCGAAAATCCCATTAACGATCTCAAACTAGACATTATATCCCCCACTTTCAAAATTCTCATTGCATTCTCGTGAATTCCAGAATCATAAGAATTCTTGATTGATTCAGAAGTGTTGTGGACATATTTCAAAAATTCATTTCCGTTGTTATTCTTGTGTTCTGAAACATATTCATTCCATTTTCTCTCCAACCCGTTATAGTTGACTGAACCCTGATAATTCAAACAATGACAATCAATCCAATCAATCTTGAGTTCTCTGTTCATCAAGATTTTTAGATTACCTTGAATAGTTGCGATAGATCCATCATGATAAAAGAATTGGAAAGATAATCTTGAAATGATGAAAATAGAACCATTATTCATTACTTGATATTTTAGTCCTGGCAACGTAACAGTAAATTTGATCACGTTTCCTTGAACAATGCTGGCAACAAAGAATCTTGGAGCTGTCCAGGTGTTCAACTCGAACTGTCTAGCTGCTCCCTTGATCGTGTTATAATTCAATCCGTAAGGATTTTTTATTTCTTGATTAGGATCCTTATCTGTAGGTGAATTAGACTGCTGAACAGGAGCAGTTGTGAATCTGATCCTCGAGGCAGGTAAGAAGTATGTCGCAATAAGCCTGTTCCAATACTCGATGGTAGATAAATTTTCAGTAGACTCATTGGATAATTGTTCTATAAGATCCAACACTCTCATTACACCCGAATTCCCCAAATTCCTTTTCAAGATTCGAGTGTTAAGTTCATTTTGAAGCTGCTGTTGCTGTTGCTGCTGTTGTTGCTGTTGTTGCTGTTGTTGCTGAGCTGGTGGTGGTTGCCCCTGTTGGTCACTCTGGCCTTTAATATTTCTAGTGTTTCCCATTACATGTTTCTGGCCTGGCAGTTGCACAGAGACGCCTTTTTTGTTTTGATCTGATAAGGCACTATTAGGAGTAGGTTGGCTACTGCCGGGTATGGGGCCCTGTGAACCTGGCATAGGTTGGCTCTGAGGTGTTTGTTGATGAGCTATCACAGGTGTTCCATTATTAGGTAAACTTCCGGGTAATTTCTGTGCTGTATTGGAACCCATTTGCTGAGGTACTTGGAGATGATTGAACTGCCCATTTTGGTTCTGTCCCTGAGGCTGAAGCGCTTGTGAAGGGTTCAGGGATTGAGGTTGCGATCTTGGTTGAGCCTGATGTCCCATTTGTGGAGTATGGCCTTGTGAGTCTCCAGCAGAATTTGTAGAATTGGGAAGTGGTGCAGAGCTTGGCGTTGCTAAGCCAGGATTAAATTGATTTCCGCCTTTGGCAGGTCCTGTTCCAATCTGCTGGAATGTTGATGCTCTCTGCATTCCTGGTCTTCCCTGCTGTGATTGGAGCTGTGCTTGCTGCGCCTGTTGGAGTTGATGTTGGTTCATTAACTGCTGATGACTAAGTGGCATTCCGTTCATTGGAAGTGGGCTAACCCCAGAGGGGCCACTCATCGACATTCTTTGTTGCTGTTGTTGGGCCGCCGCCGCTGCTGCTGCTGCTGCAAATGCAGCAGGATTCTGATTGTACAATTGCTGCTGGACATTTGCAGGAACTGAGGTTTGTTGTTGAGGGCCCTGTTGTTGTTGAAGAGGTCCCTGTTGTTGCAACTGGGGTTGATGTTGTTGTTGATGTTGAAGTTGCTGAAGTTGCTGTTGCGACTGTTCTTGCTGGTTGATCTGTTGTTGCTGCTGTTGTTGCTGTGGATTAAGAACCATTCCATTATTCATCACCATTCCTTGGTTGTTCATCCCCATATTCATCCCCATATTCATCATGTTAAGATTTCCGTTCATATCAATAAAGTGCTTCACTATTCATCCAACTTAAATCTCTATTTGACTATGAGAAGTAGCTGCGGACGCGTAGTGATCTTCGCTAACTCGATAAAGCTGGCTGGTCGATGATTGATAAACTCAATCTTAGTTTATTTTCGGGGAAGAAAAAATCATTCCAGGTGGAACTGAGAAAATATTAGGCGGTCGCCCAGTGGTGAGCTTGCCGAAACTACTTGTGAGACATTTATTGGGATTGCCATAGGAAGAGCAGGGAATGTCTCTTACAATCTCTTATGATCTCTTACGTTTTATAACTAGCATTAATCTCTACAAACGACTTATCAAGTTATCCTTGGATTGTCGGGTAAACTACGAATCGACGAGTGACTTTTCCTTTCATACATTAGCTATTGAACCAGCAATTAGGCATTGAACAGTAATGTAGCATTACCATTGAGTGCTTTAGTATTTGTAACGTATCTAAGCAATGCTGAGTGTTCCATTGTAGGTCTCCGGGTCTTTAAGCTAGTTTTGGTGTCTACTGGCCCTTCCTTATCTTGAGTGGCCCTTGTTTTGGTCGCTCTTCTTTTCAATAACTTGTTCAAAGTGTCTCGTTTCTCTTCCTCGTCTTGTTTGTTCTTATAATCTTGACGACGTCTCGTACTTTCTGCCTTCCGTAATTTGGCTTCCTCTTCGGTTTCTTTACGCTTTGGGCGTTTCTTTTTAGCTGCCTTAAGATTCTCACCTAATGCAACTAAACTCTTGCTGTTTTCTTCTTCCATAAATCTTGCTCTTTGACGTTCTGTCATTTTGGATACATCTGGATTTGCATGAGGGTTGTACTCTTGCTCTTCATCGGTTAACAATAGGTCTGCATCCAAATCCTGAGGTCTGACACTTTTTTCTGGTAATCTACGTGCTTTCTTGCCTGTACCTCTAACGTCATCTTCTTCATCCTCTTCTTCCTCCTCCTCATCCTCTTCATAATAAGTTAATTGACGTTTCCTTACTTCTCTTTGAGGCTTTGATGAATCACTTCGCCTAGCACTGGCCTTGATAGTCAATTTCTTTGGAGAGGGTTTGGACTCTTCGTCATCATCGTCATCCCTTAATTCTAGATCGTCGTCGATGTCATCAGGATCATTAATCCGGAAATCCTCCACATCGCTGCGTTCATCATCAGTATCACCGTCTACTCGTGTCATTGCTTCGATGTCATCCACTTCACTTGATCCATCAACATCTTCTTCAGAGGAGTTTCCTATATCTTCATCGTCCAATTCTTCGTCTTCTAAATCGTCCTCCAAATCATCTTCCAACTCTTCCTCTTCTTCCTCTTCTTCTTGGTGTCCTCTCGCTGAGTTCATTCCCCTTTGAATGTGGCCACTTTCTGAGTCGGACAAATTTCCGATGTCACGTATGGCTTGTGGCATCTTGAGGTTGTTCTGAACAGTCGTAATCTTGAGATTTCAATTTTTGTTATTGCGCGCATATCTCTGTATGCTATTCACTTCAAAGATATATTAACAAAAAGCAATCTGCAACTTACTACAATCATTCGTTCGATTCAGCGATGCTGAATTCAACAATACTTCGTCATGATGCATTACTATAAACCTGGCTTCAAATAAAAAAGGATCAAGTTGATATGAGTCCTATTCAAATAATTCAAACTTGACCACTCATGAAAAGTCCCTTGATTTGCCTGATCTCATTCTTGGTGTCGACTGCAATATTCCTTTTTCTTGTCTTAGTATCCTCTGATTTGACGTCGCTAAAAAGCTCCGAACTATTAAAGTACACTAAGTCTGATCTGTTCTGAAACTCCTTTAAGGCATAGTTTGTGGTGCGATAATGAGATATTTCTGTAGTCAGATATGCATGACACCTGGCCAATGCTTCCGAGAGTTTGGTAATCTTTGTCACAAGGCGGCCCAGTTTCAACTTATCTGAATGTTCGAGCTCTTCTTCCTTGTCTTGCGCAGTCTTTATTCTTGTTCTGTCAATGTAAGAATCGTCTGTCTGAACTATAGCGTCTGCATAGAGTTTTCCATCGCCATTATTCTTGTTGATCCCAACTATCGGAATGTAACTTACCCGTCCAACTAGATTGAGATAACAATCTCTAAGACGGCCACGAAACATCTCCAAAACTTCGAGCCTTCTGGAAGCTGTGGTTTCCAAGAGTGGCTTGAGAATTAACAAGCCAATGATGTAAGCCACAGTCAACCCAATCGCTGAACCATTTGTCAATTTGATTAAGTATGCTACCAATTGGGATTTTCCGCCCCTTGAAGATCTCTTGGAGTATGAACTAGGATCATAAGCTGCCTCTGGTATTGTGAGCAATGGAATTCCAGTCATTATGATTTGATTAAAAGTACTGTTAGCTCCGAGTTGTTCAACCTACTATGTTCATGGTAACCTCGGTAAGTATCAAATATTAGGTCACGTGATTCGTGGGGTAATTTTTTGTAGAGCATCCAAGAACGATCGAATACAATAACCTACGAATATATGAAGTATGATTTTAAAAACAGCATTATGCTCAAAGCTGTTATGCTAATGAATACGACTAATAGTGGAACTAATTTTCTCTGTAAAACTTATCCTTGTGGAAGCAATTTGCCATAATTCTTTAATTTTTGTAGGAAATTTGTAAAATTCTACTATTTTAACAAGTGGGACTATGTAAATATATTGTTGATATTTTGCCTACATCAACTGATATCTAGCTATGTACATGGAAAATTGTTCTCTGTAAGAGATATTGGGACATTAATTCGTAATTGTTGAGGCCTCATTTTTGAAAGCCGATCAATCGATGACATCACTCACGCTTTGCGAAAAAGGTTTTCTTGAATTCTTCTTCTTCAACTTCTTATTATAAAAACCATGACTGTTATTACTATCGTACTTGAATTTCCCTTCTTGGCTCAAAACTTTCCTCGAGTACAGATTATCGTTGTTAATAGTGATGTCGTTTAGATTGATACTTTTCGCGTGTGAGAACCTTGACCGAGCCTTTTGGATCTCGTTTGCTATCTCTTGCTTCTCGAGCCTTCTCTCTGTTTTGCGTTTTTCACCTCGCTCCAAGATCTTGGACTCTTCACTCTCTTTAGGGATCCAACTTGAACTAAGTATTCGCCTAACGGCTTCGGGTGAAATTTTGTAGTGCTTCGCAAAGTCCACAGTTTTGAGTTGGGGCATCTGACTGCTTAAGTTTCTTATATCGCTTATTTGCTGACGAGACAACTTTCTGGTTGGATTCCAGTTGCCATACCTTTTCTTAAGTGATACCTCTCTCTTTTCCCATTCCGGAACCTTATCAATGCTCTTCTTTTCTTGTTCTCGTACCCTCTGTATAAAAGCTTGTTCTGCTTTTGAAGAATATGCTTGTCGTTGCCTGTAGAACATGAAACTTAAATTCGGAAATGATCTCCACATTATTAGACACTATTGGCGTATTTTAGCTGTTCTTAATGTATGAATTTACTCGGGGTGACAGGATCATCTCGCCTCTTTTTTGATATTTGGTCGTGTACCAATCGCGACTAGGACACTTGATCAAAAGATAAAAGTTGACACCACATGCATTACATCAGTTTAAGAAGGTGAAGCAATGATTTCTGACGACCAATTGAATACTATTACATTGACCTTTGGATTTGCATCCGTTGTCTTGATCTTAATATATCACGCTATTTCCACGAATGTGAATAACTTGAGAAACTCAAATTAAGCTGGAAAATGAAGGGATTGATCGTGTTTTATTTCTCCTTATGCTAGATCATTATGTTGGATACGTATTGATTGTTTGCCATTTTATAGGTATGATATGAATACAGGCGTTATAGTAAGTTAAAGTAGACATCCCGCTTGAGTTATCAAATCTAGTTCTTTCTTAGAATAATTCTTCAGAGTACCTGCTTTTATACACAAAGTAAGTCTTAGAATCCTCCTAATTACTGACAGTCTATAGTACTTGGAAATAGTTTCAAGGATAAGAGTATTTACGGGAATGTCATCCAAACAAAGAGGTTGAGACTCGCCCAGGACCCTAGCTGACAGAAATATTGACAAGATGTAAGATTCAAATCAACTTCTGTATTGTAATTTGCACTAAGGATGAATCACAACTACAAGCCAGTTACTTGTGATTTACACTTTCAGTATTCGCTCTTCACGTTTAGAAAACTGGAAAAGAGGAGAACTGGGTAAGACTTTTAGAAGCTACGAGCAATTGCTGATATATCTTAAAAAATTGAATATTCGTTGGGAAATGTCACATCTAAACATTCTGTTTGGAGGCGTTCTAGATTATGTTTTCTACTCTGTCATGGGGTCGATCTCTGAGTGGGTGGACCCGCCTGACTACATTTTTTGGATTTCGCACGCCAGAGGTGGGCGACGCTCGAATATAGCTGATGATGAGGAACGACGGAGGAACAGAGGGAGACAGCAGCCTTTTTGATAATCTACCTGCACTAGGCGTGAAAGTGGCTTTGGTGTATAACTGAAGCAGAGGTTATTTTGCGTGATAGATTCTCAATTACAAGTCAAAAGAGATCTTTAGAGATTATACCAATACATTAAAGACCAGTGATAAACAACAACATTCAAGTTAAGATAGTCTAACAGTTGCCAGATAGTTGAATCTAATAAGCACAGATGTATGGCAACACTGAGGATATCCAGTCAGGTACAAAGGATGTATCTATGGTAGATGTATCAGCGGTGAACAAAACAGGTGACTCAAAGGAGGAACACGCAGCACCACCTCAAAGAAGAAAGTCGACCTTGCTTCTCAATGATGACATTGATTTGGACCGCATGAACATAGACGAAGGTAATAATCAAGACAGAATGAATATCGACCAGTCATCCACTCAGCTCGCACTGCAATCACAAGCACTGACACAGTCAGAATCTCATAGCCAATATCTGGCACAGTCACAAACCTCAGCACATGGTAACAATTCGCATCAACAAGAACTGTCTCAACCGATAGAGCCCACGATAGATCCAAATGTAACCATTCCAGTTGAAATTAAATGGGTTCAAGGAGGAGAAAAAGTGTACGTTACTGGTTCGTTTACTGGTTGGAGGAAAATGATAGGGTTATCGAAACAATCAGACAATAATTTTTCCATAACTTTAGGATTACCAGTTGGAACTCACAGGTTCAGATTCGTCATAGATAATGAACTCAGATTTTCAGATTTTCTTCCTACAGCAACTGACCAAATGGGTAATTTTGTCAATTACGTTGAAGTAACTCCTGAGCATATCCGGTCGCATTTGGCCCAAGAACAGCAATTGGGCGAGGTGGAGAATAACAATGATCTGACTCAACAACTGTCGCAGCATCCTACTCGTAAATCATCCGTCTCGAGAACTGCTACCAGAACTGACTCAATGTGGGGTTTAACGAATGATGATGACGATATGGGCAATGGTTACTCCAGATATCATGACGATGTCGATGCAGATGAAAATGGAAACAAAAAAGCATTCCAATATATTAACGATATACCTCCTATTTTTACTGACCCTAAGGTTATGGAGCAGTACTACGTTGCAATCGATAAACAATCAAAGAGTTCAAATGGTCAACAAGCTTGGCTCCACCCTCCTCAATTACCTCCACATTTAGAAAGTGTGATTTTGAACAACTTTAATTCAAATGACAAGGATAATAATTCAGGAGCTTTACCCATCCCAAATCATGTTGTGTTAAATCATTTGGCTACAACCAGCATCAAGCACAACACTCTAGCAGTTGCATCGGTTGTGAGATACAAAAGAAAGTATGTTACTCAGATATTGTATGCCCCTTTGCAGCAATAATTTGATTTGACTATCGGCAGATTCAACCATGCTTATAATTAATCTTCTGATTCCCAAGTAGTCTAAACAATTCTAAGTCGAATTATTTATAACTTTTTAGCGAATCAACACATTTTGGTCTAAGTTCGCGTAAAGCGTATGGTGTATTCGACTTATTTTACGATACTACAGAAGTAAATTGAGCTGCATGCAACACAACCAAAAATTATGTAACTGATCTACACGTCTTCGCAAAGTCATTTAGTTGTCATTCATATAGATATATTCATTGAACTCCGCTGCTTGGGAAGTCACAACATTTAGTAACTAATAATCGTCATCTCTGTTAGAGGATCCGTAAGAGTTTGAGTTCGATCCATAATTGGAGGAATCATTGTCATTACGTCTGTTAGACGAACCGTAAGAGTTTGAACTTCCATAAGAATCATCGTTATCATTGTTAGACGATCTTGAAGAACCGTAGGAATCGTTCTTAGAGGAACCGTAAGAATCGTTCTTGGAGGAACCGTAGTCATTGTCTCTACCAGAAGAACCGAAAGTACTGTTTCCAGATTTGTTCGATGAACCATACGAGTCAGAGTTAGAGGAACCATAAGTGTCGCTCTTTCTGCCAGATGAGCCGTAAGAGTTGTCATCGTCATCGTTTCTTCTGTTGGATGAACCATAAGAATCAGAGTTCGAAGAACCATAGTTGTCGCTCTTTCTGTTAGATGATCCGTAAGAGTCGTCATCGTTATCCTTCTTTCTGTTGGATGAACCATAAGAATCAGAGTTTGAGGAACCATAAGAAGTTGAATTAGAGGATCCGTAACTGCTCTTCTTTTCAGAACCGTAAGAGTCATCATCGTTAGAGTAGGATCCAGACTTCTTGTTGCTAGAATCATAGGAGTCATTGCTGGAACCGTAAGAGTCAGACTTAGAGGAACCATAGTTGTCACTCTTTCTGTCAGAGGAACCATAACTGTCAGTGTTGGAAGACCCGTAGGAATCCTTACTGTAGTTGTCCTTGTCGTTGTTGTCGTCGTCTTTACCGAATCCAAAAACCATTTTTAAATTTTTTGATTTGTATGGACAAGCCTAGGGCAATTGAGGCCATTATATATGTTTCCACCCACGTTACCTGGCCATGTGTGCAACTGCCTGAACAATTGTGCTCAAAAAGAAACTCCACAATTGGTATAATAACCAAAGCTGAGCCCACATAATAATGGCCACTCTCTGCAGCGAGGTGCAGGTACTACACATGTACAGTAGCTAATTCAGATTGATCGTATTCCGGCCACAATTGAATATGACGATGCTAAGTTTCACCAGGCACGATCGATTGAAATTGCCCTGAAATACGTGACATTGTCACGTATGTTGGCTGCAATTCGCTATTTTCAACCTGCATATAGCTGATTTAAGGGAGTGCAATAAGGGGTACTGATGCGGGCGAGAGGAGACGAACTGCGGCACAAGTCAATTCATGTACGTTTCACCCTGTGGGGCAACTCAGTGTTTGAGGCGAAGAATCCACGAGTCAAGAAGGAGGAGGTCAATTGATCATTAGAATAGCAGAGGAATTCAATAGACAGACCGTTAGGTTGCACGTGATTGTATAGTTGAGTGTGGGACGTGTTTGTTTGAACGATCATTTCGAAACCTGGAGTTAATTGGCATTACCCAACTAAAAATTGACGAGGGAAGAATATGCACCTAGCTGTCGTCAACAGCGCCATCGAACTTGTGACAAAAGAATAAAAACCGCGCAAATGAAACTCGTGCCCCATTGGTTTGTTTGTGTCAGTATGAATTGCCGGAGTAAGAATGTTTTCGTTGGCCACGGTATGCGTAGCCACACTTTTCGAATGCATACTGTAGTGATACTCTAAAGCGTTGGATACGATTGTTCCTATTGTGCCGTTCAATTGGATCTAGCTTGTACTGCCCTACTAAATTATCTATATACTCAATGGTTTCTATCAGCTGTACGAGGTTTAGCACGGATAATGTTATCAACTCTTAACAACACTTCAGAAGCTTCTGCAGCAGATGAAACAACAGCCCTTTTCAATTTGAAAGACTCAACAATTCCCATGTCCCTCATATCAGCAACAACTCCCTTATACAAATCCAAGCCTGAAGTAGTCATGCCATTGTAAATGGCAGATCTTAACTTCGTGACCAAGTCTGAAGAATCAAAACCGGCATTATCGGCCAAGATGGTAGGTAATTGTCTCAAGGCCCTGGCGAATGCTTCAATTGCGAGAGCCTTCTTACCAGTCTCATTAGCTGCAGCTTGGTCAACTGCCTTAGACATGATCATTTCTGAACAGCCACCTCCCAAACAAGTTTTGGTTTCTCTTGTAGTTTGGGACAACACAGATAATGCATCGTGCAATGAACGTTCAGCCTCATCCAATCCCTGTTCAGTAGCACCTCTCAAGACTATAGTACATGCTTTTCCAGCTGCAACCCCTGAGAACTTTATGAAAACATCTTCGCCTATCAAAACTTCTTCGATTAAATCACACTGGCCCAATTTCACTCTTTCGGGATTATCAAACGTAGATACCACCTCACCACCTGTCACCAATGCCAATCTATCAACACCATCGAAGTCAGCATGTTCAATTGAGTTAATCTTGGCATCAGTAAACAATTGTTCTGGATAATCGTAGATGAGTTGTCTGTTAATGAACACATTGATGCCAAATTTCTTGATCTTATCAACCTTGTTCTTCATTTTAACTTTCTCAGCCTTTTCTAAATCAGCCAACTTAGCAGTTGAATCAACTTTAAATTTTGCCCCAAATACCTTGACCTTGTCAGTATCCATGGAGGTATTGGCGATCAAGATTTTTGCATTTTCAATTCTCTTTGGCTGGTTAATACCAAACTTCTTCTCCAAGATAAAACCCTCATCTAAGAAAGAATCAGACAACTTTCCACCAGCCTTCTTGATGATTTGAATATTGTTCAAATCAGTTGAGCCCTTTAATCTCAAAATAGCATCAACGGCTAAGTTCGAGAAGAACTCTTTATCTTGTGATAAGATCTTCGATGAAAGAGTGGTTCTTGCAATGTTAACTAAATCTTTTCTGAAAAGTTCTGCATTGGAACCATTGTTCACAGAAGCTTTTTCCAATGCCTCAAGAGCCACATTACGTGCTATTCTGTAACCTTCGATGATAGTTTGGGGATGAATCTTTCTCTCAATCAACTTTTCAGCTTCTTTCAATAATTCAGAACTCAAAACGGTCACAGAAGTTGTTCCGTCACCCACTTCATTATCTTGAACCTTGGCAATATTCACTAAAACTTTGGCCGCAGGATTATCCAATGGGATAGATTTTAAAATTGTAGCCCCATCATTTGTTATCATTGATTTTCCAATGTCTGATGAACTTTGTAATAACTTGTCCATACCCTTTGGACCCAATGTCGACTTAACCAAGTCACCCACAGCTATCGCACCAACAAATGCTGACATACGGGCATTTTCAGCCCTTTCCTCAGTGGCCTGATCTCCTAAAATCTGAACAGACATACTTGAATGTAATGGTTCCCTTGTCGTTCGTTGATTCCAGATTCGAGCGCCATCGTAGTTTTTAACGTGTCGAAAAGTGTAGTGCGCCTTTCAAAATTGGCGTACTATTCGATCTTTTATATGCAGCCATCAATAACAGATACATATAGTAGCACAGATAAAGGTGCCGTCGGCAAACTGACTTCGTGAACTAATGGTCTATTATATTGATTACTTATCAAGTAGGTTATTCCCATCTTTGAGATATAGTTTGCCCTGTATTGACTGGATAGTAACCCATGTCGTTCGACTAGACAGCATGACCACAAATACTGTCAATCCACATTAGTAAAATGTTTATGAACTTACACGGAAGACAAGTGGAGCTGGTAGGTGGCTTACAGCATGTAGTTACAGATTTGGAGTAATTGACGCTTCCAGTAATTCTTAGCGAGTCACCTGACCGTCAGAAGAACAAATGAAAAGGCATGAAAACAGGCTTACGCAAACTTTTCATTGCAGCAGGCTACCGTTAGATGACAGTAATGCGATATCATTGAACACCAAGGTTACTTGAAAAGACTAATCATTGACAAATAGCAATCAAATTTTATTCATTCACAGTGAAACCAATAGACCAGTTTGAGACTAGAATTATATAGTACAACTCACGATTATCATACCATAAAAGTTGAAGTAACCACAACACACTAATTGACTAACAATCCACAGAGTTAGCATAGCATATATCCATGACCCAATATTCCACGATAACTTCTGCATCGTCTTACGATACGTATGGTGAAGATGCAGATGGTAAGAAAATTACTGATGACTGCATTGTGAAACCTGCGAAGCCAAATGACTATGAATCTCTATTCCAAAAGCTAGATGTTAAGAAGTCTGGAGAAATAACCTTGCATGACTTCAAAATGGCACTTGACAAACTAAATCACCCAATAAGTCAAAAATCAGAATTAATTCAAACAATTTTCAACGCGTTCGATTCCAATAAAGATAAAGTTATCGATTTTAATGATTTCAAAACTTACTTGACCAAAACAGACGATCAAATATTGAAAGGTTTCATCAAGATTGATCAAGATAATGATGGCAAATTGAACAAAGCAGATTTCATTCACTACTTGAAGCAGACTCTAAACTTGAAACCCACAGACTACAACATTGATTTATTGTTCAAGCAAATTGATTTCAAGAATGATGGATATATCACATATGACGAGTTTAGAGACTTTTTAATCTTAATGCCTAGGTTGGACGGATCTCGGATCAAGACAGCCTTTTCCTATATTGTTGAAGAATTAGATATTTCTTCGGATGGTGATGTCACTTTAATCAATCAGTTTCTTAACGGAATAGGGTTTTTCTTAGCAGGTGGTTTGGCAGGAGTTATTTCAAGAACTTGTACTGCACCATTTGATAGAATCAAGGTTTTCCTCATTGCTAGAACAGATTTATCATCAACTATATTGCATTCAAAGGCCCAAATTGCTGAGCAGGTTCGAAATGGAGTGTCAACTCATATAATCGAGGAAGCGCGCAAAAAGATAGCTGCTGCCGAGGCAGCCGCCAAGAAAGCAGCATCGGAATCGGCTGCTCCAAAAACGATTAGATCTCCAATCATTCAAGCAGCAAGAACACTTTGGAAACAAGGTGGAATTCGCGCTTTTTATGTGGGTAACGGTCTTAATGTCTTGAAAGTTTTTCCTGAATCCGCAATGAAATTCGGATCTTTTGAAATAGCGAAGAGGTTCTTTGCTTCAATCGAAGGGGTGGAAGACACTGCAAAGTTGTCTAAGCCATCAACCTACTTTGCTGGTGGTATTGGAGGTGTGGTATCCCAATTTTTTGTGTATCCAATTGACACCCTCAAATTTCGCCTTCAATGCTCCAATTTAGACTCTTCCTTGAGAGGAAATGCATTGTTAATACAGACAGCTAAAAATATGTACAGAGATGGCGGGTTGCGTATCTTCTATCGAGGAATCCTTGTGGGGACGAGTGGTATATTTCCTTACGCAGCCCTAGACCTTGGCACATTTTCAACAATAAAATCGTGGTTAATCAAGAGAGAGAGCATTTCGAAAGGTGTGAGGGAAGACCAAGTCAATTTACCAAACTATATGGTTTTGGGTTTAGGTGCATTCTCGGGATCTTTTGGTGCAACTGTTGTGTACCCCATTAACTTGTTGAGAACTAGATTACAAGCACAGGGTACATACGCTCATCCTTACACTTATGATGGATTTGGTGATGTTCTTAAACAAACCATTGCTCGTGAAGGATATCCCGGTTTGTTCAAGGGATTGGTACCCAACTTGGCTAAAGTTGCTCCCGCTGTTTCAATTTCATACTTTGTCTATGAAAAATTGAAGGTAGCTTTTGGATTGCATAATCACGTTAATTAATGTATTAAAAATATTCATTATGAATGTCAAAATTTATTAGATGTAAATTCACTTCGCCTATTGGTATAAATGTATTCAGTTTTGAACTCACTGTTGAATTTTGTAATTTAACCCAATCATGATTTATGAGGTCGATTGAATCTTCCATCTCTATTACAACCTTAAAAAAGAGATCGTTAGAATCGAAAACTCCAAATACTGACTGATAATCTTGTCTTGCTTTTGCATCTAGTTTTTCCGTTCTCTTCAATTCGTTGATGTGTTGATATAAAAGAGTGTTAAATTGTGAATAGACTGTGTTCCAAGTGAAATCAGGGATATCGATTTTAGCTGATAAATCTTTGGATGAATTCTGAAGGTCGCCTATCAAGTCCCCCAAGCATAGGATGAGTTCTGAGAAATGTAACACGTATTTTTTCTTCACATTTCTAGTCTTCGTGTTGTAAATGACAATTGACAATTGATCAACAGCACTGTACCCCTTTTTAAACTTCTCGTCTTTCTTCTCACGATGGATCAAGACATTTTTCAAGAAGTTTTGTAGCAAATTGTCCAAATACCCATTCAATTTGGGATTTCTATTCTTATGGATTGGGATGTTAAATGCTTTTGCCTGATCAAATAATGAGGGGCTGTAGACCTTATTATAGTATAATATCTGATTAATCCATACATTTAAAAACTCCTGCACTGCCAACACTATGCACTTTGATGACAATGGTATCATTAGGTATGCACATGTACTTCATTTAAGTCATACCTTTATACCAGGCTGTCTTTAATCTAGTGGAGAAATGATGCGTTCATAACTAGGATTTCACGTGATGGGAGTTAGGTACGCGTATGACTCCATCAGATAAGCCAAAGGCAGCTTGTGAAAGATATCGTGAAAATGATTTCAAGCATATCGCATGCAGATATCAATAAACTAACCTCAGGTCAGGTCATCATTGACTTGAAGTCAATAGTTAAAGAATTAGTTGAAAACTCAATTGATGCAAATAGTTCAAAGATCGATATCACATTTACCAACTATGGAGTGGATTTAATATCAGTCTCAGATAATGGAATGGGGATCAAGCTAGATGATTTTTCACTGTTATGCCTACGAAGTCACACCTCGAAGATAGTCGAATTTGGGGACTTGGATGATTTGAGTACTTTAGGTTTTAGAGGCGAGGCGCTCAATTCTCTATGCTCCATTTCTCAGAAGATGAAGATCATCACAAGTTATACTGAAGACCTCTCAAAGAAGCATATATTGGAGTTTGATAGAATGGGTAATTTGTCAAATCATGAAGAAAAGAGAATAGTTGTTGCATCAAGTGGCACCACCGTTATGATTGAAAAGATATTCTCAAATCTCCCAGTAAGGCACAAAAATTTCATCAAACATACCAAGAGAGAATTTCACAAAGCAATCAGCTTTTTGACATATTACATACTCATTTATCCTGAAATCAAGTTTACGGTGAACAACATTACGGTGAAAAAAAACGAAGTTCTAGTAAGCAGAGGAGGTCCAAAGTCCTCCATTTTAGACAACATGCTTACTATTTTTGGAACAAATGGAACTCGAGGATTAATCCCTATCGCTATCCAAATTAATGATGATATCAAAATTGAAGGGTATATATCGAATCATTCCTTCGGTATGGGCCGCTCAGTCCAAGATCGTCAGTTCTTATTTATCAATAGAAGACCAATAGTTCACAAGAAGTTACAAAAGGTGATAAATGAAACTTATAAGCAATTCAATCACTTACAATTTCCCGTTTTGGTATTGAATCTTAGGGTTAAGCCTCATAAACTTGATGTGAACGTTACGCCAGATAAGACTTTGATTATGATTCACGATGAACTCCATCAATTGGACCTAATACGATCCGAGATGGTAAAATTTTTTGAGTTACAAGATAATCTTGTACCTAAGAATCTTACTCAAAATTCAAGTGTCGAAAGACCAGTGTCAAGAAAAGACCAAGAGCATGGTGCAAAAAAGTGTACAGTAAATCAGAATGTTTTCAGAGACTTGGATATACAAGGTGATCCAGCACTTATGAAACAAACTTCCAAAGTGAAAAATTCTTCCCCATCTAACATCCAAGGAAATGCAAATATTCAGGAGCCAGATGTCAGTGTACTTGGTATTGTGCTAAAATCGTGTGGAATAGGCGATGAAGCAAATTTAAACGAAAATTTATCCCAGAAGGATTACCTAGAACAAAAGAGTCAGATTTCCGATGTTAGTGGTAATGAAGTTGGGGATCTGGTCAATTCAAAAGTGATAGAGCATATTGAGAATGATTCTGAGAAATTAAATGAGTTGTTTGTTCAACAGTCTCCGCCTACTGTTCAAGACGAAATGGAAGGTTTGGATTCTGAGGCAATCACAATCAAACCAGGCACTAAGCGAAAAAGGTCTCAATTTGACTCTGATCCACTTGAAAATACCATCAAAACTGGAACTCTTGATTTCTCTCCAGACTCCAGACTTAAGATCTTCTCCGATGCTGTGAACTCTGAATCCCCTCCGGCGACTGGTTATTTCCCTGAGTTAGAACGTATAGCGACCAGCGTTACTACACGCAATAAAATAGGGAATGATAACAAGAGGGTCAAGAAAGATGATAAAGTTCATAATTTGACGTGTTTGATGGATTCTAAATGTTTAATCTTCGAAGAGCCAAACACTAAAGGAATTGAATCAAAAAATTGCAAAAAACAAATTTACATTGACAATATCGAGTCACACCAGGAACAAGAGAAAAAATTGACTTACATAATAGCGAAGAAAGATTTTTTGAGAATGAAACTCATTGGCCAGTTCAACTTGGGATTCATACTAGTTTCTTTAAATGATCAAAACTTGTTCATTCTTGATCAACACGCTAGTGACGAAAAATACAATTTCGAGAAACTTAATAGAGAATTCCAATTTGAGCACCAGAGACTAATTGTTCCAAAGTTTATCCAATTAAGCGTCATTGATGAAATGCAAGTGATTGAAAATCAAGATGTATTCAAAGCAAATGGTTTTGAATTTGAGATTGAGGATAGTGCAAAACCTGGGTCTCGGATAAAGTTATTATCACTACCAGTACTGAAAAATCATACCTTTGATGAGGATGACTTTCATGAACTAATCGATCTAATTAATGTCAACCATGGAAACGGATATGTGAGGTGTTCAAAGATTAGAAGTATTCTTGCCATGAGAGCATGCCGAAGCAGCATAATGATTGGTCAGTCATTGTCAAAAAAACGAATGGGCAACGTTGTCAAAAGTCTTGGAGCTTTAGAAAAGCCGTGGAACTGTCCTCACGGCCGGCCAACCATGAGACACTTAATAGAGTTGGAGAACTGGAAAACGACTGTACCAGATTACGCGTTGTAGCGGATTTATTCTGATATGCGGTTTTGTGTGAACGCGGGGTAATTTCGCGGAGTAATTCGCAGAACCCTCTCCTGATCAGATTTCATGTACATGCACAATATACTTCAAAAAGTAAGTAGCTTCCTCCCCTGTTATTGCATTTCATTTTATTTTTTCCTTTACTTCGAACCGAAAAAAACTATAGAGTATTTGGTGGAAATAGTATACGAATGGGCACATGACATAATGGTGTGATAATTTAGTTTTCCTAGACATCCTCAGTGTTTCCTGATAGTAGAGGCCAACGCAAATGGTCAAGCCCTAGTCATCTAAGCGTTACCCCCCCAGCTAGATCGCCAAATCGCAATTTCAACTTCTTAAATTAATGTTACTACGTAGACACCATCGAAGCATATCGTTGTGGCCACCCTCGGTAATTTTTGACTTCTTTCTTTGCGAAGCACAAAAACTTTCTGGTCAAAATTTGGTGCGCAATCTTTCGATATCATCATCAATATACACATCATTTTGACTTCGAGGGTGCTGGATCACGTTCAAGTAATCAACTATTGAAGTGGGTGTATAGAACGAGTCTATCTCGTACCAAGGATTTAAGGGAATCGTTTGACACTACTCATAACGTATTAACCATTAATTTGGAGCACATCAAGAAGCAACAAGTCAACCACAAGAGAGGGTCATCAAAACCTTATGGTCAAGAAGGTCAACATTACGCTAAGTATCAGCTGGACAAATGTCGTACTCAACAACAAGTCGTGTTCCTGAGAGGAAATGCCGTCGTACACATAAAAACTCAAAGGATGGATGTCCAAATTGTAAGGCCAAGAGAATAAAATGTTCAGAGGAATTACCATCCTGTCACAACTGCGTTAAAAAGAAGTATCGCTGTGGATACCTAGATTTTCCTAAGGAAAAGCTAGACCATATCAAGAAGAAGAATGAAATGAAGGTAAGTCGATCCACAGTTGTACCGAATGATGTGAAAGGAGATGTTCGGGTCAGGAAAGAAAGGGATTTTCACTACACGAAAACAAGATTAGAAAGTATTCATATAGATGGCAGGAACTTAGGGAATTCTCGCTCTGATTTCACAAATTTATCAAGTCAGGCCAAAGATTTGAATAGCCAAGATTTTGATGGAACTCAATTTTCGTCAAAAGGACATGTTGTCCAAGATCAAACTTTCTATTCAGGAGACATGAGGTCTATAGGAGACTTACCACTTGAATCAAAGAGAGGAAGTTTACAGTTCACGGAATCTGGCCTGGATTCAACGCCTATCAGTGGATCAACAACATCAGTACCCATTAGCAACAATTCACCAAGTATTCTGGAAAAGTCAAGAGATATTTTTGCAATGGTTTCTCCCATAACCAATACTATAATTGGGCAAGAGTTTTTCACTACTAAGGATGATTTGCGAATGGCTGTTTATAAAGATTCATTTACCAAGTTGTCTCATTTTGAAAACTCAAATCCACAAAATTTGATTCCACTAACGGAAAATCAGCATTATCTCGATTCTTTATCAAACCACCTGGACATTGATAATGATGTTGAGATCAGCAGTGATGGAAGCTTTGAGAATGCGCAAATCCGCTTTGATCGTCATGTCAGATCTACGATTGATGAATCTCATGGAGATAATGTTGACTATTCTGTTGAAATGAATGATTTTCATACCCCAAATACTAACACTCATGAACTCAAAGACGGAAAGAATACAATGCATTATCCTATGACACAAATGGAGACAGATGAACCAAATCCCTCTGGACCAAAAGTAGGCAATTTATCTGAAACTCGCTCACACAAAAATCTCTTGCCTAAACTTACACACAACAACATTATAAATCCGTATTCACCTCCCAACGCTGCTAAGATTGGAAATTGTCTATTGAATGCAACTGTGAAACCTGTCACTTTCAAGAAATTAGACAGAACTGAACGATTGAAGAACCAGTTTTTGAGCAATTACTTGAACAATTTGGGCAAAGAATTCAAGATGTTTACAAACACGGATTATTCCATACTGTATAGTCCAGTGTGGAATTTCCAGAATTCTGATGAGTTGTGGAGATCTGTCTATAATCAGAGTGTCCTTATTGATGTATACTTCAACTTCTTTATGGAGCGGTCCATTAATGTATTAATGAGAAAATGCATTCAAATTCTTGCAGTTGAAGATGCGCGGAAGGAGAAACACAACAGTTCAATGCATAGTCCTCATTCATTGCTGGTGTGGACATCGTTTACTAAAAATGATTTGGATTCCCTTACCAAGAAATCATATTCATATTATGGTACATTGATAAGAAGTTTGAGAGAGTCCATGACCCAGATTCATATCGAGTTCCCAACGAAGATGTCCCTTTTTAGCTCTTGGTCAACGCTATTACAATTGCATTCGTCGATAGAAACGCTTTGTTTGATGTTTAATGGGACTGCCTCTTTGATGAACAAAATAGTGCATGAGGTGACATCATTTGATCAAATTACCCCAACCTTAGCTGTGTTGGCAAATTGCTTCAATGATCATACTGTGACCTCTCTCATTCCTGATTACAAGTTTGATGTGATACGAGACCTTTATAAAGATTTGAATGATTACAAACATTTTTTGATTCGGAACCAGGATTTAGCTTCAACTACCAACGAGTTGTTACTTCGAGACTTCTTGAATCTAGAGGTTTTCTTAAAGCAATTGGTTGAAGAAATTTACCCCTTGATTATCAACATTAATAACCACTACAAATCCGAGAATCTGATAGTTGATCAATCCAACAATATTTATTTTACATCACCAACTTTATTTTTTAACATTCTTGTTACCTGGCTTACTAACATACCAAGCGAATGTTTAACTATCGGTTCAAAGATGAGTCCAGTAAAAAAGGTACTATATTTGTTTTATATTGCGGTTGGAAAAGCGTTATTGAACGTTTTTACACCATTGAGGTCCCTTCTCATAACCGACCCATTATCCCTAATGTACCCAAGAGTGGACTTTGAGTGTGAAACTTACAAAATTTCATTGAAAGATCTCAATTCAGATTTGAAACAATTTCAGTACTTCACTAACTTATCTAACAAACTTTTGCGTATGGTCAAGTTTTTCAATAATAGAAATGAAATTTTGTCTCATTATTTTGCTTCTAGGTCGGTTTTGGCTAGTACCGAGTACCGTTCATATATTGAAATGGAAAGGCCAGCTTCGAGTGCAAAATTCCCATACTTGGACATCATCAACTTTAAACCGAAGAAAATCGATACCAATGAAATTATGATCACCAATTTTGGGAATGCCGACACAATTAACATCTCAAATTACCCCTTAATGAATGAATTGCCCCTTGATACTGATCCTGAGACCCAAACGACCTTATACAATCTAATTCAGAATGAAGAGATTAATCAACAAATCAGAATTAATAACATCTCTCTGACAGCACCCAATGATTTCAAATACGATGTTGGATTATTCAAGTCAGATTACGATGTTCGGGCACCATTGGAATTCTACGCAAATTACAAAAGGTTCAATTACTCTGTCAAAGAGTCTCACCTTCAAGAAATCAGGGTGAGAATGGAGAATTTTGCTATAGCAAGATTAGAAGTGGAGAAGGCTGTGAAACAAAGTAGAATGAGCCAAACAGAAAAGTAGAAACGTTGTTAGAACAAGTTAAGATGATAGTCTGTCTTAACCTGCTTAACAGGATGTCATGAAAAAAACTACGTGCTAGAAAGACTGGAAATACAGTGTTAATACGGGCCGGAAATTTTCATACTAAGCTTCAATTAAACTATACCTCCCGTAATCATGAAACTGGTGCTAGCGAACGGTTAGCCCTGTAGAAGATGTACATTGTTCGAACATACAAGGATTTCTTTATTTTCCTTCCTAAGTAAAAATTTCTGAAGCGACCGGAATTCTGACAAAAAATAATGCTCTATGTGATTGACAAATATACTAGAATATATCAATCATGAATATTAATGCAGTTAAATTTAACGATAGGTACGTGGATGGTCTAGGAAATAGCTTTCCTTTAGAGCCCGAAGAGATGACATTGGAATGTGAGATGACTTCTTTAGGGGATGTTTCGATTTTAGTGAATTCAAAAGAATTAAGGATTCAGCTCTGGGCATTGAAATAGCGAATAATGGATCAGAAATGGAAATGAGTGAAGAGGACTATGAAATGGATGATATCGATGCAACAAATATTAAACATGCAGGATTCAAGAGAGGTCCATATAATTATTATTCTGTTGCAGTGAGAAAGGTTCTAGAACTTGGTTATTGAACAAGGGTGCTCGGTTTATCGGGCTGCGAAATTGAATGACATCTATTTTTTTGAAGAAACTCATCCAAGAAGATGCTACCGTGACTTTGAACTTTATGCAACAGAGTCTCAAGAGAAATTTTGAAGATGCAAGAGCTTGTATATCAACAATACACAACTTATGACTAAGGAATGTAAATTCAGTCTCTGTGTTTTTATTGATAAGCTGGATTCAATAATGAAACGAGAATATGGGTGGTCTGCTGTTGGTGAAAACATAATCTCGTTTACTAAAAGCGTCATCAAGAAATTAGAAACAAACGAGGAACTTTAAAATAAAACGTTCTAACCTAAGTAAAAAGAAGCAACACTGTAAGTGCATCTTATCAATCATGGATATTTTTACTTTAGTGAATTCGAGAGTTTATTAAGCATTCCATTCTGAGCAGTGAAATTGCGAATGTTGAATCCATATTTCAATCTTGCATCTCCCTCTTTGGTGACTGCCGTTTCGACCTTACAGTAATCAGTGTACATGGAGGTACACCTTGTTACTAATCAGGTACTTCACGCAAAAGTCAATCAACCAGTTCGGACGGGTGTATGACTTTTGATGAGGGCTATGTAGGGAGTCATAACGATGTAACAAATACTAAAGGTGGAGTATTCACAAGAGGTCTGCATAAAAAGTCATAGCTGTATCAATAATGATATGAAACAAAACCATGGGAATGTTCGTATAAGAACTAGAGGATTATTAGATAATGAAACTATGTTAGTGATGACTGGATATCTTCCGAGTATTGAGTTATCGAAATATTATAACAGTTAAGCATCATTTAAATAATTCAAATGGAGGGATTATATATGTAATGCTTATGCTACAGGGTGAATGAAGTATACCAATCTTATTGTTTTCATCAAACTGGTTCGTTTCTTGAATGTATGGATCCTCGTTCAAAACAGTTGCTCTCACCCTTTGAGAAATCCGGTTCACAGGGAAGTTGAATTTTCTGTCGATTGTCCGAAGCTTTCCATACATGGGCCAGGATAGTATTCATCTTCAGAGGCGCATCAGCCTTCCCCATAGTTTGTAAACAGTGACTTGTTGCTCCAAGTGTATGGTTTTATCAAAATTTCAATTATAAATTCTACAGATTCTTCAATTCCTAAAAAGAATGCACCCACAAAATTCTATTCCCTAGGAGTTACCAACCCAGCCCACCCCAATTATTCTGTTATATACCATTAAATTTTCTAAAGAATTCATAGGAATTGAAATTACTATTAAAAGACAAATAATGCAAAGCTCTAGGCCACTTGACTAATTCTACATGCTTACTCTAATACTGCTGAAGTTCTTACACTCTGGACTCAGTGCCACACAATGCCATTCGTAATGTTCATACACTTAAATTAATATACCTTTCAACAACAAGAATGCCATCAACATGTATTAAGAATTCAGCAAATTGAAAATACTACTATAAACTATAAAAGATAATGGTTCGAGTAGATGAGGTTTTGAAGATTCAATTAATCAATTACTGATTCACGCCCTGTTGTCGAAGTATAATTACTACTTCACCTATTCAATATTTTTTAGTATTGATGAATGTACACAGTGACTAATTTTGTTGTTATTAGTGATCCTTGGTAAGAGAATTCATTGGCAATTTAATATCTCCACCTCCTCTTAATATCGACCTACATTTGAGTTTTGAGATGTAAAATAACATTCACTTCGATAATCCTAGGGAGCTGATTTTACAAAAAAGATTCGGCATATTAATTAATTGAAATCAATGAATTGACAAAAAATGTTATACACGTAGTAATCATGTGTAGGTTGATATCTTGTCTAATGCTCTTTTGATGCTCTCCTTTATTTGCATAATTACATTAAAGGCTTATATTTATAGCAGAATATTCAATATCGTTTAATCAGAGCAGTACAGAAAATCCAAGGTTTGATTATTGAAATACTTCATGGTATGTGGAAGGAATACGTATCGAATTAAGCTGCGTTTTAATTTTGGGTTTCAAAAAACTGAACGATACATGGTAAGGAAGTTGAAGAATTTTGTTCACTTTACATGTCCAGAGTAAAAAGACTGACAGTATGCTATATAGTTTCAATTGCACCTTCGGTTCTTTTTCGTTGTGGCGAGAACAAACGGTTTGTTGATGTTTGAAGACACTTACTTTAGGCATCCCTGTTTAAGACTCTTTAAGGCCCAGGGGTTTGGTTGTAAGTACCGGTCTACTAGTAAAAACTACGCAGCTTGTCTACAATTACGGGTACCCATACTGGCCTCGAATTGTACTTTCTATTTCAGGTCCTTTTTGTTTATGTAATCTTAGTTTTGTGTAATTTTTGATGATTTAGTCGAAAGTTGAATTCAACTTAGAAGATTAGTTTTAATGTCTTCCTTAGTATCAGCTATAAAAATCCCTGCCACTTCTAAACCAGCCAAGTCTGCAATAATATTCGTTCATGGTCTTGGAGATTCAGGAGAAGGATGGTCTTGGTTTCCTCAATTGGTTCGTCAACTTGGTATTATTAAAAGTAGGGATTCAATCAACTATGTATTTCCAAATGCTCCTTCCATGCCAATTACAGCAAATGGTGGCTACGTGATGCCTGCTTGGTTTGATATCTTTGCCTTTGGGAGTTCGGATAGCCCACAAGATATTCCTGGATTCCTAAAAAGTTGTGAAGTTCTTAAGAGCTTGATAAAAGAGCAAATTGAGGTAAACAACGTTCCACCTGAGAAGATTATTTTGGGAGGGTTTTCCCAGGGTGCAGCTATCTCTTTGGCAACTTTATCTTCATTGGATTTCAAGATTGGAGGTGTGGTTGCCTTGTCGGGTTTCTGTAATATACCCGAAACTGTTAAGAAAAATCACAACAAAGATGGAGTCAATTTTGAAACTCCAGTTTTTCAAGGTCATGGAACTGAAGATCCGTTGGTTGCCTTGTCTTTTGCGCAAAAAGCTTCTGAGTTATACAAAGGTTTGGGTTTTTCAAAGTACACGTTCAAGACATATGCTGGTATGGCACATAGCTCTAATGAAGCTGAATTGAATGATGTAATGAATTTCATCTCCAAAGTTATTGACTCATAGTATCGAAATGAGGGACCATGGTAGGTGATACTTTTGAGCAACTTCGGCCTAAATCTAGATAGCATATAACACCGTAATCTACCATCAATACATTTTAGCCTAACCGATCCTTTTGGGCCTCGACGTGAGTGAGTACTTGGGGTGTACATACATTATTGTAGTCGTGTGTGGAATAATATGATGGACCAGATCATTGCGACAACTGTCAACCTGCTACAGTAATTCAGCACACTAATGGAAGCTAGTAAGCGGCCAAGTCATACCTCTAAGTCAATTCCTTCGATGGTAAAAAAGTTTGAAGAAACACAATTATCATCCAAAGATAAAAGGTACATTCAACAAGTCGAGAAAGTGTTGTCTTCATTTGACTCTCTTGAAGAATGGGCAGATTACATTGCATTTTTATCAAGATTGCACAAGTCCCTACAGCTAGCAGATGATAGGAGAGGATATCATTCTCTTTCATGGATCCCAAGTTCTTCTTTGGTAGCAAATAAACTAGCATTATGTTTATCATCTAGGTTACCAAACGGCGTCCATCAAAAAACCCTTAGCCTTTATGAGTCCATTTTCAAAAGTCTTTCAATTGAGAGCTTCAACAGTGAATTGTTCGTTTGGTTGCCTGGTATATTCCCCCTTCTTTCATACTGTTCGATTCAAGTCAAGCCTCAATTGATTAAGATTTTGAGGGAGGATGTGCTTGCAAATTTATCCCCCAGTAACTTGAAAGTTATAACTAAGCCCTTGATACTCAGTTTACTTCCAGGACTTGATGATGAAAACTCTGAAGTATTCACAGAAATCATAGACTTGGTGGATGAGTTCAAACTGCGGTTAGCAGATGATTCACATTTTTGGCAAAGTATGTTCCTTTGCATCATAAGCAATCCAGAAAAGAGATTAGGTGCCTTGTTGTGGTGCAGCAGGAGACTTCCTGTACTCACAACCATCAAGAATAATGGTTTAAATCAATTTTCTGAGGAGGCACATGCATGTCTATCACCTGAACCGGGCCTCTTGATAAGGGCATTTGCTACTTCAATTAGTGGAACTTCAAAAGGATTGAACTCTGCAAGTGATGTGATTGTTATAAGAGGCTTCTTTGACTTGCTAATGACACATTTGCCTTTAAACAGTGAAGTTTTCAGAAGTCATGTATTAGCAAAAGATAAAGAGCTTTTGATAATGGCTTGTTGCAGGGTTACGTTAAAGAAGGATATGAGTCTAAACAGAAGACTATGGAACTATTTTCTCGGACCAGAGCTTGAGCTCGATAATCCCGTGAAGAATGATCGTTCAAAATACTTTGAAACCCATGCATTGGACACCTTATCAACGGGATTTTTAAAGATGATAGAAACATCGAGCATTAAGAAAAAAATTGAAGCTTTTAAAATTTCATTATCGATAATAATGGACAAATGGGAAATCAGTAATTTGGTAACTCCGAGGCTATTCTCTCCATTTTTGCAAGTTTGTTTTGAATCAAGAGAGAATAAAGAAATTCTAATTGCAGGTCAAATGTTTTTCGATGGAATTGAATCTTCCTTTATCTGGGCTTATATCACAGATATTATCCTAAAAAAAAATGATGAAGACTTGAAACTCTTAGAATTTGTTTTGAGTACATTCAACTTTAATGAAGAGGAAATGATAACTATGCATGCTCCGCTAGCTATTATATGCTTGTTGTCTGATCCCCATTTATCGGTGCAAAGAGTTTCCATACTTGAAGTTTTATTGAGCTTAGTTCCACAGCGCGCATATACGCCTCTTGGATCAACCGAGACTGTTTTTTCAAGTCAACAATTGGTAAACACTATCACAATGTACTATGACAACAGTTTGATAGATGAGAATACTCAAAGTCCTTTTAAAGGAGAAGAAATTACCAATTTAGTGGTTGACCTAATGAAGAACGCACTTATTACGGGAATCCAAGATATAGACAAATCTTACCGACTCTCCTGTCTATTATCTGATTTGTTACGTACAATTCCCCAAAAGCATGGAGATATCTGGTTCAGTTCAGAGCTTGTTTCTGCAATTATTTCACTTCCTAAGAGTAGATTTGATATTGATGACGACAGCAAATTGAAATCTAACGCATTAATTTCATTAGGAATAGCCAAGGTTTTCAACTACATGTCTAGTTCCCTATCCACATCTATAAAAGAAACTATTCTTGGATTAGTTATTACAAACATTTGGTACTCCGTCTACTCAACTCAACCTGGAAACTATCAATTTGAGTCGGTGAAGGCAATATATGAATTGCAGCTTACATGTCTGCAGTACAAAATTGAGGCTGGAATATTACACTTGATGAATCAAGTTCCATTAGTTGATCGGATACAGGCTTTTTCAACGTTGTGGATTCATTCAACATCGATTAACGATGGGGACTTGATTCTATTAAGACCGTTGCAACTTATCTTGAATGAGTCTGATAAAAGAGTTGGCTCTACTGGAGTCATTGATTTTGTAAAGAATATTGTTGTGAAGAATGGTTCAACGAATAGACTTTTGAAGCTAATTACAAGTCCCTTGCTCAATTTTGAACTTATGAATTCCTCGCGTCTTGATTTGAAGATTGATGATGATCTTGGTCAATTTACCTACCACATTAATACTATACTTAATGTCTGCAGAACAAACCCAAAACCTTTGAAAGATGCCTTTAGTCATGAACTTGCTGTAATGGATTCTGGCACTAAATTGAATTTAATCAAATCCAATAATTGGGACATTTCTACATATAAGTCACTTGTTTGTTCGGTTATTAGCAAGTTTTTTCACTTGAGAATAACACAGGCACTAGTCGCTGATCAGAGTTTTCTTGAGGAATATCTTGATTGTATTAGCAATTGTCTTGAATTGTTGAAATTTTTGTTAACCGGAAACGAGCAAGAATTTGTATCAACCTTTCATTTATTGGTATCCTCATGTTCCTATTGTTTTACCATCCATAATAGTCTGTATACCATAGAGTTGATACAAACCCGGTTTTTGGATTGCATTTATCACTTTTTGGAAATGTCAGAAGATTTGAAAATCAACCTTAATTTATTACATGTGGATGATGAAGGCAAAGACTCATTGTTAATTAGATTCATAATTGATGGAATCACTCATTCTAAGACCTCATTGCTACTTGAAAGTTGGTTGTCACTTTTAACCCGTTCTTTGTATTTATTTAATGAGTCGGTTTTCAGCGTTTTATTCACTTTGAATGACTGTATCATTAAAAAAATTGAATCTTATTTTTATATGCTTGAACGTCAAGATAAATTTGATGATCTAGTTGATGTCGAAGCCTCCACAAATACTTTGATTTCAGGTCTTGAAAGTTTATTGTCAATAAGCCATAGCTTCTTGTTGGCATCCAGTATCAAATTCAATAAAGATAAGGCTAACTCAAATAATGAAACGGGATTTTTTGGTTCGGTGATTCAAGGTGTATTTCTGATCGAGTCCCCAGCCATAAGAACTTCGGAGCAGAACAAGTTATTTTCCATTTTGCTCTCTTTCCAAGATGCAGTGAAGGTTTGTTTCAAATTATGGCAGTGGGCGGATTCGAAGCCAGCTATTATTGTTCAGGGCCAAATCGGTGAGAAGTCGCAGATTTATCTCGCGCATAAACTTAAATTCAGAGCCAGAAAAATGCTTGAATCCTTGTTGGACTTGGAGAAACAGGAAGTAATAGAAACTCTTGTTAGCGTTGATGGTTCTATGTCTTCTGCGATAAAATTACTCAATATATTAGATGGTGGGAGATCGCAGATTACATTGCCCTTTTTGTTCGACTCTATCATTACCAGGTGCTATCCACCTTTATTGGAAGAATCTAAGAGATCTACCCTCAATATTCCAATCACAGAGAAAGATTTATCTAACTTTTTGGTTTCCTATTTTGAATCGATAGATACTGATACTATTTCGGACATTTGGGACTCCACTATCCAATTCTTAAAGAATGTATTGGCTCATTCCAATCACTTTAAAGCAATTTTACCAGATTGTCTCAAAGTTGTAAAAGTGTTATCAGTTAAAATATCATCCTCAGGGTTGAGAGAAAAGAGTAAGAGTAAAAGAATCTTATCAGAAATTTTCATAAAAATGCTAACGAATATGGTGTCTGGCAAAAGCGGAAACTTAGATCTTTCTGATTCGGAGAAGGAGGGTGAAGATAATACACAAGTTCCTGGTGTGGGTAACTCTTTGATAATTCAGGATGATACATTAGATGCGTTGGTTGTTGTTCTTGAACATTTAGACATTATAATTGAGGATGCTGACAAAGCATCAGCGTCCCTCAATGTTATCATAGCAAATTTGGTGACTCCTCAAATCAAATCTAAGAAAATTAACGAAATATCTTTCAAGACCCTTGCGATAGTGGATTTGATTGGAAAGTATAATCCAAACAAGACTTGGAAGAATCTTGTATCTGACTCCTTTATGGACTCCAGTTTTTTTGAAATGAATACAACTAAGTTGAAACTTTGGAATTCTATTATCACAACCTGGATTTCGATTGAGAAGGAGAAGATCCATGATTTGATATTAAGAGTCACTCCATTGGTCCTGAGTTCCCCAAGTAATATATTTACATGGAATGAAAATTCTGAGATTGAGAGCAAAATACAGTGTATGAAAAGAATTGCATACCTTATTTTAATCCAGCCAAAAGATTATTTCTTGAATTATTTGGACGTTATATTCAGGCGTCTTGAAGATTCCCTCAACACAACCTGTCCTCCATCTTATAGATGTGAGATTGCAAAGTTGTTACGTGCTATTACTCTTAAGTTTGACGAAATTCATTTGTTGCCTAGGTGGACAGTAATTTGTCATGAGTTAACAGCAATTTTTGACCTAGTGTTGGCGAGAAATGTAAAGGATTCAAACGTATTTAGCGAAGAAGAATTACAGTTGATATTACACGGTTGCAAATTGTTGGATCAATTATTATTACTCGGTTGTGATGAGTTCAATTTGAATGAGTGGCTATTTGTTTCTAGCAACTCCGAGATTATTAATGGCTCCTCACGAACTTCTATTATTGCTGCAGTTGATAGAATTTCTAACGAAAAGGACTTGACTAATCTCAAAGATCAACCAATTACGATTGAACAACCCCAGTCCCAGGAAGAACTATCCCTTTTGCTTCAGGGAATTAAACAAATTGACAGTATAACCCAACTAAGACTCTTTTTTGATAATTTGAGTCTTATCAATTATGAAAGAACGTATGGCTTATTTGAGGTGAACTACAAGCGTTGTGAGGATGATATTCTCAATGACCTTGTTTGATATTGGTCACGTGAGTGTTTTGCAATATATTTTGAGCGCGATTAATCTGTAGAATCGGAAAAATCAACTTTCATTAACAAACAATCTAAAGGGAAAGAAGCATTCATGTCAGAAAGTGATGAAGAGTTCGATGATACGAGGATCGAAACACCGAGGGCCCTCAGGAATGATATTTCTCATCTAAATTCAAGCGCTCATTTCTTAGAAAATGAGAATGAAGAATTCACTAAAGCCACCGAAAGCCAAAGAACTAGCATCAACATACCATTGAGAGATTCGCCAGCGTTTCAATTTTCACAAATAGGTCAGCGATCGAAGACTCTTGGAAGTACAAATGGCACCCCGAAAAGAAGAACTTTTAACGAGCATGTGAGTGTATCATATTCATTACCTACTGAATCCAAAGAGGTAATACCGTCTGAAACTGTGGAACTACCTTCGAATAAGGGATATGGTGGATCCCATGGAGAAACTAATAATCAGCTTGTTTATTCTAGCCCGATAAGAAAGCAGAGTTCACGTCGGCCAATTTTCAATTCACCTCCATCCAATTTGCAAATTCAACCTTTGAGATTTGATGAAAGTTTACAACAGCGAAGAAGAAAGAGTAGTACACAAAAGTTTGAAGTCAATGACCTGGCCAATAGATCTGTGAACAGAATTCAGCTACCAGAAACTGAATTGTCCACAAAAACTGAAGATATCGTCTCAATAACAAAAAAGCATGATAAGGAAACTCCTTCACCTACATTCACTGACAAGAGAATGGATAAAGGATCGATCTCGAAGCAAAATTCTTCGCGAAAGGATGGCCCTGAAAACAAAATGGAGACAGAGTATATGGAAATATCGCGTGCAAACTTGCTTGAAAGAGTTAATCAGACTTTAGATTCAATATCGTCGCCTGATCACCGGCGTTTCAGTTCACCCCGCTTATCTCAGGAAGCTGTAACTGGAAAAGCAGTGGAAATTGATTCTTCTTCAAGTGACTCGGATGCCTTTGTTAAAGATCTAAACATAGTCAAACGCAATAGAAGTCCAATTCTCGGATACTCAACACCAAAAATTGATGTGAAAGGTACAACAGTTCTACAAAATAAAGAAGCCATCAACAGTGAACTATATTCGGACTTAAGAGGGGAATCTACTTTAACAAAAATGTCACCAGAAACCAAATTAAACCCTTCAAATAACGAACTAAATGGACAAATTGCACACGGAAAGTACTCATTTTCACACGAATGGTCCCCAAAGAAGTGGAAAATGCTTTTCAGGATTGTACAACTGAACAAAATCAGCATCGATGATGCAATGAATAGTCAAATTTTGATTGAGGAGCTCGGATGCACTAGCAAACATGAATTAAGACAAAGGATAAACTTTTTGCTTAAATTTGATAAGTTGAAGCGGAAAAAGGTCCCAAATTCAACTAATAGAAGAATTCATAAGGATTAATGCTCAGTATATGTATTGGGCGGGTCCCTTTAGATACCTGCGAGTATTAAAGTTTTTATTATCAATACACTAAGATATTGGCCTAAAATACTTGCGATAGCACCCCACTTAATTTTTGATTAGGAACCGACTTCTCCTTAAGCTCATCTTTCAGGTCAGCGCGTGTACTGGTTACCTTGCGCTGTTTGAAACTTCTTCTTATACCTTCTTCATGAGCTTGCTCATGACCCTGTTGTTCTCTTTCTTTCCGCTTCCTCTGAATTCCCGAGATCATTTTGGATTTCTCAACATTATTGATGAAGTTTTTATTCAACTTTTGCTGTTGGGAAATTTCCAAAGCGAGTTTTGCCTGTCTAATTTCATTCTCTTTAGCAATTTGCAGTGTTAAGTCAAACCACTTGAATCCAGATAAGTATTTGATGTTCATTATATCATCATAATAGTATGAAGTTTTTTTTCCACCTAACTTATTTGCATTTAAAGTTGATGCACATAATTTAGCGTCCTTTTTATTAACAAATTCAACCCAACCCTCGGTAAAGTTTTTCTTCTTGTTTCCACCATATTTGACTCTCTTGTGATAAATGGCAGTTTCTTCGGGCTTTAAAAATAAACGATCGATCTTACCAAACCTTGAGAGAACTGAACGTAACTTTGCGGGTTTCATATATGGTGGCAAACTGGAGAAGTAACACACACCTGTCTTTTTAATTCTCTTTTGCTCCTTCTCAAGCTGCTCCAGGGTTAGCTTTTTGACCTTTTTCTCCTTTCTAGACTTCGTGTCATTTGTTTCCTGACCTTCTGAAGACTGAGAGATATCTTTGTCTTCAGCTTCATCTTCTTGATCTACTTCGTCATGATCTATTGCCTCTTCATCTGAAACGTTATCCTGGTTGAAGTCATCATCAATGGCAAATCTATCATTATTCACTTGTTTCTTATTGATGAAGACTCTTGTTTCTTCTTCTTCTGAATCCGAGTAAGCAAAGTCATCAACATCCAGGTCACTCATATTGGCTTTAACAAGCTTCTAACCTATTCACGGTAGTAAGATGAGGATCTCATCTCAGTCTGATGTAATTGATTTTTAATCACGTGATAAGAATCACGTTACGAGTCGCTGCAAAATACGCTTTTGATATCGCTGCTACGTTCTCTCCTCTTTTAACACTTAACGTTCATTGTGGCTATAAACATGCTTCTATCACAGTATCACTCATAGATTACAAATCTAGCTTACTTCTTACCAGCTTCGTGACCGGTTTCGGCACCGTCCTTAGCACCAGTGACAACGCTAGAGACGTATTGAGCGGCGTTGGCAACTTGCTCCTTAGCAGCATCGACGTATTCAGAAGCGGTCTCAACAAGAGTGGCTTGGTTCTTTTGAGCAGCATCCTTGGCGTCATCGTGGCCTTCCTTCACATTGTCAGCAACAGTTTGAGAGAAAGACTTCTGTTCTTCTGGAGTAGCCTTACGAGCGAGGTCATCGACAGTGCTAGTAACTTGTTCCTTAGCCTTTTCGATGGTAGTCTTCTCGGAGTCTGGTTTCACAGATTCAGTAATTTTGTCAGATAAGTTCTTTCTTCCTAAGTCAGACATTGTGTTTTGATTGATGTAGTTGATGTCTGAGAAGTAGGGGGCACCTTGTATTTATAGTTTTCGGTTGTCGGGAATTGATAGCAAACTCTAATAGCAATAGTGGACAAACATGTGAATTAACCATGACTAGCCTCTGGAATATTCCACAGTACGGTTCTCCGCCACACAATTGCTTCTTTAGGCAATGCTATTTTGTCAACAAATCCAAGGTAACTGCCAGTTTGAAACAATCCACCCAAGAAGTGTGCTGGGTTCATGCAGTGACTGTCACGCCTAACTTGAACTTAGTGTGTGACCACAGTCGTAAAAGTTGCGGCGTATGCACCCTTTTTTTTTATGATTGCTATTCCATGCACAATACGACAATTTCGCAGTTAAGCGAGCATTCTGGGCGGAACTACAATACCGACTCGTTTCACCCCGCTCGAGATCGCGGAGGTGTCCTGCTACTGTGAATCAAGACAATCCTTAAACCACAATCCAGTAAACATGGTTTGCAAATAAGTCACGTGTGCTTTGTCGCGTGATATATGGTCATGTGCTTTGTCGCGTGATCAACTATGATTGTGCGATGGCTAATTTTTTCTAGCGATGGGCTTCACAGTAATCAAGACTATCTAACAATCCTCCAGTCATGGCCAACAAGAGGACAGTAACGCAGAGTATTGACCAAAAAATTTATGACCTTATACATGATTTGCTAGAAGCCAAGAGCCAGGAAAAGGCAAGTGTTGTCGAAGAATCAGATGATCCTTACGCAAAGATTGCCTCAGCTAAGGATTTATCGGGGAGTCAAGTCTTGGAATATGTACAACTCAAGGATTTTCAATTGAGGCGAATGAAGAGAAATATCCTCGATAAGGCTGTCTCGGCTGTCTTGAAAGTGGTAGTCGAAGAAGAAGATGAGTACTTTCGCAGCATAAAACCAATTGACTCGGCATCGGGTGAAGATGAAGAAGAAACTGAAGAAAAAGACTTGATGGAAGTAAAGGACTCCAACGCATTGAACAAGTCAGTGGTTTCACTTTGGGGTAACCCAGACAAAACTGAAAAAGTTGATCCACCTGATTCAGAGGAGCTGAAGGATAGTGAGAGGGTTGAAGAGGGAGGTGAAAAAAAGAGGACTAAAAATTCGACAAAGCAATCGATTAAGAAGAGAAAAAGTAAGGTTGATCATCAGCCACCAAGCTCCAAGCTCTCCTCTCTTGGTGGTCTTGAGAATGTTACTACTCAACTTATGGAATTAATTGGTTTGCCAATTTTGCATCCTGAGATCTACAGATCAACTGGAGTGGAGCCACCACGTGGTGTATTGTTATATGGTCCTCCGGGATGTGGTAAGACATCTATAGCTAATGCTCTTGCTGGTGAGTTACAAGTCCCATTTATCAGTATCTCTGCACCTTCGATCGTATCAGGAATGTCGGGCGAATCCGAGAAGAAGCTACGTGAAATTTTTGAAGAAGCGAAGACAATTGCACCATGCATTATCTTCATGGATGAAATTGATGCTATTACTCCCAAGAGAGACGGAGGTGCACAAAGAGAGATGGAGAGAAGGATAGTTGCACAATTGTTAACTTTGATGGATGAACTCACTCTAGAGAAAACTGACGGAAAACCAGTCATTGTGATAGGAGCTACCAATAGGCCGGACTCTTTGGATTCTGCTTTAAGAAGAGCAGGAAGGTTCGACAGGGAAATCTGTTTGAACGTACCTAACGAAGATCAAAGGTGCTCTATTTTGAAGTCGATGACCAAGAATTTGAAAATGCAGGAAAACTTAGACTTTAAATTCAAAGAGTTGGCAAAAAGAACACCCGGATATGTGGGGGCAGATTTGAAGAGCTTGGTAACAGCCGCTGGAATTGCTGCGATTAAGAGAATCTTTGAAAGTTTGAGTGAACAGCAACAAGAGTTATTGAATGGTGAAATGGAAAAGGCTACCGGCGAAATAGTCAATGGCGATTCCATGGATATTGATACAACTGTCGCAACTTCACCTAATAACACTTTCGTGAACAATTTCAAAAGTAAATCAGATGTCGAAAAGTATTCCACAATACAAAAATTCTTACTAAGTCATCCCCAACCATTAACCGAAGAGCAACTTGCTCCTTTATGCATTAGCTATGATGATTTCTTGACGGCATTGCCTACCATTCAACCAACTGCAAAAAGAGAAGGATTTGCTACTGTTCCTGACGTCAGCTGGCAGAATGTGGGTGCATTGAACCATATCAGAATGGAATTGCATATGTGCATCGTACAGCCTATTAAGAAGCCAGAAATTTACTTAAAAGTGGGTATATCTGCACCTGCGGGTGTATTGATGTGGGGTCCACCAGGCTGTGGTAAGACATTATTGGCCAAGGCCGTTGCTAATGAATCTCGTGCTAATTTCATTTCAATAAAAGGTCCTGAATTGTTAAACAAGTACGTTGGTGAATCTGAACGTGCTGTGAGACAAGTATTTCAGAGGGCCAGAGCCTCTGTTCCGTGCATTATATTCTTCGATGAATTAGATGCTTTAGTTCCTAGAAGAGACACTTCATTATCGGAGTCCAGTTCTAGAGTTGTCAACACATTATTGACGGAATTAGATGGCCTTAATGATAGAAAGGGGGTGTTTGTGATCGGTGCTACTAATAGGCCAGACATGATAGACCCAGCAATGCTTCGTCCGGGTCGTTTGGACAAGACTTTATATATCGAATTACCTTCCAACGAAGAGAGATTCGAAATTTTGCAAACCTTGGTCGCAGCAAACAAAACTCCGTTGAGTGACGAGGTAGATTTGAAAGTTGTTGCCAACGATGAGAGATGTAGAAATTTCTCAGGGGCAGATTTATCATCATTGGTTAGAGAGGCTGGTGTTTTGGCGTTGAAGAAGAAATTTTTTCATGGACAACAAATTAAGCAATTAGACGCATCTGGATACTATGAAGAAGAAAGTGTTGATTCAGATATAGTTGTGACCAGCAAGGACTTTGATCTGGCATTGTCTAGCATAAACCCCAGTGTTTCGGATAAGGACCGTGCAAAATATGAAAAGTTGAACAAGAGAATGGGCTGGAGTGTGATTAGCGAAACCCAAGAAGAGCTGGCTAGTAAACCAGAATGATCAGAAATTTATGACCTTGGCCAACTTGAATCTCACTTTGGACTCCATAAGTACTATTTGTCAAGTAAGTTGACATTGCATATATACATAGTACACCCTAATAGACACTAATTCTTTAAATTTTGACAAATAATTGTAAAAGTAAAGAAAAGGTAGACAAAGACACAGTAAACAAAACTGAAGAGCTCAACAGCTTGCTAGTTACTGATGTCTTTCCTAGTCACTGGTGACTTATGATTTACTCAGTAGTTTCATGCCTTCATTTTTTGCAACCTTTACCTGGTATATTTGAGTCGTGCGAGACAGTTTTTTTGTATGGTGACTCTCGTCGAAAGATGTGATTGAAACCTCAAAGTTTCATGGTAAAGAACTTCGAACCAACGCCATGGCCGAAATAGAACTAGGAGTGACTGCAGACTTGCATGTTCATTTAAGAGATGGTCCAATGATGGAATTAATTACACCTACTGTGAAGCAAGGTGGTGTTTCTATTGCATATGTAATGCCCAACTTAGTTCCTCCAGTTACAACCATCGAGAGAGTTTCCAAGTATCGTGAAGACTTGGAAAAGCTCTGCCCAGACACAAGATTCTTGATGACTTTCTATTTGTCAAAAGAATTGACGGAGGATCTAGTTGCAGGAGCCGCGTCAAAGGGATATATCCACGGTATCAAATGCTACCCAGCCGGTGTTACAACCAACTCGAAGTATGGAGTAGACCCCAATGATTTTACTTCTTTTTATCCGATTTTCAGAGTGATGGAGAAAGAGGGGTTGATCTTGAACATCCATGGAGAGAAGCCAGGAATCAAAAACGAATCCGCCGACGAAAACGAAGATATTCATGTCTTGAATGCAGAGCCAAAGTTTTTGCCAGCATTAAGAAAATTGCATGAAGACTTTCCTAAGTTGAAAATTGTTTTGGAACATTGTACTACGAGAGATGCTATAGAATTAATTCGTGATTTGAACAAGGGTACAGGACCACAAGATGAAGTATATGTGGCAGGTACCATAACAGCCCATCATTTATCGTTGACAATTGACAATTGGGCAGGTAACCCAATCAACTTTTGTAAGCCGGTTGCAAAGTTCCCTAGAGACATGAGAGCTTTAGTTGATGCAGCTACTAGCGGTGAGAGATGGTTCTTCTTTGGTTCTGATTCAGCACCACACCCCATAGAAGCCAAGAGCACTCATGTTGGTGTCTGTGCTGGTGTTTACACCCAAAGTCACGCCATCAGTTATGTTGCAGAAGTTTTTGATCAACAAGGAAAGCTTGAAAATATAAGTAAGTTCGTTGGATCGAATGGTATTAGCTTTTATGGGTTGAAGAACGTGGCCAAAACAGACGAGAGGGCTTGGTTAGTCCAAAGAGAAAATACTGTCCCTGAGGTAATTGCGAACAACCAAGGCTTAAAAGTCGTGCCATTCAAGGCTGGTGAAAAATTAAACTGGACTGTGGAGTGGCGTTAGGTTTCAATGGTAACGGATCCAGGGCATGCAGACGCATTTTGTCAGCATGGAAAGCTCTAGAATAGCGGTAACCGTAGATCTTCAATACACATAAACAATAAAGATGCAAAGATTTTGATGGAACACCTAGCATCGCATGCGTTTCTCGGGTAAGAGGGGTGCAACAGGTTATTTTGGAGAATTCTAGCACGTGTAGAGTTGAGATCGTTGAATTACAGGTATTGCATAAGGTTGGCTAAGCGACGCACCGCAACTCTCCCTTGAGTACCTTGAGCTGACAAGTCCTTATATCGTATTCGATAGGGTGCCCAGTGTGTCAAATCGGAGTCCAAGCAATTTGTAACCCAATTAGGAAAGTTTTTGGTCGGACACATTTTATGTGCACGCACGGGGAAATGCTTCAAACTCGGAGAGGGGAACTTCTACATGGCAAGGGGAACAAATACGAACTTGAAATTGGATGGATGTGAGTATGATGTTTGTTTATTGACTCGTATTTGCTTTGCCATCTTGATATTGATCAGAACCGAGATCCTCCGAGACCAATGCCACTTGGACCGAGAGCCGTAGCTGTGTGTGCCGGATTGGCCCCTTTGACAATAACATGGCGGACCTATGTAACGCATCCAGACGTGAGCCGTGGCAATTACCAGATATCCACCCCCACGTGCCTCACACGACTTTAGTGCCAAAATGGGTAGGTCCGAATAACACGTGCGGAGTGAACCCCACGTTGATTGTCCTACCCACAAGATATCCGGCAGGTAGCTTGGTGTACATCCTGTAACATTTCTTTTGTGCCTTGCCTCATCAAGGGCTTAAGCGATCCCGCAAGGCACTATGAATGACACGTTTATATCAGAGACATGTAAATATTTTTTGTCTAATTTCTTATCAATTATTATTACCCTTCCTGTCCCAATTTCTCCATATGCACTTTGTGTGCCGAACCGAAAGGTCTGCAGATCATAAGTCAGCCTTGTATTTATAGAGCTGCTGATCTGCAGTGCATTCAGCAGCAAGCCTATCTTATTCAGTACTTACTTTTGAGGTTACTTCTTTGCTGCCTTCTAGAAAAGTACCACTAAACTTCGAGATTACAGTTACTGCACTTCCTGAATAATTAGATATCAGCTGGACTCAATTACACATTAAGGATGGCTTCCAGAGATCTCCCAAAATCATTCAACGACCTAGCTTTCGGCTGGAAGCGTAACTTCGACAAGGAAGTTACTATCTTCAAGAAGCAAAGTCAACTCATTGAAGAAGATTACCAACCGGACCAGCAAGAGAAGGCTCGTAAGGTTCAAATGAAGAACTTATGGCCCGCATTCATTGCTGGTGCAGGTTTATTCTCTGATGGTTACATCAATAACTCTATTGGTACCGTGTCAACTTGTTTGGGTATTCTTTATCCAAAAGCTTACAAGCAAAGTAATGCCATTTCTAATGTTTCATCGATTGCCTTTGCTGGTACAGTTTTGGGGCAATTAGTCTTCGGATACATTTCTGACAGAGTCGCAAGAAAGGGTGGTATGATGTCTGCAACCATCATGATGATTTTCTTCACTATTCTTACTGCTGCTGCTACCTGGGGTGCTCATGGAAGTCCCCAAGGTTTGTTTTCTGCTTTGGTTACATTCAGATTTTTCTTGGGTATCAGTATCGGTGCTGAGTACCCAACTGCTTCTGTTATCGCTTCAGAGTTTGCTAACCAATTACCAGCTGGTCACAGAAACCGTTACTTCGCTTGGTTTACTAACTCCATGATCGATCTTGGTTTTATCATTAGTGCATTCGTTCCATTAGTTTTACTTTGGATTTTCAGCGAACGTCATTTGACCGCAGTTTGGAGATTAACACTCGCATTGGGTGCCATTCCTCCTATTTCTCTTTTCTTCATGAGAATGAAGATGGGTGACTCTACCTCGTTCAACAAGTCCCACATGAAAAACGTTAAGAAATTTCCATTATGGTTAGTCGTGAAATTTTACTGGTTCAGATTAACTATCATTTCATTGATTTGGTTCATTTATGATTTCTCAGCTTACTCTTTCGGTATCTACTCCAGTTACATCATTTCTCAAGTTATTCCAGATGGTGATCTTTATAAGACTTTCGGGTGGAATGTTGTTTTCAACGTTTTCTATATTCCAGGTACATTTTTGGGTGCCATTGCTGCTGATTACTTTGGTCCACGTTTCACTCTTGCTGCTGGTGTTACCATTCAAGCTGTTGTTGGTTTCATTATGGCTGCCCTTTACCCAACCTTGAAGCACCATATTGGTGCCTTCGTTGTTGTTTACGGTATTTTCACTACTTTGGGTGAATTTGGACCAGGTAACAACATTGGTTTGTTAGCTTCTAAGACTAGTGCCACTGCTATCAGAGGTCAATACTATGGTATTGCTGCTGCTGTTGGTAAGATCGGTGCTTTTGTTGGTACCTGGGTCTTCCCAGTTATCATCAAGAACACTTCAAAGGCAGGAACTGACAGAGGTAACCAAATGCCATTTTACATCTCTTCCGCATTGTGTGTCTTCTCCGGAATTTTAGCTCTTTTCTTCTGCCCATCTGTTGGCCAAGATGCCATCAACAAAGAAGATGAAGACTTCATTGTTTACTTGGAAAGCAATGGATTCGATATTTCGCAAATGGGTGAACCAACCCTTGTTGATGAATCCGACAACGATGGATCAAGCATTCCAAAGAAGACTGACAGTGTCAAAGTTGAAACTGAATCAAAGCAATCAATCTAATCTGATTTTAAATCTGCCATACTAATTAATTATTCTGCAAAGAACTGTTAATTCCGTGATATGGATCAATTCACTTCATGGTCTTCGAAAATGGGACTCATTGCGGTTTTCACATTTGATGACAAATTCTAGCATTCAAGTTGAAGTAGTTCTCTTCAATGATCTCCTAATAAGAAGCAAAGCTTCAGAGAAGTATATTGCCAGCCCATGCTAGGCTTATTTAAGCGTCTTTTTTAATTCCCTCCTTCACTAGTTGGTTCCTTTTGAGTATGTGTATGTAAGGAAAAACTTTGAATATATAATAAATAATTCATTCTAGTTCGTAACATCCTAACCTATCGTTAACCTCCAAATCAGGGGTTGGTGGAGTCTACCCTCAAGAAAAAAATGGACGTGCAAAAATCAAACACGGATAATGACATGATATCCGATATGTGGTTACCATTCGATTATTCGAACCTTAGACGTTTTTCTTGTCGTTTGTTTATTTAGGTTTAGTTGAATACTATTTAAATTCAAGTTTAGAAGAGCACGACAAGATACTGTTTTAAGCTCGGTTATTATTGACTCATTACACTCTTTCTTGCGCCCAATTTTCAATGAGGATGTATTGTCTAAAGATTCTTTTCTAAATTTAGATTATGGCCATGAATGAAATTATGAAAGGCGTGAAAACCCACAAAGAATTAGGAAGCTCTCAATGCTTGGCTTAAGTCTTCAATTAGGTCTTCCACATTTTCGATACCAATACTTACTCTCAACAAGGTAGGACTAACTCTTGGATCACTCAATGCTCTCCATTCGATGAGACTTTCTACACCCCCCAAAGAAGTAGCGTGGTGGAAATATTTGAGCTTTGAAGGAAAGTATTTAGCCGTTTTCTCATCCACCAAACTGATTGTGAACACTGGCGAATCTCCATTGGGCATCTGTTGCTTGACAAATGATTCACTTTGCAATGATCCGTGATCGATTTTTGCCAAAGCAGGAAATTTATCTTTATTCTCGGAAAAGTATCTCACAATCTGTGTAGCATTTTGAGACTGCTTGAGGACTCTGAGCTCCAACGTTTTCAAACTACGCAAAAGCATCGAAGACTCGAGGTTAGGGATGATAGTACCCAACATTTTACGATCTTCAAATAATTGTTTTCTTACTTCTTCAGACTTAGTGAGTAAAAATCCAGCCAATAAGTCACTGTGTCCTCCAAAAAACTTTGTTGCAGAGTGTAAGACCATATCCGCACCAAATTCGAAAGGGTCCTGAAGAGGAGGAGGAGCAAATGTCGAGTCAACTATCAAGTAGGCTCCTCTTTTGTGGGCGTTTTCAGCATAATAGCTAATATCTTTCACAGTACCGTCTGGGTTCACAGGAGTTTCAAGTAGAACTAAATCACCCTTACCCAATTGATCAAAATTGTCCACGCCTACCTGTTTGAGTCCTTGATTTCTGGTAAAAATGTTGGCCACTCCAATATTACCGTGGTATACATCGCCAAACGCCAACACCTTAGGGTTGTAATGAGTGAGTGCAGCATGAAATGCACTTAATCCGGAAGAATATGCAACTACATGCGCATTGGTGATTGCCTTAACACTGTGCTCAACCAGCTCAGAATTAGGATGAGAGAAGCGTGAATAATAGAAGCCACCCCCATTGACTTCTCCGTTTTGTTCAATATCCGCATACTTGATTAAGTTCTCTGGGTCCGATTCGTACTTGTAGGTTGTTGCTATGTTGATTGGGGGAATTACATCAGGAACTCTGGAGGTATCATCGCCTCCATGAATTGCTCTAGTGGACAATCCTGTCATTTTGGTGAAGTTTATACTGAGCTCAACAAGATATGAATTACCCAAGTTGTGGTTGCCAAATCACCAATTATCACGTGCACGACCATCGAGAAAATGAGTCATAGCCCGTAACAGCGTTATTTTTTAACAAAAAGGGTACAAATATTATGGTATGGGGTTTAAAATGGTTTGAGAAGCGTGGGAATCAATTTCAGGGTATTTTTGATTCACAAAATACAACATATTAATTCTTGGCATTCTTAAACTTTATACATGGAGGGTTGGCCGAGTGGTCTAAGGCGGCAGACTTAAGATCTGCTGGACAGTGTCCGCGCGAGTTCGAACCTCGCATCCTTCATTATTTTTTTCAATACCACATAATCATGACATCTATAGCTATGAACTACATCGAACCTCGCAATTGAACTCTTTGATTTGTTATTATACTAAGGTTCAATAATTGTAGTCACCAAGGTGCTGCTATCAACGAGTACAATACAATCCAAGCAAGAAACTAGATGTTCCGACAAATGTAATTTCATATTGGCCAACAAGATCAGTAATTGTTCTCGAAGAAACCTTGACTGGCCCATCATCCCAAACGTTTGTACTGGATGTATCCACAAAGATAAGGTTGAGTATTCAGCTAGTCTTTTTATAGTTATTCCACATATGGATACTTGAGGTCAGTAAAGAGCATTCAAAAATAATGTTAACTTACTGAAAATCCGTCTTGAATGCTGGTAAATGGTATTGGAAAGTACATAGTAACCAAATTGCGTAGCCGCTTCGACTTCCTTCTCTTGAGGTAGTTTAATTTCAATAGTATAGCCTTTGGGAATGCCTTTCTTCTTAGGAATCATACCCAGTCGGAACAAATGGACTTTGTACTCCTTATTTAAGTACTTTTGGAATTTCCTTTTCACAAAGTGATCCAAATCCTGTTTGGTTTCCAAGCGACATTCTATTCTTAATTTCAGATTATTGTCTCTTTCGACAACCCAAACATCCCAGCAATAATAAAATATTCGATCGTATATGGGTACTGAAATAGCTTTGCTGTATAAAGACTTGAAAAGAATCATCTGGTAACCTTCCGTCAAACCTAACAGACTCGAGGGTAGACCAGAAAATGTAGGGTCATTTATCAATGATCCACCTGGTGTATTATTACTTGCTTTACGGTTCCTATTTTCTGTATTGGTAAGCAAAGGTTCTTCGACCACTATTTCGTCATTAATTTGGGTCACCATCGATGAGCTTGCTGAAATACTTTGAGTTCATCGAGGCGCTCATCCTTGTCCTTGCGCTCTTATGGTTGCAAAAATCTTCAGTGCACAAAAACTATTGACTCAAAGATCAAGAACACCTAAGGTATCATAAGCAAATAAAATGAGACCCATCTAGCTGATGTGAAAATATCAAGCTCGCCCGATACGAGTCTATGGCTCCTAAGTAGTCTTTCGAAGTAGCATTCTTCAAATGGCAGCTGCAATGTGACCATACAAGCTTGAGCGAGTTTCTTAAAACTTGTTGTGTAAGATAACCGGCTTAAAATCACCTATACTGTCTTAAATGGAAGTCCTGCAGTTCCCCTTTTCCTCTACTTCCATGTTGTAATAATACTGGTCAAAAGTCGAAGTCGTGCAAAAACCAACAATATTACTTCAGTTGTTCTATCCTGATGATCATCAGGTCACTGTAACTTCACATACACAGTCTTCAAAATGGGTTCGGTGTTTCTCCCTCACCTTAGAACAGGATGGCATGTTGACCAGGCCATTCTTTCTGAGGATGACAGGTTAGTGATTATTAGATTCGGATTGGAACATGAGTCTGAATGTATGCTAATTGATGAGATTCTTTACCAGATTCTGGAAAAGGTGAAGAATTTTGCCTCCATATACTTGTGCAACATTGATCTAGTCAAAGATTTCAATCAGATGTACGAACTTGATGATGATCCTTTCACAGTGATGTTTTTCTACCGGAACAAACACATGATGTGTGATTTTGGGACGGGTAACAATAATAAGCTAAACTTCACAATTGGGAACAAGCAGGAAATGATTGACATCATAGAAACGATATACCGAGGGGCACACAAAGGTAAGGGTCTTGTAGTAAGTCCCAGAGACTACAGCTTTTTAAGAAACAGATAGATTGTTCATCGTAATACTAGATAAGATAGCCAAGGCTGGAGGTAGTCCGGTGTCACCAACGCCGAAGAAGGAACAATTCCCCACATAAGACGTCAGAATTAGTTGTCCTCATTCTCGGCATAGAAGAAGTTGACTCCCAATAATTTCAGTTCAGGTGCATTCTTTGCGATCCAGTCCCTGACCCCACTACTAGGGACACCAGTTCCCCAGGTGGGTCTATCGGAGGGAGTGCTGACCTCTTTAATCAGTGGATCCTGTTTATACAACAAGAATACATAACGGTGCTTTCCTGTTTTTGGAGGAGGAGCAGGACCTTGGTATTCCAACTTTTCGGACCCTGTAGTGAAATCTAAAATGTAGCTCGAATCGTCCTTGCCAGACTTGAGTTGCAAGTCTGTGAGCAACCAGTGGGCATACTCGGACCACTTGTGGTCCTTGTTGGAAGGAGCATCAGGGTCAGTCAAAACCAAGATGAGTTTGTCATCCTTACCGAAGTCTTCAACTTTACCGTCTTGGTTTGGCAGATTGGGGGTGAATTGAATGACAGGCTTTTCTTGGGTTCTTGCAACAGCCAAAGTGTTACCCAATGCAACCTGCTCCAGGTTGTATTCAATGGTTAACAATCCTTGAGTTTCGAACTTATCCACAACATCCGGGATGATCTTATGCTTTGAATATGATTCGTCTAAAGATTGAGAAATGGTGATGAGAGTCATTCTTGGTATTCTTGGAATTCTTCCAATTGGCTTTTGAGCGAGGCGGAGAGATTGTCTTGTGACGAGTCTTCCAAACATCCCTTATATAGTTCTCGAAACTTCCCAGGTGAGTTGTAGCCCCATGTTAATTGCGTGCACTAGTGCGGTTACGAGCTCTTGGATTGCTGCCCCATGCAAATGATTAGTAGTACCAGAAACTCGAGCTGGGCTCAGAAAGGAATTCGTAGCGCACTCTATTCCGCCAAGTGCCAATTGCGCAATCGGTGGCTTGGGGGTAATTAATGTAGTGGTAGTCTGTGGTGGTGGCAGTTATACGTGACCACGTGACCAATAATTCTCCACATAATACTGTAACAATTTATTAATACCTGGGTGAAATAGAAATAGTCTGGTGTACAAAGAGTAAAATCTAATATCAACACTAACCTTTTGAATAGAGGTGAATTACTCACAACTCCAATAACTGACGGGACTTTGTCAAACCGTCAAAAATGTGGACTCAAATTGGCACAAGTTCAAGAGGGTGCCCCTGATCTTACGTTATCTTTAGCAGATCTCTCCTTGTAGCATATCTTTCGTAAGTCTCGTGAGTCTCTCAAGTGCCTCTAATAGTTGCCCTGGTATCCCTGTTGATAATTGGGGTAGTTTTGGTAGTTCTGGCTTGGGAGACTATTGATACTATTATTGATTGGAAGGGTCTCATTCTCATCCTTCTGCAACAATTGTTGTTGAAGCATCTGTTGCTGCAATAATTGTTGTTGTAAAAGCACTTCACTTTCCTGCTTCATTTCCAACTCACTCTCATCCTTGACCTCGCCTGCCAGTTGCTGCTCTTGTTGTTGGATGTTCTGGTTTGGTTGTGCGTGTTGTTGTGGGTGGGCCTGTGTGAGCGGTTGTTGATGGGATTCTTGCGATCCTGGGATTTGAGATGATTGGTGGGGTTGCTGGAGATGGGCCTGGTGTGGAATCGATGGTTGGGGCTGGCTCATATACGTCCTGTTGCCAGCGAACTTTTTGGGCTTTTCTTCCTCCCTAGGCACCACATCTATCAAAAAGTCAAACATGTCACTCTTAGTGAGAGCAGCAGCAATATCTGATTTTTGAAGTGTTCTTCTCTTATTCTCTTCTGCGTGAATCCACGCCCGCATGGTCAACTCAGTGATGAAAACGTCGCATCCCTTAGCAAACAAGATAGGTGCTTCGGCACTTATCATTCTGACATCTTCGTCGGTTTTCATGACCTTCTTGATTCTTGCCAAAGGCAACTGGTGGTTTTTGAAGTCGTGGTCGTCGTGCTCTATCAGGTTGATGGTTTCTTGCCAGTATTGCATCATCATGTCACGAAACTTACCAGTAAGTCCTTGGCCAACATTGTTGAATGCACCTCCTGGTTGTTGTTGTTGAGCTGCTGCTGCCTCGGCAGCTGCCTGGGCTGCCAATAACTCAGCTTCGTCGACAACTGTCTGGGTGGGTGCCGATCCTGGCTGTAAGTGTAACTCCTCGTTCAAGTATGTGTTGTCGTATCTGTCCATGGTTGTTGGATGAGGTTATTAATATCTGCCAGTACGACTGAAAGCGTTAAAAGAGTGTTTGGGATCCTTCACAGTGTTTAGTGGGGTACCTTGTCTTGGGAACGTCGAAATATGTGTTTGAACCTAGATGAGGATGTGATAGGCCGTTTCTACCTTCTCTATTCTCATATGACGTCTCTGTAGTTCAGAAAATTTCAGCACTTTAAATTTTAGTCCGGTTCGGAACGAGATGCACCAGGGCCGGTTTTGAGGAATCTGAGACAACAAGAATACGGAATATCGCCACGCTAATCCACGATAGCAACACAGGGTGCATTCACAGGTGTTCTACGACATGAAATTTGGATATGCGGGCTCGATACTGGCCAAATCATAGCAAAGACGCAATCCTCTGGTACTCCTGCCAAGAAGGTGTTGTACCCATCGACCTTAACTAATCTAATTTGGAGCAGCTCAGCTCCAAAACTGCCTTGGTTGGGCACTCACACTTGGGTAGATGGTATATGGCACACAAGCCTGGCCAAAGCCCAACTGAAGCACTGATTGATCCAGTTTACACATAAACGCAATGCGATCGGCTTACTGGAATGCCGATGTCGTACATGTAAAGTATATACTATGCTTCTTCTACAGCCACCACCTTTTCGTCAAATCTGACCGACTTTCTTCTCTCGCCCGACTGCTCTGGAATGCCCAATTCAATGGAACCTTCTCCAAGCTCCTTAGAGGTGTCTGCAAGTAATTTTCTCACATCAGCTCTGGTGGATGCCTGGCCACTGGAGGACTTTCTGCGGTGCTGGGTATCTAAATCGGACTTGCACTTGGTGCATGCACAAGTGAAACCCCAATTGACACGCAACTCACGTTGACGCTGCTGCACAGGATGGGCAGGGTTGACGTAGGTGGTTGTGAGTTCTTCTCCAGAACGAATGTCTCTGGCAGCGAATACCTTCAAACCTGAAGTACGCAATTGTTGGGTCTCCACCGAAGTGTTTGGATCACAGTTGTGGTTCAAATGGGACTGGGTCAAAAAAATGCAGGAGTCCAAGTTGTTGATGTTGTAAGTACCCATCATGAATAGGAATTCACGATAGTCGATACCTTCGGAAGCAGCGTTAGGAAACACTCTCAAGAACTTTTCATATCCCTCTTTCCATAAAGTTTCTTGCTGTTCTTGGACAAACAATGCTCCCCCCTGGAGACTATCAAACGCACCAGCTGACGAGTTCAAAGCCTTGTATCTGATATCCTGAGAAACACGGGCCATAGCCCTGAATTGCTTTCCTTTCACGCCCGTTTTATCCAATAAAATATTTGCATAAATAATAGTGATGGCGTACAAAGCATTCCACTGTTCAGTCAAACAATAATCTTGCAATTCTAAAAACGCACCCGAATCTATCGTCTTGGAGCTTTTCTTTCCTGGATTGTAGACATTATGTTTGAGTTGACCATGTAAATTAGCCTCGGTCTTTTTGCAGGCAAGGGAACACCATAATTCAGAGCAGACATTGCAATCAAGCCCTCTCAAAGTGGATTTGGTGTTTTCCAAAAGCTTTCCACAGTACGAACATGCCTTTCCCAACTTGATCAAGTTCACGTTGGCCAAAGGTGGAATGAAGAAAAGCTGGGTTTCCTCCCAAATCAAGTCGCCCTTTGCTATGTCCTTTTTGGCATATAAACCCTTACCTCTCTTGCTGGTCATGACGATTTGGACTTTTTCTGGTAGCACTATGTCTGGAGTAACCTCGGACTTAATTTCATTAGCGTAAGTGAATTGCTGATTAGATTGGAGCAAACCAAACTTCTTCAACAGAGTTTTGACTCTCTTCTCGGAAACAGACCAATTAGGATGTCTTTCCCTAAGTAATGCATGAAGTTTACTCATTCCAAGATTCTCATTGTTAGAATCCTCCTTCCAAAGAGCTATCACACCATCCACAAGTTGTCTCTCATGTGGTACAATTGGGCCCTCTTCTTCCTTGCTTTTGTCGTTAATATCGATCACTTCGATCTTTTGGCTGACCTCTTCCATGTTCGATGATCTTGAGCTGTAGTTTGTTGAAAAATCTAAATTTTTTCGAAGCAGTGAGATAGTGAGTTCAAATGCGGTTTCATTTTGTTGAACTGCTCTCTTGTTGTGTGAAATGTGTAGAACGGGCATTATTTTATCATACTTTAACATGTTAAGAACAAATATACTAAAGCTATGGTAGTGCTTCTTAATTTCTGTTCAAGAATCCTGAAGTCAACATGCGTAATCAGCAGGGAAGAGAATAAGAACATTTACCTGGAAGTAACTGCCATTAATCGGTTTTATTTGCAGTTAGCTCTGAACATTAAATACAGCTAAAGAAGATTTATCTGTTATCCTGGTTTGAATGTCTTATTAATGCTGATCAGCTTAAAGTTGAATTTTCTTCAATTTTACCCACTAATCTGCAATTTCAGCTTTTAGTGATGGCAAACTTCTTACCAGTTTATTCAAGTTTTTGAATTTGATCAAATTTGTTTGAATATACTTGAAAGGACAAGTTGTAGCAAATTTGGTAAACCTAGATTTATTACTGCAAACCACCGGAACAGGATGCCTTTTAAGTCTCTGGGTTTTTTTAGATCAATTCGACAGTGGCTGGACGAGTAGTCAAAAGGTACTTTACCACAGGTGTTGTCATGAGTATTAGCACTTATAGGTCCCTTGTGGTGCGTGTAATAGTACTCACATTCGAAAAGCTCAATACATTAGTATGGCACCAATTTAATTATGATTCTCCCCGCAATTACTTTGAAATTTGTCCCTATGCGACGTAAGTGGTTCGAAAAGAGATCGTAGACGTGATGAATATCAACCCAAACACTAGATCCCTGCAAACTGCTGGTGCGACAAAGAGGTTGAAGATGACCTTGCAATATAGGTAGTTGAACTACGAACTATATTACCTGCAATTTTTTCACACTGGGTATGTGAATTGGGAGTATATTTCCAGCTTTCTTGTACCGAGGTGTCCTGTCCTAGGACACTTAGCTTAATTGTGTGGAGTATAATCTTCGAGAAAAATTTAAAGGGTCATCCAAAGATGAAGTCTATGATACTGGAAGTTGAGGAAGGATGTTTTATCATAGTTCACTCTAATTTTTCGTAAAGCCCAGTAACGGGTTGGGTTCAATTACACTGACTTACCTCCACCTATGCAAGACTATTAGTAATACGATGAAACGGAGAAATGTACTCAAGTTCTAAAACTATCCTTTATCCAAGATGTCTGTCATTTCGGAGATGTCGATGTGAGTAGCCACGCCTAAGAGTTCACAATAATACCATTTTTTAAGTAAAGTGAATGCTTAATAACATGATTAACCAGTTGAGACGTGTTTCGGAAAGGTATATGGACAGTCCGTGAGCAGCAGGATCCTTAGTAAAAGTGGAAAAAAACAAACAAGAAGTTCTAGTAGGATGCAAATTATAGAGTTATTGGGGACCAAGGAGTAAACGGGAACTCAGAGATGTGATTATTACGAATATCACATTACTTGGGAGCTAAATTTACTAATAAAAAATTAACTAAGAGTAACGAGTTTCCAATCATTACTTAAGCTACTATTAGAGAATACAATAGGACCAACACTGAAGGTAAAGAAAACTTTATTAGTAATCATTTACTAATAGAAATTATACATAGGGACTCAAGTCAAAATTCTCAAAAATGCAGGAACAAGCGCAAATGGTTTAGTGGTAAAATCCAACGTTGCCATCGTTGGGCCCCCGGTTCGATTCCGGGTTTGCGCATTTTTTCCCCACAAATTTTTTGTTAGATCTGATCCAACTAATTGTATTTGAAGAAACGAGTGTTAAAGCTCTGATAAGCACAATGTCTTCTATCGCTTTAAAAGACGCAAAATTGCAATTGAGGAAGTCGATAAAATCACAACTACAGCACATCTCACAGGAATCTCTACGTACTCAATCAGTCGAGGTATTGAAGAGGTTACGGGAGCATCAACCGTTTGTGGATGCTAAGAGGATAGCTCTTTATATGAATATGCCCCATCTGGAAATACAGACCAACTCGATAATCCAGACATGTTTTGAGATGGGAAAAAGAGTATATTTACCGAGATGCAACACTATAGCCAAGGAAGGAAGGAAGAAGAATCACCTATCGATGTTGGAAATGAAAAGTTATGACGACGTTTTGAGGTTGAAACCGCAAGGAAAGTACCAGCTTCTCGAGCCTACAGAGGGGCCAGACATCATGGAAGAAGAAGGTGGCAAGCTAGATGTTATAATAGTGCCTGGTGTTGCCTTCACCAGCGAAAAGCAGCGGATCGGCCACGGTGCTGGTTTCTACGATGAGTTTCTTGCCACATACTACACAAACAAGCACACGTCACCCCATCTTATTGGAATAGGGCTTCGTGAGCAATTGGTGGGTATAATTCCCAAAGAGAAGCACGATTGGGATCTTAATACATTGATCATTGCGGACACCGTCTACTAGAGCGTCAAGCTGGAGTTTCTAATACAGAAGTTGTGACTTATCTGATCTCTCAGGTGTTATTGCCTAATAAATAGAGGGAGTTCTTCAAGTGAGTTTATTGCTTCATCAATCATATGCACATTAGTATCGTTCTATAGACTATCAGTTGCTAATAATCCCCACCATGCAGTTTTCCAACATTCGGTCAGCATTTACCCAGCTATGATACTTGTTGAATAATGCAGTGCCATCTCTTCCCGCACACTTCATGATTTCCTCAACACCGCCTGGATGAAAGTTGATGTATGGAGTGATGTTGAAAACTCGTCCGTTTATACAAGTCCAACAGTCCTCCTGGGTTTTATGCTTTTTCAACTCTTCCTTAGGAATCTGCACATACTGTGGTGGTGGGGTGTTGGGTGGAACTCCCCGAAGGATGTGCTTGGGCTTACTGCTGTTGAGGTGGGCCCAGTCCAAAGGCGAATGCCCTGGCTTCAACACCACCTTTCTTCGACTTTGTTGTCCTGGAACTGCTAAGCCCCCAGAAGCTCTCTGTGCCGAGTTTATTGCTGGAAAGGTTGAAGCCGGACGGGCCAAGCTTGACCTTGGGGCAGAGATGGGCTTGCTCATGGGCGCTTCATGGTTTAAGCTGGTGGGTTTCGGTACGCTGGGTGCGTTGATTTTGGGAGGGTTCTGGACCTGGTTTTCCTCGTTAGCCATGCCTGATTATGTACTTGGATCAAAGGGTCCTGTTCTGTGATATCTATGTTTAGAATGCCTGTCACTTAGAAGGGCCCTGTTCCTATCATTTGGAATTTGATCTATAATCGTGATCCAATGATTTGATAATACGCGTATTACGTAATCTCCATTAGCAAGTACGAATAGACTACACTACACCTGCTTTCAGTATACGCAAAATGAAGTATTCAGGAGACACTCTGCAGCGATTTTGGATCTTTACAGAGTATGGTGATACCGATGTTTCTATAGTAGTTTGCCCCTCTAGTATTTTTGTGGCTGCAAATTAGCATAATATCCAGCGTGATCTGGAGGCCTATAAAAATGAACAGTTTGGAGACAACGAGTAAAATAGAAGATACAACCGTCTTAGAAATGAAGTTATTTCTCACTGCTTCTAGCCTTGCGTTTTTTCTCAAGTTCATTCTGGCTGTGCCCGTTAAGCACGATCTTTCCCAGCCTAACTTTGAAGACTTCGTTTCAACTCCTGCAATTAATTTAGACTACTTTGCCGAAGATAACTACACTTTAGCTCAGTATGACCGTCTCGTACAGGGGTTTTCAGAATTTTCCCAGGTTTCCAGCGAAGTTTCACTTTTTGCTGTGAATAGTCCCGCACCAGTTGCTCAAGAGACGGTTTATCAATACACCTTATCTAAACGTGAGGATTTATCCCCAGACAAGATGAACTACGTTTTAAAAAAGTCACCCAAGGCAACTATTTACTTCAAGGATACGAAAACAATCCTAGTTCCAGACGAGCAAGATTTTATTGATGCTGACAAGGTATCGTTGAAGTCATGGTTGACGAAAGGCAAGTATAAGTTTTATGAGTGTGGTATTGATGGCGAGACTAAGTACGGGTATGAAGAGTTACTACTTCCTGCCAGCCCATGCTTGTCATTTTTGGGAAGCAAGGACCTGGCATCTGGCTCGGTGGGAATTGGTTATCTGGTGAATCTAGATTTGACCAGTGTTAGGGAAGGCAATGTGGGATCAACGATGACTCGTTTGCTCGTACACCACTATACCAATATAAATCTGCTTACTACCAAGTCCTCGAAGAGTACAAGTTTTTCTGGGTCACATAAATGTTCCACATCTGAAAATGAAGCAGTCAGACTTTTCTATAAACCGAGCACGGTTGAGTTTGAGCTTAAGAGAAGGCCAATTATTTACAACCGCTTGAAGTCAAGTTTCATCCGTAACGATTGGTTGAAATTGGAAAAGATGAAACTTTTAACCTCCAATCCTCCAATTTTCTACTGTGGCTACGAAGACTCTTTTGATCTTCAATGCGACAAGCCTGCAAATTGGTTTGGTTCAATCAATGGAAACCTGTACAATTCTACTATTGTCAAATCACTGCATCAATTCTAAATTATGCAAATCTATATTTTTCTATACTTAAGTAATTTAATGCTCCTTGATTTGTTTTCTATCAACTCTTTCATAGTACAACATGTAGACACTAGTGGTTTCACATAAGACAGATTCTTTAGAAACTTCTGTGACCTGAGAGTCACTGATACGCCAGAAAGGATTCTTGATGAGCGAAGAGATTTTCTTCATCTTAATTTTCTTTGTGCTTTCTTGCTTGTGTTCATCTTCTTTGCCAATGTTCTCCAAGGCACCATTAGCTAAAGCATTCGAGAAATAATCATTTGGCTCCAAGTCACCCACCAATAGTTCAGCTGGGGTTTGGGACCCCGAGTTGACAATTTCTTGAATGCTGGATTCTTGGGGGTGTCCCTGAATAACAGAGGGACGACGTCCCATCATGGTCGAGAACCTTCTACGGAATCCAGACCCACCGATCTCCTCATTTGGAGGGAAGCGACTTTGATCATCTGAAATTTGACTTAAAGGCACCGCATTTGAAGAAGATCTGCTTCTGAGTGGATCTCCTTCGTTTGAAGAGGACGATGTTCTCCTTACACTATTTGAGCGAGTCATTGAGAACTTCTTGAATTTGTTAGATGCGGCATCCTGCTCGAACTTGTCATTCGCTCCCGGAATGCTTGCAGCTTCCTTTTCTGTGGCTTTCTGGACGTTGCATACAACTTCATCATTTACTTCATCAATAATTTCTGGAGACAATTTGAAAATGGTACCTTCTTTATCCTTTACAAATAAAGGCTTGCGCTTGTAGCACTCGTAATGTCCTTGGGTGTGAGATCCCTGATGTCTGATGACTGCCTTTAGCCTGTACTTATAGACATCATTATCATTGAATTTAAATGCTTTGAAATGCTCTTTCAAGCGGTCGGTTTGGTCCTCCGTGATAGGAGCATTGTTTAATGTCTCTGGAGTTTTGGTAGCCAAAGTGGACAGGTCTGAAAATCTAGTTTGATTGGTGGTGGCGGTATTGTCCTTTAAGGTTCCTGTGGTCATTATTGATTGACGGGCCGTGGAAATTACATCCTCATTGTCACTGTCATACTCTGCATCATCATCGCCTTCTGTAGCTGTCTCAGTTTCGGTTACAGTGCTATCGGCGTCGGTGGAACCCAAAGCTTCCTCATCGTCTTCGTCGTCAGATCCTTTCTCATCAAAATCTTCTCTTTGAACGTCTTCGTCTTCCATGTCATTGACATCGTGTGTCAAAACATTATTTGGCAAGGCATCACTAGAACTGCCACTGCGATCAGTGCTGCCGACTTCAGAGGACTCAGTGATTTCCGACATTTCGGCTTCGTCCTGTGCAGCAGCGGCGCTTTGAAATTTCTGGAGCTCTTCCAGGTATTCCTTACCGATAGAGAGAATTAATTGATCCTTGAAAGACACTCTACAAGGATTCCTGGTGATATCCACCCCGTTGAACGAGGATCTAGAAAGATGGAGGCCGAAGATCTTGGGGGGCTTGAGGATCTGAGCAGTTCTCAAGACAGTGGATGTAACCTTGGCAATTTCACAATCTGGTGTTTTGTAGTTTTTGATGAACTCCTCGAGATCTTTATCCAAATCTTCATTGATTGCCAAGGTACTTTCTTCGTGAAGTGTTCTCACGCGCTTGAGGAGGGGGTTGGAATCGTTTTTGCCAGCTCTATCTTCTTCCTGGACAATTCTGGAGATGCGACACTTCAAGCAGTGGTAGCCCTCGATGGTTTCGGATTCGTTTTCGTTCAATAACGTCTCGATGTCAGTGGATAACTTCTCGGGGGCGTGGAGGGTGAGCATCAAGAATGGCGAGAAGCTGGGCTTGGAAACTCCTTTGCAGGCAAGACACTTCATCTGGCTCAAGATCAAGCCCGAGAACGGGAAGTCGGGCACCTCTATCAGCTCCAAGATCTCGTAGTCGCGTGGTGCCGGCACGTTGTTGGGACCTACCATGGAGGCCAAATTTTTCTTCAAGTACGCGAGGTAAGCTTTGATCTTGCCGTTCTCGAACTCTAACGTCTCGTTGATAAGCTGGGTCAATTCCTGGGCGTCATGCTGGGAGCGTGAGATTTTGGCGTTGAAGATGTTTTCGAGACAGTGGAGGAAAGTCCACACGGAGATGGTTCTGGACGTGAGCTGGGTATCCTGCAACTTCTTGACAATCTGGGCCAATGCCGTGTGGAGCGGGATCTCGAAGGTGTTGGAGTTCTTGAACTTCGTCTTTGTCTTGGACTTAAGCAAGTGCGACACGTCGAGGTCGCGGTCGTCCACGAACTTCTTCAACTGTCTGAATGCAAGATAGAACTGGTTGAGGTATTCCGTGAGGCCTGGCAATGCTGAGTACGCCTGGACTGACGAATTGGCAAAGCAGTCGTTTCTCATGTTGATCAAGCCCGTGGTGTGCTTGTCGGGACGTTTGCTGAACATGACTGGTGAAGGCTGGAGGGTGGGTGCTAGAACGTAGTAGGCGAGCGAAGCCGATGCAAAAAGGGAGAGGTAGAGTGGCAGAAGCACCAGGTGGACGAGGTGGTGGAGGGTTCTGGTGGGGGACAGAGGGAGCCGAGCTAGGATCAAGTCTCGCGCAGCGGTGGCGGTGGTGTGGAGGAGGTGCCAGTACAGCGCAGGAGGGGGGGATGGAGGAGGCGGTGGAAAATTTGCCAGGAGGACGTTTTGCAAGTTCCAGAGACTCATAAATAGCCTCGATTATCAATGCGGAGAGCTAGACAGTTCCACCGGGGCCGAGTGCGCGCCAACGGACTAATACGGGGAAACACTAGGGACAGGTAGTAGTGTGCTGGCCGAGATCACGCGGGGGAGGCCGGGCATGGAGGTGCAGCAGGACCGGAAGCACGACTTCCGTTGGAAGGGACTGGGGGAGTTGGAGGGAGTGGGAGGGCTTGGTGGCGGCGGTGTTGGTTGTGGGGCAGTGGGGACGTGGTGGGGTGGAAGCTTCCACGACGCAGGGAAGCCGCAACCTTGACGGGTCGTGCGTGGCACATCTGTGCGGAGTGACGGGTACAACGGGATTACAGGACGGGGTACCGCCTCTAGCTGTCACGCTACAGGTCATGCCACAGAAGGTGGACTTTCCTGGGGTGTTCTGCTCGGTCGCGCTGCTCAGTTGCGCGGTGTTTTCCAGCTGTGGCTAACGTCTACCAGCTGGTACCTCGGTCGAGAACAGTGCCCTGACCCGAGGAATGGGATTCCGTCCAGCCCTGGTTGCATTCCAATACTGCGCGTGCAAGAGCCATTGTACTTCCGCTGAGCGCCGCCATCTCTATCCAAATGTGCCACATGAGTTCTCGTCCTCCAGTACTGAAAGAAGAAGGCCCCCAAAGTCGCTCCGTCATATAATGTGCTTACGTAAGCACACCTCCCACCTTCTGTAGATAACAATTTTCCCTACACTTTACAATATCACAATGAAATCTGCAGAGACCTGGGTCAAAGAATTGGACTTGCAGAGCCACCCGGAGGGTGGCTACTACAGACAGACGGGAGCTTCCAGCCACATCATCAAGTCCCACACTAACTTGGACGTTCCTCTCTATACCAACATTCTTTTCTTGTTGGAGGACAAAAACCCCTCCAATTTCCACAAATTGTACTCGAACGAGGTATGGTACTACCACGACGGCGAATCATTCACCGTCCACTGCATCTATCCTGATGGCAGGTACGAGCTGGTGGTGCTTGGAAAGAACGTCTCCAAGGGTGAAAAATTACAGTTCGAGGTTCCTGCAGGCGTGATCTTCGGTTCAAGTGTAGTCGAGGGGTATGGCTTAGTCAGCTGTATGGTATCTCCCGGGTTTGATTTCAGGGAGTTCAAACTCTATGAGAGGCAAGAATTGCTTGACTTATTTCCACAGCATTCGGAAATCATCACGAAATTGACCCGCACATAATTTTCAGGGCCAAAGATAATATTCATATGTTAACAATTCATGACCATTATGCTATATAGACTCAATATGTATATAAACTCAGTATGCTGTATGGTGATATTAGTGTAGGATGTTCTCAACTAGAAAGTTGTGAATATTATTTGTGGAATGTTTGGCGTAACTATCAGTGACATTAAATAAAAAATAAAAAAATGTTAACCATTCCTTTGTTAGGTGCTCAGCTACTATTCTCGAAGATGATACTTAACTAGCCACCACTGTTTAGCGTACATGTTGGCACTGGCCAACTACTGAAATAGTCAGAATCCGTCCCAGTAATATCACGTGATGAATGTCTTTTCTACCTGTCACCCTCTGGTGACCTTAACGGCTCTGAAGTGTTACGATGGTGGCAGTTGTACGGCACATCAAGATACAACAGCATCGAGGCTCCAGTCAAGAATTACTGCCGCTAGTCTAGTAACCTATGAACCCTCTGGAACTTTTATGGGTTATACACGACCCACTATACCTGAGTGTCCGATCCATATAGGGCCAGATCATTTTCAGTACCAAAATCCACCATGTCCTCCACCGCTGGCCCGGGATCTGGCACGACATCGAGCTCGGAAGAAGCCCCCGACATCTTAGATACCCAGTCGTATGTGAACGCTGCCAGTCTCCAATTTCTCCTCCAAGAACTCGTCCCTACCTCAATTCGAGTATCACACAAACTCGCAGACACCAACACCCTCCTGTCATTGGCAGACAAGGACGAAACTTCTACGATCGATAAACCGCTCTCCAGCATCCCCAATGACCTCCCAGGTACTGTCAACGTGCTCGATCTGGCGGCATTGGACCAGGACGACGTGAGCTTGCGGGTCGAAGCTTACGGCTACACCTTGGGGTTGAAGTTAGCCGAGCTTTTGCTATACAAGAACACCCGTTTTGCTGGCACGGGGGGGCCAGGCTCCAAGATCGTGGATATCTTGGACATCATGAAGTTCGTGTGCAGAGATGTGTGGAAGTGTCTCTACAACAAGCAAATGGACAACTTGCGAACCAACCACAGAGGGACGTTTGTGTTGGTTGACAACAACTACAAGTTGATCTCGTCCTTGAGCAGTCCCAAGGGGATCCACGACACCGTGTCAAAAGCGAAGGTGCATCTTTGGTTTCCTTGTGGGATAATAAGAGGAATATTGAAGAGTTTCGGCGTGGATGGTAACGTGACTGCTGAAATCACCCAGTTTCCGGTGGTTACATTCAACATCTACACCTCAATCAATAACTAGAATGGCTGGACTAAACGGTATGATCCAGATCTTTACACCAATAACTCGGCATGCTGCTGTTGTAAAAGACGACAATGCTAGCTCCCAGTGCTGGAATTCCGGCCCCTTGCACTACTCTACCGCTAATACCACTGGAGCCAACTGCTCTTTGCATCAATATACACAGTAAACGAACGGGCGGCTGACATGACCGCTTACGTAAGCAGCACTCTAACTTTTGTGGAGAAACAACCTCCTACTTCCACACCCCACGCCATGGACCAGCCACCACAAATCCTCCGTATCAAGCGGAAGAGGACACAAGACCCGCTCCAGGCATTGATCTTGGAAGGAAGAGACCCCAAGAGATCAAAACCATCCACGCCGATCGCCTCCAGATACACATCACCAGTGCACACCCCAAGACCACCGTCACCTAATGAGGTTGCCAAACGCTTCTACAAGTTGTCGAGAACCGATGCGTTGACCACGGGCGAAGAGCAATCGGTGATTGACTCGGTTCTTAGGGTGGCAGGAGGCGAGGAAGACGACGATAGCTCTGCTCCTGTTCGCAAGTCAAGAAAGAGGAAGTTCATCATCCCTCAAAACCAGAGCCAAGAAGATGCCGAGATCCCCAATGAGCTCTCGGATATGGTTAACTCATACCTCAATGTCAACGAGGACGAGAACGGAAGCCGTCGCAAAAAGAGAATTAGAAACAAGGTACCAGAAAATGAGGGCAGCGAGCCTTCTGGAGTCCAGGAAGACTCAGACTACGTCTATGACGTGTACTTGTTGTCCAATAATGAGCCAATGACCACTGCAAACCATCCACAGGCTCAGATTGGGTACATTCGCTTCTTTGATGATGAAGACCTGTTGTATGTGTCCGACGAAGAAGACAATAAACCTGTAGTCTTGTCTGACGACGAAGACTCCAATGCCGAGGACTTCTATCAAAATGACTACCCCAGTGATGAGGATGCCGGTGTATACAGCGACAGCCACGAAATAGTTGACGACGAGGCAGAACTCGCAAACGAATTGAATGAAGATGACTACGACTATGACTATGAGGGATCCTACTTGGCCGAGGACAATTTTGATGACACAGATTTCAAGAGGAACAAGTTCTTCGAGTCCGACGAGCATGATCCTATGGCTATTCATCGCGATCGTATATTTGGAAAGTTGGAGAAAATGATAAATGAGAGCTAAACGGATTTATTGGTAGGTGGTTTTGAGTTCAATTCCACATAACTCGGTAGTTTATGTACCATGGGTACATACTTCAAGATAACGTTCCCTGATCTACCACTTTTTTCTTCACGAGAAGAAGTATCTACTTGCTAGGACCTCTTTAATGTCCAAGTCTCCTCTTGGTGGACACTCTAGAATTTGAACTGGTACTAAAACGGGTGTGAATTTTTTGGTTTCATACTTGCGGACTCTTCTGTCCAGGTTGATTCTGGATGTGTATGATTCAAGGGATCTTCCCGATTTGGACTTGATGAATAGTTGTGGCTCGTACTCCTTTATTAGATGTGCTATTCTTGATGATCCTTCAGTGAGCTCCTGCAATTCTTGCCTCAATATGTATGCCATTGACTTAGAGGTGTGTTTACTCCGGTATTCAAGAATTGCACTGATCAACTCTTTATTATTGATATTCTCTATCCACACCAATTGGAACGACATTTTCGTGGTGTACAACATGTCCGCCCGTAAATTCTCAATAATGTCTGAAGAATGCAATCGAACAAATTCCTCTCGAAGAATCTTGGACAACACTTCCACATCACATGGATAGGTCCAAAATGAATCATGAACTGATACAAATCCAATGGAGTGTAGTCTTGAAGAAACGGCAGTCATGAACATGTGGATAGAGTCTAATGAATGGATGAAATTGGGGGCAATCGCATTCAACTGCTTTTTCTTATTGATTGGAGCAATTTCCGTAGGCCTATTAATTTTTACACTCTGCAATGTGGTGGGAATAAGGGAAAACTTGGTGTGCTTGTAAAGCTGTACCACTGGGAATCCTGACAATGAGGTCCACATCATGGGTTTGTACGAATTGGACCCCATAAAATCTGTGTCTTCACCCAGGAAATGTTCCACAGTTTCAAGGTCGAACGAGTTGATAATTCTGTAGCAATTTTCAAGTAGCCAATCTTGGATAAGCTTAGCCCCAGCGAATAATTCTGATACCGAGTCCAATACAATTCCTGAAAGGTAAATTGCTAGCCTTCTTTGATTATCAACAAAAATGGAAGTATCTTGAATTCCCTCACTCCGAATTGTGATATCTTCCACGAGTTCCTTTATCCTTTGCTCAATTTGAGCAGCCCCTCCGTAATTGGTAACCCCATAAACTGTTGTCATCACTGTTTGTTTGATGAGCTTCCGCGATAATATTAAGCTAGCAACCCTTGCTATTTCTGTACCGCTTTTTGCATCACTTGCCACTTTTCTCTCGACTATTTCCAACACTTTAGCATAAACATCACCTCTGCGGTTGTCTGCTAACGGAAGAAGATTCACCGACAATCCACCTTCTCTGTCTGCCCCCAAAGCAGCGTAATGCTGAAGTCCGTTACAAGAACCATCTTGGTGGATAGGAATTCTCGACCTATAGTCTTCTATTTTCCCAGTTTTCCCGTACTGGACAATATTGTCTACCTCAATACAAAGTGCCAAGGTCTGCCATGGCTTTTCTGCTGACTTCCACCACATTTTTCCGTCCAAGGGGTTTCTAGCAGAGTCGAGAATGAGATCTAGATGCTGGTCAAAGTAGACAAGTCTTTGTTCCATGGTCAACTTATCCTGACCAGATACGCCTACCAACTGGTATTTGATCCAATCGAAGCCATTGGTTCCCAAAGGTTTACTGTGCCAAAACATCATTAACCCTCGGACTGAGTCCTGCTGGTAATGGGAGAGCTCAGACACCATTGGATAGGCCCTGCCTCTAAAATCAACACCATGGGGCAAATAAAACATATCCCCATTTTCGTCAAACGAGTTTGCAATTAGTTGAATCATGTTGTATTGGATACGGAGACCCTTGAGATCGTGATAATCATCTTGCTCCTCGGATAATGCAGCTATCTTCGCTGGAATCTTCAAGAATCCCATCTCAGATTCCATGGCATCGTTATAAATCTCTAATACTTTGGAATTGATGGCCCATGCATTCAGACTTAGCGTATTTAGTCCCTCGTATAGAGAGCTTAATTGTCCTGTCTGGTGGGCCTTGTTCAAATAAGCCAAACACGAGTTAATATCATTTGAGGTGACTATTGGTTTGAGGTCTTTGAGGTAGCCGCCGTCGGTTGGGCTAACCCATGGCTTGGGAGTGCAAAGCATTGGTAAGTACAACGATCTGTTGAATGTCAATGAATCGTATGTCTTTAGTTTTTGGAAAAGATAAGGATGGATTGTGATAACACCTAGGAGTTTAGTTCGTTCTAAACGAATAAGAGAGTATTTGAAAGCATTATCGTCTTGGTCTGGTTGCAAATACTGCGATTGTCCACCCAATAATAGAACTTCTTTCATCACATTCCGATCTTTTGCCAGTAACTTAAGTTTGCACTTATTCATAACAATTTTCAACAATGAAGTGAAAAGTATAATACCATCTTCGTCTTCATCAAACCGCTTAAGAACCTCGTTTCGTATCAATTTGTATGATGGCTCCTTGTAGACTAACCTTTTGAAAGAAGCAGAAATTTGCTTTACTAGCTCCGCCAATCTGACATATTCTTGAGGTGAGGCCAATGTGGCCGTTAGAAGCTTTGATAAAATTAGGGTTATTAATGCATTCTTTGGGATGAGGTTCCAATGTACAAAATATTTCGCAAGTACCCGTTCGTCTTCACTTAAAGACTGTAAATCAGGATGGTTCAGAAGTTTTTTGGCCAAAGTGTTTATCTCAGCAACACTTGCTGTGAACCATTCGTAAAGGAATTCCGAGTTCTCACTTCTAAATTTGTGAATGCTAGCGTCTTCAGGTTTTTTATGAGCATCTATATCCTCGACTAGATCCAAGCAATATGATTCTACATTGAGCTGTTTCGCGTGGCAAAAAGCTTGGTATTTCTGCATGAATTCTAGTTGTTCTTGTGATGTTAAAGTGTCATAGATCTGGTACATCTTTCCAGGGCCATAGATGTCAAACCTCTTGGAACAAATATAGGAGCACAACCCAGTTAAACTGATGAACCCGTTGCTATCCTTAAACGAATCGATGGACGAATCGTGGAAGTGATGCAGTGGCTCAACTGTGTGAGGACTGGAGGGCAGCGTTTTTATTTTGACCATTTTGCATATTTCCTCAAAGGCTTGATAGTTGATGTCCTTGTGATTTATGATGATTTCGGGTTTGACTTGGAATTCTTTCATGAGCAGCTTGATGAATTTCGCAATGGATGCCTTCATGATTCTTTCATTTGTCTTCTTTACCTCTGTGAACTCCTGGAAACATTGGACCAGTTTGACAATTAGCATGTTTTGAATTTCCCTCTTGTTTTCGGATATCCCGCTGCTAGTTTGTAGTTTGGACAAGCCTCTGTCGATGGCCCTGAAGTCATCGGTTAATAATTTAATGTCCTGGATGCAGCACTTTTGACTGGTGAGGAGAATTAAAAAGCACGAGTAGTAGTTGTCTATTTGTTCGAGAACCAGGCTTGACGAAGATGCCTTGTAGTATTGTACATTGATGTGCTGACCAAGTTTGTTCAAAATGTCCCTAGAACGGTTGAAGTCGTTGACGATGATTGATTGGAAGAATTGGTTTATCCGTATGGAGGTGGTGGCACCAACACTTCTAGACGGATTGGATTCTCGATGGAGGGACAATGGCGATATGTCTAGCACCTGGGTGGCTCTGTTGAGTAATGACGATGGGTTCTCCTGGGGCGATGACGTGGAGGTATATCGCACTCTTCTGGAGTAAATGGTGTTGGAGAACCATGTAGTATGGATGTGTGACGTGCTGGACGACGTGATAGAGCGAAAGGGACTCAAACGGGCGTAGTGGCGGTTAATGGTGTCTAGATGGATGTGTCTTGATGAGTTTAGGGAACGCATTAAGAGTCTCTGTTTGATATCTGTGGGGCGTGCCACAGGCGAGTAGAAATGCTGTGTGCCGTAGCGGATCGGAGATCGTATGGCTAGAGTGTAACCATCTTTAAATGCCATGCTTCATCTGGTAGAGTGGTGATGATTTATGTCACGGGACCGCTGAGATCAATAGTATAGACTCGGAGATCGAAAATAGGCGCTACCACTTGAAAACAGAATAGAAAATAATGTACAAGAATCTAGTGGAGTAGCTAGAGTTTGGCCGTAGGATAACCAAATTGCCCTCTGAACAAGATTCAAGGATAAGAAGGTGGATTTGACATCCACACTTCATCTGGATCTAAGAACACAGGAAGTACACAATTTCTAGTCTGTTGAGCAAGCGAACGTAAGACTCAATATTGTACTAAACCAACAACAGCATCACAATACTCTGGACCAATAGCCATCCAGAATGAAAATGAGCTATACATGTTGCCATTAGGTGGTATGAATAGACCAGAAACAATGCATTCAGGGCATTCTTGAATATTGGAGTCAAGGTCCCCCAAAATCCTAGCTAAATAGCCGATCGGTTCGATAGCCCTACACTTGAAACATAATTTTTTATTCGTAGCAACTAAACATCAAGAACATAAACCCTAAACATATTATCAGCTATCCATAACTTGTAGCGACCATACAATAACCTTTAACAACATTAAATACCATAAACATAAGTGAAACTAAACCATATCCTTGAAAAACGCCCAATAAAAAAATATCATGGTGTTTGTGTCCCTGGAGATTCTGTACCAGTAAGATGTACGTCCCCAATAAACCTACCCACAGAACACTGCTCGTTCGTCATGCAAAATGGCATTACACAGTTAGGAATCCCCCAATTCCTAGTGTAACTCTGCATGTAGCGAATTGTAGAGAATTTCTTCCAAGGCAGACATAACGGTGACCATCTACCCTTACCAGCATTGAATCCTTATGCATACCAGGAAGAGCAGATACAAACACAAAAGAAGCAGCAGCAGTAGCAGCACTCAATGTGTTGTTTTGAGACTAAGCATCAACATCTGCTACCAACTCTTGTATTTTTTGCTGAATTAGCTGGTGGTTCTGGACTTTTGTCAAGGGTATGAACAATTTGCTTATCTCCTAGTTCCCAAGCTTTCTTTCTTCTCACAAGTTTGGATTTGATTTCAACTATCAGGAAGTCAAGAGCCAGCTTGCGTTCGTTAAGAGAGCGGGAAAATGGGGTATCTTCATACCCGTGTTGTTTCAAGATCTCTAGCTTTTCTGCCCAAATCTCGCGTAGTTTTATCAACTCGCTCATGGATCTTTTGGAAAAGCAGTTGTCAAACCACCATTCTTCCCAATCATGGTAAGTAGCCAACTCCTCGTATGTTTTACTGGGAACGGCCACAGATGGGCCACCTTCCTCAATTTGCTCAGGTTGGTTTCGCGCTACCTTCTGATCATCATAGAGAGTGTCAGGGAGATCTTTGCCTTCGTATATCTCGGAATCGATTGCACGGATCTGGAGTTCAAGTTCCCAGATCTGTTCCTCAAAGAAAAGGAAATAAGGGTCATCAGATTTGACAATGAGACCCAAGCAACCGAATTCCTCTTTGTAATCTTTTTGAAGTATCACCAACTCGCTCCTTATCCTCTTGAGATCAGTCTCACTTCGCTTCGTTGCACTTTCGGAAGTCACAGCAGCTTGGGCGTTTGGTACTAACCTCGGAAAACGATCAGAAACATTTGCAACTTGAACAACCTCTGGTCCTAAGTCAAACGAGAATAGCGAAGAGGTTTCAGCAGGTGGGTTAATTTCTGGTCCTAAGTCAAAAGAGAAAAACGAAGATATGTCAACAATATGGATAGATTCTGAACTTTCGTTCGAGCGGTTTCCTTTAGAAGTATCAGAGACCGGAATGTTTTCCAGGATTGACATAGAAGATTTAGCTGGAGCAACAGAGGTGTTTGTGGATGCAATACCTCTTTCATTAGAAAATTGAGAAGATAATGGTGAAGACTCTTGCAGATTAATATCAGAATCTTTGCTTTTTGAAAAGATTGCTTTCCATCTTCTCAAGCTATCAGCTTTCAGTTTTGAACATTTTCTTCTGAAAGCTTGCTTCATTCTGGTAAGACTGAGTCTTCTTTTTGATCCACGCTTTCCAAGAGTATTTTCATCGTTAATTATCTCCTTGTTAGATATTGAGTCTTTTGGGAACTCATGAGTTTCGCCTGGGATTAATTTATCGACGGCCAAATGGTTCTCAGGAACTGCCACAAACGGGCCTTCATCTTTCTTTTGGCCATGGACAATTGCCTTATGCCTGGAAAGATGGTAACGGAACATGCTTGAGTAATCGGTTTGTTGAATTCGTAGACTTCTTACTTGAGCTTGTTCTAATTTATTACTGAAGATAGTGTGAAGAAATGAATCTAAATCTCTAGTAAGGCGAGGCAAAATTTATACAAACAGAAAGTTGCAAAATGTGGTCACAAATAGAGATACTACGGATTGACAACTCTGGTGAGGAGTTTTATATCTTACAGTCACAAAGAATAGAATTAATTGATCGGCTACTTCTTTTACATCTATTTAAGCCCAATTAGTCTGTGTAGTAAGCTCAAACATGTAAAATACATACTCCATGATCGATATCGCTCTTGCCAGTGGCTGCGAAATATCATCACGTGACACGTTCTGTAGACCAGATGATGTTTACTAAGATTTAAACACTAGTTCTGATGAAGTCTAGAGGCGAGTGAACATTTGCCAATACTAAGAATGTAGATGGTAGGTTCATTCAAGTGACTACTATCAAACTTACTCAGAAACAAAATTTTGAGTATAAAAATGATAATATCGTTACAAATCATTTGCTGGAAGTTGTACACTAATCCGCAGCACGCCTTGGAAGGTGGAGATTGTACACCAGAGCTGATCTATCACTAATTCTTATCGGTTGAAGGGTACTATTCTAAAATCTCAAGTAGAGAAATCTCGAACTCCTTTGACTGAATTCACGGAGAAACTACATACCACAACTCAACCACAACTACAAGACAGTAAGGGATAATCTAGTCTTTTAATGCTTTTTTTGCAGATTCTCAGACCTACAGAACTTCTAGTAATGGTGCTTCCTTTATGGATTCATCTATGGTCAATGAGACTAGTTTCATGAGTGTCAAGGTCCAGTAGATTTTCCTCCAAATTCTTTTGGAGTGAATGGATGCCGGCAACTTTGCTGTTTTTATTTTATTCAAAATCAAAAAAAAAAACAGGAGCTTTAGTGTTCCACTTGTAAACACTTTCTGGGAAAGGTGATTCATTAGGGAGTGACCAGCGGAATAAAAGCTATAAATATCAGTTCCCAAGAGTCTATTGTGTTTCATATAGAGCTGGTTTATTCAATCCGTGGCTTTCTTGGATTATTAGCTTAAAATGAGGTGTTTGCTACTTTGTTACAGAAACTGGCCACCAAACAACCAAATCGTAAAGAGATAGGTAGGAGTCAAGGAATATGACGTATAGTTGTGTGTGTGAACTACAGTCTTTTTACTTAGGTAAAGGAACGTTCATGACCCGAAATTTGAAGAATTCATGGAGTTTTTACTATTGGTGACATGGAGATCAGGATTACCGGTAAGAGCGATAACGCAAAGTTTCATCCAAGAAGTAAAGAATGTGGAGGATATCTCAAGAAGGTGATTTCGTAAGAGCTAACTGTAAGAATGAATTTAATAAATGCAAGAACAAGACGGAGTAGAGTTAAATACGGGGAGCAAGATACACTGTGAGTGCTGACTTAAGACCCTTCCCAGCATTTTTCGTGCTTCTTGGAGGGGTACACAATAGCAAGAAGATAGAGATTGAAATTTCTGGATACTCGAAGACGACATTTCTAAGAAGGAATAACAAGAAAGGGGAATCTGTTCCCCCTGGTACCTAAGTCATCTCTCCGTCCCATACATGCTCCACACGCCCTTTGGATGCTCTAAATCTAGAGAGGATCATTGTATTGCCTTTCTCGTGATGGTACCACCTCCATCGGTGCGCCGCACACCACCAGCACACCGCGGCTAGCCAATAGCGACGTTTAGGGTAATTCTACGGATGGGTTCCCCAGGCCCGATCTCACCACTCTAAGGAGAGGATCGTGCCCGCCAAACACAGCATTGCGGCTCAAGAAAGTCTCCATAGTTGTAGCATCCTTACTACCAGCCACCAGCACCCTTTTCTGTCTGTTCCCACACGCCAACCACTCGCTATCGCCCTGACTCAGCGCGTGAGAGAATCTCGGAATCGTATCTCGTTCTTTTCACCACCAGAAACACCACCATGACCCGTTTCATCCCCATAAGATACCTTTCCAAGGCCGAGAGATTCGTGCCTAAGTCGGGAGTCTACCCCAAGGGCTTTGTCGTGGGAGGAATCCACGCTGGCGTTAAGAAAGATGGCAAGTCGTTTGACTTGGCAGTGCTCAAGAACGAACACGGCAAGGGCGCAGTTGCGGCTGGTGTGTTCACCAAAAACAAGTTCAAGGCTGCTCCAGTCCAGGTGTCGTCGCGGATCTTGAAGGAGACGGGCGGTGAGGGCATCAACTCGCTTGTGATCAACAGTGGTAACGCCAACGCAGTCACAGGTGCCCAGGGCCTCAAAGATGCCCAGGACATGGTCAAAATCACAGACGCCGTGTTGGAAAACCCTGCCAACTCCACGTTGGTGATGTCGACTGGTGTCATTGGTAACACTTTGCCCATTGACAACATTCTTGCTGGCATTCCCAAGTTGGCGCTTAGCCACTTGGGCAACACCCACCAACACTGGGTGGACTGTGCCACTGCCATCTGCACCACAGACACCTTCCCCAAGTTGGTGACCAAGCAGTTCTCGTTGAACAACCACACCTACACCTTGGCAGGGTTGGCCAAGGGTGCAGGCATGATTTGTCCCAACATGGCCACCTTATTGGGATTCTTCGTCACCGACGCGCCAGTGACTGCCAGCGCTTTGCAACAGATTTTGAGACACTCCACTGAGCGGTCATTCAACAGCATCACCGTGGATGGAGACATGTCAACCAACGACACCATCGTGGCTGTGGCCAACGGAGCTGCTGGAGGACCAGTAATAGACAACACTGCCGAGAGCGCCCAGTCATTTGCAGCCCTCCAGGCGGAAATCACCGGGTTTGCCCAGCAGTTGGCGCAATTGGTGGTCAGAGACGGAGAGGGTGCCACAAAGTTCATCACCATCAACGTGAAGGACGCTCTTTCGTACGCAGACGCCAAAGCCATTGCCAGCTCGGTAGCCAACTCATCATTGTTCAAGACCGCCATGTACGGCCAGGACGCCAACTGGGGCAGAATCTTGTGTGCCATTGGATACTCGGACGTGGCTTCGGAAGACTCGGTGATTCCCGCCAAAACTGACGTCTCCTTCATTGCCACTGACGGTTCGCCTGCATTGAAGTTGCTTGTGGGCGGTGAGCCAGAAGTGGTTGATGAAGAAAGGGCTCTGGAGCTTTTGAAAAAAGAGGACTTGGTGATTGAAATCGACTTGGGCACCGGTGGCGGCCAGGAGGCCAACATCTGGACCTGTGACTTCTCGCACGAGTACGTCACCATCAACGGTGACTATAGAAGCTAGGATCAAGCTCAAGATCCCCAAACACGAAATTGACAGCTTTAGTAGGTCAACTGCTTATTATCAGAAGTTAGAAAGACTCCTAATACAAGTATTCGAATATTCCCCGACAATAGTAGTGCTGGTTATACAAATACCTTCCTTGAATAAACTAAATGGGAGGTTACAGAAGTTAGCGTTTTTCACTTTGGTGTATCAAAGTATGAAGTGGTTCTGTAGATTGAGCCAATAGTGGATAGTTCAGAAGTGGAATACTCGATCAATTAACCAAAAAATTTCAGACGTCTGCGGTTGTTTTAAGCATGATTGTAGAACTGCAAAATGGAAATGTATAATTGCCAACTTAGAGCAGATATTCCACACTTTTCAGAAGTTGTGGTATTGTAGATGCGGATAATCAGAAGAAACCAATACTGCAACTAACTGCAATTAACTGTTCTTACAATTCATAGGATTCTCTATTCAAAGTGATTTCATTTCCCATAGCTCGACAGAATTCGCTATACTTCACAGAGCATCCAATGGCTCTGCTCGAACATTCATCTCAACTCCACAGAAACCACTAAAATTCCTCACAGATAAGATTTCACTATTCACCGCATCTTACTGACTACAGCCCCCAACAATCGCTCCTTACTGTAGCTACCACCAATGCTAGCTGAGAGACAGCCATCGTCTCGCGTATATTCATTCAAATAATCAGATGGCTTTCGCATATCGATTCAGTAAATAACGCGTAATACTCTCCACCATGCCTCACAAACCAGACTTGGGCACGTTGCCCATCAGCAAGTTGACCCACAAGGATATTGACAACTACCAGGCCACAATCTTCTGCATCGCCCTTCGTTTGGACCATTATGACAAGGGCAACACCCCAGATATTCTCCACGTTACTGACTTCTCGCGAAACTCAAGGCTTCGAAACTTCCAAAAGCCCATCACCATTTCCGAGTACAACATCGACGACGACCAGACCCTCAATGTCAGTGCGTTCCGCAACAAGTTGACGCCAGTGCTTGTGGAGTACGATCAAATGTCCCGCAATCGCTTCAACCAGATCAGATACGACGAGAACGCCAGAGGATGTAAAAAGATGCTTTTGAACAACCTCGTGATCTTGAAGCTCAACGTGGACTTCAGGCTCTACAACAACCAGCTCCAGGGCCGGTGCAACACCATAGCCATCGTCGACAAGAATAACGACGACTGTGAACGGTTGAGAGAATTCTACGCCAGGATGGTGCAACACCTTCCCCGGGAATTCTTCGACGACCTTGGAAACCTTCCCTCTAAGCTCATTCCAGCCGAGTTCTTGAACCAATTGAAGCGCCAAACCGAAATGCCCGTGGTCAGAGACACTCAGCATTATCGTGCTGAGGCTATCAACAACACAATCGATACCCAGAACTACCGCACCGTCCAGTCGCCAGCCAGCTCCCAGAGAGCGCCAATCAACGATTTCTCCCAGCCTGTCGACTCAGGCGAAAGCTCGCAAGAGTTTTACTCGCAAGCCACAGCTCTCCATAAACCTTCCCAGGTTTCCACCTCGTACTCGTCGTCCAACTCTTCCAACAATAGAGACACACTCGCTGCACAGGTAAAGCGTGAGACGAACAACACAGTGATCACCGATCTGGAGTTCCCAGAAGACTACGTGCCCGATGAGGTTCACAGCCCTACACCTCGTCAACCAGTGCAATCTGATCTGCGTACAAATTCTATCTTTGGAAAACTCAACAGAGACGGCAAAAATATTGGTGAAAACGTAGTCATCAGAACTCCAGCCTACGTGGTCGGAAGCATACCCGTGGATTGGACGCATATCTGTACAAAGTCATATCGGTCAGATTTAAAATTGACTGATCCAAAATACCAACGACTAGAATTGATTCTATCCGACATCCCACCCAACCGCCATCAGGAAGTCTCCCTCACTGCTGAGAACTCATTGGTGATCACATTTGCAGAAGAGGACTTGAGTTCCTTTTTCCACAACGCCCCAATTGAAAAGATTTACATCAGTCTTGCCAAATTGGGGACTGCTTTCTGGAAGAATCGAGGCGAGCGCTTCAATTTCGAGATCCACAAGAAACTGATAGAGATCAATGAGGACGATGCAACGGCAAGTGTCTGGACTGCCAGAAACTTCGGTGTAAGTGACTTGATTAAGGGGTTAGACGAGATGTTTTGAGGCAATGTTGTCTAATGTCAGCTCTATTGGTGCTTGTCTGCTCGTGGATAAATTCTGAACTCAGCCCTAATCCAACTTCTTTGAAGGTTAGGTAAGTACTCAAGGTTTTTGGCGATTTTTCACACATTTTGGCAACATGGGCAGCTTGGTGACAATGTCATTCGTACTAGCCCAGTATGGGCACAAAGAGGAGTTTCTTTTACATTTTTGGCTAGCGAAATGTGGATTCCTGCAAAATAAAAGCAGTTGATTATTTCTCAATGGAAAAGCCTGGCTCGCTAATCCGACCCTCGGGTCCCAGTATCTAATTATTCAGCGATATCTGCGGTATCTCTGGGTCCATTGACCTTTCTGCCCAAACTAACAATGTTTGTGGCTCTGTTGAGGACTCCTTTGAAGTTGGCCACGCTTTTGTCGATACCAGATAATTTTCGAGCACCATCGGCAAAAAACCAAGGGAGAGCCCTAAATATAGGGATAAGGTTGGCATATAGCGGCAATTTGATATCTCCCTTTCTACCTACCTCCATAGCCGAGTAGATTCTCTCTGCCACATATGCAGGGTCTAGTTCAGGAGCCAATAACTTGGTGGGTGTAACTACACCCTCGAACATGTTTGTTTTCAATTGACCAGGGCAGACCAACAACGTCTTGACTCCAGTTTTGTTCCAGGAAGGCGAACCCAACTCATAGGTCAACGCCTCGTGGAGGGCAATGAGGCCCGACTTTGAAGCGCCATAAACGCTCAATCTTGCGGGACACATGTACCCCAAAACAGAGGCAATGGTGACAATATACCCTCTTTTTTGCTCGAGCATATCGGGAAGTAGCAACTTGATGGTGTAGAAACTGGCAAGAAGGTTGGTGTGGATCATCTGCTCTATTTCAGCGTATTCGAGCTCGACTAAGCTCTTGCCTCTAGCGATCCCGGCGTTATTGATCAACACAGTGGGTTTGCCCACCTCTTGGATCACCTTCTTGTGGATTTCAATGAGCTGATTTCGGTTCCCAACGTCACACTGGTAGTAATGGACGTTTTCGACCCGGTCTTCCATCGTTGGAGACTGGATATCAAGCACAATCACCCTGGCTTTCTTGGCTGCAAATTTGCCCACAATTTCTCGCCCCAAACCAGACACCCCTCCAGTTACTAGTACGATGTCACGTCCAGCCTCGAAGTAGTTCCCCATGAGGGCATCGGAAACATCACGTAGCTGTTTGTTATAGCGATAAAGAAATGCACCCATATTCACTGGCGGCAAGTGTGTAAAGGAATGATGATCAAATATATAGCGAGTGCAAAAAGAGCCACCAATGGGAGTACAAATGGAACGAGAAACACGAACATGTAATCCGGAAACAGTAAGTGAGCCACGGGATCCAGAAGAGGAAATGGGCCTGGAGGAGTGGGGATGTTTTAACGATGTCAGCAAAGAAGCTTGGGATAGTGCTCAGGTAAATAGTAGGCGGGAGATCAAACTTGACTATATTGTAAGAATATCGGGTTGAACTGAAAAAATGGCACTAATCGTTATTTAGCGTGATATAATGCTAATTTCGTGGGATGAATATTTGGAGAACTCTTTCGAAAGCCCAAGTGCTAGTTTCAAATTCTAGCGACATCTTTTAAGTAGCACTTTCGAAGATTGATAGTGTCAAAAAGTGAATTCATAATGAAGCTACAGTCTGTTATTTGGATATTAGCGTAATTGAAGTGCTGGTTTGGGACTAAATAAGCCCCGGTAGTTGGAGAGAAGGGAACAATCAAGTTGTAGAGACTACATCGCTTGTGATCTTGAGTTAATCTCATTTTGTGCTAGACTAGCACGATTGAACTATTCCATGCCTACTCACCACAAATTTACTTGCACCCAGACAGAACCGATTGTAATTAATTGCAGCCTGGCCAACCTTTTTGTTACAGTGCCTGGTAGCTAAATGAACCGAGTAATTGGCCATATTTTATAGTGTACTGTTCCGAGGTTAAATTCATTTGAAAAATCACCTATATCTGGTTTTTCAGGAAAGTCACAACCTTCATGTCCCTCCAATGTAGTAAACAAAACATTTGGTACAGTCATGCCATTCTTACACATAAACAGAATCTTTGGTAGTTGTCCTTGTAGACTCTGTCTCCAGTTAAACGAAGAACCAGAATTATCGTGGACACAGATTTCGCTCCAAGTGCACTATCTACAGACCATCTGGTGCTCCCGATCTTCAGATTTGCACCAATTACACGAGTATTGTTACTTGCACTTCTCACACGCACTTCTCACTGGCAATTATCCTCACAACCGTGAAGTCGTTCTTCATACTACCTTCTCGCAGTTGATACTGAAGCTGGTCGCACGACGTGCCAGTACCGAAAAGTTTTTTATCATCTAGACTCAATATAGCTAGCTACAGTCACCACATCACCCCAGTCATCATGAGTTCCAGTTCGATGTTTAAGGACTTTCCTTCGTCCAGAATCTTGAAGCAAATCGCTCGGTTGAACAAAATCGCCGGCACCTCCGAAACTGCCTACAAAATCGACCTGTCGAAGTTCGCCAAAGTCGAACTCTATTTGATCCAAAAGAACATACACGGACCTTCGGTTGGGTTGAGAAAGTTTTGGAGACACAACCTCCCCACCTTGAAATTCCACAACTCCGAATTACCTTTCGTCATGACCAGAATAAGTGCTGAAACCCCCGAAGAAGTAGCAAAGTGTCCAGCTAAAATAGTGGTCCACGGCTCCAACAGTGAAAAGTTCGAAATCAATTGTGCCAATAAGCATAGCAGTGCTATTCTCGACGAGTTGGTCAAGATCACTGGCGCTGTCAACGTTCCAGAAGCCGAGATTCCTACTTTGAAGGCCCCACAAGACGATCTTTTTGCGTAAGCAGGAACAGCTAGACATTTTGGGATGCTGGCCTACAGAAATCCATACTACTAGGTGTAGTTTACATTAATCTACTTGTACATATATAATACAGACTATGCAATAGTGGCCAATGTAGGATAATTTTTGGTTGGAAACCAAGATCTTGAGACTCGATAATAGTACACGACGATGCTTGGATAGATATTCTGTCGACAGTGGCCAGGTTTCTGTGTCTGGTTCACAGCACAGGGGTATATTACAGTAGTAGACTTGTACATCGTGAAAAAAGAGGTTGCAGTCTAACAAGAGCTGAAGTAGACAATGATTGGCGACTGCCCGGGTTTCCGTTTAGTATTCCACACACTTCCCCCTGGAATTTGGACTGTTAATCAATTGAACTTCAAATTTTGATATATTTCACTTCAATGGTAACATGATCATGAGCTTAAAAATTTCAACAACTCGTCCTTTCCCTTGAGCCCAATCAACTTCTTGATCTTTCTCAAATCCTCAATCTCCTCATCATAGACTCGATCGTTATCCGCAGACTCCTCCTTCTTTATTTCAACTTTGTCCTCCTTCTTTTTGGTTTCAATTGCCACTCTCACCAACTCCTCCAAATTGATGCGATCTTTTTTCAACTCAGAAAGTCCTTCCACTAAATTTCTTTCATCCTCATTAGTCTCGATTCTACTCTTCATATCATACTCTTCAATCGTGTTTAATACTTCTTGCTTGATTCCTGTTTCTTGTTTTGCTTTGGAAATAAAATCTAACTGGATCAGCTTTTCTGGAACCCTGTAGACAAAAGATTGACCAGATTCTCCTTTAGAAGTGAGACATAAGATCTTGCTTGCTTTGCTGGATGGGCGAGAAGTCACCCCAAAGTTAGTGGCCACAGAGTTTTCGAAGAAATCGGGTACAGCGTACTGCGGGTGACGATCCTCGTCATCAAGAGTATCCTCGAATTCTTTGTAAATACTTTTGTTCTTGTCAAAATATTCATATTTGGGCCTGTTGAAATCCTCTTTTTCATACTTCAAATAATCTTGTAGGTTTGGATTCTTTAATAAATTTGGCTGATCATCATATTGAATCACGATGTTGCTCAATGAAGAGATTTTAAGGAAGTGGGCTCTCAATGCTGGTTCAATCACTTTGGCGTCTTTGAAGTTTCTCAACTTGAATCGTTCACCCAAGTTTTCCAACTCTTTCAATGCTTTCTGAGTGATGAAGTTGTCAATGACATTCTCCACGTGGTTGGGACATCTCCACTTGCTTCCGATTGTCTTGGGCCCAAACATTGGTTCGGATAAGCAGTCAATGTGCCATACCAATGGACAATAATCACATTGGGTCAACGTTTTATGGTTGAGCCCAGAGAGTCCACATTTATGACAAAGATGGGGGTTTCCATCCTTGTCATACAATGCATCAAGTTCGAGCGACTCATCTTTGTTATATCCTTGAATTTGTCCATCCTTAGGTTTAAGTGGAAGGTCTGGCTTCATGGACTCGTCGTGGTAGTCACCAGAATCACTTGTCTCCACGCCAATAAAGGTCTTTTCTCTTAAGAATTTTGGCAATTGAAATTCTACTGGGTTTCTAGCTTCCTGTTGATTCATGAGCTCGCTGAAGATCCCAATATTGCTCCATTTTGTAGTCAACAGAGGAGTTCTTTCAGCAAGACACTCGCGGCAATACCATTCACCCTCTGGGGCGTCCTCCAATGGTGGGTCACAACAGGTGAAATGGAACGATCTGGGGCACGATTCACAACAAATGAATATTCCAGAACCACCACAGGAAGAGCAAAACTCCTCGTTGCTTCTGGGGGCGGTATCGTGGTGAGGAGCCTTGGCCGCGTTGGACGACAACGGTGCTAAATTAGTGATGGACTTGCGAGGAGATATAATCTTAATGCGCTTGGCTTTGCCGTCATCCTGCTTGGGGTCTTCGGGTTCTGGGGTTGTGGGACGGTCTTCCAATGGTCTCTTTGAAGGTAACGGAGTTCTTTCAAGACTCTCCTTGGTCAAATCTTCGGATAGATGCAGCACGAGCTGGCGGTTGAGCGCTTCTTCCTGTTCTGTAGTGTCGTCACCCACCAGCGAGCCCTCTCTTGAGTAAAGCCCTGTTCCCTTGATGGGACGCCTTGTGTATTTCGAGGGCCACAATGATTCCTTTTTGATTTTTGCTGTGGGACCCGATTCCAAAGGTAATCCGGTATACATAGCGGTTGGACCAGCCAATGGAGGTTCTACGAACCTTGAAGGATCACGGATGATTCTTTCGTTTTTTCTAGGTCTACCAGGACCTCTTCTTTTGGGCGGGGGTGGTAAATCGGGTGGTGGGCTCGTGTTCAACTCCTCGTTGTAGGAGCGGTTGAGCTTGGATGCTAGCCGTTCTGACTTGACTGCTCTGGCGGCCAAAGCCTGCTTCTTCTGTTTTTTTCCACTTCCTGGGGGTCTTCCGACCTTTCTTTTCGGAGGAGGGGCATCAGGCACTGTAGCAGGCGGGATCTTTGCATGGTGGCCCGTCGAGAGCTTGGGGATTGTCAAGCTGGTGGTGGAGGGGGGCGGCAACCCGTTTATGGAGGGCAACGGAGGCATTTTGACGCCGCTGAGCTTGGGGATCCGGAGTGGGGGAGGTGGTGGCGAATTTTCGGTGTTGCTCTTGGCGGGAGATACGTCTGTGCTGACGTCTGCAGGCACAGGCGTCGTTGAAGCCGACAACGACGGCTGGGATGACGGTATTAATGGAGACCCATTTTCGGGTGCAGACTCCGACGGTATTTCTGACACGAGAGCAGCGTCCTCGGGAGACGCCAACAGGGCGCTAGAGCCACGCGGCTCCGTGGAGTCCTCCCTGGAAGGACTAGTAATGATTTCTCGATGGTCTTCAGCGGGTATTTCTCGATGTCCATCAGCGGATAATTCCAGCTGGCTGGATGTTTTAGCCACACTGGGTCTCTTGAGTTCCGTGGGACCCTCACTGGCACCAGCAGAAGGCGTGGTGGTGGTGTCGTCGTTTGAGGCAGCTGTTGTGGGTTCTGAAACGCCCTGCGAATCTTTGGAGGAATGATTAATTTGTGAAATAAATTCGGCAGGCTGGTGTGGCCCTGGCAGAGAATTTTGGGGGCGGCTGGCGGGATTGATGTGGCCATTGGCGTTTTTTGCCCCGTCTTCACTGAACGATTCTGACATTTCTGCCTTCAATAGTGTGGAGGAAGAGAGGTGATGATAATTTTTTGGTTCGCGGCGAGCGATGTAGAATCGCACAAATGAGACTGGAAAATCGAAGGAGTAGTAGCGAGAGGGCGGGAGACGGTGTGGGCGTGGGGACTAAACTACGGGGAATTTATGGGAGAATTTACGGTGCTGGAGGGTAGCGGCTCGGTGGTGGAGATGGTGGTGGAGAGTGTTTTGGTGGTGGTAGTGATGGAGAGAAGCGAGATTACTCCACCATTATTAATTGTGAGGAGGACTGGTGGTATGGTTATGTAAGCAGAGAACTGGATTGTAAATAGGAATAATAGTGGTACTAACACAGCTTACAGGAACACAAAGGAGTGAAGAGTGCGCCTCATTACGTATTGGAGATGAGTAATGCTCGGTCCTACAGAATGGTAATTATGGCTACGATGAACAAATTATTCAATAATGAAATAGACAGTAATACGACAAAATAGTAACGCTAATCTAGGGATAAAAAAACCTTTGGGTGGTGTTTGGATTTTCCACGAGTATCCGTGGATGGGTACACCTAGTACCAAGATTATATATTAATTTAGCCAGTTGAAAAGAATGGCTACGGTTGGCAAATAGGCTGGTATTTATACCCTAATTCAACACGAGCTACGCTTTGCTGGAGCGATCGTGGTCTGATATTGATTTATTGCGCAAGTTGGTTAAAATACCTAGATAAAACTACGTTTTGCTGGAGCGATCGTCGACTGATATTAATACGCTAAATTGATAGTACGCTTTGGCCGGAGCAATCGTCGTCTGATATTATTGCTCAAGTAAGTTTTCGTAATAGCTACGCTTTTGCCAGAGCTGTCGAAGATAATACTGAACCTCGACTGTTTAGATAGTTTCAACCTATCAATACACCAGATTTTTATTAGTTGAATTATTACCTATTTTGTAAACATAAAATTGACCAGCTTCAGTCATTCTATAATTGCTTCACTTTAGACAGAGAGAGGATTATCGTTTTTATACCCAAATCAGCGTAAAGTTGATAAAGCTGGCGGCTGACATTGAATACCCTAATCTGCACATTTTCTAGAGCTGCTGTCTGATTATGGTAATACTGAACCTCAATTACCTGTATAGTTTCAAACGATTACAAGATTTCAGCCAACAGATATATTATTATCTTACTTAAATAATCAAATAATTGACGAGCTTGTCATTCGAAAATAGCTCCGCTTTGCTAAGCTATCATCTGATAGTATATACAGTTGGTTTTCTTACGCTTTGCTTAGTACGTTCATTACGAATAGAGCATTACCTACGCCAGCACGCTCAGTTGGCGGCCTTGGCCTTCTTTTTCTTTTCAACCTTCAAAGGCTCTTCCAAGAGTTTCAAGATCTCCTCATCCTGAATCTTCTTGTCAGTGTTGTAGAGACCCTCCTCGAACACAGGTGAGGTGTACTTGACAATGCCGTTCTTGGTGATTCCAAAAGTGGTGAAGTACTGGGCAATGTACTCGCCCTCCTTTTCGGTGAAGATGTCGTAGGCCAACATCACCTTGTGGTTGACAGGCTCGTGCAAACCGGATCTGGCCTTCTTGGGCTCTTCCAAGGTTCTGACATTGAAGGGGAAGGGGCCTGTGGAGGTCTTACGCACGTCTCCCAAAACTTTGTGGGACATCTTCAACTTGAGGGCGTACGAAGTACCAGTTAACTTGTACAAGTTGGTCTTCAACTCGGAAGCCTTGACCTTACCATCGGCAGAGGTGGAGATCAAAATGTCCAAGCCGTAGACTTCGTTTTCCTCGAACTTGTGGGTGTCCATCTGCTCCTTGTTTTGCTTGGAAGGGTTAAGGATCACTTCCTTGGCTCCGTACAACACGTTTCTTTCGATGTTGTGGGTCAACATGCTTTCGACAGGAGTGGTGTCGAATTCCTTAGCAACCTTGGCAACGATGTTGGTGACGTCCCAGTTCTTCTTGTTTGGCTTGAAGGTTCTCAAGGCGGCCTCGGAGGCCAACCAGGCGGCATGAACCAAATCAGCCTTCTTACCGTCGACTGGAGCGTCCTTAGAGCCAACCACAACGGTGTCGGCGACAATAGCTGGGAACCCGTCAAGTTGGACACCCAACATAACGTTGACCACATCGCCAGTCTTTAAGGTGATGTTGGCTTCGTCATCCTTGTCAATTGGAGCAATGTGGGCTGGGAAATGGTTGGGGTTGACACAGGTTGGGAAAGCAATGCCCTTTGGAACTTTGGAGGTCTTCTTGGAGTTGTAGATCTTAGACAATTCCTCGTTCAAGAGCTCATCTCCCTTGATGGAAATCTCATACGTGGTGGCTCCGTCAACAACAAGCTCCTTGACTTGTTGCAAGACTCTGTTGGTGATGTCTCCACCGGTCTTGTACTTGGAGACGACGTCGGAGTTGGCAATGGTATAATCAGGGGCTGGTGTTAGTATCTTATGGTGTGCTGTTGCAGAAGTTCCGTGTTAATGCTCCACTTGTACTCACTTTTGGCAGACATTTTGTAGTGAAGATATCGTTGGTGGGTCTTTCCCTTTATACTCATCAAGGACCGTCACGTGGACTGAATTTTCCAGTTGCCCTCCACGCGGAATTGAACCCGCACGGACCCCAGATGTGTATGGGGCAGGTGGAAAATCGGCTGTTGTATGTGGAGATCTCCATTAATCCAGTGAAGTGTCGAGCCAAATCAACACCATCCCGTTCCAACAGCTAGACATGCCAAAATGGCAAATTACATCATCTGTCTAGCTCATTTCTGTGAGCTCCATGGCCCCTCCATAATCATTTGTACGCAAGTCACCAACAAGGCATCGAAGTCCGAACACATATTGTCGTCCAACTCCAAGCTCCAATCGTGCTCATCCTGCAAGTTGCAGTTGCCCAACGATTCAATCAACGTCATTACCACCGACGAATCCGACAAGACTGTGGTCAATCCCCCTGTATACATTTCAACCAACTATCCATCCTCCCAGAAAAGGTATCTGTCTCTCACAAAGCTAGTGATGAAATCTTTGTCTGTGGAAACAACGGCAGATGCCACCAAGCCGATGTTCGTAGGGGATGCTTTAAATGGATACTGTGTCAATAAGATCATCAAAATCAAGGATGCCAACGCTAGAGGCTCAGAAAGAAAGTATGCTCTCATGGTTGTGAGTGACTCAGAATCCGATTTGTTAATGAACTGGGACATTATCGGCATGTACTTTACCGAGATCACCTCATTATTGCACCTCAAAGTTGAATCAACCCTAGAGCAGTTGTTGACAAAAAAGGAGGGGTCCGGGAAGAGCGATAGTTGTATGTTGGACAATGAAAGGTATTTAAGGAGGTCGATGAACAAGCCAAAATCTTTGGTAGAGCTAACCAATGACCCCCAAATATTTGTCAAGTTTCACTTATGGGGAATTGAACTCCTCAAAGACATATTGAAGTAGATCAGCTCAGATTTCCAATTGCCTTCAATTTATTGGCTCTTCTCAACACCCAAGGGTCAATCCGAAAAGTATCAAAGTCACCATTCTCTATCTTGATTTTTGCCATTTCTTGTCTGTGATATGTGGTGAACTGTTTGGTATGGTCTGCATCAAGTAAAGTATCGGCATCATGACACGCGTTGCCAATCGGGTCGTTGCGGCAGATATGACTGGGCACCCACAAGTCAAGCACTGGTCTATAAGTGTGTTTTTCGTGCTGTTTGCTGTACAACCCATGATGGTACTCTCGTTTCAAAATATGTTGAAATGCATTGGGAACATATGCCTTTACTCCTTCAAACAAAGTTTGTCGCAAGGGACTAAGGTTATCCCAGGTTGAAAAATGAAGATTTTTGCAGCTAAATAATTCTTGATTTTCAATATATTTGGCCCTCAATGACTCCATTTCCATGCGTAACTGCTTCTCTGCTACTGTGTGGGAGTTTTCTTTGGCTAAGTATTCGGGATCCAAGACCTGGTTAAACTCCTTTGCTTCACGATGGCTCAACTTCTCTTTGGGTGCTGCTGGACTGTGTGACAATGCTGTAATATCGACATAGAACCCCGTGCTGGTATCAATGAATCTAGCATCAATGGTGTTCAAACCATTGCCTCGACTCCTGTGGTGGTAAGCAGGGCCAACGTCAACTAGATAAGTGGCCACTCCCAGATTGATATCATTATCAGTCACATCTAATACCAATGTCTGATTGTAGTTGCGGGCCAACAATAGTAGGGATGTTGTTGTGATCTGCACATCAAGATCCAGATCCCAGGGCAAATTTAAGCCATTCCAAAACCATCCCAACAACGTACCGTGGGCGAGCCAAGTTTGGATCCCTACCGAATTTGCATACCGGAGCCATGCTCTTGAAAGACGGTGTAAAATCGCCTTTCTCTCGTAGTTCGTATAGTCGACCGTATTGAAGAACCTTCAATCATAATGATAGCCTCTCTTGTCTTCGTGGATCACGGCTTCATGAAAGTACTTTTCGGAAGGGCTAGTACGAAGTGCCGAATATAATCTTCTATCAAGTACATTTTCTGGTGTAGCCACTCGTGTCTTTATTTCCTGGTAATGGGTATTGGCATCAAGCTTAAAATCTTCTTTCTTTAGAGGTTGGACTTCTGCTGCCACTGCTCTCAATTTGTCCTGGATGAGTTCCTGGTCTTTGGGGTCCTCTACTAACAAGGAACTACATAACCCATTGAGCAAGGTTATCTCCTTTTGGATCTCTGTGTGCTCTTCTCCAGGCTGTCGTTGTTTATAGTCTTTGGCCAATTGGTTCAAATCAGAACCCTCTCCATCGTACAATGGGACAATCAAAGTATGTTTTTTTGGCCCGACTCCAAGCACTGCTAGCCTGTAGGGTACTGGGGCAGAGTGGAGGAGGTAGCTGGCGCCCATCTGAGTCCGTGTTTGGAGGTCTAGGGCCTCGTCAGTGGAAGAGACCACTTTAGCAGCACGGGTTTCTGGGTCCAACAACACCCATGGGGCATCCTCTGTGTACCTGAAGTCGGTACCAGCGGTTAATTCGACCCACGATGACCAGCTGAATGGCAATTTGTATTGGCTGTCCCAGGTTTTGGGCAGTAAATGACGTAAATGGTGGGCGATGGAGTTGATCGCAAGCGCTGGCGCCAACCTGGGGTCGAAAGCCTCGTTGGTGGGCTCTCCATTACTGTTGATAGTGGGAGGAAGCTCGGACCTGTACAATTGGGGATCCCTGGGACTTTTCTGAAAGGAATCGGCGTCTTGTATCGTTACCTTGTCTTTGACATCGATGCCAGAATGGCGGCAGTATATCAAGAGGTTGGCCACAAACACGATGGTTACATAGAAAGGGATCGAGCGGCCTCCGGCATAGCGTAGAGCACGGCGTAGGGTCTGTGCAACCATTGTGGTGGGAAGAGTGTTGGTGGAACTTACAGCCAAAATTGAGGGACGGGCTAAGGTTTGGATGGTCGTCTAAGCGCCACGTAATGGCTCTACAGAGGAGACAGCACTGCCAGCCACAGCACCATATGTTGCTGTCTGGTAGTAGGCTGCTTGTTGTCTGCTTTCTGGCTAATTTCTGGCTGCTTTATGTCTGCTTTCTGGCGGACCCTGTCTGATATACGATTACTTACGACGATCCCCATTTTTTAAGGACCCTTGTGCCAAAGGACCTAGAAGTTGCACCTTGGCTACACGATTTCAAGCATTTGTTTATTGTCTATTGAAGTAACGGAACTAACTTGTTCTGTTTGTGGAGCTCCTGCAAGTCTGAGTTGCCTCCAATGTGCTTGCCGTTGATAAACACGTTGGGAACCGTTCTTTGGCCAGTGATTTCAGCCAAGGCAGCCTGGATGGAGGCGCCATCGGCAGTTTGGTTAAGCTCGACGATGTGGGCGTCCTGGTTGAGCTGTTTCAACAACTGCTTGGTGCTGTAGCAGTATGGACAGGTGGACTTGGAGTAGACCACGACCTTGTGGGCGCCAGTAGAGGCCTTCACGGAGGCGAGGAGCTCGGCCGAGACTTCGGGGGACTTGAACCAGGAGGCGATGTAGCTGAACATGATGGGGTCGACTACGAATGGGAGGTGGTTACGGAAGAATATGACTGCGCGTGACTGGGGTCACGTGACGTATATCTAGAAGAATGCAAATATCTGTTGCTTGGCCAACACCCGGGTGGACCCAAGCACCTCGACGTCGGTGCCGTCCACCTCGTACTTTCCGGGAGTAAGCTTCTGCACCTTCGCGTGAAGCAGGCCCAAGATGGTGTTGGATTCAACAGGTCTAATTTTGGGTGCAAAAGTACCGATGGTGATGTGCAAATGCTTGTTGAGAGTCTCGAGTTCGATCGGCTTCAAGTCCTTGTCGTAGAACTTGAGTGCATTGGCTGTTACACACACGAGTCGATCCTTTGCAATCACGACACTGCCCAACTGGAGGTCGGCATAAAACTCCAAGGGATTCTTCTTCACCTGTTCATACTTTGCAGGCAAGCATTTGACGAGCTTTTTCCACTTCTGTTTCAATGCCGCGCTGGATGCCGAGCCTGAGTGTCCCAAAGTAACGTGGAATTCTTTTTGCACTCTGTCGAGTTTTTGGAGCTCGTTCCACTGCTGGTGCTCTGCCGCCACCGAATTGATGTACTCCATCAACGTGGGGACCTCCACTGCTACTCCGTAGTAGGAGGGGTCCTTTGGCTTCGACATGACCTTGACGAATGTGGGCTGATACGCCAAAGCAGCTTGAAAGGCTACGTCGATCTCGTCGTCGCTAGGAACCTTTTCTATAACCGAGGGATACTTGGCAGCAATCTGCTCGATTATGGTCTTGACGTTCTCCTTAGAAGAGTCGTGACGGTGGAGCTTCAAGTTGATCACCAAGTCGAAGCCCGAGTCCGGCTCTTTGGTCGTCTGAACAGGCTGGAACCGGCTGATGAATCCCTTCATCACCTTCACAGCCAAGTTCTCGTCGGTATTGAACTTGATAGACTGATGGTTATCACCTCGAGCCTTCATGCGGTCCAATGTGATGTCCCAGAGCTCTTTCTTGTCCACGTTATCGATGAAATTGATGCAAATGTATTGGAAATCCACGTCTTCGTCAATATACTTGGACCTCTTACTGTCGAAGTCACGGAAAAGTTGGCTTCTCTCGCGATACTCCGAGTTGTTTCTGTCGACCAAGACCACCGGCTTGATTTGCAACTGCTTTATGCACAGCTCGGCAAGCTTGACCTTGGCACTTTTGGAGATATTGTCGTTCTGAACATGAGACCATTGCGGAAACAAGTTGATCAACGTCTGGAAAACAGTGGTCTTTCCGCATGCAATAGTAGCGACAGGAATTACAACTAGCTTGGTCTTTCCCTCGGTGTCTGTGACCTTCAAATTCTCCATCCCTTCGTGCAACTTGTCGATGTTCAACAAGTTGATACCCTGGGACTCGTTGATGTGTTCCAAAAAGAGTTCTCTGGTCTTGATGATGCCCTTGCCATTGGCGAAGCTTTCTTTCAACGCTGGCTGTTCCTTGAACAATTGCTCCACAAACTGGAGGTACTGGCGGGTGATGTACTTGTTCTTCTTCAACCGGATGAGTGACACTGGCTTGTCAGCCAAGAGGTACTGCTTGGTAACCTCACGGAACTGACGGTACAACAAATACGGCTGTTCGAACTTGAACTTGAAGAAAAAGTCCCTGGACTCGCTGCTCTTGCATCTGATCACAAACCCTTCCACTTCCTTCCCGTTGTACGTTCCTGTTTTGGCACATTCGTCAAGAAACTCGAACAACGCACCAAAATCGTCGTAGCGAAGCGATTCGATGGTGTGAAAGCCCCATTCCTTTGCAAACTCGTTGACCTGGTCAATTGGCACCGTGGAGAACACAATGGTGTTGTAGTTGAGTCCATGGAGATAGAGACCAGCCTGGTCCTTGGAGTAGGGCAAAACGTGTTCCTCGAACGAGTCGTCGCACAATTCGGCCACAGCCGTCAAGTTGTGGTCGAAGAGAAACTTGGCCAACTCCTGTGGCGATTTGTTCATCCGTTGCAACTGTCGTATGACCTGCGCCTCTCCTTCAAGTGCATGGTTGGTCGTCAAATTGTCTCTGGCTCCCGTGGAGTGCTTGGAACACACCACAAGCTCGCCAGTACTGAGGCCACCAATGAGGATGATGCATCCATTCTCCTTCAATGTGACATCGTATGGTCCTTTCGTGTTTTCGAGCATGTCTTCCCTGGTGGTGATCTTCAATTCTCCCACGTTGAAGAACTTGTCATAGCCTCTGACCACGATGGTGCTGTCGTTGATGGTGAAGAGACCTCTAGCATCAATTGGCAACTTCACCTTGTGGGACTTTCCGTAGTCCCACTCATTGAACTTCCAGCTGGTGATGGCCTGCGAGGTGTTGGAGACGGTATTGACGAATTTTCTGGACCTTCCTTCCTTCTTGAGCTTGGTGGCAGCCTCGAGCTCCTGGCAGAGCTGAACTACGCGCTCAGGCGCGTCGTACTGTGGTGGAATCATCACTGGTGGTTTAGAGATGGATCTGTGGTGAATATATAGTGCACGTGAGTCATCGGGTCGTGTATGTACCCCAAATCAAGATGGGGATGGTTAGTCATAGGGAGGTGACTAATCCCATCCAGTGGCAATATCAGCCCATCGAAGACCTTGGAACTATGGAGAATGCGCTTTTTGGGGATTCTTTGGGCGGTTTCGGATTGTTCAAGAACGATTTGGCTAATACCAGCACGTGACTCATGGTGTCGTAAATTTGACAGCACCAGTGGAGCGTGCCAAGCGTTTACTAACCAACTACTAGTTGGGGTAACTTCTTATCAGAATATCATCATATTAAATTTATAACTGAAACCATGCTAAAGCAATTTATAAGCATTCTCCTCGGAAAAGGCCGTATCTTCACTTGAAGGTGACGTATATTCCAGTTATTAGATAATTTTTAATTTGTGTTATAAACTGCTTGAGACAAAGCACCCATACTTCATAAATACCACTGCAAAGTTACTTCTTCATAAAGACCCATACTTCATAAATACCTCTGCGTAATGTAATCTCCTTTAGAGGATATATTCAACGATTATTTAGGTATATAGTTAGAGAGAACTTGTGTAAAAAAAGCTGCCTCTAGAGAAGAGTGTCTGTTCGATCGTAAATTTATTGGAATCTGTCGAATTATTATTCCCACGCTGTAAGTGCAAATCAGAAGCGTCCGGCCAAATAGAGGTATGTAACAGCAACCTGTATACATGCAGTTCACGTGATCCCTCACGTGCATTTGTCTACTAAAAATGAATTCCTCACCACCTTCCACCGTTCCCCATGTCTTTCAAGGTCGACGTGGACGAGGCCGACGTGGCCGTTCTCAACCAGAACCTCGCCAGGTCCAAAGAATTGTTCAATTCCATCTCGATTTCCCTCAACAAAATCGCCAACAAATCCACCAATGCTCTGAAGAATATCAAGCCTATTCTTCGTGACGTGAACCAACTCTACGAGAACAAAAGACAAGTCGAGAACGGCATCAAGTTGTTGAGCGACGTCAATGAGAGTGCTGCGTTGATCCACAAGCACGAAGACGTGCTCAACAACCCCATCGAAATGGTGGGGTTGAAGAAGTTCATAGACACCTTAACCAAGAGCAGGACGTTGTTCAAGACTATCCGTCCCAAATTCAAGCAGTTCACAGGCATATTGATCAACTTCGAGACATTGATCGACAAGTCGGAGATCAAGCTCCAGGCATACTTCCAGGGCTTGATCAACTTGCCTGCGAGCAGGCTCTTGGAAAACAAGAGCAAATTGGACGACATCCAGGTGATTTTCGCGTACTTTGCCAAAGACTCGGGCCATGTGAACAAGATCTACGTGCGGACCAGAAGCATGATCCTTCTCGAGAAAATGAGGCCCATGGAACAAGGCATACAAAAGGCACCAGAGAGAAATGCTCCTTACGAGCGTGGCACCAACGGAATCAACCAGTTCAACAACGAGTTGATCAAGCTGACCAAGCAGGAATTGGAGCTCCTCGACGTGTTGCACTTGAACGGCTCAGAGCTCGGTAATCCAGTGATCGAACGTACGGTGAGCGAGCTCTACAACCAACTGATCATAGGACACTTCAATCACATATTTTCCAGCGCTGCTGCCATTATCACCAACGACGTGTTGATGATGGAGGTCACGGAGAACTTGATCCACTTCCAGCAGTTCCTCGACAATTATGGCCTCAAGCACAAAGAGTTCAACAACAATGTCCAGCTCTACTTGACGAAAAACTCGGTCATCTTCAAGGAATACTTCCGTCTCATCGAGAGCAAGATGCTGGGCGTGCACAACTTCAACGACACCAACATCCCCCAGATCACGGTGGATTTGATCTCACGAGTCCGCAAGATCAGCGAGTTCAGCAAGGCGTTGTTGAAGTTAATTGAAAGCTACAAGTTGGGAGACTGGTTGAACATCCAGCCCCCACCCAAGTTTGTCGTCACCTACACCTCGGTGATCCCCAACACCTCCAATGACGAGACTCCCCAGTACCTCTTGAGCTCGTTCTACTCCGATATCATCGACAGCATCACCATCAACATTGAGAACGGGTTGAAGGCCAGCGAGCCTGCGGTTAAAAAGTCTACCCAAGGGTTCTATCTCATCAAGAACCTCATCATGATCGAAACCATCATCAACCGTTCGTCCACGTTGTTCGAGAGTTTGGGAAGCTTGGGGGTTGAAAGATTGAACAAATTGAAGAACAGGTTTCTCAAGACGTTTTTGGACGACTGGAACTACGCCTCGTACATCATTATTCGTGACATGACCACCATAGCCACCAGCAACGCCCACGCGGGCAATTCCTCGGGAAGTACAGGCTCGGTGGGCACTCATTTGTCCAGCAAGGAAAAGGAGCTCATCAAGGAATTGTTCAAAAACTTCAACGAGTCGTTTGAGGATGCCATCCGCAACTACGAAAAATACAACATCACCGACACCAACTTGCGGACGTATTTGGGGAACGAGATCAGGAAGTTGATAGTCAGTGCCTACAACAAGTTGTACGACAAGTATGCCAACAGCGACTTCACCAAAAACAAGCCCAAGTACGTCAAGTACGACAAGCAGCTGTTTGAACGGTTGTTGAACGAGAAGTTGTAGGAGAGGGTATCAGAAGCGAGAATTAAGAGGTGAAAGAGTGCTAATTGTCAGAGGTGGTGGAACAATGTTGGGCCGGGAGAAAGTGAAATAGCATTATTTGGCCCGAAGTGAGCATTATTGAAAGTGTTATGACGCCAGAAGAGGTGAAACAGGTGATTTGATGCCAGAAGAGGCGAAGCAGCTGATTTGATGCCAGAACGAGAGGACTGGGTCAGGACGTTTTGAACCAGAAGTGGGAAAGCTCGGATTATGTGAACCAGACGTCGAGGGCTGAAGCAGCTGGGGATTTCCAAAACTCGAGAAGGTGAAGAGCTTTATTTGGCACGAAAAGGAGATGATAGTGCGTTCTGATGCCAGACAACGATGAAACGGGTTCTGTGATGCCAGCAGTAGGTAAACAGTGTTATTTAATGCCAGAGGTCAAGAAAATGAAAGATCGTTATTTGATGCAGAAATTGAAGAACCATTACTGATCCAGAAGTGGCCAAAAAGTCATACTTGATGCAGAAATTGAAGAAACAGTCATTTTTGATGCCAGAAATCGGACAAACACCATTACTTGACACCAATATCGGTGAAACTTCATTTATCGATTCTGAGCTCAATTTTCTCGGAGTCAACATCCGTACACTTCCGAAATTACCCATCGTCATACAGTCAAAAATTAATTCGTACTCATTGATAAGAAGTTATTTTTGGTGGAAAAGTCTTCCGAAAATACCGATCGCCACAGTAGTAAGACTACCTCGTACTCAATAAATGAGAAGTTGTTTCTCTCAGGCTAAAAAGTGAATCGTCTTGGACTATCCTGAATGTCTTCACGAAGTCTCTGGACCCTCCTCATCCGGACCCATCCATCTACATGACCCACAAAACCGCCTGGGCTAAACTCCGAACTCGTACCACCCAACCTGCCAGGGTTCGTAAAACTGGCTCGACGACATGCATCTTGGCAGGTGCCATGCACTATTACTCGTCTCCGCCAAGAACCCCATGAATCAGCCAAGAGTGGGGGCACCTACCGACAGTGCAGGTTGGGTCTGTTGGCTCATCTGGGCACTGAGGAGGGTATTGTGTATTTCTGTCTGGAAGCAATGGTGCCTAGCGATAGCATCTTGGTCCAGAACACCCGGGAGTGTCTGGGCATTGTGTAGTTGAATTGAGGTGATGCAGCACCACGGGAATGCAACCTGCCGTTGTCCCAAATAGGAATGCACAAGCAATGATTCCGAGAACTGACATAATTGCGTAGGCACTCACCCCGTATTTGACGGATTGTAGACGTGAGTGTAACATGTCAAACTGTAACCTGGGGGCTGAATCAGTGTCGGGCCCAGTGACATCTGTGTCTGACCTGGCACCCTGGTAGCCATCGAGCTATGGACGGCAAGGCGCCAAGGGGCGCGGCTCGGAGCCCCCACCCGGCCCGGGTGGGGGTCAGGAAGACCCTGGATGGTTAGCCGATGTCAAACCGCGGGCACTCATGGCCACGACCAGCCGATGGACACACGGCTCATACATTAACCGAAAGTGTCCGCGCTTTTCCGGAAAAATATTTCCGAGAATTGACATCTCAGTCTCCGATGGCCATGTGGCATCAGCAGATCTTCAAACAAGCGCTGGTCCGCAGGCGTCCAGGCAGAAACTCCAGTAGAGGCTCGGTGACAGCTTGCTAGATTTGGTGATGATACGTCAACCGTCTAACCCCGATAGAAGGTTCGGCTACGTGGGCAAAGCCCCCCGAAAACTGGGGCTTTAGGTTGTGAGATGGCAACCAACACCTCTGTTTTGACCTGCCATGCAGACACTTTCCGAGGGACCACCAACGCCTCCAAATACTGCTCAGATTGCACGGCATGAACTCACACACTGAAATTCGAGGCCACGGAATTTCCTCCCCAGCGACCAAACACCCGCGGCCAGTTATCTCCGCCTATTTTTTGGCGCCTGTAACCTCCGGCAAACTCCCATGGTTGCTTACAATTAACTCCGGAATGCGGATCGGCACTATTGCTTCCTCAGACTCTGCCTGCGACGGAGAAATCGGTGACTCAGCACACCCGCAACTACCCAAAGGGGAATGATCGACGCTGTCACCTCTGGAAATCTGCACATCGCTAATAGGTCCATAACCAGTAAATTTCGCGCCCGCAACTGCGAGCAATTTCAAGCCCAATCGGCCTTGGGAGGGTCTGGAAGCCAACAGCATGCCAGGCTGGCCAGTGCACTGCGGATAGCTAGCCTAACTATCACTACTCGCTTGTCCTAGCTCTCAGCCCTAAAATCGCTCCCACCAGCATCGTTGCAGATCATTCGTTAGTCAGTATTACAAATTGCCGATCGCTTGCGCATACTGTGGGCAGACAGGCTTAGCTTCGATGTCAAGCTGTGCCGTCACCCATTAGGGCCGCTTATCTCCAGCGGGTAATTTCCGAAATCACCACTCAACTCCGCAAGTTTTATCTGATTGACTACGCAGACACATGTCACCACGGACGTATGAAACGTTTAGTTAAGAGAGGTCCGGGCTCGTAGCGACAGCATTGCCTAACCGGGCCTATTCATGGGGTGGCACGGGTTGCAACAAAACGTCTTGGCAGGTTTGCGACACCTGGCTCCGGTTTGGGATGGTTGCCAATGATAATTCCGCGTGAGCGCCTAGCGGTTTATCGAGTCAATCAATGATCTACCACCAACGGCCCACGAAGGAGCAGGAGAAATCTGGGGATATGCCAGGAGATATGCCAGGAGATATGCCGGATATTCTGCCACGGTTCTGCGGAGTAGATGGTCAGTCTAATTAGTATGGAAAGCTCGTATCTCATTAATAATCAGGCTAGTGGTTTTCGGCTGCGACGTTTCAGGTCCAAAATTTCCCGTGCGCTCAGCCTACCAAATTCGTATCCTGACGCATGCAACCCTCACTAAAGGTGGATTCTGGTAAAAGAGTGGCGCCAACCGCTCATCTGACGCACGCATGCATGCAAACTTGCATATAAATCTCGATCATCTTGACTTGACATTTTCTGGTGTAATTAGATGGGTTTACAGGTTAACTCTATCAGAAACTAGACGGCATTTCGACATCTCGCCAGAATCGATTAGCGCATTATCGAAGACTAAACCCCGCTAACGCCGCCAAGCTACGCTTTGTGGCCCCGCCATAACCTCTAGCCCCTTCCTTACCAGCCGTAACTGTCCCCAGTCCGGTCCTCCCCAGCCTCCCCTCTCAACACTCCGCAATCCAGCAATAACTGCCTCCTTCCCCTACCTCCTGAATTGTGATTGTGAAATGTCTAGCTAGCCCGCTGCACCGAAAAAACCTCATGGAAGCCCGCCAAGTCCCAGACGCACAGCTGTTTCGGAGGGCCAGTACGCTCGCAAACTGCACTCTGGCGTACCCTGCCGCCATACCGCCACTAACTCTGGAAACTCTTGAATAACCCTATGGCTTATTTTAAGCCCAGTTGTTGATTTCTTGGGCACGCAAGCGCCTCATTCCCACAAGGGTTGGCTTGGTTCACTCCCGTTTTCGCTGACATCTGGGCTCGAGGTTGCGAGCTTTTCTTGTCAGCCATCAATCGATTTTTCTTGGTGCCGATTGTCAGGTTCTGTCTGTTCTTAAGTGGCTGGGTCGCATGCAGGCCCCACCATGCCGCCACCAACCGACAGAGTGTCAAGCGCACAGTGTCTGCTGCTGGGGGTCCGCAGCTGGGGTCTGCCGCTGGGAGCGTGTGGGGGTGCCAGTGACCATCAGCCAACTCTTGGGTGATGCCAGGGTGGCCTGTCTCCCACACCACCACTCACTCCCACATTCGTATCCGGTGTTCGTATTCCAACTTTCTTGGTGTTGGTACCTGATCTTGCAGACATTTTTGGTCAAGACATTTCACAACTTTTTTAAGCGTGATATTTTAAAAAAAAATAAAGAAAAAAAATTCCAATAATGTCTTATTGTACTTATTTTTTAGTAATCGGGAATCAACATGATCAAACATATCATCTTTCTCATGAATAATTTTCTCAAAACGGACTTGTCTAGATTAACCCTAAATACTTCAAACCATACCAAGATATAAAACACATCTTTTCGCTCAATTTGCCAGTTTTTGGTTCCTTACTATCTGTCACGATGTCTAACAGAAACAAGATCAACTTGCCCCCAATCTCTGACATCTTGTTGAACCACCCCCAGGGCCCTGTGCCTGTGGGCTCTGCGAGTCCATTGGCCGCTGGCGCCTATGCTCCAAGTCGTCCTGCCCAATCGCCACCAGTTCTCCCACCATTATCTCGCCAGAACTCACACTTGCCCCTGCCCATGCCACAGCCTCAGGCTGCTGCCCACCAGTACAAGTACTACGACTACTACTACGGCAACTCCTCGCAGGTGCCCTACCCACAACCAAACTACTACAACACACCTCCCTACACTGGCGGACAATATTACGCGCCACCATATGGTGCCAGACCTGCGCAGTCGTTGAGCTTTGCGCCTAAGCAACCAGTGATGGCAGCCAATGCCACCCCTTCAGGACACATATTGGCCAGATCACCCCTCTCCAACAACGCCTCGCCTGTTTACACGAACGACGTGACGCCACCCCCTCTCTCGTTGAGACACTCGTACAAAGGCGTGCCCAGCGCCAAGATGACCAGTCCCAGCGAGGAAGACGACCAGGACGACGACTCGTCGGCCAGATCGGACTCGGACTCGTCACCCAGCTCGAGCTCGGTGCTCCATGGCGGGTCCAAGCGCAAGACCAGAAATAACTTGCCCAAGGAGACTACCTACATCTTGCTCAAGTGGTTGAACGACCACTTGAACCACCCATACCCCAACTCGTTCGAAAAGAACCAATTGATGATTTCTACAGGCTTGAATCAACAGCAATTGAGCAACTGGTTTATCAACGCGAGAAGAAGAAAGATTAAGAGTTTAAAGGAACAAAGACGCTTAAACTTGGTATGACTTCACTTACGACACATTTTTAATTCTGCTTCATATTACTATTGTTACTTGGTGGTCCGGATATATACTTATGGGATATTCTAATATATTTTTTCGCAAGGATTGGCATTGTAGATTAGCTAGCGATTGGCGGAGCTGCCAGGTGTCTGACAGCGTTTTATCACGTGACTCCCCTTTCTGTGGGCCTGCCGACACTCCGGCTGGCAGCGGCCGCGACATCTGCATGGCAATGTGGTCATGGCTGTCCTGCCGCTCCAACGGAGCAGGCCCACACAGGCCACATCTAGATCGGAGACCCCAGCTTTGACCGCACCTAGCCACTGTTTCGTAAATGTAACCCGCAAACTTTAATAAAAGTGGAAGTTAAAAAAAAATTAACAAGAAAAAATTACAAGGCTGAACAGACATAAACTGTAACTCGCACCAGGCAAAAAAAAATGTCAAGTCATGAGCAAAGTGGAACTTCACCACATGGATCTATCGTAGATAGATAAGATTTGCACGGGTGGCGTTTTGCCCCTACAATTCCGCATTGAGCGTCAGGAACTTCGCCTACCCATCACGCATGGCAGGGGTGTCACTGCTTCCACAGCCACCGAATAGGAGCCTAGGAACCGCTGGTGACGGAACAGGATGGCATTGGCATTGCCTAAGGGTGCCAAACCATGAGCTCCCGCCAGAGACTGGGAACCAGTTTCAGGTTTCATCGTGGTAGCCCCGTTCCATCATACCATGGCGCGATCTGCGCCTCACGCTGACGGAATTAATTCCACCCACGTGACCGCCATCATGTACCTTCTCTGCGCCTGTCGGTGACACATACACTGGCTACGGCAACGGTAGCAGCAGTCAGACATAACGCATCCACCTGACATTAGCCTACTACGATACTGTCGAAGGTGCGTGCATTGCCGCGGGGCTGCCCCTATGATCATGCCCAGAACTTCCACGTGTGCTCACAATTGGCCAGCGACAGGATGTGGTAGTCTACATGACTTGGTGGTCCAACCTGTAAACTTACCCATCCTGTCATCTCCACCAAGAAACTGGCCAGGGTCTGAACCGAGTACGAGGATGACTAAGCGCAACGGTAACGGTTATTATGCTTGGCAAAGATTAACACACGCACCTAGCGGCTTTGTGTCCAACGCCTCAATAGGACAAATGCCCGTCGATGGCCTACCCCAGAGTAGCCCTTGTCTAACCGGATTTCGCTCACAACAAAACCAAGAAAATTTTCGGCAACAAAGTGCAAAGATTGCTGCACCGATATTTTTCTGTTGTTCTTTGACATTTTTCTCGTAATCCATCATGTCATTCCCGGTTGAACAGGTGTGATTAGCGTTCCTATCAACACCCGATCTACATTTACGAAATGCTCCCCACTACTGCCATTGCAACCTAGCTGGGACTGACATAAGACGGTTCGTTTGATCACTATTGTTGAACCGGCTGTTATCTCGCATAATTGTTGTAAAGTGGGCGAGGGGGCTTGGCCTGTCCCTACCAGGAAATACTAAACAGGTTTAGGTTTTAGTCATCTACTTTCACTTACGGAGCACATAATCGGATGTGCCTTAGCTCGCCGACACTTGAATCTATGCTCGGCGGGGAAGTTACACAAAGGCCCCGAACCTGGTGTTGGCGAGAGCTGCTGCGCCTATTTTGAAGGAAGGGTTAGTGTGGTTATGAGCCCCGCGTTAGGGCGTCCACCAAAACGTTCCGAATTCTAGAGTGGATCTAGTTGCATAGTTAACTCCTGCACGCCGTGCGTGCCATGCAGCTTCTATAGTGGGGCAGACCCCTGATCTCGATTATCACTACTCGCAAAATTTAGGGGTATTGAAATGTGTACAGCACAGTGCCGCTGAAGATACGAAAACGGGTGGGCTAAGGCGGGGGGGTAACCACGGCATGCTCATTCTCTAGTGGCATTACTACTACAACAATGCTGCGATTAATCAGATGCTACCGTAAATAAACATATGCACAATAGCTTATCTCGATAAAATTCCTTCAATTAGCCAAACTATTTTTTCAGACATTTTTTTGTCGCAGATTTTGGCCAGGTAGTCAATTAACTATTGCAGTTTGTGGGAGGGTTCCCTGTAGTGCGAATAAAATTGGAATGAATGACCGCATAAAAAAGTTATTGTCTTATGCATGCAGAATGGACGTCACAGCATTAGGCGGAATTGAGTCCTGCCATATAGATCCTTCAACACAATTGATGAGATGGATGGGTGCCCAACATGTCTGGGAGAATCCGTGACTGGTGGTTTTGCTTGTGCGTTAGATTCTATTATCATGTACTCCGCTTGGCGCAACCCCGAACAACTCCACATGGAAAAATAAGGGTCCTGGTGTCTGAATGCTCAAATGCCGTAAAAGCTTAATCAGTCTGTGACAGCATACGAACTGCTCAACAAATGTAAACGCCACCGGTTAGGCATGTGAACGCTTTGTAAACAACATGCAAACGTGCTTAAGATACCTGGCCCGTTACTAGCTTGGGTACTTGGCATAACGAACTTCAGAGGGGTACCAGATGCCGCGTCAGGTCCAAAGTCAGATGAAACGGAGCTGGTAGACGACAGACCAATCGTTAAAGAAAATTTCCCCACCAGGCTTGCAAAGAAATAATATTAGCCTTCTGACACCATGTCGGCGAAAAAGTGCGGTCTGGGCCGTCACCGACACCGAGCACTTGGACCACCAGAAGTATCCCCTTCGGCAGCTGTGTCTGCATGGTGCACGGAGTGGTGTGGTGGAGCATGCCAATAGCAACTGGTACGCTTGACCACACATCTGGCCCACTTCTGGGCACGATTGGGACCGCACCCGGGCTCGTGGCGCGAAGTTTAAGCTTTGGTGTAACGTGTAATCATACCATAAATTATTGGCACACAGGTTTAAGATTGGGAGGATCTGGCTGTCACAATATTTTGCCAAAGGACACCCAACTACAATGAGTCACCCCGCTGTCAGGCAGGTCCTCGTAACCAAGCCCCTGGGCCCAGCCGTGTGTTGTCCCTATCATTCAATGGCAGAGGATGGTAGATAACACCTTACTGCCATAGCCGCCTGAAACCGAAGATCCATACAGATTCTGTGCTTGTGCTCCCCACATGCCATGGGCTGTCTGCAGGCGATGATAGCTGCAGCCATGGCAGGTGACACCACCGCACCGGGCAGTACGACAGTGTCATCGCTGCCGACGCCGCGACACATGACACACGACACACGACACACGACACGCGACACTCGCGATCTCGTCTACTACCCCAAACAGACACACAAACCCAGACAGACACATCACCACCAGCACAGACCGCAGGCAGATACACCACCACCACCGCCACCACCACCACCACCACACATCACACACACCCATCATGGTCTCGCTGTCCGACACCCTCGTGGCGGTCCTGGACCTCATCCTCAACTCCATCGACGACCTCAACAAGGTAGAGTACAACAAGAAGGGACGCAAGTATCGTTTCGTCAACAACACCTTCCAGCGCATCCGTGAGGAGGATAAGCACCTCATCATCTGTCCCGAGGACCTCAGTCTCAACCTCGCGTTGATCCTGTCGTACTTCATCTTGTACAACATCAACGGAGGCGACATTTTGTCCCAGTACCCCGACTTCTGTTTGGCCATCATGGGCGTCGCTCAGCAGTTGGAACAGCACCAATGGTACGAGGAGGAAAACTCGCTGGTGATCCACCTCAAAAACTCCAAATACAACCCCATGGCAGTCCAGCAAATGGCATTGGATTATGCGACTTTGCACCATCAGATCGAAGAACGCCACATTACCATGGGCCTCAACTTGATGATGTGTGCCAAGTTGAACTTCCTCCACACCGACCACCACATAGGCACCAAGCTCGAGGGCTACTACATGAAGCACTTCATCAGCGAGTACTTTGGCGCGGATGCGTTGGTGGCGCCAGACGTGTTGGTGGCGCTCAAGAGCTTCGTGCACTGGGGAAACATCAAGGGCATCTTGTACAAGCTCGAGGTGCCAGACGTGCAAACGACGGCCCAGCTAAGGGCCAATTTCGCCAAGTTTCCAGACCCCATGGAAGAATTGAAGCTCAGTGTGTACGATAGATACCCCAGTGGAACCTCCAAGTACTCGTTGATCCGCAAGTCCATCGACATTCTTGGGGACTGGAAGTACTCCAAGTTGGTGCCGTACCCCAGCTTTGTAGCTGAGGATGATGAGGGAGCCAGTGCTGGCGAGACCCCGGCAGAGCCTGTGGAGCCGGGCAGCCCAGCGCTGGCGGTGGCTGGATCCAAGTACGACTTGAACTGGTTGTACGAGCTCTGCCACAACATCGAGAAGAACCCCATCAAGTACCATCTCCGGTCGTCTACCAAGTCGCTCTGCGAAGACCCCGTCAACCTCACAGAATTGTCCAACAAACATAGCACCAACATCAAGAGCCTCCTCACGTTGATCTCGCTTATCATCAACGTGTTCCACGAGACAGGAGGCGAGTTCTTGTTGCAGAACTCCAAGATCCCCAAGCTCACCGACGAGTTGATTGCGAAAAACCGCAACTACTACACCAAGCTCGTGAAGATCCAGGCGGCGATCGAGAGCTACGAGGAGAAGGGCTGGGACTCTGACGACATCGTGTTGCGGCTCAACAATGGCGACACTGCCAACAACCAGTCGTTCTTTGACACCGTGATGGCCATGCGGGAGAAGTACATTGACGACTATGAGTAGTCATGAGGAGGAGAGTCATAATGAAGAGATCATTGAGTAGGAGAGTCAGAAGAGTATATTCATGAGCTTCAGATGCATATAAAATTATTGATCATCAGTTCAGCTGATGTCAAAGGTGCCAGATGGCTGGATCACCAACCATTTGAATATTAATTTATTTTACTAGAAAGATATATTCTCTAGTGCGACCGTCGGTTTCATTGTCCCACCATAACTCGTAGGAGAACAGTCCTCGTTTAATACGTATCACAGTGTCCATTGTAGACCTGGAATTGGTCCCAGGAACACTAGCTAGATTCGATTCATTTTGAGGGAACAGAATTATTACGCATTAATAAGTCCAATAAACAAAATGGACAATTAGTCCAAATGAGGAACCTGGTTTAATATTGTAATCAGAACATCTCATACGGCATTAATAACCATACTTTATTCACAGTTTTAATAATCTTATAAACTGTTTGTCCAAGGACTCAAAGTATCATGTGACACTCGCCGTTTTATTAGCTTTGCACCACCTAGACGAAATAATATTCTTCCCAATAAATTGAAAAAGACAAAAGGTTATAATTTTGAAATTGATTTATCGATAAAACTGCGAGTGTACATTTTCATATGGCAAGCCAAAATACTATTATCTATATTATTCCGCAAGGCAATCTCGTCTTTCATTATATACGAAAGTTATTTTTATAGCAGAGCGCTTTCTAAAGCTAGCCTTCTATCCATAGTAGTATTGGTTGACTTTACCCACGAGGAACAGGTTAGAAACTACACAATAAATATCTGGCACACCGAATAAAATACTAGTATTGTTCAAAACGACCAGCGGTGTGAAACAAGTGGATTCTGAACATGCTGAGTATTTCAAGCTTGACAAGCGTGCTCCCGGCAGCTATTGCAATCCCTCTTCAGCCAGTGAGTGTGATGAGATGCCAGTATTGGACCACTGGTCACGTGACCTGCCCCGCCCCCTCCCCCATATGACGTCAGGAACTCCGCTCGCCCGCGCCCCACCCCTCCTCCGTACTATTGTATAGCCAGTAATTACCCCCAGCCCATTCGCCCCCTCCCGTACCCCAGCAAGATCGCCCTCCACTCCCCTCAGATACATCTGACACGACGCAACCTGCGCCAGTGTCATTCCAGCAGGCACCATGCCGTATGCGGACGTTGCCCCAGGAGCCCCCGAGCCTCCCTCGTAAACCCCCTCCTCCCGACAATTTTTGACGTTCGATGCGGACAGGGTTCACCTGCGGTGGGCAACGCCCACTCTCGGAGTAGTCGCGTGTCCAACCTGGCCACTTCCGGCAGACACCAGTGGTGCATGGGGTGATGCGCTAGGCCAGCAACCATATCGTCCCCATGCATGTCAGTGCACCAACTGTACCGCATTCGGCTCGGCACATTTTTGGTTGCGTACGCATATATATACCCGACGCACCCACCACATGAGCCCAAATATTCAAGCATGTTTGACAGATTCACAGCCACCACGCCACCACCCGTCGAGGTGCTGGCCACCACCCAGCGGGACACTGTGGAGAAGGATGCTCCCTCCGTCTACCACAAGAGCTCGTTCGAGGAGACCTCCTCCTCCGACGAGGACATGGACATGGGCGACGACATGATCTTGCGCGAGAAAATGAAGCTCATCAACGATGCCATCGACGAGATCGGCTTCACCTGGTACCACCTCAAGCTCTTCTTCCTCAACGGTATGGGCTACGCCACCGACACCCAGCTCAACTTCATCGAGTCGCTGGTGCGTACCTTTGTCAACTACCAGTTTGGCTACCGGTTCGCGGTGTCCAACGAGGCCTATGCGGGAGGCATGATCTTGGGAGGGTTATTCTGGGGATTCTCGGCCGACTTGGTGGGACGCAAGCTAGCGTTCAACGCGTCGCTCTTCCTCTCTGCCATCTTCACCATTCTCACTGGCGCCATGGGCAACTTTCCCACCTACTGTTTGTTTGTGCTCCTCTCGTCGTTTGCAGCAGGCGGCAATTTGGTGTTGGACACCTGTGTTTTTCTTGAGTTTTTGCCCCACAACTACCAGTGGTTGTTGACGCTCTTTGCGTTCTTCTGGGGGATCGGCCAGACCATCGCCGTGGCGTTGGCCTACGCGTTCTTGCCCAACAACTCGTGCGAAGGCTACGGAGACTGTCCCTCCCACAAGAACATGGGCTGGCGCTACGTTTACTTCACCAACGGGTGTATTGTGTTGGCGTTGGCGGTATTGCGGGTTACCGTGGTGCGACTCAAGGAGACCCCCAAGTTCTTGGTGGCAAACAACAGAGACGCCGAGGCTGTCCAGATCCTCCACGACATCGCCTCCAAGTACGGCCGTCAGTGTAGCCTCACGTTGGCCCAGTTGGAGGCCTGCGGCACCATTGCCTCCAACGAGGACTACCGCCAGTCCGTCAACGTGCGTGGCACCTTGCGGTTGATGGGCCAGCATCTCAAGATCTTGTTCTCCAGCAAGAAGATGACCCGTTCCACCGTGCTCTTGTTCGTGTCGTGGTTGTGCTTGGGCATTGCCTACCCGTTGTACTCGTCGTTCTTGCCCGTCTACCTCGCCACCCGTGGTGCCAATATCAGTGCTGACACCACTGCTGGTGTCTATCGTGACAACTTGATCAGTAACTCGGCCTCCACGGCGGGACCTATCATCGCAGGGTTGTTGCTCTACTACGTCCCACGTTTGGGCAGAAGAGGCGTGTTGGCCATTGGTGGCTTGTCCACCATGGCGTTCTTGTTTGGCTACACCGCCATCCGCAACCGTGCGCAGAACGTGGCGTTGTCGTCGTTGGTCTACGTGACACTCTACATCTACTACGGAGTCATCTACGCCTACACGCCTGAAGTCATGCCCTCGGCGGCGCGGGCCACAGGCAACTGTCTCTGCATCGTTTGCACCCGGATCACCACCGCAATGGTGCCTATCATTGCGTGGTACAGTGACACCTCGTCGCTGGTGCCGATTTGGATCTGTGGGGCGTTTGTGGGTATCATCGGACTCATTGCACTTGCCCTTCCTTTTGAGCCTAGTAAGTCGCGGGTAGTCTAAGGGTGGGTTTCCAGAGAGCAGTGAGGTGCTAAGGACTCATTCCCGTGTTAGGACTCCCATGTTAGGCTCATTTCGCAAGAGCTTCACCGTCCCTGTTTTGAGGCCCAATGGTTTCTTTCCTCATCATTAGACTTTCCTCCCGATGGTTGACTTCCTTTCGAGTGGTATAAAGCATTTCGAAGCCCCGTTAGAGCTTCACCATTACGGCAATAGACTCATTTCTTCGAAGCCCGTTAGAGCTTCACCATTACGGCATGGCCCCGTACGGATGTTGTGCTAGTTGAGCTAGCCAAAAAAAAAAAGAACCTTCTGGTTGCATTTATATGATTACAGACTGATATATCTCTTTAGTTCAATTTATGTACATAATACACATTCGATTCTTCAATAATCCAGACATTGTTCAAGCTATGGAGGTTTAAATCGGCGTTTTGAATTCACAATAAGTCGATTGAACTGATGAATTAATTCCCAGAAATTTTCACGTCCGATTATCACCAATAATATTAATTTCAATTCAAGGCGAAACATCCAAACTTCATACTCTGAAAACAAACTAGAGCTTCCACTCATTACTGTTCGTCGTTCTACCTTCTGCTGGTGTCCTCCTGCCCGCACCGCATTCCTCTCGTCGGCCCCACTTATAGTTTGTTTTCACTACTATATTAGAATAGAATAATAACTGTAGATATGCTTTAATACGACAAATTATTAGAATATAACAATTATTGTAGATAAGTTAACCACAATGTTATCAGAGTATAATAATAATAGCTGTAGATCTTCCATAGTACAAACTATTAGAATATAATAGTAATAATTCACAGATCATCTCTTCCTCATTGAGCCTTCAAGCAGTACATGCGGACCGGGAAAAGCTCCTTTGGAAGGCCCTTCTGGACATCACTAGCAATGAGCTTGAAGCCTGCGGCTTGGAATAACTGTCTGAACTTCTCGTCGGTTCTGGTCACAGACAGATCAGTTTCGTCGAACACATCCTCCACAGGCGCGATATTCTCCTTGACCATCAACGTACCCACGCCTCCCTCGATCAACGCTTCTCTGCATCTGATCCAGAACTGCACCAACTCGTGGTCTGGCAATTGTCCCACACACCATTGACACCAAATCAACCAGTACTTGCCAGTCTTGGGACCAGCAGACCAGTCTTGCATGCCAATATCGTAGATGTCCCCTAACTTGCCCTTGTTAGCCACAGCTACCATTTCCAGGCGCATTTGCTCCACGAACGGCTTGACTGGCTCGAGAAGGTCGCAACGATCACTGACTTTCCACAACAAGTCTCGAGTGATTCTGCCAATTCCAGCACCCATATCGATGGTCAACTTCTCGTATCCGGGTGGACAGACCATCCTGGTCTGCAACTTTCTCAAGAAGGTCAGAGATCCAACAATGTCGGCTTTTGGAACTGGAGTCTGCTCTCCAAAACCACCAAGAACTCCGTTTACCGATGCGGGAACCGAGGACCAGTAGGAGATGGCGTCATTGTAGTTGATTTGTGAGTCTGCGGCCGAGTCATCGCCGGACGTCTCCATGTAGGAGGCAGATTTGACAGGCATGGTGATGGATGGATCCGTCGAGATGAGGCACGTGAGTGTTGAAGTGAAAAGTGTGGTCACGTGAGCAGTATGTGTGTTGGTATTCTTCCCTTAGCCAGAAAAAGAATGTCAGCAAACAAAAGTACGGGAGGTCGTGTGCTTCAGAGCTACTGGGCAATTGTTCAAGTGCTGAAATAACTATTTTGTCATTGTTTTGCAATATTGTATATTTTTGGTGTACCTTTCTCTTTTTTTACAATTTTGCATGATGGTAGATTCTATCCAATTTATTGGTATGCTATTTACACATTTTCTTGACAGTACCTCATTCGACTTATTTATGGTTCCGTGGCCGACGAGACACCGCAAAGTAGGTGGTTTATAGCGAAGTGAATCAACGGGGGTGGAGACCGTTAGTCAGCGCTTACGTAATCACCAATCATGCCCAGTGTGGCCTTTTCCCTAGACCAGTACCCTGCAAGAACTTCAGTACGGCCATACTCTGGAAGCTTAGTTACTAGTGGAGCAGCAGAGCTCATTGTAGAGCCAGCCTACTGTTGTTCTGCCCGAGAGAAATGACAGGTTTGTTCCTCGCACGACCAGATATCTGCCCACAATTCTACACTACACCTACTTTTCTATCAGAAGACTTCGTCTCCGGCTAGCTGTCAAGGTTGCAGTACTGGAGACGCCCCTGACTACCTTAGCTTCCCCACCCACCACCACCCTCCGTGTCGGCATTCCCATCTGCTAATCTAGCTCATTGCAACGGTCGTCACGTGCAGGAACCACCTGCCTGTTTCGGATGACAATTTGCTCATCATCCGTAACTCAAATTCACAATCCTTCCCAGGATTCAATACCAACTACATCATGATTCTAATAGACGACATAAAGTACTCGTGTATGGAGTGCATCCGAGGCCACAGGTCGTCGCTGTGTCGCCACCACACAAGGCCGCTAGTCCAAGTCAGATCGAAAGGTCGACCGAACGTACACGCCAACGGCAACCCCAACCACAGAATAGCCGTTTTTGCGGAGGAAATCGCCGAGGATCCTCCTAGCGGTGCTAGCGACGTCAGTGGAGACGATTTTGCCAGCCCCTCAAAGACCAACTGCAAAAAGTGCCCTGTGATCATCCTCAAGGCCTCACCCAAGCAAGTGATCGATCTCGTGAGTGGCCAGATAGTGGGACCCTACCACGACAAGGAGGCCTACCACAACTTCGAGTCGAGACCCCCACCTCCTGTGATCCACAGCAACAGCTTCATCAACACCTCGACCTGCTGTACGCCAGCAAGAGTCACCAAAAAGAACCACGCCAACAAGTCCTGCGGATGCTGCGTCAACAAGACCAGCAAGAACGTCAGCTCGTCGTCGATCTTGAAGAAGTACCTCTCCAACCAGGTCAACAAGGACAAGGCCAAGCTCGCGTTCCTGAACCTGGTCCAGGTCAAACACCCACCACCAGTGGTCAAGGTCAAGTCCGAGCCTGAACGCCAGATGTACAACGTGGTGCCAGTGCCGTCGTGCTCGATCCCTGGCTCGTGTGCGTGTGACGACAACTGCCAGTGCGATGGGTGTGTGATCCACGGCAACACCACCGTGCCATTGCCAGAGGACGTGAACAAGTTGCTCTACCCCCTCGAGAACGAGATCGCCATGGATTACAACACCTCCAACCTTGTTTTCAGCAGCGTGCCATCGTACCCCAAGCATCCAGCAGTGGCAAGTACTCAGTATCCTGATTTTTCAAAGCTATTTCCGGGAGAAACAGCGCCGTTCCTTGCCGATTTCTTGACAAAACAGTCGGTGGCTACCTCTGAGTCTGTCAGCTCAGAGGAGGACAGTTCTCCGAGCACCAACACCTGCTCTTGCCCCGCCGAGAGCTGTGATTGTACTAATTGCGAAACCCACGGGATTATCAACGGATACAAGCTTGACGACATATTCAACTCCCAGATGGATATTCGTATGATGTCGGCTTTCATGAACGACAATGGCAAGGTAGCAGGACTGCCAGCATTGGAAGATGTACTCAATTCCTCGGGAGGAGCGGCTCCCCCCAGAATACCCGGGGAAATTCAGCCTCCAGGAGGATGCTGCAACAAATAGACTTGTAAATACGTGATAGAGCTAGAGCCAGAGATATACCTGGTGGGAATTAACCGAATGAGATAGGATAGATTGTAATGAAGGCGGTGTGATTGTCAGCCTGGACTGGGATCTTGGATTGATAAATTGAGGACTCTAAATGAAGCAATATTAGAGAGAGAGAACAGCATATTCACTCTGTTTGCAATGCTCGCTCATACCATATTAACTGGCCATATTATCTGGGTTTTTGTCGCTCAGAAACGGATCGAAAATGCTACTAGGTTCAAAATTGGAGAGCCATTTTCGAATTCTTCATAGATTACTAGTATGCTTTTAAATAAGAACTGAAGTCGAATCTGTTGCCTTTGTAACCATCCACTCTGAACCCACCATTTCCTCCAACCTGCCTGTGGCCGTATTTCCGCCTTGGGTGCAAAACACTTCCTCTGCACAAGTTTTCGAAAACGGCACCTTTGGCGAAACTGCTAAAACGAGCAGGTGCCCATCCTAGCACCAAACCCCATACCTCCACATCCACCCCCTCAGCCAATGTGATACCCCCACCCCCTCTGCCTGTTCCTCTCTCCCCATACCTTGGAAAACCCGGTCGTGTACAGCCCCAAACCGAAAATTTCAACGATATCAACACCACCAGCACTTCTACAATCGCCCACGGGACAACTCGCCCTTCACCTCCACCAATCGATTCCCAGGCCCCAACTTTCCATGGATCCTCCAGTCGATATATCGTTCTACCTCGGGGAACAAGCCAAGGAGTCCCTTTCCAACTTAGATGTTCCCGTCAGTAATGGTCAGATTGTCAGTATCAACTTGACTGATGAGTTGCCTGATGACCCTAACGAGTTGATCAGCTTCTTGGAGGGTGAAAACTGTTCCAAAAAGTACTGGATCAGCATTGCCACCGCATACGTGCAGTTGAACAAGCTCGACGAGGCGCTCACCATCATCAACCACGCCTTGAAACTTGCCCAGTTCTCCGAGGATGAAAAGATCTCCTTCCACTCATACTTGGTGTGGTTATACCTCAAGTTCATATCTGTGGGAGTGGACAAAGAAAACTACTTGATAAAGGCCAACATGGAGATCTCCCAGTTATCCCAGCAAGAGGCTTCTAACAACACCTCCAACATCTTATCGCAAGCGGTGTTGTACCTTTTCAAGGATAGACAGGACAAGGCGTTGGACATCTTCGACAAGCTTCTCAGAATCGATCCCAACAACTGCTTTGCCTTGTTGGGTAAGGCCCAGATCGTCCTCCACAAGACAAAGCACTACGCCAATGCGTTGAAGTTATACCAGCAGGTTTTGGTTTTGAATCCCATGATGAAGCCGGACCCCAGAATCGGAATTGGGTTGTGTTTCTACGGTCTCAAAGATTACACCATGGCTTTGGAGGCTTGGAACAGAGCTTTGGACATTAACCCCGACAATTTGAAGGTCAAAATATTATTGAACTTGGCCAAGTTCAGTCGTACCTTCACTAACTCTTTGAGTGACGATGAATTCATTGAGAACTATCAGAGCTGTATTTCGCAGATGTCGACCTACTACAAAGAATCTGCTAATGATTCGGTTATACTCTTGACCTTGGTGTCATTTTATTTCAGTAAGCAAAAGTACGATGTTGTGCAAGCGTTGGTGGCCAAGATCGTCAAGAACTTGACCGGATATGTTGGCGACTCAGACCCAATCAAGTTTAACAACTTCACCAAGTTGACCAAGTTCCAATCGGTCATCTTGTCTCAGTGTGCTTACTGGCTCGGAAGAATCGAGTTTACGAACTCCAACTTCACCCAATCATCCAAGTATTTCCAAGAATCGATCAAGCTCAATGACACAAATTTGCCCTCGAAATTGGGTCTTGGATTGTCGCAGCACAATAGAGGATCTTTGGAAGAGTCCGTCATGACCTACGAATCCATTTTGAAGAGCAATGGGAAATGTTTAGAAGTGAACTACTCATTGGGAATGTTATACGCAAAGCAAAAATCAAGGAGAAAGCAAGAACAAGCCATCGAGATTTTGGAAAGATATATCAAGTTATCGAACAATGCATCTACATCTACTGCTCCACATGAAGATCTTGACGATTTATCTTCCAAAGAGCCAGTTGCTTTGAATGCATACTTGGTATTGAGTAAGCTATACGAAGGAAGGGATATCGGGCAGTCATTAACTTATTTGAATAAGGCTATCGAGTCTCGAAAGAAAATCAACCAAGATGTACCTTTGGAAGTCTACAACAACATTGGTGTTTTCCAATTCATGAAACAGAACTACAGTGAGGCAGCTGAAAACTTTGAGCTAGCATTGAAGAAAACTGATGATAAAATCGAAGATGCCGATGGTGACCTCAATCTTGACCTTCCCGGCGATCTCAAGGTTACACTCACTTTCAACTTGGCAAGAACCAAGGAAATTTCTAACCAAACGGAAGCCATTGAAATTTATGAAACTTTACTCAAAGAGTGTCCTCATTACTTCTCCGCTAAATTGAGAATTTTATTCTTGGACTGTATTACTACCCAAAAGAGAACGAAGAAGGAGATCAAGGAAGAAATTGAAGCCTTGCTTGCTTTGGATTCTTCCGACCTTGAAGTGAGAACATTCTACGGATGGTTTATGAAGAGCTTTGGTAAGAAGTTGGGTTTGAAACCAGATGCCGACACCAATCTTCAAAAGGATACATTGGTGGACTACGATTCTCATGATTGTTATGCATTAATTTCTCTTGCAAATATCTATTGTATCATGGCCAGAGATCTCAAAGCAGAGGACGCTAAGACTCAAGACGAAAAGAAAAGAAAATACTACATAAGAGCAATTGAATTGTTTGCTAAAGTATTATCGATTGACCCCAAGGATGTCTATGCCGCTCAAGGTTTAGCCATTGCCTATATTGAAAACAAGGAGTCAAACAAAGGATTGGATATTTTGAGAAAGATCAGAGACTCCTTGAATGATATTTCAATCTACTTGAACTTGGGTCACGTTTTGGTTGACTTGAAGCAATACGGCAAAGCTATCGAGAATTACGAACTTGCCTCTTCCAGATTCACGGACGAGAAAGACTCAAAGATCCACTCATATCTCGGTAAGGCATGGTTCTTGAGAGCTAACAACGAAAAGAACCTTAACTACTATCTCAAGGCTATCGAGTACACCGAAAAGGCGTTATCGTATGCCACTGGCTCGCATTCATCCCTCAAGTTTAACTTGGCTTACGTTCAATTCCAATTGGCAGAATATTTGACCAAGCTTCCTGTTGGACAGAGAGTTTTAACCGACATAGAAAAGGGTATCCAGCAATTGAAGCAAGCTATTGAAATTTTGAATGAATTGTCATCAGATTCCGAAGTTCATCCACCATATCCTAAGTCCGAATTGAAGGCAAGAGCTACTTTGGGTAGTGCTACCCTTTTGAGCAGACTTAATGCTGTGTTCGAGGAAACTAAGGAGCACAACAGCCAAATTGCCGAAAAGTTGGAAGTGGCGAAGAAGATTAGAGAAGAAGAAACAGCAGCTAAGCTCAAGATTCAAGAAGAACAACTCCAAGCACAGAGATTGAAGGAAGAGGAATTGTCCAAGGAAAGAGAAAAGTTACAAGAGCAAGCCCAACAGTGGGCCGAAGAGGCAAGAATGAATGTTATTGTTGACGAGAATGATGACGATGACAAGTTCGACGACGAGCCAAAGGAGAAGGAGAAGAAGAAGAGAGGCAAGAAGGCTGAAAAGTCCGAGACAGCTGCTAAAGGTAAGGGCAAGAAGAGAGGAAAGAGAAAGGCCATCATCGACGATAGTGAGGAGGAAGAGCTTTCGAACAACGAGTCCGAAGAAGAATCATCGACCAAGAGAAAAGTCGAAGAAAATGATGAGGACGAAGATGACAGACCAAAAAAGAAAAAGAGTTTATCCAAAGAGTTCATCGAAGATAGCGACGATGATTTGGAAGACGACTTATTCAATGAAGAAAATGGAGAAAAGAACGGAGACGAAGAACAAAATGGTGAAGCCAAAGAAGAAGACAGTTGAACAGTTGAACATAACAGAAATGATATTCATTCATATTTATGTGCTCTGCCTGTATGTATTTTATAATAACGATTCTTAGACAAGTCGTATTCTTTGTAGGTAACTGTTTCTTTACCCATAAGCGGTAAGGAGCATCTCTTACCCGGTAGCTCCACGGACAGTCAGAGGTTACAGCAAGCACGATGTCGGATATTACTACTATACACTATTTAATTCTATTACAGACGATGGCTTGTTGGCTTGCTGTACGAGCCAAATGACTGTCAATTCTCAGTCCGTACCATCACTCACTCCTTGAGCCAGTTTCTCATCTGCTTGTTGCTGTCGGAGGTCATTCTGAACAAGATTCTCTCGAACTCGTCCAAGGTATAAGTAAAGTCATTATTCATCAGTTTGTTGGTGTTGGAAGCAAAGTTGTTGATCTCAAAAGCCCGCTCTTTCAACATGGTCATGATGATCTCAATCAATGATGGTTCATTGAAGAAGGTGCCCCATTTCTCCACCAATTTGTAATAGTTTCTGAGCAACTTGCGAAGATCCACAGTCCGTGGGTTTGTTTTGATGGCATTCAACACCCTAGAGCTGATGAACTCGGGCTCCGACAAGTCAATGAAACTCTCCTGGGAGTCTTCCAGGATGGCACAGATAGCCAACACTTCTGCTAGCCACATTGGTAGCTCCAATTGGGTACCTTTTTGGACGGCTTTTCCGGGGTTTCCTTCTAAATACCCGAGCCCGGGAACCGTCATGTTGAAACGGCTCGGCACCTTCTCGCCATCCGCTAGTATATCGTCCAAATCGTAGTAGTTGCTGGTCATGGTGATGTTGTAGCTGGGGATGGGACATTTTGAGACGCGTAGTGGTGTCACGTGAAAACCTACACCACCAGGCTAGTTAATAGGATGAAGAGTGGCTAAGGCAACACTAACACGATGGTCCTGCATTTGTGTAGATTGGAAGGGTCTAGGTCTGTTTAAGCACCACTAAAGTGGGTCACCTCTGGAATAAAAGTAACCATAAATTTATTCAGTATTTTTCGATATTGTTGTTTAAGAAAGTAGCATCGAGAGGACTAGAGCTGCTCTAGCTAAATCTGTTCCAATAGCGATGATAAATGAATTCTCTGAAGGAGTCAGCGAATAAGTTGGTGGCAATCACGGGAGGCATTTTAAAATGCATGACATTTATCACTAATTGTGCAACCATTTGTAATCATCTTACGTATGGGACCTTAACATCGATCATCTCTTACAGTAGACATGCGAGAATTCAGTTCAAGCAAGCACTTCAGTACCACTAGTTCTCAAACCAGTTTCAGCCTTGCCGTAAGCGTCCAAGAATCCGTATTTATTTTACAACGGTTCCAGAGCATTTGGTGTTTTTTGGCCATTTTTGAAGCTAGAAATTCGAGATTTCTTCTACACCTCCTCTTAGACTTTCCCCAGCTCACTAACTGCTTGGCCTATCCCAACTCTGGATTTTAAGCCATTTGGTTGTATTCGATTTACGCACAATGAACCTCCAAGAATCACTTTTATGGAAAAGTCACCGTCCACTCAACGCCTCCAATCCACTAGATAGCCACATTGTGTCCTTACTGAGTAACCATACCCTAGCCGTCTTTCCACCGTTTGCACATTTACAGCATTTTGCTAGCTCATTTGCGGCCCCTTTATACAGCCGCTTATCATCACGTGTGCCAAAAAGATCATCACTGACTGGCGTTAAAGAGTATCAACGCCTTGCTTAAGCCCATCGCCACGTGTACGACACCCTCTCCAGTTCGCCAGTTGCGATTCACCTCCCGGTCTCCCAATTGGGCATTGTCGTAACATCACTACATAACGAAAGCCATCAGTGGCAGCAATCATCGCATCCCTCCATAACCTCCCTTTAGCCGCTTTCTACGCCAACAACCAACAACCAACAACCAACAAGCCTACAGGCTGAAGCTGACACAATAGAGAGCCCAGGACCAGAACAATGTCGAAATTCTACAAAAAGGCGCTCAACAAGCTCTCCAACAACTCGAGCTCGGAGAGAAGCTCGGACTCCGAGTCCGTGGATAAGACCGATAAACCCAGAAGAAGTTTGAGCTTCAGAAGGAGGAGCCGCGACAAGGGCAGCTCCAGGTCCCAAACTTCGCCACGGTCTTCGTATGACAGCTCCAGACTACCGGCTCTGGTCGACGACACCTCATACCAAGTCGACATTCCAGAAGAACCCCAAGAGCCCACAGTTTCTCCAGTGGATGTATCTGTAAGGATAGTAGACGATGAATCGGAACCAGCGCAAGATCAAGCACCAAGCGAGGAACCGCCTCGCCTCGAGAATGCTGAAGAGGAAGCCGGAGCAGGAACTCACCCTATCCTGAACAGCAATGACAGCAGCGAGGGTGCTGATGTGTCTAATGATCTTCTTCTACAACCCAGCAGTATACATGCTGACCATACCCACGATTCCCAGGACCCCAAAACTTCTCAAGTGGATGAAACTAGTACAGAGCCAGATACTCTATTGCCCGAGCAAGACTCCGAGCTAAATGCCGAGCCCACCAGTGTCAAGACTACTGCAGGCTCAGACCTCGAAAATCAAGCTACCCATCATTATACCCCCATCACTGAAGAGATAGTTGAGGAACTCGAACCTTTACTACGTGCCACCTCCTCGCAGAGCCAGTTTCACGGAGAAAGTGTTGAAGCCAGCCCTGGCCTTGTGTGGTCATTTCTAATAGCATTGAATGGTATTTTGACCTACTTGAATCCGAAGAGACCAAAGCTAGTCCACCTTGTTATCGTGCTCTTAATCTTATTTTCAGTTCTTCTCTATTTCCTTTTTACTAACCTCGACACTTTGGTGGCTCAGTCCGTCAAGGTCAACCTCCAGAGCGTTTCGATTTTGAAAATCAATGATGACGGAGTGGACTCCCACGTCACCGGGTCTCTCCTTGTGGACTACGACAATATCTCAAACGTGCTCTACAAATCGGTTCTCAAGTTGGGTGCTATCTTCCTTGGAACTCTCACGATAATCCCCAATCAGCAAATAAAGATTTATGTCAAACCATCTTCACTTGATATAGCACCTTTGCATTTGGTGGATGTATATCCTCCCCCCCTAAAAGTTGCGATTATCAACAAAAGAGAAACAGACATCGACTTCATCACCAAGGTCAACATAATCAAGGATGATGCTTTGAAGTTGAGCCATGAATTTGATAAGTTGAGAAAGATCGATGGTGATTCAATTAATTTTGATGTACAAGGTGTATTCAGTTCGGAGATACAAACAAAGTTTTTCAACTTCAACACCGATGAAATAAATGTGTATGAGTCCTTAGAAATACCCAAGGAAATTCTAGCTCCCCCAATCGAAGTTAAAAAATTTGATATTTCGACATCAGAAGCAGTTGAAATTTATACTCAAATCCAACTAGGAGGAGATATTCCACTAGATTTAGCAGTGAATGGGATTAATTGGGATGTTTTATTGAAGGACTGCGACGATAACTTGATTGAATTTGGAGATTGGAAAAGCAGAAAATTTACCATTCGTCCGAATAAGGAAGTTATAGTGGATATTGATGGATCTATCACAGACATTGATGATGTATTGCTCTATCCCTGCGCAGATGGTACTGACAGTCCATTGAACAGAATCATACAAAGCTATTTATCCGAAGAACCTATTCATTTTGCTTTGAGAGGGTCGAAGCAGCAAGATGAAAAGTTACCAGGATGGTTGTATGAGATCTTGACAAACTTGGAATATGAAATTGAGGTCACTCTACCTAAAGGAAGTCTTGAGCTCGGACAATATCAGTTACAACTGGTTGAATTCGAAGTGCCTTCTTCGCAATCAACCGTAGTTGGGGAGGATCATCTCCATATGTTTTTCAAGTCCAACCTAACATTATCCGTCACTTATGATGTTGGACTCGAATTCCAAATTCCTAGTTTCAAGTCAAACTTCACAATTAAAGATGTGCATAGTAATGATATAATTCGAGGTTCATCTTACAATTACAATCATTTAAACATAAATTTTGTCAATGAAAGTACTATGAATATTGAAGTTAGCTTAGAAACTATGGACCTCCAAGTTTTTGATCCCGAGAAAGCTGGCCAGCTTCTCAACAAGTTTGTGGAAGATGGGTTTGTTGTTCCTTATGATCAGTTTGTTGTCGATTTAGAAGTGAACGAGTTATCGTTTGAGCTGAATTTATTCAAGACTCGCTTGAACAAATTGAGGGTGAACAATATTACTCTTATCAACAAGCAGGATGAATTTGCTGTTCAAATCAATGAAAATGCAAGTAGATTTGTCAAACAAAATGGATTGCCTCGAAATTCTAAAATCATTAGTTTTGATGAAGAGGAGCCAGAAGAAGAATTACCCCCTATTGATTCATTTCTCAATCTGTTAAACATTTCCATTGCATCTTTGCTTTATGAGGATTCATATAATGATGGAGTAGTAATAGTCTGTGACTTTGCGATCACCAATCCTTCCAACTTCTCGCTTGATTTGCCAGGAGAATTGCTCCTGGTGGGGTTAGATTACAACGGAACTTCTTTTGCCAAAGTCAGATTTGAGGACTTGTACATTCCAGCAAATGAGAGATTCAACACCACTGCTGAAGTAGAATTGTCTGCTGATGGAGTAGATAGCAAGATTCGTCTCGAGCAGTTGCTAGGGGCGTTTATCTCGGGATATGATGACCTAGAAGTCAAGGTTTTTAATTTAACCGCAAAGAACAAGGGTTTAAACAAAATATTGCAGGAGGTTGAGATCTCAGGCATACGAATCCCGAATATCGAGTTTAATAGGCCACCTAGTGCTGATCTCAGAGCCGCCACGTTTCCAGATGGAGGTATGGCGGTACTTTCCAAGCTGTTGTCTTCATTGAAATCATCCTTTTCTCCCAAGAGTTCTGGCGTTGACAGTACACCACACCACACCCAAGACCCAGACTGGTTTTTCTTGCAACTGGATAGCCCACGTCCTACACATCCAAGTCCCTTCCTAGTGGAGTCTGTGATTCATGTTCTTAATTCAGAGGTGCAGCTCAAGCTTCTCAACCCCATTGAGAACGCCGAACTAGTCATCGACTTGTACCAAGCGGAGGCTACGAGCGAAGACAAGGTGTTGGGTCATTTGGAGAGGCCCGAGCTCCTCGTAGTAACCCCGGGAGTCTACCAGACTCCTCGTATTCCCATCAAGATTGCGCGTGGGATTGGAATGGATACTCTCCGAAAGGCCATTAATGGCGATTTAGAGGTGGATGTGGTGGCCGTTTTCAAGGTTAGGTTGGACAAGTTTGAGTCTGAGTTGGTGTACCGAGGCCATGGATTAAAGTCCCAGATCAGGTTTTAGCAACACGGGCTATAATTTCAATTCTTGCTGATTTCATTTCTCGCTATAATTTAAGATGCTTGAAAATACACTTTCTACAGCATCAGCTCCCAAATGCTCTGTATCCACAGCTTCAAATGTAACTGTCCTTTATAGTGGCAGCCGTTGCAACCACCGGTAAACATCCATGCTTCAATAATGGAAGCCCAGAGACTTCTCTATGGTTAGGGACCTTTACCCCATTAGGACATGTCCTCATAGTGTTCTAGACCCTTTGCCCAAATAGGCAGGAATGTCGCAAACCCGAGTAATGTCGCGGTGTTTACACTTCTATTATTAGTCGATTGCAGGGTATTCCGATGTGCCCAGCACAATGTCGTAATCACTCGTCTGGAAATTTACATCACCACTCTAAATTCTCAGTCATACCACCAGTCTTTCGTTATTTACAATGGTTGCCACTTTAAAGATCTCCACCTTAGTCGCCTTAGTCGCCACCATCAACTCGGTGGCTGCCGCTCCTCCAGCCTGTTTGTTGGCTTGTGTTGCTCAGGTCCAAAAGAACTCCAAGTGTTCCGGTTTGAACGACTTGGACTGTATCTGTTCCAACGAGGCCAGCAACATCCAAAAGTGTTTGGACAGTGCCTGTCCTAACGACAATGCCGACGCTGCCTACAGTGCCTTCAAGAGCTCGTGTGCCGCCCAAGGTAAGGCTGTTTCTTCCAGCTCTGCTAAGGCTTCCAGCTCTTCTTCTGCATCCTCCAGCTCTGCTTCAGCCTCCAGCTCCGCCAAGGCTTCTAGCTCTGCTAAGGCATCCAGCTCTGCTGCTCCATCTTCCAGTGCTGAAGCTTCCAGCTCTGCTGCCGAGTCCAGCTCTGCTGTTGAATCCAGCTCTGCTGTCGAATCCAGCTCTGCTGCCGAATCTTCCAGCTCTGTTGCTGAATCCAGCTCTGCTGCTCCATCCAGCGCTGCTTCTTCCGCTGCTTCTTCCGCTGCTTCTTCCGCCGCTTCTTCCGCTGCTCCATCCAGCGCTGCTCCAAGCTCTGCCCCATCCACCACCTTGCAATCGTCCGTTTCTCAAGCTTCTTCCACCAGAGCTGAAACCTCGGTCCAAGCCCAACCAAGCAACGGTGCTAACAACGTCCAATTGTCTTTTGGTGCTGCTTTGGCCGGTGTCATCGCTTTGTTATAAGTGTTAGATCCTTAGACCTAGACCTAGACTCGTTTCTGGACGTCAAAGTCGAACCCCATTTCTTCTTCAAAATTTGCCAAGGCCTAGGCCCCAGTGCCATGGCTCGTGAAGTCACTAGCACTTTCACGGCCGTTTTAGGATACCTATCTTTATAATACATGAGGTTTTTAGCTGACTGTAGTTGTGGTGGTACGAACATGTAGACACTACTGTGCCATTTGTAAATGGCTAGTAGTAGAATTAATTAAGACATATAGATTAGCTGCATTTAATTATTATTGGTTTAGTTTTTATTGGATTAATTCAACAGGTGAATCAGGTAACTGGATCAGACTAACTAATTGGATCACTTATGGATCAGGTGTAACGAAAGTAAACTAGATCAGTCTAAATTAATTGGATCAGGTGTAACTGAAAGTAGACTAGATCAATTTAAATTAATGGGATCAGTAATGGGATCAATCTAAATTAATGGTATCAGTAAATTCACCCAAACTAATCAGGTCAGCCCTAATATACTCGCATCGGCTACAAAGGATCACTCTAACTAGTTGGATCAGTCTGAACCAAAAAGAACTATCTCTACAATTTCATGGACACGAGACTGTTCCAGCTGTAGCTGTTCTTGTTTTATTTACTCCACATCCTCTGCCCGGCCGAGGCTCATCTGGATCAGTGATCTATTGTCATAAAACCCATACCGCAGTAGTGTGGCTGTTTGCGGCCATGCGATCTTCTCATTTTCGGGTTCTCCGCGGAGGTTCCGGCGGGATGGATCGATATAAAGCACCAACTTCCCATAACTCCAGCAGCTCGCTATCACTAGAACTTCTGTGCTTTCTGAAAGAGGCTCTTCATCTCCAGTCAAGTATCTCCAAAACTCCTCCAGACTAGTTGGTCCTCTTCCTATCGGCAACGGCATATCCCCACAATGACCCCCATTGCCATCACCTCCATTCCGTACACATTGTACCATGGCACGTTCGTGCACACTCCGTCGTTGGACCAGCTTGAGCTCAAGTTCAACGCGTTGGTAGGCGTCAACTCCGAAGGAGAAATCGACTTCGTCCACGACGAGTATACCCTGGCGCTAGCGCCAGTGGAGTTCTTCAAGCAATCATATCCAGACCACCACAACTATACCACTATCGAGTTCGTGGATTACACTAAAGACCCCACCAAGTTCATCGTCCCAGGATTCGTGGATACCCACATCCACGCGTCCCAGTACCCCAATGTGGGGGTTGGTTTGGGAACCCCATTGTTGGACTGGTTGCACTCCTACACGTTCCCACTTGAAAACAAGTTCTCCGACTTGGACTTCGCCACCAAGATCTACACCAAGATCATCCAAAAGACCATCGCCTCGGGAACCACCTGTGCATCGTATTTCACCACCATTGATCCCAACAGCACCAACGCATTTGCGGATTTGCTTCTTCAATACGGGCAGAGAGGTTTCGTGGGGAAAGTATGCATGGACCACAACGACACCTACCATGCGTACGAAGAGGACTTCGCTTCAGCAAAGGAATCAATGGATAAAGTCATCGCTCATATCGAGAAAGTCAATCCTGAGGGCCAGTCTTTGGTTACTCCCATCATCACCCCGCGCTTTGCACCTGTCTGTAGCAGAGAGCTCTTGAAGTATTTGGGGGAATTGAGCGCCTCCAGAAGCCTCCCAATTCAAACCCATATCAGTGAAAATAAGAAGGAAATCGAGTTGGTACGTGATTTGTTTCCTGAATGCAAGGACTACACAGATGTTTATGACCAGCACAAGCTTTTGAACCAATCGACAATTTTGGCCCATGCCGTTCATTTGACGGAGGACGAAAGAACTGTGATCAAGAACAAAAACTGCTCCATTAGTCACTGCCCCACGTCTAACACTTTCATTTCGAGTGGTGAAGCTCCAATCAAGCAATACCTCTACAAGGATCAAATCAACGTGTCTTTGGGTACGGATGTGAGTGGGGGCTTTGATCTGAGTATTTTGGGAATAGTTAAGCAGAGTATTTTGGTTAGTCATCACGTTGCGATGACTGAGAAGGACTCCTACCACCAACTTCTGTTGAAGGATGCCATTTTCATGGCAACTAAGGGTGGAGCAATAGCCGTGGGTTTGGACAACACTATTGGAAGTGTTGAGAAGGGAAGGAAGTTCGACATGCAATTGATTGACTTGAGAAGCTACAACTCTAATGCTGATATTTTCGAATGGCAACTTCCTTCACAGGAGGATCTGAAGGAAGAAAGAGAACTCAAGATGATGAACTTGTTGGGTAAATGGATTTTCACCGGTGACGACAGAAACTGTGTCAAGGTATGGTGTAATGGTCGGGTAATATTAGATAAATCAGCGCGAGATGAGAGATGGGTAATGGTAGAGCCATCCACGTCCGCTTAATAGAATCGCGATAGGTAGCATATAGACGATACACGAATTATGACAAGCAGGGGCTGTAGAAAGTTGCGAGTTTGCACAAGGACTTCCACCAGAATAGTAAGGGGTAGACAAAGTTCTAAGCCTGCCAAAGGAAATGCAAATAAATTCTAGGTAGTATTCAAGAAAGAGCTTACCAGCAGGTACTAACTTTTGAGGACTTTCCAAAACATTCTAGGGAAAAGAAGATTAGAGGTGGGCCCAATTTAGGAGACTCAGACAGTCAGTCCAAAACTGGAGACGGACTTCTATGGCAAACACACAATATTCCATGAACTTTAGGTGCACCGAATAACACCACAACGAATGCTTTCACGCTTTCCTTTCTATTTGGAATCTGCCATAGATCTTTTTTCTCGTCACAGTCGGAGCAACTTCTTGTGGTGAGCTCCTGAACGTACTTGAAACTAGTGGTATGTGGTACCTACTATGTAAATATGGTTTGATCAATAGCTACTATTTTTTGCACAGTTCTGTTTAACCTATTACATTTCGGGTGTAAGTATCATTGATAGTCTGGAATTTCCATCTTTTAAAAACCAAAATCCAGATATAGAAAATTCAGCTTGAGTTTTTGGAAACAGCGTATGGAGATTTTGAGTCGGTGGTTTCTTCCCGGAAGGTATAACCAAATCAGGATTGAAGTTTGCACCCAGGAGTAAATTTAATGGAATATTTTCAAAAGTAGCAAAATATCACAAAATACGCTGCTATTTTACTTAATAACACTCAGACCATGATAAACAGTCAAAATATCAACTATTGGTGTTCCTTAAGGAATTCTACCAGATCATCCGTTGGAGTTTTGCAACCTCAACGCACAAATGAGAGAAATTTTGAGTTTGCAATATTGAACCGCGCACGACTGTCCATCTTTAACTGAAAATTATCGACTGTGAAAAGGCCCAACCATGACTGACGCCACCACTGTCGAGGCCCCTGTCAACAGGGCCAAGAGAGCCCCACCTACGGCCGAGGAGATCGAAGAGGCTAGAGCAAAGAAGCAAAAGTTGCAAAAACCAGAGGGAATGTCCAAGAGCGAATGGAAACGCCAGCTCAAGCACCAAAGATGGGAGGAGTCCAAGGACGAGTACCGTCAAATTAAGAGGGAAAAGAAGAAGGCTGCAGCCAAGAGAAAGAAGGAGTCCGACATTGTGGTTCCCAAGAAAAAGATCCCAGAAACCCAGACTCCCACCGATGTCAGTGTGATCATGGACTGTGACTTCGATGACTACATGAGCTACAAGGAAATCGTTTCGTTGTCCAACCAGATCACGCGAGCATACTCGTCCAGAAGACACTCAGACTACCAGGTCGATCTCACCATAACCAGTTTCAACAAGAACCTCAAACAGAGGTTCGACAATGCCCTCAGCCACTACAAGCACTGGCAGAACATCCAGTTTGTGGAGTCGGAAAGTCTTGCTGCTTATTTGCCCGAGGACACCTCCAAGCATGTGTATTTGACTGCTGACACCGAAGAGGAGATCCAGGACCTAGAGCCAGGTTACACCTACATCATTGGAGGAATTGTGGACAAGAACAGACACAAGAAGCTCTGTTTGAACAAGGCCAAGGAATTGGGATTGAAAGTTGCCAGATTGCCCATTGGCAAGTACATTGAGATGAATGGCAGACATGTCTTGGCTACGTCGCACGTCTACGAGTTGTTGTGCAAGTACTTCGAGACCAACAAGGATTGGGGCAAGGCATTTGATGAGGTGTTGCCACCAAGAAAAGTCAAGGGGAAGGTAGAAAGTGGAGAAAAGGAAACTGAAGGGGGCGAGGAGAACGATGACGAGGAGGAGGAAGAGGTTGGCGAAGAGGAATCCCTCCAGAAGGTGGCTGATGGCCAATCAGTGCCTGCTGAAAATAATGCATAGACTGTTAGTAATTTACGACACTTAATGAATGGCCATTCGAACCAGAAATTGGGAGAGGAAAGGGAAACTGTAGCTTGCGATGGTTGAAACTTACAGAGCCAAACTTATTTGAGTATAAATGTGTCTCGGGGCTCACTGGTCTCATTAATTCCCTGTCAAGGGAACGCAGGTACTGGTATATTGTGTACTTAACAATATTTTGTCTGGTATAGGATACAAACAGAACATTCAACCGGTTACTTTGCAGACAATTCTATTCCATATTATAAATTGATCGATTTCCATTTGTGGTAACATTTTCTTTTGTAGGTTTCTGCTTTTAGAGTTTCTTGCTTCGGTCCATTTTCTGTTATAATGCTATCATTTGAGGGCAGGAAGAGTTGATGAATTGCGAGACACTAGGAAATCGGTTACTTCGATTCGGAATTAGCTTTAGAGAGTTCCCCCAACCAGTCAAACTCTTCCACGAGACAGTACTAGTATATCTTTGCCAAAGTAAGTGGTCTACCAGAATTTCCCGTCACGGTCAATAAACTGGCCGGGAAAGAACTCCTGGGCAGTCATTGACGTTTGCTGAAATAAAGAGATTGAAAAAAGAAGGTAAGCTTCCATTAATAGTATCACTGCCAGTCTGTATTCGTAGATATATTAGAAGAATTAGTCTCTTTGGGCACAATAAAATTGTAAACATCCTTAAGATTGGTTTACCTAGCACAGGGGATTTTGATTATTGAAATGTTCTTGGAAACCATGTGTAAATTCAGTGTAATATTACAAGTGCGTATATTGGCAGAATTAGTAATAGTGTTTCTTCTTTTACCGCCACAACTGCCCCCCGAGGGCGGTTATGACAATATAACTGAAAGCTTCATCATTTAATGTCTGTACGTTCCAATTATAGTTCATGCTCATAAATACTGGTGATCAAGTCGAGAAAGATGGAGGAATGAACTATAGGCGGAGTAATATTTGAAAGATGAAACGCAATCCATCTAATTTTTAAACTCTTATACCAGACAGCTCGTCGTATTATGCCAGATAAATGACTGTATTGTCAGGCCTGATGCCATTGGTAGATCTGTCAATGCTGCAGAAATTTCAATTTTCGTGTGAGACGATGCATGGAACCTTACATCCGTACAAATTACATAGCTTTTTACAATAACCTGCAATTTCAAAGCTCATATACTTCAAGTATCTAAAGCTCTTTACATCCAGAAGCTTGGGTTGAAATCCGGTGCGTTTATTATCTTGACACAAAGTTGCAGATTGACACAACCGTTTTTGCAACCACGCATTTTTTGCACCCATATCGAGGGTATAATCAGTCTCACGAGATCTATTGAACGAAAAATAAACTACCAGAAAAGAAATGAGATCTACTGGTTAGCTGCAAATGAGCGGGGGATCTGGAGGGCGCGCTCCTGTGTCTGTGAACTATAGACTTACATCGTAAAACAAGAATCGTTCTGCCCTTTTACCCACATCTTTCTTCCTACGATTAGCAAATAAAACGTTGCAATGTCTATGAATAGAGATACTACCAGTCCCTGCTCTGAACCATCGTTGCCTAGCAACGTGGTTAAGACCTCGGGGTCTCCTCAGCTTTTGAAATCGCCTTTTGTGACCGACTCCGCTGATCCACTTTGTGCGCCTGAGAACAAGTACAACGCTGGCGAAGTCATGGCCTACCTTTCCGACACCTTCAACGCATACGTCCAGGAAGCCAAACAGGACAAATCAGGGAACAACATCAAAATTTTTCTGTTGTTGGAGGTGTCGTCGCAGTGCAAGACCATCAAGTCTACAAGCAAGAAAGTCAAGGTAAATGAAGTGCCATCTCACCAAGCTGACAAGTTCCCTGCTCTTCCCTCCAAGAAATCGGTTGAGAAGAACATGACTGTCCTTCCTTCCAACAAGGAATGGGCCAATGGTGTTTGTGGTCGTCTCAACATGACCACTTCCTCTTTTGAAGAGAAGGCTCCTCACCAGAG